ATCTATGAATAATAATCATCATTGTAAGACTAACGAGAGAACGAACAAATACTGATAGAAATGAAATATTAATCAATAACATCTTCTAACCGTTTGTTGAGTCGTTTGAATTGAATCTATGGGCATAAAGCAATGCCTTCAGAGATTTAAAATTCTCACCGAGGGTCAACAACGAACAGGCAAACTGTCTTGTTCTTCGTCGTGTTGTATTCTTTTCTTTTATTGACTATTCACATTAATATATAATTGCCGTACTCTTACGGAAGAGGGAAAGGACGGTGTGCAATGTACGTAAGCAAGAACGTTTTCATAATTCATATTGAGCTGAGACTTTCAACACAATAGCATGATGACCAGTTCAATTAGAAACTCGCGCACTTGCTCTCTTTATTCATCCATTTTCTTTTGATGTATATTCGATTAAACTATTTTGTACCATTACTTGTCGCCGAAGAAATGTGTTGATGACAATTTTATTCTCGATGATGTTACAAACTGTCGCTTCGTTGTCTACTTATCTTCTCTCCGCTCCTAACACAATCTATCATTAACGTTTATGTTCGTTTACTCGGTCCATGCTTCAGATACCTGTCGTTCAATTCCGTCAGAGGAAAAGAGTTTATACACTTCTAATTCCATTGAATTATACTGAAAAGATATCTCAATTCGAACAGCTGACTTTCATTTTGTCTGTTGAATGTCGACATACATGTGAAGTAATTAGTCTTACTGTATTTAAACTCCGTCTAATGTCGATATTCAATCAAGCTCATCTCGTACATGCGTGCATGTAAAAGAAGATGACAAGTCTATTACTAGTCTCCTCCCTTCTCAATCAGAAACAGAAGCAACAGTGGCAGCAGTCGCACTAATAATGACTACGTTCGAAGCACACGACGACGATGATGATGCAATCGATCGTTTTAACGAGAAGATTACCTCGACACACGCTCATTCAATTGATTCAGTAGTCAAAACAAAAGCAATTGAACTTCTTATGTTTCGTTCTATTTTCTCTCATATTGTATTCATGAATGGTTCTTCTGACTAGTCACTAATCGTTTTCAAGTTCAGTCACGACTACAATNCACTAATAATGACTACGTTCGAAGCACACGACGACGATGATGATGCAATCGATCGTTTTAACGAGAAGATTACCTCGACACACGCTCATTCAATTGATTCAGTAGTCAAAACAAAAGCAATTGAACTTCTTATGTTTCGTTCTATTTTCTCTCATATTGTATTCATGAATGGTTCTTCTGACTAGTCACTAATCGTTTTCAAGTTCAGTCACGACTACAATATCTATTTTGGATGACTAACAAGTTAAAAAAATAACATACTCGATATCATCACTTAATATGATCTGCGCGCGAGACAAGAAAAAAACGAATGAAAATCTTCTACGAATCAATGATTTCCGTTGAACATGCTCTATTCTCTGAGCTATGTCAAAAGAAAAAGCTAAGAAAATTTCATTAGTTCCATTGCTTGCTATTGTCGCTCGATGACGATGATAATGACGATTTAGTTGAAAAGTTCAATTAATCGAGCCAATTTCCATCTGATTACGATCTATGTTGCCATCAGAAATCGATTTAATCAATAAAACAAATCTGATGTATTTGCTCTCGAAGGAAAACTTTCTTATCTTTAAGATTCACTCTTCGATGTCATCTATTGTCATGTTCGGTCAGTCTGTTCAATTCAACAAACAATAAGAAAATGACACCAGCTGAACACGGCTGTTACACGCACTCACATGTAATAATAGAACAAGAAAGAGAAGAGTAGACAATGATGAAATCAAAGCAAATGATATCGAGAAGTAGTATCTTATTCATATCTATGTGGACAGATCGAGATATTCGATTTATACTCACTGTGCGTATACACCCCGAGGATGGTTGATGTTGTTATTACTGCAGAAGAGAAAGATGATGATGTAGATAGGATATCAGAATTGTCGGATATGTCAATCTTCTCCTTTTTTCTTCATTTTAACTTGTTTGTTGATAGTTATGGAGAGAGTTGTATGCATGTTCAATTAGAAAAGGAGTGCGAACATGAGAATAAGACAACATTACTGTTCTTCTTCTTCTTTTCTTTCTTTTTCTCTTTCTTCTTCATGTTCTTTTTTTTCTCCTTCACTCCTTTCTTCCTATCTCTCAAGTACTATCGATCTTGATGATGATGATGATGACGTAATCTTTTTCAACGTTATTTCCAGACATTGTCATGGTTCAATTGAGAATTGAAAAAGAAAGCCCAAAGAAACTATTTTGCGATCGATCTTCTCTCTATATCTTCGGAGACCTGACGCGTTTCATGTCTTCATCATTCATCACTTTTTTTCTCATTGGCCTGAAATCTTTATTCAATTTGTAAAACAAAACAATCATCATTATCATTATCATTGACTAAATCTCGTGAGACATGCAACATGGATAGAGACAATCTTGCGATGATTATTGGACATTATTGACATAACAATGCCACAGACAAGGATAAAAGATTGACGTCCAATGCTAATCAATCGGTCACTGAGTCATATCGATTGTGAGAGGTGAAGATAATAACGGAGTAAATTTGTTCAACATAATCAAAAGATGAAGTGTGTGCGTCTCCTGGACATTGCGTGCAGACATCAGATCTATTGTCTTGAAGATTAATTCGAGACTAACTACTAAATGACTGCTATTGTCTTCATTAAGTTTCAATTCATATTTGATAAAGAGCAACGAGGAGAAACTTGTTTGTCAATCATTGTCCAACCGATGTTCGTTTTGGGAAAATAAGGAGAGAATGATTGAATCATTTGTCAATTTAGATGCAATGATGATAAAGAACAAAACGAACGCAAAGACAATACATCACTGTCAAATTATTTCGAATTGAATGGCAATTGCATCTGTTCTGTCCTCGAAATCATGATTAGTTCGTCGATATATGCTTCAATGCACAATGACAATAACAGATATTGAGAAGATATGTCAATATGACAAATTATTTCAGAACGAAACGATTATGAGGAGTAGTTATCTAACCAACTCATACTTGGACATTACCATACAAATTTTCCTTCACAGTTCACCAATCGGTTTCATTTCAAACCCATATTGATTGTGTCAAACATCAAATGAATAAAACAGAAGTAAGCAAACACATGCAAACTGGCGATGATCTATGCTTTGGATTTTCATAGAATTATTCAATTGTATGAATGTCTAGTTCTTTCTTTATGTACTTAAGCAAATATTTTCTTTCTATACATATGCAATATCGTCATTAATCCAAATGATATTCGATCTTGAAGACGAAATTCATCAAGAGTCTGTTGTGTGATAGGGTGACGTTCCTATAAAAACAATAAACACGACTTAAAGGGAATAATATTTTTCTAACAAAAAGAAAAACATTGAGCAACAAATCGAGAAAGTTTCCGAACAGATATCTGATTAATTATAAGCTATAATTTCGGCAAATATATCGCTGCCAGAGTGAGTTTATTTCCTTTAGATAAACATGTAGCCGTTTTTGTCAGGAATCATAAATTATGGATACTCGCTTTCAATTTTTTAGTTCGTAATTAGAGAACGATAGGCGTCATTTGTCAGTCACAACATATAATCAATGATAATTCTATGAAAGACAAAAATTTGTCGATGTTACCTAACTCGACTTGGAACAGCTAAATGAAGAACTATGTGAATATGCTAGTCTGAAGTTAATTATTATTTATCCCATCTGCAGCAGTGCCGCAGTAGGAAGAACGAGGTTACCCAGACAACACTTTTATCGTCCTCTAGCTTTATTGTATTCAATAGTTGACACAGTGCGGATATGAGTAGAAGGTTTGATCTATGTTAATTTTGCTTTTCCTAACAGCTGAATAACGAAAGGTCAGACCTTCTCTCATGACATTATGCATATATTCTCAAAGATCGTTTCTTGAAAACCTGTCTAGAGATTCTAAGTGTGTGTTTATGTATTTCGTTGAACGAACTTGACATCTAGTGTGACATCTGCTTGTTAATTGATTCAAAATGATTATGGCAGAAGTTTGTTGACGCAAAGGGAAGTTTCCTAACCGAAATATTTGATAAAAATGAATGAGGACATTTCAATAAACAACAAAGAAGTATAGAAAACATTTTTATTTTCCTTCGATTATCTCATATTCAAATAAACTCATGGTTTGAATTTCAATTCGTAAATACGTTGTATATTCGATTCGAAATCAAACTAAACAGTTGATTCGCAAAAAAGAAATGGAACATTTGAATACATATCACATTGTGCTTCTTCGTTGGTTGCATTTATCTGGAAGATCTGTATCCTCCAACAGTGTAAATACCACAAACACTAATTAAACAGAATTTGCGTATTTAATATTTTCATTCTGATGAGCTCAACAAAAAATATATTTGAAAAGAAAAAAGATTCAGGTTATCATGTTAGGTTGTATATCATTATATGCGTAAATTACCAGAACTCATTGTCTGAACTAAATATAAACGAATATTAAAGCAATCTAAGACAAACATGGTTATAAATGTATTGATGTCTGTAAGTAACTTCCGCATTCACGATATTAGACTTTAGTCGAAGGAACTTATGGTTGAATCTCACAAGATGAAGACATTGACTCTATTTATCCGTTTGATTGATTGCGATAATCTCGAAGACTAGACTATCTTATAAGAATTACATATCCTGACGGTGGACTTGATTCAATCAGTATACCCTTATCTTTGAATCGCATTTCGATTCGTATCATCATTGAAAAGCAGAGTAATGTCTGAACATGTTCCTCACATGTCTAATAAAGTGGCAATAGTCGAATAGATTCAACAACATGCATCGGATTAGTTTATTTATTGATGATCGAACGAATAAATAGAATCTATTAAACATTTGAAATAAAAATTTGTGGCATACATTAGAGTACGTTGATGTACTTCGAGGCATATCAACTGATAATTTCAATGTGGAAATGCATTTTCAGGTTGAAATCGTAATCGTTGAAGTGATTCATTCGTTATGAAATCATAATTCTTCGTGTCGATCCTCTCATCGAATGGTTGTGGATACTCGTTTTCGCCGCGTCGACTTCGCCATCGTCCGAGAATAAGATGATATTCATGGAGCTACGAAAAACATAAAACAATGTACGCAGAGATCGACAGCTGTCTGTTACATACTTTTTGTAAATAACGTCTCAATTCTTCTTTGGTTTTGAAGTAGTCTGGTCGTGTTGGTGGTGCTAAAAACGCGGAAAGAAAAAACGTGAATGTTCCGAGACGAAATGATCGTCAACTCACGTGGCACATTGGATAAGATTGCTTGAGCGAAGTTAAAAAAAACAATCATCAACAGGAGATAGGCAATGGTCGTTTTGCAACTCATAGTATAAACTTTATCTAAAAGTGTAGTAGTCAAAAGTTTGAGAGCGTTCTCGCTTGATGAAAGATTAACTTAATATTTGTAGAAGACGACTAAGGAACAGTCTTTTTACACGTCAGTGAATGTAATAAAAAATGATGAGCTCATCTTGAGAGAAAGTTGATTTTATGTAGAATATTCTAATAGAAACTCGTAGATCATTTTGAGGAAGCTGTACGCTTAAAACCTCCTCCGTACTTTCAAAATCATGACGACTGAAAGAAAAATTAGTCAAAAAGGTCTACAACAGCTGGCTACTGTAATTCAAAAGTTACCACGATTCGGATGTGACGTCGACGCATCTTTCATTTAAAATTAAATCGTACTTGACGTTCTTATAATAAATTATATTTACTTACTATCTAGAAGCATCTTTTCCCTCTCGTGTATACAACGTGCAGTCATTAGAAGAAATGAGAAGGAGAAAGATGTTCCATTATACTCATTTATTAAAAATTTTTTTCAGGTAAATATCACAATGTGTTGCTTGTGCTCGTTCGAAATTTCACTCATCCGCCTTTGAAGATAATCGTCTTACGTAAAGTCATTTTCAGTTTGAACTGAGATCATAAAAAGATGCATTCTAGTGCTTGACATCAACCATGAAGATTATGTCATAAAAAAAAAAAAACGATTTGTTCGATTGCAACGAATATTTTCCCGAAGACAAAGAAATGAAAACAACAAAAAAAAAAGAAGTTCATTGCTTATTCCGTAGAGATTTTCCTTCTTTTCTATCAATAATCATTGTTCGCAAGGAAATTGTGTGTGAAATCTATTGTGACTATAATTGTATTGATTATTCAAATCGAATTTCTATTTCCATACAAACTGTAAACAATCAGACAAGATACTCTATGAGGCATATGTACGCATAATACAACGGCCTAGGTTCATATTAATATCTATAGTTATTTTTTGAAATATCAATGAAATCTATTGACATTTAAAAATCATTGTATAAAGATCACGCAACGTCTGTTTAACATACCGGAAGTTTCTCCTTATTAACGAATGTTGATATTTCCGAGTGAACGAGCAAAATCAATCGATGATTAATGACGGATATGAGCCTGACATACGAAATGGAAAGTCGTCTTTTTCTTTTTTTCTTCTTCTATTTTAATTAAATCATTCGATTACAGTGAAAGAAGAAATGCCAACGAATACGACATTAAACTAATGACAATTAATCAACTTCTTTCAAATGACAAAATGTCATCTCGGCAACAGAAGAACAGATTTACGTTCAAGACCTTCACCTAAGCTGCTTCATTCAATTAAAATTAGTATTTCTTGAAAATCAGTGAACTTGGATTGTCTAATAAGTACCGCATGTGGGGGGAATGTTAGATTTACGAGAAAAAAGTGTCGAAGATTCTCAACTAATACTTTCATTCTTTGTATTTTGTACAGTTTAACATCACTGATTGTATGAAGACAATAATGGTCCGTAACTGTAGTTATTGGCGAACTTAGTTGCGTTGATTCTATGCTTTTATCGTGGGCTTAATAGCATCATTCAAATCTTTTAATTCTTTAATGACGTAAACTGTTTGAATCATATTCGTATTGACGTTTCTAATAAGGATTTATTTTTGACAGAAAAACAAGCGTAAATCGTAGTCGAAGTACTTTATTGTGGGTAAAACGTTCAGGCAAAGTAAAAATAAATCAGACCGTTACCTGTAGATTGCAAAAACATGAGTAAAGAAATGAGCTTCATTAACAAAGATTATCCTTGATTAAATGAGTATTATAGAAGAAGTTTGATTTAGATATGTTATTTTATTCACTTATCTGATTGGTAGCAATAAGTTGTCTGATTGTACCTGTAGTCAAACTTCGATGTCGCATCGTTTCTTTTTGAAATCTTAATGAAAAGTCTATTGTTAATGCCTCTAGAGAATGCTCATATCAAATCTCTGTTTTTCAGAGAGAGGAAACGAGAAAATGTTAGTGAGTTTCTATTGCTTTTTGACAAGCATATTAGAATGCCAATACAGATGTTTGACAACGAAGGTGATCGATATAAAATAAGTGTAGAACAAGTTTCTTAGTTGTACTACAGAAGCTCGTGCGTAAAAAGTAAAGGAAATATGATATTTGTCATCCTTACAAAGAAATATTTACACTAATTAGCAATATTGAATCAGGTACATTTGCGAATGCTTTCAGTCGAACACACTAAAAGAAAAGTATCGAACAGGAAAGTGGTGCTGGATATCTTCTGCTTGGGAGATATATTCAAAAGAAGAGACAATTTCGAAATTACTGCTAATATCTTTGCACATCAGTTATGTCAAAAATCGTAGTAAACAGGATTCCCGTGAGGATTGTTTGCGTCAGGTCAAAGTTGCCATTCTGCTCATTATCACAAAAGACGTAGATTGTTTTCTATCATCCACGCCCTGGAAAATGTTTCGTTTGATTTAAGCCGTAGTAAGCTTTATGAAAAAAAAACTTTCGAGTTTATCTACGGATTGATGAATGATATTTAATTGTGTTCTAGGTTTATTGAGGAAACTTTTTACAAATAGAGCGGAGACAATTATTTCCGTGTATTTAATATTCGTTCAGCCATCCGAGTTCCATCAACCCGAGCTCGTATTTTATCGTAGCATTTGGCTCGTGTTGTTGATTCATCATCCGAAAACGGTGCATAGCCACAATCATCCGTCGTTCCTAATTGCTCAATGTTTATGAATCGAGCAGCTTCCAGTATTCGATCGCATACTTGTTCAGCGTTCTCAACTCGCGCATCTATCGGATCGATAACGCCGATGAAAATACGATGATCTGGTTGAATATATTCTCGAATCATTGTCAAAACTTTCTTTCGATCACGTTCGGATGCTAAGGATACATAAAAATGCTTGACATGTAAATCGAAAATCAACGGTAAAACCAATGTGTAATCAATATCTAATGAATGATGAGAATCTCGATCGCCTCCTATGCACGAAACAAACGGATCGATTTATATCTGAAAGTTATTTGATTTACCTGGACAAATATGAATACCAATTTTGTTGTAGTACTCAGGATTATCGGCAAATCGGTCTAAAACACGATTGTTCAATTGCACGAAATTTCTTAATAGTTTTCCCGATGGATCTATTTTAAGAGACAAACGAGCTTCAGTAAAATCCATTTGGACTTTATCCACACCAGCTTCTAAACATAGGCGAATATCTTTCTCCACTTCGTTGACTAAATCGTCGAGAAACTGTTCACGGGTATAGCCTGGTATCGTTGGGCGAGGATAAACATTCGACAGAGCTGAGGGAGAGATAACAGCTTGCTTGATTGGTCGACATGTATACTGTTGAGCTTTACGGACATAATCTACAGCGTATTTTCCATATCGAAATGGAGCTTTTGTCAATCGTGGTAATGTACGTTGGTGTCCATCAGAGAATATGATTGTAAAACAATCAATCATATCATCGAAAGTATATTCGGAAGGATATAATGGAGCGATTCTAGAAATGAATCTCAGGCTGTTTTGTCAATGTTCATTTTCAATGACGAGATAATACGTACGGATAGATGAGAAAAGATGGTTTAGCTTGTTCACCGTCAGTTATCTGTCCTGGCCCGGTTTTTTCTAATTCAGCAATTGTTTGTCGAACTGCTTTATCTTGTAGAACGTCCAGTTGATTTTTACTTATACGACCAGCTTTGTATGCTTGTTGACCTTCTAATAATGCTGTGATTCGTGGTATGGAGCCAATGAGTTCAGTTGGAATCGTTATCTATAACATCATCTTCTGTCAATGTCACTTCAACTTGAGGAAGCGGAAAACTCTTACCCATGGTTTAGGAGCATTATTAAAATTGGCAGTTGTTCTGAATGCCATTTAACTCGGTTTTTTGTACGTGCGTAGTTAAATCTGAAAAAAAGACATGATTTCTTCATGAATATTACAAATTTCTTTCAATGCGCGACGAAAAAAAGAAGGATCACAAGTATTGTTCGAGAGATCTTGACGATTATTGTTATTTGAGACGATCCATCCGTTTTGTCCAACATGTTGACGTAATCAGTCCTGCGATGGAATGGATATTAAACCATAGCTCAGCGGATTCTATTATCATAGTCAGCAATGAAGAGATCAGGCGCTTAGCCGATTTTTTCGAAGCCTTTTAAGGACCAAAACTCAAGATGAATTGAACTGGTCATGTCTTTCTCCTACTCCTTAGCACATGCTAATCTTTATCTCGTTCTCTCTATTGTATGTCATAGTGCCCTATCTATTTATATATACGGTTTTGTTTCTCTGTCCTTTCATATATCTCCTTTTTTAAAACATATCACATTCGATGTTAGTAGAGAAGAACTGTCCCTGTAGGACCATAGGGGTTGGAGGGAAAATAAATCGCAAGAATAAAAACAAACAGTCTTGACGATTGACGATGACGCACGGCTCTGTCGTTTATATGAACAACGCTAGTTTCTTAATCTTTCTATATCTATTTAGAATACTTCAAGCGTAGGAGATTTTCTTTTATAATAATGTGCTAGTGTATTTCCTCGTATTGTAACGTGAGATCAATTCACCTGAGCATAACCTATTAGTAGCAGATTTCATTCAACGTATCAAATCTATAACAACCATTGAGTAAAACTTTAGTTAACCACCATTTGATTGGTAACGTCAATCCACCAGGCAGGGGAAAAACTCATTTTTATAAACATAGAGTCATTTTCTTCAGATTTGTCGAGTGACTATAAATGAACCTTCGTCGAAACCGATATCGTATTTATGTCTATTACATTTATTTAAAGCTCTTTCATTTCTTCAAATAGAAGATGAATGCCATTCATTCATCCGATCGAACTCAACGAAGGAGTACAATTTCCGGTATTAAATCGACTTTGAAATGTGTTTTCTCTTCTGCTAACAATTTAAGTTCGCTTTCAGCTTTTTACTCCCATAGCATATTTTGTCGGTTTTTATGCATGAATCAGATCAGCTACAAATCTGTTATTTAGAAAATGCTCTAGAATAGATGATTACAGCAAAAGCCAACTTGTTTCAATAAACATCGTTTTTCAACAGTCAATCTGTCTACTTTGCTCGATCTTTTTCAATTGTTGTAATACACAGCCAAAAGAGAAAATATTCACACTTGTCCTATGACTGCACAACTCACTCATGAAAATTTAACATTCGAGTCGTTATAATCAATAAATGAATTTGAAAATGATTGATGTTGAAAATATCCGATTGAGATGGCATGTCACTAACAAGTGCCTGTTTTCCCCTTCGATTGTTCTCATGTTTTATGCAAATATTATACTAGCATCGATATTATTCTTACGACAAAATCGTATTCTCCATTTTCAAATATCTCTTATCGACATTGTGTTAATTAAAATCCATCATGTAAAAAAGTATGATTTTATATAAGTTAGGAGAATATTGTTAATGGCAATTTAGGCGTCTCACTAAACAAGAAATAGAAAGTTTTTGAAGTATGTCGCACAAGATTGTTTCCAGTGTTAATGACATAGAATAACAAGGACAAAAAAAAACTCATTTTATGTACTGATATTTGAAACAATGTGATGCACATCCAATTTTTATGAAGTTGTTTCATTTAAAAACTGTAACAAACTGATAATTTTGTTCTCTTTTGGAGAATATAGTGAATATTCGTCATCATTTGAAAATATTTCGCTTGGAGATCAGTGCATAATCATATGTAGGGCACAAGAAAGCGCGGTAATGCATAATGAATCATCGCATTATAATGTAGGTTAATTTTCCCTAGGTAGAATAATAATTCATCGTTTATTTCTCGACACACTTACTAACCAATCTTTATAGTTTATAAGACAGAGAATCTTTTCTTCATGAATTCTTCTCTCTGACTATAAGACATTCAAGGTTTCTCCCGTTCCTTTGAATCAGTTAAAAACAGACTGTTTGCACAATCGTACATGACCTCTTTTTTAAAAAAGTATGTTTCTTTGGCAACTAAAATAAAGATTTTTCTTTTCTTTTCGTCGGTCGAACTTTCCACCTGAAACAGTTGTTTGTTTTATTTACCTTGCTTAACAATATTTATCAATGCACTTTTAGCGTGACAAACAAAAATCGGACATTCAGCCTTCCTTTTCTCTGATGACTTGACTGTTCGAAATTGAAAAGAGTCTTTCCAACTAAGAGAATCGATAATCTACCTCTGTTTTCGATCCTCTTCGAAATGTCCGCACTCTCTCAACCTAAGATTTTCCGAAGAAAAAACGCTCGTACGACCGAGAATATAAGTACTAAAAACGCTATTAGCTGAGTATTACTATAATGAAATAACGGCAGCACTTTTTATAGATTTAAGTGCAAATAGGAACTGTAAGGAAGCGAGGAAAATTCAGAAATTTTTCTAAATGTTGGTAGTGATAGAGATTTGAAGTGTAATAGCATGAGGAAAGTATGATGACAAAGTAAAATGTCCGTGTCTTTTTTGTGAAAGTGTCGGACAACAGGTCACAGATAATTTTTATTGTCTCGTTCATTTGATTTGTATTTTATTTAGAATAACGTTTTCTGTTACAGAATATTTTCAAAACCTCTATTTACATACGTAAAGTTCTCCAAAATTAAGAAGAAACAACCGGTTTATTTATTTATCAACGGCATATATTCAATATGCAACGGTGAGCAAATAAAAGCACTTAGGAAAAAAGTCAGAATAAAAATCTGATAATTGTTCGAGAGAAAGATGAAGCACAAAGACGAGTCTTTCAAACTTACCTTCAAAATGTATGTATTCATTTGGAAGCTATCAAAAATATGTCTGACAGAAGTACCTATTTAACATCATTCAACGTGAATGTCTTCTGCAAAAAAACAAACGATCTACTTCATTAGAGTATTGAGATCTCTCTTCGTGATGCGTCTATGTAGGATGACACCAATGTGGCACTCTTATCACGCATGACTTTGATGACAGGGTGAGCGGAAAACGATCTAAAGATAGTTCTGAAGTATGACGGAGTGAAATGAAGTGGATGAACATCTCGCTACTTTAAGATACTGGAAGACGATCGTTTTCTAATGTTCCTAAAATTCTAAAACTAAAACAAACAGAAAGTATTTTGATTAAAAGTTACTTTCACAGCGAAAGAGTTCCTGAAAATTCTCTTCTCTTGTTTTGCTTCGTTCTTCACATATTTTTTGTTCGAGCTCTCATAACATTGTGTTGCTTTAATAAAGAATGAATCAAACTGCAAACGAATCGACCAAACATATTCGCGTATCGACAGCATCGACCTCGCCTTCTTCTTCATTATCATCATCCAGTCAGTTAGGAAAACATTCACCACCACCGGATCTTCTCTGGATCAGTAAGCAGCAGCAACAGCATCCATTAACACATGTACACCCGTTGAAAAATACCGTCCGAGTCAATGCGAATGGTGTACGTTTTAAATTTGACGGTAAACAATGGCGAGCATTATGTGAAGCTTCTGATGATTACGAATGCCGAAATCTGGCATTTCGTTCATCTTTATGTCAGAAGCACTTCTATAAAGTACATAAATTCAAACGGCCATACACAAAATCGAAACCACAACTGTCATTGAAGCAGCCAGTCAACCATCCACACTATCATCCTTCAAATGGATACCATAACTCCGAAAATAAGGAAGATTGTATGTATGAAGAAGATAATTCCATTGAAATGTTGGATACAGATGAAGTAGGTTTGAAAGAATATATTTGAAAATGTCGATTTGCTTTCTTTAGTTAAAACTGGCGAAAACGGAAAATTACAACAAAGAACTAAGAAATGCTTCTGAACTAGAATTTACATATTTTTCAATAAATTGTGACTCTCAATCTGAATCCTATGCTCACGAATTACAACAAATGAAAACTCAATCGGTATGTAGAAAATCTTCCACTTTCGATGTACCATAAAAACCAAACCCATATTTTGATCTATTCTAGCATCCAAATGTAGATCGAATTAGTTCGAGAAATGATGAATTTCTAAGACCAAATAGTTCAGATCCTTCATCATACAACATTTCGATACCAAAAATAACCGAATCGATTCACTTAGGTTTACCACCATTGACACGCACTGAAGAAAAATCTTTAGCCAATGAGCTTATGATTCAACTACCAGCAGATGTAACACTAACAGTGGCTGAGCAAATAGCACGTCATCGTGCGAGTGAAATCGTTATGGATAACTTTTCTCATCAGTTATCACCAAAAAATATAACATGCGAATGGTTCTATGATTTTCTTTTACGAAATCCACGTTTGCCCATACATTTTCCATCTTGGTTCTCTTCAGTGAAACCAGTCTTACCGGCATCAGATCAAATTATTGATATTAAAATCTGGGAACTTGGATTAATAACAAGATCGGTGTTAGGAATATCATCATCGTCACATTCTACCAGTTCATCATCACCATGACAAAAATTTTCGTTGTATTTATGTTCGACTGTCATCATATTGTGCTTTTTTCTCTATAAAAATTCAATCTACACTAGTGTTATTTGTGACAAAAAAATACAGAATTTTCGATTTTGAATGTAACTGATACGACTTCGTATTTATATATCAATAGATATATGGTCCAAATAGAAGATTTTGATGATAGTTATATCCATATGAGACACCCGAATGTCGAAAAGTATTTTATTTTATGTCTAATATGAGACAATATGCCACAACGATTCGATGTACATTCTAGAAGCATTTGCGACTCCTTATGACTCATTGTATGTAGTGATAAAGTCGTTATCTGACGAGAATTCGACCAGATGGTTTGTTCGGAGAAATTATTATGATACTCTTCGATCGATCATCATTCATTTTAACTCAAACACGCGGAAAAACAATATGCTCGTCTTTATTTTTATCATCGCTACACTCGCGACAAATTGTGCAGTTAGTTACGCTGCATCCGGTACATTTCTTCTCGCAAGAGTATCGTTTGATTGAACTTTTCGTATACTAGGTTGTAATGCATGTCAACTCCGAGATGAATTCGTTGTCGAAAACGGATACAAGTGCTTTCCACTCAATAATGGTCATGTGGCTTGTACTTGTCCTGATCAACGATATACTATCGACAAACCTTGCCGTATGATCTTTTCGAGAATGATTTAATAGGTTTTCTATCGTGAAGTTTTTTCACAGGTATCTGCGAACGAAACAACATTTGCGGTGGTCCAGATAATTTCTGTTCTGAAATCTTAGGTTCCACATCAAGTGGTCAAGACGGCGAGATTCATCATTTCAGTTGTTTCTGTGCTGATTTTTCGTTCTATATTGGAAAAGCTTGTCCAGCAAGTAAAATATCTACTGTTAACTCTATCGGAGTATATACTTCTTTGATTTCTTGCTAGGCAGTACAACCACGCAAACATCAACAATGACTACGACAACAACAGCAGCAACTACTTCAACAACTAGCACAACAGTGATAATGACTATGACAACAACATCGATGACTACAACAACTGACACGATGACAATAACGACAACAACAATGCTAGTACCAGGAAAAAAATAGGAAGCGAATGATGAATTCACTGAATTGAAAGGAAACGAACTGCTTTGAAAATCAATTTTATCGTTAAAAACCATACTTTAAAAATCTTTTTTTCTTTTTTCGAAAAAAAAAAGAATTATAGAAATGATTTGAAGAAGTCGATTATTTGCCATCAGCTACTAAACGTATTTTTACTTGTTATTTTAACGTTTGTTTACTTTTTCAAGAAAGAAAGAAAGAAAGAAAAGAGAGTTGTATGCTGAAACTCAGCTACCATAGAAAAAGAACCGTCAGAAGAAATCTTAAGTCAAGATGGCGACATCACGAATAAGTATCAACACTAATCAATCTTTAAACACACGTGAACAACGTCAAGCACAAGCACGTTTCCGTACGCTTCAACGACGGACTAGTAAGTCACACAACACTAGCTGATTAAATCATATTCTCTTCATTAGATGCTTTGTATGACGAGTTATCACGTTCGTCGGTTATTGCTAAAACAGCTGTCGATGATTTTAAACAAGCTTACGTGACAATTACAAGCGAATTTCAAGAACAACGGCAGCATCTTCTCGAACATCTTCATCATATTCAACAAGATATTAAACAGTAAGTGAAATTGTTCCGATGAAAATGATGAATTTTGTTCGAAACGTTTGCTAGATCGACGAATGAATTAAACAAAATTCAAAAGAATATTCATTCAACTCAGTCTCAACAACAGTCAAAGAAGTAAAGTTGCCATTCGTTCGTCCATTCCGCCTACAAATAATTTGTCATGTAGTCTACCAAAGAACTCGATGAATCTCGATATTCAACAAATGAATGATATGGTTGACGACATTGATCGTGTTTTGAATAAAATAGCACAACAACTGAAACCAGTGAGTGAACCATTCACTATCTTCATGAATTTATGTTCTGTGAATCGCATAATACATAGCTTCGGTCTATACCATTAAACGATCAAACTATCAGTGGGCCACCTAGTTCACGATTTACTAAAAATTCTTATAAGAAAATTCTCGCATTGCCGTCAACATCATCTCCTGAGAATGAAACTTTTTCTATGCATCGTCTCTATAGCAACGACGTTGATATCGTTCCACAATGGGTTGTTGCATCGATTGATAAACGAATATTTCTATGTGATACCGAAGGTGAAGTACGCATATTTTCTTATTCACGAAATTTACGTCGACAGCCGCTATTAATCGAACATTTTCATTTGGCTACTTTGCGTGTCATATCAGCATTTACAGTAACAGAAGATTATTTAGTTGCATACGAACCCTCGACACAAACGTTAACATTACACACACATCATGGTGGAATTCTTTTACGTCTACCATTTCCATGCGATCCAGTTATGATGATTCGAAGTATCTGCCATTCGAAAAATCAAATTTGGGCATGTAGTCATACACAACGAAAATGTTATCGACTTCCTGTTGATCATTCCATGAAAGAAGTGATAGTTTTTGACGAATACGATCTTACAAATCCAATATCGAATGCTGTACCAGCACCGATTGGTATTTCCACGGACGATAAAGATCGTGTCGCTGTACATGATATTAATACAATCACACTAGATCGCCTATTACTGTTTGTTAACGATCAAGTTATAACTATCACACTCGATTTTGTGAAATATCTCGATAGTCTCGAAACATCACGTATCGAAGAAGTTCGCTTAGTACCAAAACACGAACATTTAGTTATGATTGTTTATGCTTCGAAAGTTTCTATCAATGAATTACGTGAAGTCGTTATTATAGATATCAGTCTTAATCCACCGGAGATACTTTATCGTTTACCGGAAATAAATGGCATCCGAGGTATTGATATAACATCGAACGGTGAACTAGTTTATACAGTTCCGACACAAAAAAATAAACGGATCGCCACTAAAATGCATATCTACAGTCTATTTCGTTAATTGTATCTATAAAAAAAAGTAATTAAATTTCTTTCTTATCTGGTAACTACTTATGTAAAAACGTTATTTTTGCAAAATTACTGTCGGCGATGACATTGTATACCGTGGACATGTTTAGTTTTGAAAGTAATACATGGAGATAATAAATGTGTTTTGTTGTTATTTTTCAAGGAGAGATGTCTATGTGCCGATTCATGATGCAACCAATCTGTGCAGAAGAATAGCAAAAACAAAATATAGGTATTTTGATTCGCTTCCATGTACGTACGTCAATATACATAGTGCTCGTACGATTAATATGAAATAGCATGACTTGATTCGTTTTCGTTCGTTCTTCTCTGATGCTAAGATATGAAATATTTCACACGTTTTCAGTTGTCGCATATAAGACAGCGATGACGAAATTTCAATATTGCTCTATTTTATCACTTTTATACTATGTATGACACTGCTTTTTATGTTATTTGTCCTGTTAGGATTCGTTCGAAGCCAATAGAATGAGGCGATTGATAAAATATATTATCATAGTTTGTCTCGCTGTTTGGATTGGAAATCACCGTTCTCGAATCTCGAAAGTAATGTATATTTCATTTTCTTGTCCCTTGTGTATAATAGTGCCGCATTTTCAGACATATCGAAGCCAAACGAGAGGTTCGCATATAATCTCATCTTCCAAAGAGAACATTACTGATGGATATCAGTTCTATAACCGATCGGCACAAAATCAAGATGGTTATTTTGAATTTAAGCATACCGTTTACAAACATGGGCTTTGCGGCAATCTTAACATCCCACCATTAAAACGTCCGTGCACTCCATACGTACATGTTCATCCGTACCAAATGGAGACTTTTGTCCTTCTTCAAGGCCATTTATCTTATCGACTTGACACGAAAAACTATTCCTGCGATGTTCATACGTGTCCGGTGCCGATTGTCATCCGTCCGTTGGTTTCTCATACATTCTGGATGAATGATAATAAAGAAGATCTAGTGTTAATTGTTCGGATTGAACCAGCATATAGAACTCGTGGTTTACGAGCCGAATCATTCGAAAATATAGTGGGCTCTCGCCGTGATAATGCCTTAAACATCTGGCAAGCATTTGTTTTTATTGAAAATATTGAAACCTATCCGGTGTTTCTTCCGTTATTTTTCTCGAAACTGTTTATTAAAACTGGCTCTTTCATCGGACATCTACTCGGGTATCAAACAGAATATGATGAATATACAACACGAAATTTATAAAAATTTAATTCAATGTATTTTTATTCGACGCTCCGTGTTTACAAACTTTTTTACCACGTATCATCACTTCATGTAAAGCATAAAATTCGACTAGTGAGTAAGCAACTAACACGAACGGTGTCATACAGAAATGGAAAAGATTTCGAAGAAAAAATATACATTCATTAACGTTTAACAATCGAGGAATAAATGCATCGATAATAAAAGCAATTAAAAATGCCATGAATTGAATTGTAGCGAGTGCATACATCGCATAGAGAATATAACTGGGAATTTCTTCAAGAAGAACTAATGTTGCGAGAAAAGATGTTAGACTATAGAGACCACTTGAACAGAGTAATATACCGTAATAAATGAGAAAAGTTACCGACCATGAAACTGACGTCAGTAATGGAATACGTCGAGATTTCACCATGAAATAATGAAAGACTTCAGCTGCACCAATCGTCCATCGTCGTGCTTGTCTTGCCCATTCCATGAATTCGTATTCAATCGTACGACCACATGTAGGACCACTCAAGACAGGCGTCAACACCATTTCAATGGAAAGACGACGGCCTGTCACACCCATCCATCGTATCAAACATATGATGTCATCCATCTGGTAAGCAGGATGCACAAAGTTTCCTGCTTTAGCCAACGATAACGAAAAAGAGAAAATACTCATTGTATTTATCGAAAATGGTATCAATGCACCTAACATTAATGTACTTCGAAGGATTCCAGTGACACGCGTAAAAAATGACAAACCATCTAGATTCCAGTTGTAAAACAACGGTGGCTGATAGAGTGTTGTCAATGCTGGATAATGTGCTTTCGTATACTGATATGTCAGTGCAGCTATATATTGTCGATGAAATTGTGAATCGGCATCGCATGTTGTAATGAGAATATGGTCGCCATTCTTTTCCAGCAGTTTTAATTGTTCGACAACTGTACGTAGAGCATAATTTGCATTGGAACATTTACCTGGAATTTCATTTGCTAGTCCATACGGATGGATTGTAAAAATAAGATTTTGAAAACCGACTTGTGCATAATGAGTTTGTAATGTTTGACATTTCATGTGAACATCTGGAGTACGTTCTTCGAACGAAATAACCATCGTTATTCGGTTAACTACAGTTTGTGCTGCAAGAGTATCAACACTTCGTTTGATTAAGTCTAACGGCTCTTTGTAACAACTAATCACAACCACATGCTGAATCGTATTTCTTTCATCGGCAGTTAACAACGCAGAATAATCATTATGTCGATGGCTAGAATGTCGAAATAGAGAAGAAGAAGAAGAAGAAACAAATTGGATTAACTAACCGAAAGAGTCGAAATGCATTGCGTCCAGCAAGAACACTAATGACAAGCCAGATGAATACGAAAAAACATTGTATGCAAGGTAAAACATGAATAGCGAGTTGATTGGAAACAAACGGAAGCCAGAACGGTAACGGACAAATTATCCATACAAGTATATTAAAAACTAAATTCCAACGGAGACGCTGTCGTCCATTTTTTATCTCATGATGATTGATTGCGACTGTAGATTCAGGAATGCATATGACAGTGTCATTATTTGATATTTTGGATGTTGATGATGGTAATTCTTCTGTGGATACTGTATGATAATCATTGCACGAAATTGCTCGTCTGAACTCTGTTTTATTCAATTGATATCCTGCATTCTGGTAGCTATAAGTAGATTTTAGGGTACTTCCATGGGGAGGCATGATATGTGAAATTATTCTTTTATGGAATTCTTCCTCCGTTTATATACACATATATCACCTTCATTGTGACACCATGTACTTTTTAACTTTTCTATCATGGTATAAGAAAATGAGTAAAATGATGAGTCATTGATCCAGTGAAAGAAACATGCTGTTTACCTGTACAAGATTTCAAGCCTCCGCATGATGATGTACTCTGCGGGTAAGCGTGATCATCGCTGCACTTTTTTGTAATCAATAATAAATTATTTGTAAATATATATTTATACGTGATGAATAAGAACCGAACTACTGGTATATAAAAAGAATAATAAATACGGTATTGTGAAGAGACGTTTTCAACTTATTCTAATACGATAAAAACTATTCAATGAAAATATTTTCCTGAAAAGAATAACACTCTTTGTTTCCATCGATTTATTTGCATTGACAACTATTGTTGAGAAAGAATTCTACTGACAACTCAACGGAAGATCCACCCGGTTGTCAATTGTGTTTTTTCCGGTTTCATATGTATGTATATGGATGTATGTTAGTGCAATACGATTAGCACCCATTCGTTCTTATTTTTGTGTCGTTTGTTTCTCAACATCTTTTCTCGCTTTGCCATCTCAACTCAAAAGAATCGAATGCATACAGTGCGTGAAGATCGTACATGGTGAGCGCAAGCGAGCGAACGTGCATGCACGCGCGTCTAATTGCCAGGAGATCGCTTTTCATCCGGCAACACACATGCAATGCTCGACGACATCTAACTTAACACAGAACAGAAAAGAAAGAACAGCATGAGAACGATCATTTTCGCTTCTCGTCATCTTTCAGTGATCCGAGATAGTTAGGAAAAAGAAGAAAAAGAAGACAGACGATAGCAACGGCGGCAACATCAATGTTGACTAGCTATCTTCTTGTGTATGCGCGTGCGAATATAAGTTTTGCTTCCCTAACATTGGTAACACAACGACTGGCACCTTCTGGTCTTTGCGTACTCCAATATTCTTCGAGAAAATCAACTAGGATGAGGGAATCACATTTTTGCTTCAACATTATTAACGTCTATATCCAAAAGATACATGTAGACAGCTGGCTTGACATTTATCGTTGTTATTCATGAGACTATTGTTGTTTATGATCCTACTGAATGTTTCTTTTTTCATCATTACGATTGTTATTATTCTTATAATGATATCATCGATTTTTCTCATTATGCATATTAATGTATTCTTTAGTCGAAACGATTGTTTTGAAATTGAGTAGAAAGTAAACTTTATTTATATGCAATTAGTTACCAAGATATGTTACTCAAATGAGAAAAGACAACACTCTTGCATATTAAGTTTGAGAATAAATACGCATCTGATTTTATTTCTTATTTTGCCATATTAGTAGTACGACGGCATTCTCTGTCATCGAGATTGCTTGTTTAGAGAGAATATAGCAAGAGGAAAAATAGTTCGAAGTGAAATTAGTGCGGGAGGCCTTGAAGCGTTTGTGATTATGTATATATTTCTATTGCAAGGTAGATCAAACACATCGAGAAGGTGGAAGGAAAAAGACACATACAACGAGAAATAGAGACAGAGAGAGAGGAAGAGAGAATGAGGAAAAAAACGGAGAACATTAATAATGCCGTCTACCTCGCATTTTTCCTTCACTGTTGTTTTTCATCGATCATATTAGTTCACTATGTTTTCATTCTGCTTGCTTGAAAGATTTTACTAACAACATAGTTATTTTATAGTTACCATCAATAATATAAATCGAGTTTGACTTTCCTCATTTCCTTTCTTTCACTCGAACTAATGAAATGAAAGTATCTTCTTTCTTTCTTTCTTTCTCGCAATTTTTTTCCGTTTTTTTTTTTTCATTCTTTCTTGATTATTTTGTTTTTAGATTTGCTAGCGTATGACTATTGCAGGCACACCCTTTACTCGATGCGTCTTCGGATAGATGATGAATGTGAGTGGCAGCAGTGGCAATCTAGACGAACATTACTAGAAATAGCAATGACGAACACCGCTGCCAACAATGCTATCTCGGAATCATGTCATCAATTTATCAACTGTACGTCCACAAAATATTATTTCAACATCATCTGTTTATCATCGATCAGACATTGATAAACAACAACAACAAATTTCATTACGAACAAAGAAGACTCGAACGAAAAGTACGGCGAATACGAGCGTCGCCACTAGTACAACTTCGCTCATCTTCGTGAACATTACAAATCTAACTGTCTCTTTCTCTCCGTCTACTCTATCGACTCCACAGCAACAAATTTCATCCGAGGACTCCTATTCGGCTAAGACAGGAATCAAGACAGCAGCTATTCTTGGCGGTATGTAATTTATATTGTGGGAAAGAAAAAATGAAGAAAGAAAGGAGAGCGCACGAGAGAAAAAAATGACACTCATTTTATCATTATTATTTCTAGCAGACGATTGCACGGATTCATCGATGTATGAATGATTTTTTTCTTGCACGACAATATGAGACTTAACCTTTTAAGATAAAAAGAAGGGAAAAGGAAGAAAAACATCCTCCAACCAAATCCTCTCGATTAGAAATAAAAGAGAATTATTACCAATGACGACCGGAAACGATATGAGACATCTTTCTATCGCTCAACATGTTCGATGTTTTAAAAACGTAACCAACTCAACTTTTTCTCCGATGTTCTTACATGAAATTAAAAGAAAACACTTAGGATATACTTGAATGAAACTCGATGTTTACCGTCCTTCTTGGTAGAATTGTATTCTGTTATGAAATTAATTAAGAAAATTAACTACTTCATATGCGAAAGGAGGAAGAGAAATCGTCGGCTGACAGATCTTGTTAATGTCTTTTCTTGTTTGAAGAGAAAACACCGTTTGTATATCTGTTTGCAACGAAGTTACGCGTCAGTTGATCTAAATAGATAGAGCTTTATTTCATGATAAGTGCCACTTAAGATGAGGAGAAAAAGAATATTCTTAGAGCGATAATAGGGCTAATGTATAAATACGTCGAATGTCAAAGGAGGCAATCGCCTGAGATTTGAAACAAAAGAAGACGAGTTCGATGATATGACAATGAACGAAGTTTCTGACGAAGAAAACGTATCTGGTATGAGAGAAAGGCAGGAATAGAAGAAAAGTGTTGATGATTGGCTAACAGGTTACTTTGAATAATAAGAGCGAGAACCATTAGAATGATCATTAATAACATGAAGTCAACTATCGCAAAGCTGAGAAAAAAACGAAGTCGATTCGATTTATGAGTATTTCAACATTGATTAATGTTTTTGAAACACAAAACTTGTTAATGTTAGTCTAATGCATCAATCAATAGATCAAATTCTCCAGTTTCATATGACAAACTCTACTCGAATGCACTCTTTTTAGGTATGTTATTACTTGTTGTATTATATTTGATATGGAAAGCTCGTTCACGTCTATGTCGTCCATCAACAACTAGTGTACGCAATCCACGTTTATCAGCAGCCAAATTCGATCTAGATTATTGGCTCAAGCAAGTTGATATACTCGATGCGAAAGAAGCTGAACGTAATCGCGGCGGTCAATCATTATATCTCGAGTTACCCACATCTGATCCACGAGATAATCGTGAGGCAACTGCATCATGGATTGTCGATGCTTATCGTCAATGGCGCTTAATTCAATATCGACAACGGCAACCAGTTCTTCGCTCGAATCCAAATGAACCAAAAGAAACCGATCCTATTCCATATCGAAGACGGCGATATCTTTTCCGACGATTTTTCCGACGAATTCTCTCGTCATCTCGTCAAGATCCACTGTATTTAACAGAACATTCACAAGCTCTGATCGCTGGCATGAGACCAAGCATAGTAAGTAACAGTTTCATCCCGCCAGCAATAACACCCAATCTGCAACTTCGACGAGTTTCATCCTGGCCTCGGCTCAAATCCAATCGTCACCCAACAGGTGCCCCGATGAGTGCTCTTCAAACACATCTTGCTAGAAAACGTCTTCTTAAACGAACATCGAGAACTACATTTGATATGTAGGGAAAAAGGAAAAGGGTATTTTTCTTCTCAATGTATCATTGTTCGTCAGTTGTTTTATTCTTTATTGTTGTTCACAAAAATAAAGATAGATTTTGAGAACTTTTTTTATTCAAACAACACACGTACATGCGATTCGTCATGTTCTTTTCTTATCAATATAATCACGAATGTTTAGTTCAATTAGTAACGACCAGTGACTTGAGTAGATTTTTTAATCAAATTCTCAGTTATTACTTATCATTCCTAATGAAAGATGATCATATCATACTCTCGAGTATGCATTCAACACACTAAGATATAAACGAAGATGTCTGTTTTGACATCACCATTACTGAAGCACTTCCTCAATAAACGACAAGAGAAAATAAGATATGAATCTTGGAATATTACTTGTCGCCATGAAGTTGTTTATCCGCATTTAAATAATGATGGATCATCATTACTCTTCATTGACATATTCTATTTTCACAGTATCAACAGTTGTTTATTATTCTATCTGCAATATCTATCTCCTCTTTCATCAATTGATTATGGCTTTGTTTTTTGCCTTTTCCTCATACTATACATGTCATCTTTGTGTTTATCTTTACTGAAAGACATATCTTTATTGTTGACTGCATATAATTATATTTATTTTCCTACCAAAATATATCATATTTTCCCTAACTTAATTAAATGAAACATATTTTCATTGTATAGACTTACCCAGTCTATCCTTTATCATACAAATTAATGTCAATCACCTTCCGTAAATCTGTCAGTAGTTCTCGAATATTATTAACATTGAAAAGATGTAGTCGAACGATAGTGAGACTAATACTGATTTCGAAAATTAAAAACCAAATACAACAAGAACCTTTATTTGCCAAAATATCAAAAACGAAACATGAAAAAGTGTAAAAAAAGAATTCAACACAACAGCTTGCTAGATTGCTTTGTAGAACATAAAAGAATACACTGAACATCGCTAGTACACATAGTTCACAGAATCGAATTTCTTCATCAGCAAAATGTACATCCACGTGAAATCTGGCCAGATCGTCGTGTTGTTACCCTTCGCATCTTGATACCACGAGTGACATCCACCACTTTGCCATACTGTATTCTTCAATTTTAATTGTAGTTTTCGATTGAAGTCATCATGGACTTTCTGTTTCACTTCTAATGTTTGCTTTTTGTTTTCAGCCATATATAACAGTGCTTCGGCAATATATTGAATTTGCGCTTCGATCATAACGACTACTGAATTATGACCGAGACCAGTATTAGGGCCGAGAAGAAAGAAGAGATTGGGAAAGTTGGGTACTGTGACACCTCGGTATGCCTAAAAAGGAAATGGCTTATAAGAATAAACGGAATGAGCAGAACCATTTACATACTTGCATCGTTTGTGACCATTGTTCTGCGAGCGATCGACCTTTGACTCCATAGATCGGCAATGGAAAGTTTTGAACTTGAAATCCTGTTGACCAGATAATGACGTCGACTGGATACTCGTCGCCATCACGAGTGACAATAGAGTGGGGCTTCACTTCTTGAATACGATTGGTGATAAGTTGGACATTCGGTTGTTGTAATGTTGGATACCAATCGTTGGTAATTAAAACTCGCTTACAGCCTAAATCAAATGATGGTGTCAGTTTTTTTCTCAATACTTCATCTTTAATTTGTCGTTTAAGATGAATATTGACGACAGTTTGATATAAAAATCGTGTGGGAAGACGGTAAGCAAACGACAAGGCAGTCGATTCACGAATCCAATAGATTAATGCACGGACAAACTTTTGAATGATTGGAAATCTCGCGAATAATCGTTTTTCAAAGTCAGATACTTTTCGATCAGCACGAGGAATGACCCAAGCTGGTGTACGCTGGAACACATATAACTTTTCCACTCCGGCTTTGTGAATTTCGGGTACCACTTGAATAGCGCTTGCACCTGTACCAACTACAGCTACGCGTTTGTTTTTAAGTTCGATATTTTTATTCCATTCGGCCGTGTGGCACATTTCACCTTCGAATGTGTCAATGCCTTTTATATCATTTGGAAATGCAGCAATGGATAACGGTCCATAACCAGCAAAAACTGTTTTTGCATACAGCTTCGTTTCTTTGTCATTCGAGCGAACAGTCACTTCCCACAGCTGTCTGTCCTCTAACCATCGCATTTCTGTCACTGTGGTGTGGAACTGCACATGTCGACTAATATCGTATTTTTTTGCACACTGTTCGAGGTATTCGCCTATTTCAGGCTGTCGACTAAAGAAATAAGACCAGTTTGGATTGGGTTCGAAGGAGAATGAGTAGAGGTTGGAGGGCACATCACATGCGCAGCCTGGATACTTGTTTGCATACCAAGTACCTCCTACATGTCCATGGCGTTCGATGATGGTGAAATTGTCTGTGCCGAGTTGTTTCAATTTGATCGCCATACCGAGACCGGAAAAGCCTGATCCAATAATGAGCGAGTAGTATTCGTTCGGTGATGAAGAAGATTTAGGCGGAACATTGAGTTTTCTATCTGTTCGCTGTTGATCAAGGCCACAGAGGTCGAATACAAGCCAGTAGAAGAAATGACCGATAAAACCGATGAGCACGGTGATACACGTCGTCAAGTATGTCAGAAGGAGTGACGATAATGCGCGAAATATGGTGAGGGATTTGTTTTCCATCTGAAATACAAAAGTAAAAGATTTGCAACTATATCATAACTGACGATGATAAAAAAAACAACGAATGAAAGAAAATGTGGCAAGAAAAGCATTTATATTTGCTTATCGATATGACTCTTCGTTCGCTTCGTACGTCCGTATGCAAACGTCAATGATGAAAAGAAAAACAAAGGTGTCGTACTTTGTCGTTCGTTTGCCGACCGAGCAACGGTACAAAGTTGATAAAAAGTTATTACTCAGAGTTTAGCGACATACGAAATAACTCAAACGTTGTACTCAACCAGAATCAAATTATATTTCCTGTATATCTTTCCGTTTAGAAGCTAGCAGACAGTTCCTGGTGTTGCGCCCATGCTGTAGGAAAAAGCAATGGCTTTTAAATACTGTTTTGTTTTTGAAAAAAAAGAAGAGAAAAGGTGTCCCACATAAATTAATACAAAAAATGCGCAATGGCTACAAAATATAATTCTGTGAATCGAATTTCTTCATTAGCAGTATATACACCCACGTGAAACCTGGCCAGAGCGTCGTGTTGTTACCTTTCGCATCTTGATACCACGAGTGACATCCACCACTTTGCCATACTGTATTCTTCAGTTTTAATTGTAGTTTTCGATTGAAGTCATCATGGACCTTCTGTTTCACTTCTAATGTTTGCCTTTTGTTTTCAGCCATATATAACAGTGCTTCAGCAATATACTGAATCTGTGCTTCAATCATAATCACCACGAACGTATGACCGAGAGCAGTATTCGGGCCGAGAAGAAAGAAGAGATTGGGAAAGTTGGGTACTGTGACACCTCGGTATGCCTAAAAAAGAAATGGCTTATAAGAATAAACGGTATGAGCAGAACCATTTACATACCTGCATCGTTTGTGACCATTGTTCTGCGAGTGATCGACCTTTGACTCCATAGATCGGCAATGGAAAGTTTTGAACTTGAAATCCTGTTGACCAGATAATGACGTCGACTGGATATTCATCGCCATCACGAGTGACAATGGAGTGTGGTCTCACTTCTCGAATATGATTAGTAACATCTTCAACTTTGGACTCTTGTAGCGTTGGGTACCAATCATTGGATAAGAGTATTCGCGTACAGCCAAGTTCGCACATCGGTGTTAGTTTCTTCCGTGGTTCTACGTTCGTCACTTGACTATCGAGATTGTATTTTACAAGTTCACGGTAGGAACATCGAATTGGCCATCGATACACAAATGATAATATAAAAGATTCGCTCAGCTTGTAGATGAACAGTGGAAGGAGCTTTTGAAATATTGGAAACGTTGTGAAGAACACTTTCTTCCTCTTGCTCACCGCTGCATCTGTACGTGGAATGGACCAGGCTGGTGTACGCTGGAACACATATAACTTTTCAACTCCGGCTTTGTGAATTTCGGGCACCACTTGAATGGCACTTGCACCTGTACCAACTACAGCTTTGTTTCTTTCTCATTTGATCGAACTCTCACCTCCTACATGTCCATGACGTTCGACGATTATGAAATTGCCAGTGCCGAGTTGTTTCACTTTGATCGCCATAACGAGACCGGAAAAGCCTGATCCAATGATGAGCGAGTAGTATTCGTTCGGTGACGAGGAAGATTAAGGTGGAACATTGAGTTTTGTATCTGTTCCCTGTGGGTCAGGACCACTAAAGTCGAATACGAGCCAGTAGAAGAAATGAGCACTTAATTCTATGACAATGGTTGCAGACATAACAGCAGGAGTACTTAGTAAGTACAAAAGTAAAATTTTTCTAGATTGAAGTTTCTCGGCCATCCATGGAAGACCTGAGATATAAGCTGTGTGCAAACAATCAAGCAGGTCCTAAGGAGACGAATAGAGAGGGAATCAAATCGTCTACGCCTACTTTTATACTACTTGCAGTTGAGGTACAAGACGAAAAGCATACGATGGTACTGTATTTATCCCCCTTCTACGTTATCGCTTTTTTATACAAAACGAACATAGAGTCACTTTTCCCCACACACGAAAGTATATGTATTAAAAATAACACCCTAGAAGTGAGTGAGTCATGCTGACTTCATCATCGGCAAAAATGAAAAATGCGACAGAAAACTAAAAATAACTAATCTATATCTAGTCAGTAATTCATCGAGCCATATTCAAAATATATCTAGCGCGACGAAGTAACGGTTTATCTACCATGGTTTGCCCACGGAAAGTGAATGCTCCTTTGCCTTCTTCCTTTTCGTGTCTGTCGTAAGCTTCAATTAGCTCCTTGGCCCAGACTCTAGCCGATTCTGACGGAGAGAATGCCGCTTGAACAATAGGTACTTGTTGAGGATGAATTACTTGCTTGCCAGTGAAACCCCACGCGGCACCTTGTTCAGCTTGTTTCTTCAGTCCGTCTAAATCTTTGAAATTAATATAAACCATATCGATCGGTTGAGCATTTTCAAATAGACGACAAGTAGTGACGATCTTCTGTCGCGCGTACGTTAATTCTGATGCTTCAAGTGAATATCGACCATTGATACCAGTATCAGCTGAAAAATCATCGGAACCAAACACAACGCCTTGCAATGAAAAGAGACTTGATGCAATGGTGAGGATCGAACGAAGATCAACTAAACTTCGCGCACTTTCGCAGTATAAAACCAAATTGTATTGACATTTGGACTAAAAGAACGATCAAATACGAAAAAAATGATCCTGCACTCTCTTTCTTGGCCTATTAGAAGTCTATACGTACGCCAAGACGATCCGCCAGCCATTTCATATCATCCACCGAGTCAACTTTAGGTACAAACAGACAATCAACTGATGTTGACAAGTCTTTGATAAGCTTAACATCATCGTTAATATGACTTGACGTCACAGCATTGATTCGCACACATATTTCTCGATTGAAGTTCGATGTTGATTCATTTAAATACCGGAAAATATTTTCACGTCCTAGTTGTTTGGCACTTTCAGCTACACCATCTTCTAGATCGAGCACCACACAATCGGTATTGGTAAATGTTGGAAGTTTAGTTAACTTCTTCCAATCACTCGAAGGTACAGTTAAGACTGCACGGCGCGGTAAACATCGGCCAAAGTATGTTCCTGCTTGCCGTATAGCAGAAGCAGCCATATTTTCCGATCGATTGGAACACGATGTTTGAGTTGAGTATTCAAGCTTCTGATGAATGTATTGGTAAGAATTAACTGGCCAATCGTATGTCGATGCAAAAGGTTTATATGTAAACAGATAAGCAGAACAAGATCTGATGGTGAAACGATATACTATTTTGGCTAGTCACCATTTGAATGATCATTTTGTTAACTTTGAATTTTATGCGACTGAGTGACCTCTGTCGTTTCGAATTCTCATAACTTCACTGCCTGCCAAGATCGAATCGAAGGCTCTGGTTGGAAAGAATGTAAATGTAACTGCTAAGACTTTTCTAAACATCTCATTTTTTTTCTTAGACAGAGATTATCAGCCAATGATCACCTATGCATAAGTCATTCTGCTCGTTGGTCAGCCAAACGACTCTTATACAAATATACGCACACGCATAGTGAGAGAGAGAGACACACAGAAGGAAGAGAATATTAACACAAACCAAAGTAAATATCGTACCTCTTGTACCACTGGTAAGCCACAAGTATGGCGAGTAAAAAGAAGAAGAACGAAAATATTTCTCTTTTTGTTTTATGGCTAGCGCAGCGTCTGACCTCTTAGATTATTTTTACAGTAACAGAGTAAAAACGATATGCTGTCGTTGGTAGATGTTACATCGAATATAATTGATCGGGAAGCATTTGCTTCGTGTACAAATGATTATACCCGCATAAAACAACTTCTCTCATCGTCTGATTTTGTTTCTCATCTTCAAAAATCCTTACCACTATTATTAGATGAACGAACAACCGATTCCAAATGCATCAAAACATCGAACGAATACCGAGAGAAAGGCAATGCAGCCTATGCATCACACAACGATCAACTTGCTCTATTACTTTATAATCAAGCTATTCGCTACGCTCCACCCTATTCTCGTGAACTTTCACTTGCTCTAGGAAATCGTTCAGCAGTATTGTCGAATCTCAAACATTACCAGCTAGCATTGCAAGATGTTCATCATGCCTTAGATTTCCTATCATCCAATGAAGAAGATGATACTCGACGACAACGTCTTGAACAACGCTTATATCAATGTTTAAAACATCAATCCGAAGAAGCCGAGTCGAACCGTGATAAACATACCCAATTGGAAAATGAACTCACCGAATTGAAATCGAATCAAACATATAATGCAAATTATTCAAGTTTAACTTCTCACGCTGATATAAAATATGCATCCGATCGTGGTCGACATGTCGTATCATCGAATGTATCTTCAACTTTAAAACCTGGTACTATCATCTTGGTCGAACAAGCCTACGCATCAGTTTTACTACCATCAGCATGGTCAACTCATTGTCATACGTGTTTGCGTCGACTGCATCTTCTTCTTTTCGTTTGTTCACAATGTACACGAGCGGTTTACTGTTCATCTGAATGCTTACAACGTTCCATAGTCTGGCACGCATTCGAATGTCGTTTAACAATTGATCGTCTCGACAAAATGCAATTCTTAGCATTACGTTTATTAACCAAAACAGGTTGGCAATATTTATTGAAGCATAAACTTCAATTCGAAGATTATCTCAAACAAGACCAACCAGTTAACAATGGACTTCATTCTTACAATCAAGAACAAGAAGTCTATGAATGGAATGATTACGAAAATATACTAAAACTCGAAACGAATTCGCATCGACGCTCAGTCGATGATTTACTTCATCGAGCGGTACAAGCGTGTCTCATTGGAATATCATTGATCAACAATACATCATTTGCTCAGCAAGCCTATGAAAACCTAGATTATCAAGTCTACATTTGTTCGTTGCTTTTATCTCATCTTCAATCGTTACCATGTAATGCACATGAAATATCCGAATTTATTCACCATCGTGCAGCACCGCTGTCATCGTCATGCATTGAGATAGGCGCAGGAATTTATGCGACATTGAGTCTGTTCAATCATTCGTGCAATCCAAATGTTATACGGAATTTTATTGGTGATACAGTAGTGGTTCGTTTACTTGCCTCGATCTCATCCGATAATGTTGAATTAACAGATAATTATGGATGTTTATCGGCAATGATGGAAAAAGTTGAACGGCAGAAGAAACTTCATGAACAATATCGTTTTCAATGTCAATGCCAGCCGTGTGTTGACCAATGGCCAAACTATGATCAATTGCCTGAAGGACTTGGTGCTGGAATGACACCATCGAAAGAATTCGATGAAGCTTTTCAACGTTTAGTTCAAGGAGAAAGTCCTACAAGAGATGATTTGAGCGTATATGAAGATTTTATCGATCAATGCGATCGGCAATGGCAAGACAAGAAGAAAATCAAAGGAAAGGTCTATAACAATGCACAAGAAGCATATAAACAGTGTTTAAACTTTTTCTATCATTCATTTCATTCGGAAGATTAGATCTTATGAGAAACTATAGCTTTGCTTCAATTCTGCAAATTTCCATTTTGAATAAAGAAGCTGACTTTAGACAATCGTATCTGGCTTCCTTATAAGCTATTCCGACACCTCTCATCCGGTAGGTATGAGTTTACAGAACGTGCACAATAAAATTTAATTATGACTTAGTTCAGCATATCTACTTGAAGACGAGAGTAGAATCCAAACCAAACCAATTTCTCACAGGAGACACAAGACTTCCGCGTTTTTTCTCGTTTTTATTTAAAACATTATATCGAATGTATTCCATTTAGTACGAACAACAGATATATACGTATGCAACAAGATCTGGAAATATGAATGCGTACTTTTCAAAAAACGCTTTGGAGAAAGACAGTGTAGTGGAACTCTTGTCCGGTTTCACCTCGGAAATAGAATCCTTTTTAAAAGGTGAGATCGCATAATGCTCAGATATATTACTGGCGATAGAATAACCGAAAATTTCGCAATCAATGCGCTGAGCGTTACATAGAAACCATTTTCAAAGATGAATTGCACATGAAAGATCTGTAAAAGTGCAAGAATAGAATATGGCGTCCACGCGAAGAGATATGCACCAACGAGATAGAGTATACTTTGTGCAAAACGGTATTGGACTCTCAAGCGTTTACGATCATTTGCTTTACGAATCGACTCGATCTGTATGCGGGTTTGTCCCTGTAAATGACGATGTTCGTTTCGCAGGACTACTGACGTACATTGATAATGTAAAGCTGGATGAAAATATATGTTTCGTACGCGATGTTGAAGAATCAGATTAACGCTAATAAGAATAATCAATGGAATGAAGTAGATTCCAATGAATGATACAAGTATATAAAAACGGTTCAGTTGTGTTTGATCATACCAATTAATACTACAATGAAATCCTAAGCCTTCGTAAACGTATGAAGACAGATAATTAAAAACGGGCACCAACGTCCAAATGAAACTTATTGTCCAACAAAGGATTGCTGCACAGCGGCAGAACACTTGTTGATCGAATTGATCGAACAGTAAACATCGGTTTATAGATAAAGCCATATATGTTAACATGCATAAACAGCCGCATAGAAATGACGTGAAACCTTCGACGCGACATATCGTCTGACCACAAAAATAACGACAACTTAGCAGTTGTATTGAAACACTAGGTACACTGACGAGTAAGACTAATAGCGATACAATGAAGAGAGAAAGAATCAACGGATTACGAGATGGCTGTCGTTGATACCAAGTTAAATATCGAATATTTAATGTAAAACAAATTACAGCCGCGAGAAGGATGCTTGAGCCTGCTAAACGCCATGATAAACACGAGGAGTTTGTTTTAGACATCCGATTGCCAGTTAAAGAATGATAAAACGACCAGAGTAGTGTTTCATTGGTGTACGGACACATTCATCAAAGAGTCATTAGGTATTCTGGTAAACTAGAGAAATATTCTTTCAAAAAACGCCTTTCTTTTATATAATGACGAGAAGAGGTTAGAGCAATATTAAAAAGGAAGTCACCCGAACATTAGCATTAAAACTTTTTTTTCTTTAGTTCCATTCATCTTTCATAATCTTGAGTATTACATCAATTATATAAATCCACTTTACCCTCGAAATTAATCAAACAAGTGAATGATGTTTTGAAGAAATTATTAAATATTTTCATATATAATGTATACCTGATGACAAAATTCAATTTATCGAGAAATTTCAGTTTCATAATTCAATTGTATCTCGAATACAAAATGTCTATATTGTCACATACTGAAGAGTTTCTGGAAAACCAGTCGAGTAAACTTCCATTTTGCTTGCAAATGTTGTTTGTATCGTGGAAAAAGGCGGCGACTTTTGAAGAGGTTGCTTCACACTTTACTTCAAGTTTTACATGCTATCAGCACGCTGCCTACGACGTTTCTTTTCAAAAGCAGCCTGCTTTTATATTCTTCGACGGATGATATATCAGCAAAAAAGAGTCCTTAGATGTATGATTAATCCATTCATCCCGATTCAGTTTTTTTACAACGATATGGGACTCACCGGTGTGTTACATCTTGGTGAATGGGTTAATCATAGTGCTTTGAGCTCTTTAGTGAATAAATCATGCTATTAGACTATTCTGACGCTTTAGTAGGATAAAATGACTGCCGATCCGCGAATACTGCGATAGAATTTAAAATTAGACGCGACAAAATGTACTTTAGATGGAAATGTCACTAATGATGAAGAAAACTTGAGAAATGATTGTAGTATTATTATCCGCTTGATTGAGACTCTACGCAAAATGCAGAAATCAATTCTCTCGCGAATCATCGAAACAATTGAATTAAAGCCATGCGACATTAGATAAAATTATCGATGTTCATGAGACTGCTTGCGGTAGAATCTGTCTTTCATCTACGATAAAACGAGTTATTAGTATAAAGTTTCTCATCAGAATACTATTTATATATTCTTTCCTATGCTTCACGTTCGCCAGACATCGACGATTGAATTCGACTTGTCTTCATGTTCAATGAACAAATAACAAACAACTGTTTATTCGAATATAGAAAAATATCTTACGCATTGACTTTCTCCGTATTTCTGATGTATACTTATTAGTATTCGAAGTGATTGACAGGATCTGTCTATAAACTAGAATCTCCACATCAGTATGTAGCGACCATTTTATAGATGTTAGTGTTCTGTACTATCTGACTTGACAGTTCATTGCACAGCTATCAAATAGATTATCATCTGTTTGTCCCATTAAGCCGAAGCATGGCTGTTGTTTGATGATGATACTGCGAAAGTAATTGCATTGTTTTGTTATTGAATAATCGCGAAAAGATTCGTTTTAATATTGGCCATGTGCGCTCACTGAATAAAACTTTAACATTCTTATTTGGTAAATGAATGTCGTCATAGAATAGAATGGAATTCATTTCTGACGAGAGAAAATTTTCGTTTGCATCTAATCGATAACCTAAATCTCGCCTGTCGATATGTGTGCCGTAGGAATATTTCGCACGCGCCAATAGTAGACTAAAAAGAAGAAGATTTTGCTTTTCTCTTTTTTTCTCAAAATAAAAATTACCTGAGTAACTTCTGATCGAGATCCCATTTCTTCGATCCTTTAACGACATATTTGGGCAAGGTAATATTCATGTATTCCTTTAAATAGCATTCAATCATATCTACTGTTAGGTTTTGTTCAGATGAGCAACGCTTTGTTGGTCGGAAAACCATTTGCCAAAGATCTTTTCTCATACCAACATAAGACATCGGATAATAGTGAATATTTGAAAAATTTGCATACGAAAATCGTTCCTTTAAACAACAATATGCATTGACAGCAAGAATATAATTTGTTCGGTTGGTAAAAATCTCAAAACGACGTCGAGTTATCGGCAGTAAATCGACATCAGCGATGAGAATAAACAAATCTTTTGTCGTATTATAGTTATAGGAGAGGAAACCGCCGAATAAACGGACTATCTGACTAGCAGATATTGAGCGTGGTGGATCGACGTCAACGAAATGGTATGTAATTTTGAAATCAACATTTAATGTATGTATTAATGGCATTTGTAAGAAAGCTTCTTTTCGACCGACAAGAAATACGACAGGCTCATAACCGATTCGACGCCAAGCCAAAGCAATATATGGTAGATAATAACAATAGGATAACGTATAGGAATGGGATGAACACGATAATAAAACGAGGTTTTCGTATAGAGATGAAAAATCTGCAGGATAGAAATGATCGTTTAAGAGTGGGAGATCATTGAAGTACTGAGTTTGTGTCATGTAGAATAGTATCAAAAAGCATAGCAGGACTAGTATGACGAATATCCAGATGCAGCGGATGCACTTCGTACCTGCGTAGATAGAAAACGATTGTTTTTTATTTTTTCAACAACTCAACATACCCATCGACGACAAATATTGATCGATTAAAACGATTAAAGTGTTAGGACTAGATGTTGTGGTTCTGTTTGCTTCTATGAATGAATTGAAGGAAGAAAACGAGAGATACATGTTTCGAAAAAGAAAAGAAAAGGAAGAAGTTTGTAGAGAATGCTAGTTGCGATCGAGTAATAAATGCAAATAGTCTAGGGACATAAAGAAAGGCCGCAATTGAATTAAACAAAGCAAATGAATGGCAAAGATAGATCAATATTAAGTTTGTTCTGGTGGAACTTTTAGACAAGCAAACGAAAACACAATCGCGTTCAAAAGAAGATTTTGATAAAGAAGGAGAAAAACACATATTGATATTCTTACTCTTTTTCCTGAATTTAATGAAGTACTTCCAGTAGAATACAAATGATTCGTGGATACATTTCAACAGACAATAAACGATTTTCTTAGCTAGCATAATCAAACAACGTAGAGAGTTGTAACTGAATTTTGAAACCATTTGTAGTTCATCTGTGAAAGATGTTTTTCGCGATATTTTCTTTCAACTGTAGCATACATCTTGTGCAAGAATATCGATATAATTCCTATTTTGACAACAATGGAGGTAATAGATGACATCGAAACGGACGGATTCAAAAAACCGAGAAAAAAAGACCGAAATAAATTGTTATCGTTTGAGGTGTGTAGAGAAAAATGCCGTTTGTTTCATCATTAATACAGAATTGATATTTGATACGTATGAATTAATTTTTGGTCTGAACGTAAAAGAAGAAATACTTTCTGTGTGACGTTTGCAGAAGAATTTGATACGAGAAAAATTCCATATTCGAAGTCAGCTGATTCAGACATATTTCTTTGATGTGATGCAGTTTCCATCGTTCTGAATTCCACCTCATCAATCTCTACGGATCGACTCAGTTTCAACAAATCAGGATATGTTTCTCCATACTCATAGCAAGATTTAGATAAAACGGTTTTTGATGCACTAGAATTTAGTTCAAGTCTAAATTCGTGATCTGATGAACGTGAGGGTAAGTAGAGTTGTCATGATATGTGTTTTGTCTTTCGCTCGAAAAGGACTCATTAGCTGGCTTAAATCTCAGATAATTTCAATTTAACACAACGAAATTCAGTTCTTTAACTAAATTTCATCGATAGAATCTAAGTCTTCAGACTATAGAACCTCTATCGACAGAGCTATTTCTATTGGTTGTGATTTCGTTCACCAATCATGATTTCTTTCAACTTTTACATTTACACACATGCATATATATGTCAGCAGTTCGTTCTTCATTGTTCGTTTATTGCATTGAGATCGTTCATTGATGGCTGAACAAAATCCTTCGGAGAATTTCGAAGATGAATCATCTCGGCACCGTCGCGAGCGGCGAGAATTGCAGGCAACTATTCAGCAACTGAAAAAATCCGTTAATAAAAATGACAAAGCACGAAAGAAAAAAGTCGATGGTGAAATCAAAGCTCTAGAAGAAGAGTTTGGCAAACGATGGCAACATTTCGACGAAAATGCAACAACTGAATCAAATAATACTGCAATCCCCAATCAATCCGATGAGAATCATCCATCAGCACAAGCAACACCTGTCGAAGTTTGTCGCTATTGAGATCGTAATCAAATCTATCGCGTTTTCTTAGAATGAAGAAAAACAACACGTGTCACGTAAAGCTCGTCGATTCGCGAATAAAGAAAAACGTCAGGCGGAAGCTGATGCCAATCTAGAGGTGATCGATTATGACAATCAACCTGACTTCATTCGTTGTCGGAATGAATCTGCATCGATCGATGAACAACTGTCTAAGCTTGGTCTTGAGCTTCGCTCGATACCTTCAGATGGTAATTGTCTATTCGCATCAATAGTTGATCAAACATCAGACTTCTCTGTGAGGCAACTACGTGAAACAGTTGCGAAATATCTGCGTGAACATCGAGAAGAATACGAACCATTTATTGATACAGATTATGATGTTTATTGTGACAAACTCTCGAAAGAAAACGTTTGGGGTGGACAGATTGAATTGCAAGTGTGTGCAATCATTTTACAAAGACCAATCGAAGTCATTCAAGGAGGTGGAAACCAGCCGATTCGAATTAATCATTCATCATCGAGATCACCCATTATTATTACGTATCATCGATATCTGTATGCGAATGGTGAACATTATAATAGTACGATTGAGACAGGAGAAAAACATGATGAATAGATTGAAAAAGTGAAGATTAAATAAAAAATATTTTGTTTCGTTTTATATTCTAGATGAAGATTATCGTTCATTGGGATCGAGTTTTGGGACTAGTGCTAGCAATTCTAGTCCTCTTCATCGCAGTTGTTTGTTTTAAATACTTCAATGACTCACAGGAACTTGTTCATCAAGATATCGGGCAATGTGATATGCATGAAGCACAGAAGATTATCGATAATCTTGTAAGTTATTTTCACTCTCATCGAAAATCATCATCTTCTACTATTCGAAGTGTGAATTATACTCGCTTGGTCAAGTGACAGGCAGTCAATGTTCCGCATTGTGCAATGCTAATTCTACAATAACATTAGCACAATGTTTATCTTTATCCTCATCGAAAATCGTTCTATTAATGTCAACAAATGCGTCATCCTATGTGGTGCTGAAATCTTCGCGTCGTTATTTCGATCGTGAAAATACGGATGTTTTATTCAATGAACCGATCGTGTCAATACCATCGAGTCTTTTCAGATTTTATGATATTATCAATTCAACATTGACAACTCATATGGGTAATGCGTTGACAAATTTGACGCACGAAAAATTAATTCGACGATTGTTTCGCCATGATCGTATTGAAAATTCCGTTATTTTACTAGAGAATTTCGATGAGGTTGTCGTGAAATATAATGATTATTACGAACAAAATCTTGCTCTGTCATTAACCACCGAACTCAATACACTCTATTCACTGATGACCCAGCATGAATTTTTACTTTCGCATTATTATCGTTCGAAACATGAATTAATGCCGAAAATTCTTGGATGGTGTGGCCATACGTATTTAACTGAACACCTAACACCGTTAAATCACCCTCAGATAGAAGAACAACTAGAAGCAGATACATGGATACCGAAAGCTTGGTTAGCCAATCGGTTGTTACAACTTGTTGATAGTTTCGAACAAGAATTACATGCACCACTTCATCTATGCGATTTACGTAAGTAGTTTATCGTTCCAAAATTGTCAATTTTCATTTTCTTCTCTTTAGAATTATCGAATTTTGGTGTGAGTGCAGGTGGTAACATCAAATTGCTCGACTTAGACATGGCCTACTTCAATGGTTTGATTCCATTATATCCTCCAGAGAAATGTCGTCGACATTCGGATTGTTCATTTTTCGACTGCTCAGGTTATTGTGATAAGCGCACGCGTCGGTGTCACACAAATCGTCGTATTAATAATAATTTACAAGTTCTATGTGAAAAAGTCTTAGTTAAATTGCTCAAACCAGAAACAATTCCATCCCGATTACATGATGTTCTCTTATCCTATGTTCATAAATGTGCATCACCACTTGGTCGTTATAAACGTGCACGAGATCTGAAAATCGAAGCATCGCCTCGTTTACTTCGTATAATGCAAGTGATGCTCGATGGAGAATTACGATCTGCAAATATTACATCCAATTTATTTTAATAATTAAAACTATAATTTGTTTGTTTTCCTTCTTTTTTTTATTCGTAGATGAAAGTTCGGTTAGTTTTGTATATATTTAACTTAGTTTGTTCATTCGTGGAGAGAATTGCTTCTTGCAGTGACTGATAAATCATTCCATACTTGTACTTTGTCTTTGCTTCTCACGTGTCAGATAAATTCTTTGTGAAATCATTCTTGTTCTAAGAGAAGAATTCATCTATCAAATATGAATAAATTACAACATTCTATTCATTGTGAATACGAATCGTCACTCAGTTATTATAAACTCTTATGCGTGATATTTGTTTTGAATGTCAGTATCCAGAAGAAATTACACTATTGAATCTCAAGAACATCAAGAGGCAATTTGTGGTGACCTATGCTTCTATTTCATCGGAAGATATGACATGCACACACACACTCTCTCCTTTTTATGCCAGACTTATGCAATATTCTTTGAAAGATTGTCCAAATAGAAGACCTGTTCGCTGACCGTAATCTCATGACTTCTTTTTCTGTCATTTAACACGAATTGATGCTATGGAATCAGTACGCTTGATTTATTTTGTTTTGATTGAAGCCAATGTAAGTTATGCCTACCACTTTCTATACCGGGAAGTGGAAGTATGATTTCTATATCAGAAAAAGATTTCTAGTTCAAAAGTAAATATATGACAAAGAAAAAGAATTCATTCCAATGAGATTTGATATGGTCAAATCAAATGTGACGTATAAGACTACTCATTTGAAGGTCAAATGTTCCATTTCTCTCTCTCTCCCTCACAGTGCAATTACCATTTATATATGTACATCTGAATCAGTTTTAATGCGTTTTTTTTTCATCTAAAAGTACGCGTCCTTGGATATTTGTCCATGCACGCATCACCGGGGTCATGGAACTCATAAAACAGTTTCTTCCATCGTCCCTTTTATTCACCCGAATAACAGCTTCAATCATTTATTCATTTTTTCCTCTTTCTCTTTGATGGCATAATCAAGGGGTTGGTCTGTCATTTTCTTTTTCGATTCGTTTGTTTAAAAAGTATAAAAGAAATACCGAGTTCACTTTCGACCTTTCGAGTGATTGATAGAAGACCAGCACTCTTACGATTGAATGAATTATGGCTGTTGCAAGCCATTCTTCGCCGGAAATCAATGTGGTCATCATTGGAGAAACGGGCACTGGTAGGATTGAGAAGTCTTTAGGACACGATCATCAGTTGCATTTTCGAAAATCATTTCGTAGGTAAATCAACATTTATCAATTATTTAACTAATCTATTTTACAATGGTTCGCTAACAAATCTGAAAGTTGCCATACCTACAAGATTTCTCAAAGCAAACATGTCTTCTCTCATGCCCCAACATCATGAGAATGCGCTAGAAGATTCGACACGCAGTAAAACTAGTCGATGCACAAAGTATACATTCGTGGTTGAACAAGTTCATTTCAATTTCTTCGATACACCTGGTATTAACGATACTGGGGGATACTTGTCTGATAATGAAAATGTTGATCGAATCTTCGAATGTATTCAATCATTGCAACATCTGACTGCTCTGGTACTTGTTCTGAACGGTACACAAGCACGTTTGACAATCAACATACGAAATGTTCTCGAACGGTTTCGCGATCGAATACCTGACGTTCTCTATACGAATGTTCTTGTTATATTGACTAATTGTGCTGCACATACGGTCAATTTTGGTTCAGTCAAATTGCTGAATCACGCTCCGGTATTTCATATGCAGAATTCAGCGTTTTCCTCCGATGGGCAAATGTGGTCGCCACAAACACGAGAGATTTTGCAACGCGATTGGAATATATCGATGAAGACCATGAATGACTTTGTGAAAACTTTATTAACATTAACACCTGTTTCAACGGATGCGTTAGAAGCTATGGACGACGATCGAAATGCTATACGAAGTGTTCTGCATGAAAGCCGTTTAATGATTATGGAGTTACAACATATCGAAGATGAATTGGCTGCATTGGAACAAGCATCACATATTTATTCAGCCAATATTGAAAAATATGCATCAACAACTGATCGATCAACAAAATCAATACAGGTAACACAGATATTTGTAAACATGCTGCTGGAAAGGATCGCTTAGGTTAACGAAATAACCGTCACATCGTATCATAATACGATATGTTTAAAATGTAATACTGTTTGTCACGAACGATGTTCATTGACAGAAACCACTCATGTCGGTGAACGTGTTTTCCGACGATGCACTGTTATTGTCAACGGCCGATGTACAGTTTGTGCTGGTAAATGTTCCTATGATCTGCATTATCATGATCGTCGACTGATTAAAAACGTTCCAAGGACCTTGAAACTCGCCATATCATCTGTTGCAAGCAAATACGCCGAGGCTCGAAAAGATAAAGCAGCGTGTGAAACAAAATGTGAAACGGTTCAAGAAACGAAACGAATGATTGAAGAAGCGTTACAGGATCAATTTTATAAAGTACGGGAAGGATGTTTACGTGTCCGAAGTAACTGTCAAGGTTTTAACGTGGCTGAAGAACTGTGCATATTCGTAAATTTCCTCAAAAACGATATTAGTTCACTACGATCACCCACGGTAACGAGAAAAGCAACGAAATTCATTGAAAAACTTGAAAAGCTCGCTGATGAACTGCAATATGATGAGTCTTTAATATCTGTTATTGAACAACCGTCATCACCTATTCCAATATCACCTCCAACGCCTGCTAAACGAAAAACAATCAATAATAATAATAATAATAATAATACTAGCACTAGACAATCATCGAAAACATCTCAAATGCAAACGATATCACCATCTGTAAGTTCAGTGTTTCCTTTTCCACAAGAGTGGGCACTTATCTTTTGTTTAGCAGAATGAAGATTTAATTCAAATCGATTCTTCACCTACTTCATCTTTGATTGTCCAAGTCAATCGCCTTTTCAATGGTTCACATAGTTCACTAAATGCCATGAACGATATTTCATTAGTCGATGATGAAGAACAGCGAAAGAAGAAGTTACCCATTATGAATACGCGTGAAATCATTCATCGGCTGCAACCTGCTCAACAACAAACATCAGATTCGAATAAAACACGTAAATATTCGGAATATCCAACTGAACGTCTGCTTAATTTAAGTCGCGAATCAACGGAAGAATGCAAATTGATTGCTAAAGAGTTAAATCGCCGTTGTGGTGGCACATCCATTGGTTATCTATCACCTGGTCAACTCTTAGTTCTATGTGAATACTATTCCTCCGCACGTTTATTACAATTAGATGAACTAGTACGTTTGCATGCGCAACTTCAATCCGATGTACAACAATTGACTGATCAAGATCCATTTGAAATACTCTCTGTGCCCGTAGACAAATTATTACATTTAGCTGCTGTGACACTTTGCTTACAAAATTCTACAAAATATTCTTAATGACTATACATATCTTCTTTAGTTTTATTGTTCTTGTCTTCATCCTTTATGCTATGATCGTATATTTTAGATATTTGATTGAATTTTCCGACGAAACTTTAATGGCAAGCAATCCCCTCGTGGCAGCTGCACACCATATCAAAGATTCATTGTCCGATGCTATGAATCGTCTTGGTGTCGGCGGCAATCATCAAAATACCACGACAACAACGAACTCAAATGAGAATACAAATACACGTCATCTTTCTTTAGATACGTCGAATATCGCGAAAGTTTTAGTTATTGGCGAAACAGGCAGTGGCAAATCAACATTCATTAACTATTTAACAAACTATTTCCGTGGCGGATCATTACAAAATATCAAAGTGGCCATTCCATCAAAATATCGTACAGTTATTACTGAACAATTTGCTCATTGTGAGAACAATGTTCGTGATACAACACAATCGAAAACGGATATGTGCAACCAATATATTTTTGTCGATACAGCAAGTCCTGCTCAACGACAATATCTCTTCCTTGATACACCAGGTCTGTCGGACACACGAGGAGCAGAACAAGATAATCAGAATATGAACAAAATTATCGATGGCGTATGTCACACCCCTTTCCTTGAATATCCAATTTCTTTCCTTTTTTTTCGTGTATTCTAGGTCGAATCTCTGGGTGGTCTCTCAGCTGTTATTATTGTTGTTAATGGTACAACAGGTCGTCTTACATTGAATCTTCGAAATGTCATCGCGCGTCTTCGCGGTAATCTACCTGATGTTGTCATGGATAATGTGATTGTTGTCTTGACGAATGCCAAACGACATGAAGCGAACTTCAATATCTCGTCGCTTCAGTTACACGGTACAGTTTATCCGTACTATATGCAAAACTCGGCCTTCTCACAGGATCCCAATGCATGGGATCAAGCAGCACTCGATGCGTTGCAATTCGATTGGGATGCTTCGATGGATGAATTAAAGCGAATGATGGAAACAATTGACACATTCAAAACCAAGTCTGTTGGTGCATTCAAAGATATGAAAGATATACGCAATGCGATCAAAGCACTAATGCACGAAGCTCGCTTAGAAGTTTCTCAAATACAAAAAATGCAAGATGAATTGGCAGCATTTGAACATGCACTCAAACAATATAAAACAGAAGAAGTTACCTACAAAGATTATACGCGTGAACGAGTCGTTGAAACAAAAGAATTAGTTGATGCTAAATATCATTCAAGTAAATCGATTCATTTCAAGTAAATCATTTGATTGTCTTCATTTTTCTAGCCGTTTGCCGGAAATGTGATCATGTTTGTCATGATAAATGTGGTCTGCATGAAACAACTACACATGGCAATCGAATATTTCAACGATGTTGGGCAATGTCGGCGGAAGGTCAGTGTTATATCTGTCCATCACACTGTTTATATACTGAACATTATCATGCACGGAAAACAATGAAAGTGAAACAACAAAAATTGCAAGATGTTCTTCATGATATCAAAGCTAAATATGATTCAGCGACAAAAAATACAAACGATTTTCAGTCGCGAATTACTACAACACAAGAAGCGAAGAAAATGCTGGAACGTGCATTGCAACAAAAACTCGAAGAAATCAAACATAAATGTGCTGAGCTGAGACGTATATGTAGTGGATTCAATTTAGCACAAGAATTGCATGCATTGATTGATCAATTGAAAGCCGAAGCAGTAATGTTAAGAAATATCGAAGCGAAACAACAAGCCGAAGACTTCATTCGTAGCTTAAGCGAATTTTGTCGACAACTTGAAGCAGATCAAGTGGCTAAACAAACTCTACCACCCATGCGTCTTGTTGATACATATACATCGAAACCATTTCGATCCGCAACAACAACGAGCATCGCATCAAATGCCAATTCATCTATATCACCTTCAACACTGTCAGACAACACACCCAATTTGAATACAAGTGTGCTTGATTTAATTACAAAGCTGAATAAACCCAAAAAACCACTACCGACAATACCTGGCAAAGATTTTGACGACGAAGATGATGATGATGATGACGATGAAAATCCTGATAGTGATCGTGATCGTGGCGATGGTGACGACGATGATAATGATGATAGATATGCGAGAGAAAGACCATCAACATCGTCACGTTCACATCGGCATACTAATCAGAGCAACAATCACGATGATGAAGTTAGCTCCATACATGATCGTCGAAAACGGCGACAACCGTCAGTATCTAACACTACGAGTAATAATAACAATTCTTTGCAACAACAGTATGCTTCGTTGACAACCATGGATCTCGTTCAACGGTATAATGATTGTAAAGATACACGAAAATCAAGTGCAATTTTGATTGAACTGAACCGCCGTTCACAAGGTAAATCAACAGGTCCACTCGTTTCATCAACTGATATCGGAACATTTGCCCGTTATACTCAACTCTATAGTTCACAAGATGCACCCACATTAAGTCATCTATATTTACAACTCCAACAACGTATTTCCAATATGACTGAACCTGATATACTGAATATTGTTCGTGTACCCAATGATCTTCTGTTGGAAATTGCCGCTCTGTACACACTTATTGCACAAAAAAATCAACAGCAACAACAACAACAAGGACAGAATCGTGATGGGAACTATGCAAATGAAGGCTCCTTTGAACGTCCACCAGATCACGTGTCTTCAACAATGATGATGATGAAAACGTCTACACCTATTCCTCAAACACTCATGGGCTACTACCCTATACCTGTTGGTCATCATCCAGGCGAAGCAACCATACCTGCCGGTACTCTATTTAAACCAATTCAAGCGACGAATAGTGCTGATATAAATGTCCAAACGAACTCTCCGCAAACAGCATTTGTTTCAACGCCGACACCATCGACACCAATATCACCTGTGTCTGCGCAATCATCATTGTTACTTACGGGTTCTAATGGTAAGCTCGTAACAGAACTCAACTGATTACATGGTTCACTTTTCATAATACTTTCATAGGATTTCATACTGACATTGTTAACAATAATAGTGCTGCTGTTGCACAATCCTCAATAACATCACCACTACCACCATTGTTGCCACCAGCTCCACCATCATCAACTTTCTCGTTACCATCCACTTCTACAATGCCAATACCGACAACGATTCCATCAGATCGATCTGCGACCGGCTCACCATTTACATTCCTTTCACCACCGTCAACCTGTACAAATGATGCCTCTTTTGCAATAATAACACCATCTGCGTCGAGCAAAGACGACTACACCATGATCAATATAGCGCCAGTATCGAATACAGTCAGTGATGATGATACAATGAACTCAAATACCTTGGCCAATGCGACTATCACGCGTTTATTAACATTATACAACGATGCAAAATCATCGAATAAGAATGCTCAATTGTTTTCTATTTATCAAGAGTTAGAACGTCGCTGTACTGGTGCTAATTGTCACCAATTAACAAAAGATTATCCTGCAGTATATGAAACAAAACTAAACGAACATACACATAAAACAGTTGCAGAACTGAAACAAGCCTACGATAATATTCAACAACAGATACGTATACGAACAAATAGTGATGCAACGCACATCAATGATATACCGAAAGAATTAATCATCGAATCAACTGCTCTTCTAGCCACTATCAAACAAAAAGACATTTAGTTCATCTTTAGTTGACTCTATATATACATGTAACCTATTTAGTTCGTTTTCTTTCTCTATATTAGTTTATTCTCGTGTGCATGTTTTCTTCCACATTATTCGTTCAATAAACTTATCAACTACTCTTAAATATAAGATCAGCAAATAGCGTGAATATCACCATTGCAAAATTGTATGTATATGTTGGCGTCCAATGTGAGATTCAGGCCAATCTAAGATCCGCCTAGGCGAAAGTGGAATTCCACATTGGACTAGTCCAAAGTCGGATTACTGCTATTTCACAGCGTAAAACTCAATTTACTTCACAAATTGATATGGCCCATAGGTAAGAGTAAGAGTATGAGCGACGCCGAGGTTTTCCTGTCGATTGCCGACTTCAAAATGAAAATTGAGGCCGATTTCCGATTACTACGTGACTTTTACTAAAAAGTTCTAGTTTTTTACTAAAACTTGAATAAAACTTTTTCGACAATTCAGATTTTCATTTTGAAGTCGGCAATCGACAGGAAAACCTCGGCGTCGCTCATACTCTTACTCTTACCTATGGGCCATATCAATTTGTGAAGTAAATTGAGTTTTACGCTGTGAAATAGCAGTAATCCGACTTTGGACTAGTCCAATGTGGAATTCCACTTTCGCCTAGGCGGATCTTAGATTGGCCTGAATCTCACATTGGACGCCAACATATATGTATATGTATATTTAAATAGTATTTTGTCATTATCACCAGAAGGTATAATCATAGTGAAACAAGAAAAACAACAAGAGAAGAAGAAGAAGACTTGATCTATAAACAGATATTATCAATGGTAAAAATTTCTTGCTAATCGTGTTCTTTGCAATTCCTGAGTACGTCGGCCTCGTCTTGCAATTGGTGTTTCACCAAACTTGTATGTCGCTTGCTGTAGTTCAGAATTCAAGAAATTGTCTACTGCACCATTACCACCAGCTTTATCTATGTAAGGTAGCAACTCACATGAAAATCAAGTCGATCTTTCGATATCTACCTGATGTAATTGGAGGGAGAACTAAACGATGTTCAGACGAACGACGTTGACCGTTTGATCTGAAAATAATGAGAAAATTTTGATTAAAACTCAACAGTTTATATGATTAATGTTCAAAGCGAAGAGATACCGATATATGTCGTTTGAATACAAGGAGCAAAGAGAAAAAGATTACAAGGATAGGCTTAGGTGCATCAATACCTTGGTGTCACAATGTGAGATGGTGAAAGATTAACACGCCGAAGTGGTAATTCACTGTTTATGTATAATAAGTTTAGTCATTATATATTAGAATGAAATTAAACGGTTGAAAAAATGAGAGATACATACTGACGATATCCAGCAGATTTATCAGTTGTCGATGATGAATTTATGTATCGTGAATGATTTTCATTCGCATGAGATACTTCAGTTGGATCTGCTGTGGAACTTTCACTAATACTAGTCGATGCTAGACAATCACGAACAAGTATTTTTGATGTTGAACTTAACCGTTCAGCATGAATTAATTCACGTAATACAGCTCGTAGTCTCGCAATCTAAATCAATTATATTGATTCAACGAGATCTGTTCGAAAAAGAATGATGAAGAAAGTACTTCTCGTATGTAGAATCTTTGTTTTTCATATGACAGTTCAAGGAGCCGTTGATGATCAGTTTCCGACATTTGTGTTTGCTCCGATTTGATTGTATTGTCCGAAGTTATGCTTGAAAACAAGAAGAGAAAGCCTTTTTACAACAATTCCTGCAGTGCAGAAATTACTTGGGATCTGGTAATAATACTGGTACACCAGATGCAATTCTTTGCGGTGTTTGACCTAATGTTGTTTTATTCATTTCATCGATTCGACGCATTAAATATTCATTTTTTTGTTCAGTTTCAATCAATTGTGTTCGAAGTTCGTTAATTTGCTGTTCGAAATGAACACGTTGTACTTCTTGTAAACGTTTTTCTATTCACGAAATATAATGAGTTGTTTCTTCCAATTCGTATGATTATCTTACCAAGAACTGGTTCATTTTGTGTTAGATTAGCTAATTCATTAATACTCGGTTGAACTTCCGTTTTTCTCTGCTTATCATCCGATCCTGACGGTACACGAATATTTGCCATACGGAAATGAAGCTCTACAAAGTTTTGAACGCTGTACAACAAATATACGCTTTCTTTCATCTAAACTCGTACCTCGGTTCTCTTGTTGAAGTTTACTGATTTCATTATGCAGATCAACAAGAGTTATTTCATGTTGTTGTTGAACATAGCGAAGATTTCTTTCGAGTAATTCTATACGCGAACGCGGATCAATCGGTGGTGCCGGTGAAGATGTTGTCAGCGTCGTATTGGCAGTTGGCTGGGTGCCTGTTGGTATCAAGGATGCGTTTTTTTTAATAACTAAACGAGATGCAGGCGGCGGTGGTAATCGACGAGATGCAGCTTTCGACATGTCACCATCACTACCTTTAGATGACTGAAGCGTATGATGATGAAGATCTGATATGCGCTCATCGACAAGAGATTGTCGAATCATTTGGCGATACTTTATTGAAATATCAATAAAATGAAGTCAATTCTAGAGTAAACAAATGAAATAAAAAGTAAATTAAATGACAGAACAACCATGAACTGTTCTTTATGTCATGGAAATCACGGAGATTATACGAATGTAAAGATGTCGCTATGTCATCGAAACAATTATATAAAGCCCAGTGAATATATGATGCATTCCATGGTGAGAAGCGAGAAATGGTCTGCAGTCATACGATCTGAGTTTTTCCCGACTACAAAATGATCAAAGACTAAGCGATTCTTGTGCAAATATTGAATCAAAACAAGAAAATATTTTGAAGAAGTTCAATCTATGTTTTCAGAAGCTTTGTCGTGGTTGAATTTGATGTGCATCTGAAAACCTACAAAGTTCTCCCCTTAACTATTAATGTTTTGGTAAATGTGTGAAGTATTCTGAAGTCGTTAAAAAATGGTATATCAAAATAAAGAATTCGAAATGAAAATATTATCCTCTCAAAAAATGTGCTCCGTTCTTCAAGTTTATTTTATACGCACAATAAGATTTTCCTCAGAGAACAATGTACACCGAACACATCTCTGATTAAAACAGACGAGGAATGTGATAAGGCTACTGTCAGTAAACGATAAACAGTTCGTGGAGTTCTTATTTCAATGGCTTACAATGATCTCGTTCGTCAAATACGTGTGTAATCCGATTCTCACTGTTTATTGACAACTAGTGTTTTTCATGTAGTCCTCAACATCGACTACGAGCGACAACTATTGTTCCATCACGGTTTATGTCCCTTCAGATTCCGATTGGTGCTGAACACAATGAAAGAAACAGAAGAAATAGCTGAAATTACGTCCATCGATAGAGATATACATACATATTGTAAACGAACATTACAATCGGATCATTTCCTCTTCAGTAATGTTGAAATCAGAAGTTACCCGTGTTTCTGGTTCATCGATTTCATCACGTCATCGATCACCATCAGATTCTCCAGCAAACGATCGATACGCCAAACGATCTCGTCGAACACCCACTTCATCATCGGAATCTGAGCCCGACAGTAATCAAGACGAAAACCGAAAAGATGAAACGAATCCAAAGCCAGCATCTAAGCCGACTTCAACAACTGCTATTCCTCCACGTACTGGTGGTCTTTATATGCCACCAGCAAAACTTCGTCTTTTACAAGTATGATCATCCATTTCTTTTAAATCTTTGACGCAATCATTTCCACTTTGCTTCCAGGCTTCTCTCACGGACAAATCCTCACCTGAGTACCAACGACTGGCATGGGAAGCTTTGAAGAAAACCATCAATGGCCGAGTCAACAAAGTCAACATATCCAACTTACCATTGATCATTCGTGAACTCTTCAAAGACAATATCGTTCGTGGTCGTGGTCTACTTGCACGTGGTGTCATCCAAGCACAAATCGCTTCTCCATTCTATACACATGTGTATGCAGCATTGGTTTCAGTTATCAACACAAAGTTCCCTCAGATCGGCGAACTCGTTGTCAAACGTCTTATTTCATCTTTTCGTCGAACATATCAACGAAATGACAAAACTCACTGTTTGGCAACAACTCGATTCATCGCACATCTCGTCAATCAGAATGTCGTATGTATTTCATCGTGTCCACGATCCTTTACTCGACCGCCTTTACTTTTATAGTTGCATGAAATCGTGGCACTGCAAATGCTTGTCCTTTTGCTCGAGAATCCTTCGGATGATAGTGTCGAACTAGCCATTGGCTTCATCAAAGAATGTGGACAAAAGCTCTCTCAAGTCAGTCCACGGGGATTGGACTCGGTGTTTTCAACATTGAGAAACCTACTGCACGAATCATCGTTGGACAAACGAACACAGTATATGATCGAAGTTCTGTTTGCTGTACGAAAAGATCAATTCAAAGCCAATCCAGCCATTCAACCCGGTCTCGATCTTGTCGATGAAAATGATCAATACACTCACATGCTAACGTTGGATGATCCATGTGAACCTGAGACTGTACTTGGTAAGTGTCGACAGCAACTTCGATCATTTGTTGAAATGTCTGCTGTGAATTTAGATGTGTTTAAATATGACGAACAATATGAAGAAAGCGAAAATAAATACAAAGAGATTCGAAAGACTATTCTGGATGAAGAGAGTGACGATGATGATGGATCCAGCTCGTCAGGTAGTAGCGATGAAGATGACGATAAGAATGAAGATGCTGACGAAGAAGAACAAACGAATGAAGCAGAAAGTAAGCATAACTTTGATTCGTTGCGATCAATCTGAACTTGTTCACTTAATCGTGTAGAAGACAAACAAACGATTCTTGATCAGACAGAGACAAATCTGGTTACACTTCGTCGTACGATCTACTTGACCATTCAGTCAAGTATTGGAGCTGAAGAATGTGCTCATAAGCTGTTGAAAATGAATCTACGTCCCGGCCAAGAGGTATATAGAGTGAATGTTTATTTGTGAAGGATATTTGACTGTGATTTTCAGATGGAGTTGTGCCAGATGATCCTTGACAGTTGTGCACAACAGCGAACATATGAACGATTTTTTGGTCTACTTGGTCAACGTTTTTGTCTGCTGAAGAAAGAATACATTGAATGTTTCGAGAAAGTGTTTCAAGATCAATACGAGATCGTTCATCGTTTGGAAAATGTGAAACTGCGAAATGTGGCCAAGTTCTTCGCCCATCTGCTCGTGACAGATGCCATTTCGTGGGGCGTATGTATTCATTTTGACGTTTGTTTCGTGTGTTGACGTTCTGACGTTGTAGGTGCTTCGTTGCATTCGATTAACGGAAGAAGATACGACTTCGTCATCGCGTGTATATATCAAGAACTTATTCTTAGAATTAGCGGAGTTTCTTGGATTAACGAAACTCAACAATCGTTTGACGGATCCGTAAGCGATTGTCTTGGAGAAGTTCACTGATTAATGTTGATGATATTTTAGGACATTGACTGAGTATTTCGAAGGCATTTTTCCGCGAGATAATCCAAAGAATACTCGCTTTTCAATCAATTTCTTCACGTCAATTGGTCTTGGCGGGCTGACGTAAGTTTCTATGATTATTTTCGTTTCGTCTTATGAAGATAACTCTGTCTTTTTTCTGTAGAGACGAATTGCGAGAATTCTTGCACAACAATCCTACACCAGCAGCAGTAGCAGCGCCACCTCCTCCGCCTCCGGTGTCAATCAAAAAGGAAGCGAAAGAAGAAGACGAAGAAGATTATAAAGATAGTCATCGCATACAAGCTCGGCTTCGTGAGCTTCAAATGGCACAAGATAAATCAAAGAAGGGAAAAGCCGATAAACATAAAAGGCAAAAGAAAAAAAGTATGTAAACTTAGAAATTAATAAAAGCGAAAATCGTTGTTTCGGATTCATGAGTTGGTGTGTAGATCTAGAGAGAATAAGAAATTTACTTCGAGCTGTAGACATACTTTTGGGAATCATTCTTTAGGTGAATCATCGTCCTCGTCAAGTTCTTCATCAAGATCCGGTTCGTCGTCGTCGTCATCGCCGTCATCATCTTCATCTTCCCCATCACCGCCACCTGTTTCCCGTCGTGAACGTGACAATCGTGACCGCCGCGGTGAGCGTGATCTTCGAAAGGATGAAAGTCGTCAACGTGATAAACGATCTCGTTCTCCAGATCGTCGTAAAGAAAATCGGAAAGAAGAAAGTAGACATCGTGAAAAACGCTCCCGTTCACCTGATCATCGTCATCAACATAAATCGTCAAGGCGTTAACTTTATTCTTTTCATTTTTTGTGTATTGTTGCTCTATGTTCGATCGTTCAGTGTCTGTTTCATGAAAAATATGAACTAACTAAAAACACAGAAATAATCTGTCATTTTAATCCTGTTTCATTGTTTGTTTTTACCGATATTGATATGCATAGTTGATCATGTGCTGGCATACCTGAATACGTACAAGATTTCGAACTTCGTAAAATGATCTAAACTGAAGTGCTGGATGTAGCGATCCAAATGGCTTGAATATTTTCATATCTTCTAGATTAAAGAAATGCGAAAAGTACCTGGTTTGCTCACGATAGGTAAATGTCAGCATTGATTCGTGCTGAAAAAGGCATCTTGCGATTATTTAGTTTTATCGGTGATTGCTTCACTCGATGGAAAATCTTTTTCCGAAAGCGGTCTACCATCCAGATATCATGTTAGCGGTGTTATCCAATTGCCCTATGCAGAGATCAGTGAACCATTTGAATCGTGGATTGATGTGACATTAGGTTTTTCACGCATTGACTATTACGGTGGTTTGTAGATTCTTGATTGACTCTTACTTGTGTATAATGTTAGATGTTCATGTACAGGTGCAGCGAAGACTCTTCAACGCAAAGGCAAAAGTGATCAAGATTTCGGAGCTAATTACAAGATTGTACCCATCTCAAGTGAGTGATAATCATCGAAGTGGATCTAGTTTCTTTTATTCTCTTCTATTTTGGTAGCTGAAGAAGTTCTCAATCAACTCACTTGTTTTCAATCCAATGGTTCGGCAGAAGGATCAGTCGACGTTCAACACACTGTTCCTGATATCAACTCATTTGAAGTTAGATCTTGCTCAATGACTTATTCGGGTCATGTCTCTCTGTTCTCGATGTAGGATCTAGGTCCATCGGAATGGCGCGGAATCAAATGTCAGATGTATCAAAGCATCGATCAGGTGGGTGATAAACGATCGACATATACATATTATATCAACGCCGAAACGAAACATCCAGTTCACTATGAAATGTTTGGCTATGACACATTAATTGGTTCACATTTCGATAAATATACCATTGATTATTATAATTATGATGAAGAACCTATTGATGAAAGTCTCTTCCATTTCACTGATGAACTGAAATGTATACCCTTTCCGGATTCGGACAATGAACACACATCGCCACGTGTTCTTTTTAATCCGATGAGTGAATATATCAATCGTCATGGTGAAGACGAATTGGAGTCGTCGTTTGAACAGTTTAAAAGAAAACATAGCTATCGATATAACGATGAACATGAACATCGTCACCGTTTGAAAGTCTTTCGACACAATAATCGATACGTCAATGCAAAAAATCGTGCAGGACTTTCATACAAAATGAAACTAAACAAATTTGCTGATCGAACTGTAAGGGAGCAATTCAGATATCGAATGAACTTCTTCGGTCATGATTAATTCGTATTTTAGGATGAAGAATTGCGCGTACTTCGTGGTCGTCAACATACAAAAGGTTATAACGGTGGTCTTCCATTTCCAGTCGAAGAATTGACAAGTAGTAACGAAGCTCTACCGGAATCGATCGATTGGCGTATCATGGGAGCAGTTACACCAGTTAAAGATCAAGGTATCTGCGGTTCATGTTGGACTTTTGGTACAACAGGTGTTATCGAAGGTGCTTATTTCGTGAAAGTAATCTATCATTCTATGAATGATCCCTTTAACATTTTTTCTTCTTCTCATTTCGAATAGCATGGTTCCTCGATTCGTTTGTCCGAACAAGGTGCGAATAGATTACACTTACATATAAACCCATATCGAATTATTCTGTTCTGCGTGTCTCATTTGTAGATTTAGTTGATTGCTCATGGGGTTTTGGAAATAACGGCTGTGATGGTGGTGAAGACTTTCGTGCCTATCAGTTCATCATGAAACATGGTGGTATTGCATACGAAGACTCCTATGGACCGTATTTACAAGAAGACAGCTTCTGTCACCATGATATCGCTACAAAAGGCGCGAAAATTCTTGGCTATGTGAATGTTACGGCAGAAAGTGAAGAAGCATTGAAAATCGCAATTGCTAAGAAAGGACCCGTTTCTGTTGGTATGTAATGGAAAATTCTACTTCAATCATGAACTACAAGGTCTTTTTTGAAAATAGCCATCGATGCTGCTCATAAAAGTTTTGTATTCTACGCAAGCGGAGGTAAGAGTTTGTTTGTTAATTCTGTATTACAATTTATTTCGTCTTTTATTTCTAGTTTACTATGAACCAGACTGCGGTAATGACATTCGATCATTTTTTTATTCGTAATGATCATTCTGCCGCCTTGTTTTAGGTAGCAAACTCGAAAACTTAGATCATGCCGTCTTAGCTGTTGGTTATGGAACATTAAACGGTCAAGATTATTGGTTGGTCAAGAACTCATGGTCAACTTATTGGGGTAATGATGGCTACGTCTTAATGGCACGAAAGAATAACAATTGCGGTGTGGCTACAGCAGCCACTTATGTTATCGTTGCATAAAATGCATTTTTTTTCTACACTCTTTTTTCTGTTACACAGAGATCTGTTCTTTTCTTCGCATCACATTTATTTCATCTCAGCATTAAATTTAAAAAATTATATACACACGTCATTCCTTCCACCATGCCGAACATAGCTCACTAGCAAAAGAACGCAAGCAAGTATGCTGTGCAACGGGAAAATAGTTGTGTTATAGTAGTGGCAGTCGCTTATGTCGTTCACAGATAATATAATTTATTCAAGATCTTCAATTGAAACAGAGAAGTCCTTTTATTCCTAGCAAACATGAAATGGCCTCTTCCATCGGTGTCCAGTAACCTGGTAAACACCTCGACAATACTGATAGAGATGATTGAATTGATGAGAAAGATCTCGCCGTCGACTACCCCATTCACTGAAACCACTTCGTGACATAATTAGCGCATCACACTCTCCCAAAACATAAAAATCTGAAATAACTTTCTGAAAACCGTCGCACTGTTCCTTGTACGTATAAGATGGTGATAAACGATCGATATGTATAATCGGACCAGGAATAGACACTGTGTGATTACTACCGTATCTGTTCGAAATATATCTATTCACCTCCAGAGAATCACTTGTAACGAAAACTATTGATTGATCATTTATGGTAAGATTCGTTTCTGTAAAATGTAGAATATCTTCGACCATTGTATCGCGATACGAGCGTCTTTCGTCATGAATGATTGTTGGGTTTTTTCCCATACGAATATGTAAACATATCAATCTTTTTGACGAGAAAGTATCTGATTGTAAATTGGATAATAATTGATCAACTGAATTGAGAACAGCATTAGTTGGCCGAAAGAGAATCTCGTAAAGGAGTGGAAACACACGATCTTGTGTTAATTCATCGGATGAAAAGTTCAACAACCGAACTACATGTTGAATTCGCTTATTTCTTAGCGCCGCTCGGATATAATCACTATTTGTTGCAATGTAGATATCATCATAAATTGACCAATCATCAACGAAATTCGATGAAGATATCTTTTCGTAAATCACACTTGCTATTTGACTACTTCGAGTAGTTTTAATCAAGAGTTGACTACGATTTGATCTATTTGAGAACAATTTTTTTATTTTTCAAATGAGATACAAAATCTTTACCCCAATATAATCGGTCGCCAATCGTACAGATTCGGTTGTAAAAATCTTGTTAAATTACACGGATAAGGCATGTCAATGTAGAATCGTCGTTGGGTAAGAATCGCCAACATAAACGTTGATGTTATACCACGTAATCGATCACCCCCTAAAATAGATTCTAAAAGTTAATAATCCCCATTCAAAACCACATCCGCGAATAAAAATATATACATCCACCACATGACTCTCGACATTGATAAGTGATCGATGGCGTCTGATCTGAAGATGATCGTTGGAGTAGCATTGAAAAGTTGACATGATGGAAATGTTGATGAAGCACATGAAAACGTTTATCTATTCGATAAGTTAAACTATGTGATCGAACCAATGCTGATTTGATTCGTAACGGCGACAAAAGATGAGATGTAAGGACGATTGAGCCTGTGAGAAAGCATACTATCAGGATGAATCGGTACGGACGTAGATAACGTGTTGTACGTATCGATATTAATATTCCATATGTTAATGCACGATTTGTTTACCCTATTATTGTTATCCAAAGGTTACTCGTTAGCTGCGAAAATTATCCAGATGGTATTTTTAATAATAAATGAAAGGAAAAGAACAATCATCAATTGATTCTTGCATCATATTTTTAAAATATGGATATAATAGGTAGATTGACATGTTAATTCAATTGAAGTATAATATTCACAACTCGTTAAAAAGCTACCGTAATTTGAAATCAGACTACTTGCCCTTGCTGCCGAAAGTTATTTGAATCCGATCGAAAACATGTACTTTACAAACTCTAATGGATGTTTGCATTGTTACGAACAAAGAAATTTATGCTCGGGAGGAAATATTTCCTATGACAACAACTAATCAGTGTCAAATTGAATAGCATTAAGAACATTCCACGTTCACCATGGTAATTTTTGACATGCACCAAAGAATCATTCTGACCGTAGGATGTTCGTCATTTGCTGGATGACAGCATTTCTCTCTAAACTATATATCTGATAGAATTTTCACACCGACTGGATTTCCTCATTAAATAGATTAATAAAATATTCTTCACACGTTCTTCAATAATTCATTTAGTTGAGTCGATGATAAACGAAGAGACTATCTTTCAAGAGCGACATCCTTCGTATTGATCGGAAATCATAAAGTCTATGTCCTGACTACTTGCCGAAACACAATCGCTATCCACATGAAATGTGCGTGTTTAGAAATATTTTCCAAGAAATTACATATGTGAAAATAATATATCAACTCATTTCCAGCTAAAGATATAACACTGTCAAAGTTTTCCATTGACGTATGCTATTTATTCGTCAATTATGACGTATACATCACGTCATAGAATGATCCGACGAAAGTTTGGCATATTTACATGAGACACATCTCATACGATACATTTAACTCGTAAGTATACTTAATGAGATAGGTACTTCGACATGGCAGACAACTTTGTACTTTATTTCAAATAGACAGATTTTGACTCGGAGCGGATATAAGGAGCAAAAGATACTTTTATGAAAGACTTTGTCTAGCATAGAATTTTTCACCGGCAACTTTCAAATTTCAAAAACTCGTTCGAAAAACGAAACAGGGTCATCGTCGGTGTTCATTTAAGACATCACGCCGCGTCTTCCTACTCGATGAACTGGCGTATCTTAGTTGAAGAGAATCTGTAATCGTTCATAGTGGTATTCTATTATGTCAATATATTTAGACGAAAATACATTCGACGTTGTCGAGGCAGACAATAGTTGTAATAGAGTTATAATCTAATTAATGTCAAGCAATGTTAATGGAGACAAAGATTGTTTATTTCATTGAACTCATCGAAAGCTATTTTCTCATTTGAATAAATCAATTCGAATGATAAAAATAAATCATGCCTTGTACAAGCTAAACAACGAAATATGAGAAAGGAGAATGACGGGAAGGAAATGCTGCATAATTAGTTTAGAACAATTTATCGAAATGTCGAATGAAGGACAAAAAGTTCACATGTCAAGTGTGAACTTTCAATTCATTAGTAAATCTTCGAATGAACTATTTTTATACTCGCAAATTAACGTAGAAGGGTTTAACAAGAAAATATCATGTAAAATTTAACGATAACGTTGCCCTTTATGGTGAGGAAATTTTCATAGAAACTGCTAAAGAAAAACAACTCAATTAACTAGCACATATTTTGTTTTCCGCAAGAAGGTTTTCTTAATGTGAAGCCATGAACATGTCAACTGCTCATCTTACTGATAACTAGAACGCATGTAATTGAACTTCCTCTTTCCAATACAGCACGTAAATAAAATGACCGAAATTATTGATTGTTTCTAAGCTATAATCGGATTCGCAACAGATAGTTATCTTTTGCATTCCTTGTGTTTTGTTTCCTTCTCGTACTTCTTTAATTCTTTTAATAGCCCTTGGCACTCTTTTTGAAATAAGTAGACCTATACAAGCACATTTCATTTACATCACTATTCATACGAGTAAGTGCCGAAGCCCCTAACAAGGAGAAGCCTTTTGTTTTGTTGTTAATTTATGGAAATACTATCTTTGCTGTTGTATTCACATGAATAAACTCAATGACACAATGAAGAGGATTTTCGAAGTTTTTTTTTTTTAAATCAATGTAATCTAATCATTCAAGTTGTTTTCTGTTTTGTCGAATAGGATAAGGTTTCACATATGGCGAGAGAGGAGATGTTCGTTGTTTAGCTATATAAATAGCCTGACAGATATTTTGTGTTGGAGACGAACGACGAGCGGATGAGTAGCATTTTCGTCGGCAAAATTTCTGTACGTGTCTCGTGTAATGTTTGGCTATGCGCACGAGTTCACGTCGAAATTGCTGACCGCTAAGACAATATACATAGAAGTTCAGCGAACTAGTTGCGAGAATGATCACGCTGATCCAATGCGATAAGACAATATCGAATGTGGAAAAAAACACAAGCGAACCAACGCACGACGAAAGAAAAAACAATAATGAATGCAGTATTAAAACAATATTCATCCAAGACATTTTTCCAAAGGGTACATTTGCTGACATAGTTTGTGTCGATCCTTTTAATGAACACTGCCGATGAAAGGTCGGATTACGGTCGGATAAATGTATCGGAGCTGAACCCGCAACTTTGATAGTTGAAGCAGTACCGATGGTAGCAGATAATTGATTCGGATGATTGTATTGTTGTCGTCGTTTGACATGTGCAGAAGTACATAGAATACACGTTATAATTCCGATGTTAAACAATGCAACTAGGAGAGACGGAATTAATTCGGAAAATAAGCAGCGAATGGTATGATAATTAAGTCCAAATGATAGTTCGACGAAATAATTTTGCCAATTGTCTGAAGTATGTTGCGCATCAAATGTACATTGTATTGTCGTGTGTGTTCCATTGAACCTAAAAGCAAATGATGAAAGAACATGAAATAGAGGATGAAAAATAGGTCTGCTGTACTTTGTTAAATTTAGTGAAAAAAAGATCACAGTTGGGCCAGTTACAATAATAACCATAATTAAAATGACAATAATCATCCATAAAAATTTATATTTTTTAATTAAATGACATTTCACATGACGATCAATCAGGTTTAAACGTGACGTGACATAGACAAATCGTTCAATCACCCAAAAGACTGTCACCCATGCTGAAATCACTCGGAATGACGACGATAAACGAAAGATTTTACATGGCAACCAATGCGAACTAACCAGATGTTCCGACAACCATCGTCGTGTAGTCGAATGGAGCAGTAGTGAGTAACGTATAATAAACAAGATATTAATAGAAAATGAAGTTAATGACAGAATCGCGTAAGTTGAACAGCAACGAAAGCGCCGAGAAGAAAATACGACAAGTCCGAGAATATTGCCAATGAAACCGAGAATGAATAAGATCACACAAATCGAATCAGTTGTTGTGATAGCAAGAGCCATCTAATGGTCATCAAATGATCTAAGTATTGAATTATAAAACAAGCGTTACATCGACAGAAAGAAGGAAAGTGGGTTTCCCAGCGAGAAAGATAAAAGAGAAAGAAACACAGAATATATAGTATTCTTACAATACCGGAAAAAATAAAGACGACAGAATAGAGAGAGAGAGAAAGAGAGAAAAGATTTTCTCTCCCCGATTCCTGTCAGTCAAGTGACAAAGTTTCCATTCACGAGATGCTTAGTTGAAATTAAAAGAATAATCGACTGATATCTCGGTTCTATCGCATGATGTCGGATGCTAATAAATACGCATCTCAGCTGTTCATTAGATCGAGTTACTGTTAAAACTGTGCAAAAAGGAAATGAATTGAGACGATCGTGTCATATACACCTATCGGGAAAATTTTTAACGAGAAAAATGCCGATCGATAGAATGACAAAGAGTGTGTTGCATACGAAAAGTCGAGCTACGTAAATTACCAGGTTAATCTTACGTGAACAAGGTCTTTTTTACGGAGAAGAATGCATATTTTCTTCCTCGTCTGGGTGCTTTTGTAAGCATGCATTTAGTCGATCTTTTGTTTGGAATGAAAATACGCATCTAACTTTATTTCTGAGCACTCTAGGTTCTTCTTTTACAAATCTTAATAAAAAAAACTAAGTAAGAAAAAGGAATTGACATTTCCGTCAGCGAATTGATGTGATAGTCATTGCTTTCATATCTGCGTGTATGTCGAAAAAGATTGTACTTGATGACAAGCATGTTATGATAGAAGTGAATACAATGTGTATTGATACGAACTAAATATGAAAGAATTAATCCAATAAGAAAGTCCACGACGAGTGCTCACATAGCAAAATGCAGGCGTGAAAAGTCGTGTGAATAAGAAATTCAATTCTACGGCATCAGTGAGCAATATGTTTTGGAATTCAGATAAGTGAACCTGACATTTTCTTTTTCCGATGTAAATATTTTATTAAGCTAAACCAATTATTTGAACGTACAGTTATGAAATGCTTTCAAATTGATTGTGTTTTTCTTAGAATTAATTTACAATTAATGAAACTATATCGATGAGAAGCGATCTGTCAAATGTGTATTCCACTATGCTTCTATTGTACGAGAGAATGACGAAAGCATCTCTTGTTTCTTCTTGATTAACGTCGGCAACGTAGGAGGAGAAGAAAAACTAGTTCAATTTACGCGGAAGAGAGACTTCGAACCCTTGGTTGTGATATTCCTACAGTTATCTTGTTACTTATTTGAACTAAACTGAGTAGATGAACTCTGATGTACGTGAAACGATTCATTCCTTCAGATTATATTTTCAGGATTCACAGAGCAGGATGTGAGACAATTACTATCAGATGGCGGATTATTTTTCCTAGTCATATCATGAATGGTTAAAATTGACTCCTATGAGTTTCGTTCGCTGCTAGACTGTTTGAAACACTGGCTTGGATCGTCAGGTGGTAATCGAGTGAATATCCTAGATGACGACTCCACCTATACCTAACTCTGACATTACTCTTGGGTCTACCAAAATCTTCGTCGATTCATTTTCTTGCACACGTTGAATAGGTAAAGTCAATGTCTGATCCTAGAGCATAATTCCGATAATAGCTACTTGAGACACATGTAAATCAATCTTAAATAACTCTTGTATTCAAAACAGTAATTATATTTGCAGACTGCTACCGTTGGTTTTTACTTATGTTGACATACCGATCACTTTTTTCATCCTGTGAGAACATTTATCAAATGCAATTCATGTCAATTCTTCACGTGCAAGACATAGTAAATCACAATCACTAACAAAAACATATTTTCTTCCGAAATTCACGACTCATATTTCGCTGTCTAATCTACTCTTTGACATTCATGTATAAAGTCTATCGACAATTAAAAATTACTATCATCATTATATTAATCGTAATACTTTTCTTTGGCATCTTCTACGACCAGTTAGTGAGTGTTCGACGACGGACATTCCTAGTCACCATTGTGGATTATCGTTGGAATGCACTGGCAAATGTTTCTGTTCAACTCAATACGGCAGACGATTATCACGCAGAGTCTTATACTAATAAATATGGACAAACGATGTTTTATATAAACACGAATATTCGTAATAACGATTCTATTCAAATAGCAGTGGCTGATATTAGCGAAAATGTACTACCGGTAGACAAAGAAATTGTTATACGGCTTGATACAATCAATAGAGACACTGACGAAACGTATGGCCAAGAGCTAGTCGATCAACTCGAACCGTCGTAGAGATAAAGGTTCTACCATTTTTTATGTGTTGATAAGGATTTGTCTTAAAAAGCAACTAAAATAACCTGAATATGGTATTCGATTCTTCTCACGAAAAATATTCTTTCAGGAATTTAAATGTAAAAGACATATCAAGGTAAAGAACATCCAATATTTGTTATGTAATGCAACTGCTTCCATCTTGGAGAGATAACAGATATAATAATGAAAATCCGTGTATCGAGTAACAATGTCTACAATAAAAAAATTCCATTTTTACACGGCGCATATCAATATTAAATGATTGAAATCAAAGTCGATGTATATCAGCGACTCTTTACACATAAAGTAGACGATAAAATATTAATTAAAAAACGTTCTTACAATACGATGTTTCTTTTTGTGTTACACTTGGCCTGGCATATTTGACAAAGGCGAACAAACGAAAGCTAAAAAAGTCATGTAGGTCACTATGGAAATGTTCTTTTGATCTAGGATAGACGACGGCTCGCAAGAACTCGTTTCAAAACTTATGAATACATAATCAGATCTATCGAGACGCACAGTCAGTTGAGAGGTATATCAAGGAAAAACTGAATAAAAGTACTCAAAGCTTTCGTATCTGGTTTTGCCAGCTAAAGAGTCAGTGATTTCGCAGATAGTATTACGCTTGACTTAATTAATGAATAATATAATCAAGCGATCTAATAGGTTTTGTCAACTTCATTCTGATGCTGTCATAACAGATCACAGAAATGTGTATTTTGAGACGGAACGGTTAGTTTCGTGGAGAATAGAATGATCTCATGTGTTGGATGTACCTAAAGCACCGCCTTTGCCATCATGGAAATATATACGTGAATGTTTAATTTTGCTGTTGATGGCAGGTATGTGTCAGAATGTGATATTCTATACTCGAACAAATGTTTTCGTAATTGTCAAATAAGATAAGAGTACACACGAATTTATTTGATCGGATATGTCTTCTCGCACACTTCATTAATGCCGAAAACACTATCCTCAAACTGTATTCTTGCTCTGTACGACGATGAGTTTGCACAAGTCAAAAAGTACAGGCCGAGAGTATTAGAGTTATAAGGGAGGAGTTCTATGAAATCTACTCACGATTCACAGTTCAGATTGAGAGCAGTGAGTGTTAAAAATCACCTTTCGAACATATGGTACCTAATTTTGCCAAGTAGATTCCGTTCATCACTAAATTTCACCAAGACTACTTCCGCTGATTTCCTCTACTCTTGCTACACTCCAATTAGATTACATACATGCAATCTGGATTAACTGAGAGTTTTGTTGACGTGTCGTGTGCGTGACAATCACTTCTATTAACGCCTTGTACATGTTCTTGCTTGTCAGTTTTTGACAAAAGATAATCATTTATATCGATTCATGCACTTAATCACAAGTCGATGTCCCGATGAAAGCGTTCGATTGAAAATCTGGGGGCAACTGATGGTGATCCTCAGAAAGGTGTGTTAATAACGAGAATAAAGGAGATGTAGGAAACATAAGTTTATTTATAACGCAATAATATAAAGTACAATTGGTTCACGGAATATATTAAGCTTTCGGCGAGAAATTCCTTAAAGATTAACAATATGTATCCAATTTTTCTTTCACAAGGTTTGACATCGAAATATATCAAATAGTTTTATTTACTTTGAATGATAACTAAATTTGAAAAGAAATTATTTCACGTGACATTTACTTTGTTGATGTGCGATTTTCATCAAAATGGCAAGCCTATTAAACAACATTTCTGTCAGCTATACACTTCAACTCATTCACAATTACTGATGACTAGGCTGAACACTTTCATTTATCAACAACAACAAATGCCATTGTCGTAGGCGATCTAATGTGATGATTTTTCATCCAAATTATATTTCATGCATGAGATCATACTATGAATAATAACGCATAATCCTCTCTGATGTAAAAACGTACCGTATATCAAATAATGCTGAGTAAAATCAATTGTTGGTCGTTTCAATGTTCGATGTCTATCAATCACATTCAATACAAGTTTATCTTGAAGGGAAAAATATGGAACAGATGGTTGACTTACAATCTTCACTGATCACAAACAGTAGATAATTAGGAAGACAATGATCGTCTATATGATCAAAGGTGCCATGGAATGATCATTGTTCTTGATTAATAATCGAACACGACGTATACTAATGTATATTCGAAGAACACCACTACTTGGATTCGATAAAGATGGAGATATTCATCTCATTCAGCCAGGTATAAATTGTGGATTCATCTCTTGTTTGCACGGCGCAACTATTTCAGGTACCTGTAATCAATGTCAATGTTTATTCCTTCGATATATATTGCATCAATTAAGTTTATTACTATCCGTTGTTATTTATGTCATATTAGGTGGTGTCTTTTTTGCCTACATCGAATCACAGTATTATTTGAAGAAAGACGATGAGCGAAAAGAAATTATTCACAAAACTTATGAGGATATTCGTGTCTATGCTGTGGATTTGTTAAATCAGCAATTGAAAGAGAATTTCGAAGAGGCTTATCGTCAATGGCGATGGGATAACAAAAACTCGACCAATTACATTTATTTAAATGATCACGCAGCTAGTCTACTTGACAATCGAACGGCATTCGAAATCGAACAGATGACTTTACGTTTAACTGCCCAACATGTATCTGTTGATAAGTTTGTCTATAAATGGACCTATTCCACGGCTATACTTTATGCTGCAACTCTTGTTACGACAATTGGCTATGGAAACATTTCGCCCAAAACAGCATGGGGAAAAATATTTACTGTTATATGTAAGGATGATCTTCACCGGATTCTTCTGTCTATCGCGTTTGTTTCTTAGATGCACTGATAGGTATATTATTAGTCGTCTCATGGATAAAATTAGTTGGCGAATCGTTAGCATCGATTGTAACGAAATATTATCGCCGGCTGAAACAATGTTTCCGACATATGAAAAGTAAAAGACTCCCGTTGGGCAGAAAAGTGGGTTGAATGTTCCTAAAACAAGTGTGTCAGTATTTAAGCGAATAGAATATCTTTATAGGATTATGGACGAAAGAAAGTTCCATTCTACGTGCCAATTGCATTATTAATTCTTTATCTTTTGGCCGGCTCGATTCTTTTCGCGACATGGGAAGGATGGTCGTATATCGATGGTGCTTATTTTTCATTTATTACGTTTACAACCATTGGCTTCGGAGATTTCGTTCCTGGGGAAAGTACAATTAGTCATCGTAGTGGAAGATCGATTCTTTGTGCTGTATATTTATTGTTTGGAGTCTTGCTGACAGCGATGAGTTTCCGATTAATTCAGGAAGATATCGATCGAATGAAGAGGAAACTTTTGCAACGTCTTGGTATTATTCATCTGTCTTTACCATCAACAACAAAGACATAGAACAAAAAGCATCATGAAAGTAGTTGTTCATTGATCTGCGATAGTACACAGACATTAGTTCGTTCTCTTCATCCGTCTTTTTCTTCTGTCGTACGCTTCTCGGATGAATAAATTTAGTTCTAGTATTGTCGACATATTCGAGAGAAAAGAAAGAAAGGAAAGAAAAAAAGAGCCGCTTTGGCAGACTGATGGGAGGGGAAAAGAGAAGAAAAATGCGTTTATGATCCAATGTGACTAAGATGAAAAGCATGTTTTTTTTCTCTATCAGTTCGGCAACAATTTTCTTTCTGGCGACACATTTTTCTGATTACTCATCATCTACCGGCAGATATCGTGCTTTTTTTCCTGTCGATGTAAAAATTTCATTTTCGTTATTTATTTCGACAATAACATGACAACGATTAGTAGTAATGATGATAAAGAATCAACGCTTGTTGTACATTTTGATCGCGATTGGAAGTTTCTTCGTTTAACGAAGGCTCAAACGAATGAAGAATTTATTTCAAAGAATTACAATGATCAATCGTGGGAATCGATCGATTTACCACATCAAGATACTGTCAAGCTATCATGTCCTGTCTGTTATCGTAAAAAATTCGAGTGGAGAAACAAACCTGATCATCAACAACATATTTATTTGCATTTCAATCCGATCGAAACCGGAAACGACGACGAAAGTGAAGACAACAAAATACCTTCAGCTACGGTTTGGTTAAATGAAAAGAAAAGCTATTCGGGTACTTTGTCAAAGCCGATCGAGTTAACGAATGATTTACAAATCGATGCAGATAATTTTCTCGTTATTTATTTAACAGAAGGTCATACACTTTCATTGAATGCTCGAATATGTATGCCACGCGTATGTGTTGGTCAAGTCAACTACGATGATGTTAATCAGTCCACACCGAGAAGCCGACGACAGTTATTGGATTACACAGCCAGTTTCAATGATGCTGACGGACTAATCAATGTCTTCATTGACTCGTTTCGACATAAAAATAAAGATATTTTGAAAAGCACATTCCATGCAAATGAGGATAGTGTATGTGAACATGCGACTGGTACTGGACAATCTACTATGGAAACGATATTAGAAACAGGTCCAGTACCACGTGTAGCCATTCTAATGCTTATCGTCGGTACGCGTGGTGATGTTCAACCATTCATCGCTCTTGCCAAAGCATTGCTCGCTTGTGGACATCGAGTTCGTCTCGCTACACATGAAACATTCAGGAAATTCGTGCGAGAAAACGGAATCGAGTTCTATCCATTGGCGGGTGATCCTGCTGATCTGATGTCGTTCATGGTGAAGAACGCTGGAATTGTTCCATCAGTGAGTAGTATTGTGGCTGGTGATGTTGGGAAAAGTCGTCGCGTAATCGGCGAGATACTTGCGTCAACATGGAAAGCATGTATTGAAGACGACGATGAAACAGGTGTACCATTCGTTGCTGAAGCAATCATTGCAAATCCACCATCGTACGGTCATATACACTGTGCACAGAAGCTGCAAATACCATTGCATATGATCTTTACCATGCCATGGTCGCCAACAACACAATTTCCTCATCCATTTGTTAAAGTTGATTATGAATTCAGTCCTAAAGATACGATCAATGTATTATCATACGATATTCTTGAAATGTTAGTAAGTATCACAGATAATTGCTGTTAACACTTGTTCTGTCGTATCCGTATTTAGACATGGACAGGTATGCGTGATCTGATTAACGAATTTCGTAAAGATGTTCTCGGTTTGTCTCCATTACATACACGACAAGCTGTTCGTTTACTGATTGATGAACACGTTCCTTTTACATATTGTTGGTCACCTTCACTTGTTCCCAAACCAGTCGATTGGCCTGACTACATTGATATATCAGGATTTTTCTTTCTTGATTTAGCAACAAATTACAAGCCACCGGAGGATCTGATGGAGTTTTTAGAAAAAGGTGATCCTCCTATCTACATTGGTTTTGGTTCCATTACTGGCCATGATCCTCGACGTATCTTAAAAATAATATTAGAAGCACTGGATGCTACAGGATATCGAGCAATAATATCTGGTTTAGCAAATGAGGGCGAAAAATTACGCGAGAATGTGTTCGTCATTGGTAACTGTCCACATGATTGGTTGTTTCAGCATGGTAAACGCACTTGATCATTCGACATCTCATTCCTTCCTCTCGCTCTATTTTTTCTTTAGTATCAGCTGTTTGTCATCATGGCGGTGCAGGTACAACTGCAGCTGGTCTACGCGCCGGAAAACCAACGATCATTGTTCCCTTCTTTGGTGATCAGTTCTTCTGGGGAAATATGATTAATAAAAGTAATGCTGGGCCACAGCCAATTCCTGGCAAGCGTTTGAATTCGAAGGACTTAATTGAAGCATTCAAAATAGCGCACGAACCAGGTACGCGTACCGCTGCAAATGAATTACGAGTTGCTTTCCAAAATGAGAATGGCTGTGCGGCAGCTGTTCAATCTTTCCATGCACATCTTCCACTGAGCAAAATGCGCAGTGATCTGGAATCGTCATTTGCTGCATGTTTTCGTTTGAATGAGTACGACTTACAAATATCGCGTCCTGTTGCTCAAGTACTGATTTCCGCAGGGGCAATCAAAGAATCTGATTTAACACCATTAGCAACTCGTGATTGGTATGCAGCAACATATGATGGTCGACCACATTTACCCATACACGGTTTTATGAAACATGGTCATAAAGCATTAACAAGTTTATTTATCGATACAGCACAAGGTCTAAGACGAGCAGCTGGCTCGAACAGTTTAACAACAGGTACATTAGACGGTGCAGAAAGTATTGTGAGGGGTGTAGGAAAAAGCATTGGACACGTATATATCGGTTGTCTTTCATTTTATGGCGAAATCACGGATGCACTGGAACGCTTACCAAAGTTATATGATCCGTATTCAGATTCAGATAAACGCAAACGACCACAGGTCGAAGACTTTAATTCTGGTGCTCGAGCAGCTGAACATTCTATATGGCATGGATTTAAAGACGGTGTAACAGGACTTGTCAATAAACCCCGAACAGGTTACGAAAGGCACGGTGTGTTAGGTGGAGCAGCAGGTGCTGCTATTGCTATACCAAATGTTGTTATTAAACCAGTTGTCGGTACACTCGCCTCATTAACTTGGCTTGGTCGAGGTATTTATGCTGAAGCCAAACACTTATCACACCATAGAAGTTCCAATTCAGATGGTCGATTGTCCGTATTCACTCCGGGACATCGACGATCATCGTCAGGTTCATCGATGACTACCAAAGAAAGTTCGCCTGAAGGTCAAGCGTCATTACTATCTGGCTTACAAATCGAAGTGTGTAAACAAATTCTCACAGAATTTGAACGTATTAAATATGACCACAGCACGCGATCATCCTCGTCATCAATCAACGAACATGAAAATTCGAAGGAAACGAAGAAGAGTCACAAATTAAAGAAACATCTTTTTCAACGACAACGTAGCCATTCTGCGGCACCTCATTAGTTTTCTTTTCTCTCCTTTCCTGTAGATTCTGATAGAGCCTATTTTATAATCGTTGTTTTGTTTTGTGCTTCTTGTTTCTCCTAAATTAATGTGCAGATAAACACAATTTCAATTTTGAAAATTAAAAATACAGTTCTATATACAATAATAATTACCGGAAGCTCTTAGAATATTCATCATCCAATAACGATGAACAACCTGAATTGTGACTTTAAAATTTATTCTTTAAATACATTTGCATTTTGATCTTTTATAACCTCTTAATAGTTCGTTGCTTGATCACCAAGCGTGTGCGCATGTGTATAGCAACGTTACGAGAATCAACAAAAGAAAGAGAACTTAACATTTACTTTACAATCAAATGTCTTTTTTTCTCACAGATCTATGGAGCAGAAAGCGTGAATCGTATTATTTACATTGGAATCATTCTTTCTCGAATGTTTTTGTATATATAGTAGAAAGTAGTCGGGAACTTTTCTTTTCTTTTTACATTAGACAACGAAAGAAATGGTGAATCACGATAATACAGATACAACAACAGCGATTAATCTTGACAGTGATTGGCGGTATACTCGCGTACCTAATACATCTTCTTACGAGCCGGATTTCATATCTCTATCATATGATGATCGAGATTGGACACAGATTCAATTGCCACATCACGATGATAAAAAGCTACAACAAAAATTTACTTCCACATGTGTTTCGTATTGGTATAGGAAAAGGTTTGACTTAGGAAAAAAGTACGATTCTCATCAACAATTTTACCTGCATTTCGAATACGTTTCGACCAATCAGAGAGACAATGACGAGGAGTCCAGTGTCAAAATACCTGCAGTGATCGTATGGTTGAATGAAAAAGAAATCTTCTCGAGTACTCTCCCACAACCAATTTGTTTGACACAACATTTGAACCGCGATTCCAATAACCTGCTGGTCATCTATTCGAAACAAGGATATCGACTTCGGTTGCATGCTCGATTACTTCTACCATCACGTTTAGCCGGTCAAATCGATCTCGATGATCTGCATGAAAACTCAGCCAGAAAGTTACGTGGCAACCGTCTTGATTACGCTGCGAGCTTCGACGATTCCGATGGACTCATTGCACTCTTTATTCACGCACTAAAAAAGCATGCGAAAAAGAATGGCATCGACTATGATGATCATCACGATCAGGCACCCGATGACGATAAAGAACATTTAAAAAATATCGAACATGATAAGATTGTTGAAGTTAAAACTGAGATCCATGGACCTATACCACGTCTGGCTATCGTTATACTGATCGTTGGTACGCGTGGTGATGTTCAACCATTCATCGCTCTTGCCAAAGCATTGCTCGCTTGTGGACATCGAGTTCGTCTCGCTACACATGAAACATTCAGGAAATTCGTGCGAGAGAACGGAATCGAGTTCTATCCATTGGCGGGCGATCCTGCTGATCTGATGTCGTTCATGGTGAAGAACGCTGGAATTGTTCCATCAGTGAGTAGTATTGTGGCTGGTGATATTGGGAAAAGTCGTCGCGTAATCGGTGAGATACTTGCGTCAACATGGAAAGCATGTATTGAAGACGACGATGAAACAGGTGTACCATTCGTTGCTGAAGCAATCATTGCAAATCCACCATCGTACGGTCATATACACTGTGCACAGAAGTTGCAAATCCCACTACACATCGTATTCACTATGCCTTGGTCGCCGACAATTCAATTTCCACATCCGTTCATTAAAGTTGATTACAATCGAGCGCCGATAGATAGAATCAATATGTTATCATACGATCTAGTAGAAGTATTGGTGAGTCACCCGTGCATTGATATACGCTTTTGAAACAATCGCTTTTGTGTTTAGACATGGTCTTGTATGCGTAACATTATCAACGAGTTCCGTGAGGACACACTTGGTTTACCTCTTTTGCATACACGCCAAGCTGTTGGAATCATGATGGATGAGCATGTTCCACACACTTACTGTTGGTCACCTTCACTTGTCCCCAAACCTTCGGATTGGCCCACACATATCGATGTATCCGGATTTTTCTTTCTCAATCTTGCGACAAATTATAAACCGCCTGACGATTTGCTGCGTTTCCTGAAAAAAGATCCACCGCCGATCTATATTGGTTTTGGCTCTATTACTGGTCATGATTCAGCTCGAATTTTGCATGTTGTATTGGATGCCTTGGAACAAACGGGATACCGAGCTCTATTATCTGGCTTCGATGTCGATAAAAATAAATTATCCGATAATATCTTGAAAATTGACAATTGTCCACATGATTGGTTGTTTCAGCATGGTAAACGCACTTGATCATTCGACATCTCATTCCTTCCTCTCTCTCTCTACTTTTTCTTTAGTATCAGCTGTTTGTCATCATGGCGGTGCAGGTACAACTGCAGCTGGTCTACGCGCCGGAAAACCAACGATCATTGTTCCCTTCTTTGGTGATCAGTTCTTCTGGGGAAATATGGTCAGTAAAAGTGGTGCAGGGCCTGTACCAGCGCCTGGTAAAACCGTCACCGCCAAACAGTTAGCTGATTCCTTCAAATTCGTACATGATCCGGCAGTACAAGAGGCTGCTCAGAAAATAAGCGCTAATTTTCAACGTGAAAACGGCTGTGAAGTTGCTGTTCGATCTTTCCATGCACATCTTCCACTGAGTAAAATGCGTAGTGATCTGGAGCCGTCATATGCTGCATGTTTTCGTTTGAATGAGTACGACTTACAAATATCGCGTCCTGTTGCTCAAGTTCTTGTTACTGCTGGTCTAATTGAGGAATCGCAATTATCGTCGAATTCAACTTATACTTGGTTGACACTAACGCCCAGTGGTCATTTCCAAGCATTTACTCGGAGTGTTAAACGTGCAGTTTCGAAAATTACAGATTCGATGCATCGCTTGAAACGATCGAGAAGTTCAAGTTCAGCTGCGAGAAGATCATCTAATGATCCACAAAATAATGGTAAACTTGATATGATTTCTGTAGGGCAGCCATTTAAAGATGAGATATCTCTGTACGGTAAAGCAGAAGTTCAACTGAAAGAAAAAGAGGCGACGTCATCGTCAACAGATAAGAATGATAAACGCAGTGTTCATTATGGTGCTAGTACTGCTGCTGTGGGAAAACCGTCCACTCGCAATCGTCCACATAGTGTGAGCAATCTTGGCGCATCTCCTACTGTTCGTTTTGCAGATAAAAAAGTAACGAAACCACAAACAAATAATAATCGTCCACGAGCGACCGAGAAGACTCAACGTTCAATCTTATCGAAAGCGAAACCACCCACAGAGTCAACAGCAAACAAATCTCTTGAAGAAAAAGCGGCAGAAACATCTGGTTTTTCTGTTGTTGTATGTAAACAGATTATTGCTGATTTCACGAAAATTCGACAAGACCACCGACAAGCAAATGCGAACGAGAAGTCCATACGTCAACTCATGCTCTTGGGTCCATTACATCGATCACGAAGTCGTTCGAAAGGAAAACTAGATGGCTAACTTGATGTATATCACCGCTAATTTCACATATTCTCGCATTATCCTTCAATGATCATACATATGCATGTATATAACGATAGAGTTCTAATAAAAGCCTCGTATCGGCAAAGCTCCTTTCATCTCTTTCGTTAATGAATAAAAAATGATCTATGATAATTAAAAAAAGAGTATTTATTGTGTGTTTTCAACGAAGAACTTCGTGAATATTTCATTTCGAAAGAATCATCCAAGATTGTTACAGCAACAAATGACAATCCATGCATGTATCGTGCCAGGAACCTTCGAACACAAAGAAAAACAGAAATGATTCATTTATACAATAAGAATAAAACCGAGAATTCTTACAATTCCAAGTAACGTTAAGAGAATATTAATAGAAACAGTTCCACTGCATACTTTATCTCTTGCAATCCATACAGCAAGTGGTGGAATGATCAAACTAAGGAATATCAATAAGATTTTCGTGCACGTTCCAGCCATCGATAAATTCTCAGTGTACTTATTGAGGTAGATGCAATTCAAGTGACTGCTATCGGTTTGCCAGGAATACTATGTTTTTATGTTCTTTTTCAGGTTTAAATTAGTCAGAAGGGAATGAGTAATCCACTGAGAGAACAGAACAATGTAAATGATTACATAGCAGTATACACTGATAAGCACTTGTCGTTGCTTCATAAATGTCAGCGTAGGTCGGCACTTTGAGAAGAAAAAGTAAGGCTTTTATCATAAAAGGCTAAAGAACAGTAACATTTGGTCTTTCAGGCTCGGTCAACATTTACTTTTAGTTTCTATATAATTCCATCGCTATACTTATATCATAGACTTTTATATTTTCAATCTCATAAATACACACACGTTAACATGTATACTTTTATGAACATACATAGATTATTGAAAGAGAGAAGAAGAAAAAAAACACAGATGAAGTTCTAATCAATAGAGACAAAATAAATAAACACAAACAATGCATACGCATGGAGAAAAATCCGAAACAAAAGGACGGCAGGAAAATGATATAGAAGTAAATTCATTCACAAGCGAGTTTACCATCAAATGAAGACAACGCTATACCGAATGCTTGAACAGCACATAGTGGATATTTGTAATCGCATGTGAACACATCTAAATCGAATACAATGATCAGAAAAAGATAAGATTTCATCTCGTAGCTTTTAAAACTGCAATGTACGGGCGAAAAAGATTGAGCTACTTTTTTCGTTTAATCTTGATCACGCCATCGAAAGCATAGTAATACAAAGAAGAAATTTTCTATACACTTACCATCACTGACCCGACCGAATTGCATACATACATAGTCTTCTACAAAACAAACAAACGAATCCTTTGTATAGGAATATATAACAAAAATTTTGTTTTTAATGAGGTAGAAAAAAAAACAATTAAAGTACAGAGTAGACCCTCTCCTTTAACTTACGATCGTCATCATGCACAACTTGGAAATTTTTCACTGATGCTTGTGTGACACGCCCGTGAAAATTAAGAACATACGATTGAGTTTCTATATGAATAAATATATTCGTGTGTACAAAAGGTATGATCTTTACCCTCGTTCCAAACAGGGGTTTTATTGTGTAATTCGAGTAGATTTTCCATATTATTGCGTTTCCAGCGTTCGACCAAACTTTCGGATTCCTTTGAAATAACCAACAATCATATTAAACATGTCAAATGCGCGTTTCTTACATTTTTCGGCCGAACTTCCACACGATGATGATCACTGCTCATACCCGGGATAATAATCGTCATTTTACGTGGGCCTTTGAAACCCAGTATATTGGTTTCCTAACAGAAATACACGACGATTTTGTAAAAATATGTGATGAATAGACTTGTACATACATAGACGATTGCAGCTACTTCTCGACGATGTTCTTCCACTGGACTAAAAAGAGGAAAAAGCAAATGAATTGCATCTTCTCATCATCGAGAGAAGGCAACATACATATTTCGTTTTGGATTTGAACCTTGATCGTATACAGTAAAATGTGTTCCCAGCATATTCGCTCTAGGATGATCAAAATAGCTGATTACACAAGTTGAAACAGCAGACTGTCGATTACCTCAATTTTCCAATAAATCTTTCTCCGTCACGTGACAAATCTGTGGCATCTGTGGAAATCAAATAATTCGATGTAGCACTACGTCGACGTTTTCGTCCAGCAAGAATGAAAAACTAGAATAGACAATATTTATTGATTGATGAATAATGTCTGCTGAATTCATTTTACTTTTTTTCCATCACCCGGCCTTTCCACGTGCATATAGTACGTCGGGAACAGACCTTTTTCCATTCCGCGTTTATCACGTGTAATTCGGCATTGAATGTCTCCGAGTCCGTTCGGCGCAGGTGTATAAACAAACTTATCTAAATCTTCCGTAATCATTTCAAACAAAGATCGTAAGGCAAAGGTAAGTTGCTCGTTCGTTGCAGTCGGAGAATCTGAATTGGTACTATCGTTACTATTATTCGTATTATTGTTATTATTCGGTTGCAATGCTGATGAATTGTTGAAGGTATTTGGAGTCGGTGACCATGGTTTGACGAGTACACGTTCACTTTCACCATCGGAATCTGAATGACGACGAAGAGAACATGTATTTTCGGTATTCTCAGTAGAAGTTACAACACATTTAGAAGATATTTTCTCATTTGAGTGCTTTCCATTTAGTGATGATGATGGTGCTGTCAAAGCAGATTGTCGATCATGTTGACGACGACGATGACGACGTGATGCTTTAGTAGAGTGCAACTGATCATTAGCGTGCTTTTTGTTAGTGCGTTTGTGATCTTCTAACATATCAAGTGTACAACATAGATGTCAAACAAAACAACAACGAAGTAAAGAGGACGAATATTGAATTGCACGAATTAGAATGAAGCATTATACTATCCGTCCCGTATGACAATCTCATCGTGTTCATCAACTCAACGAAAGTATCACACTACTCTCGTCAATTGTCTAGCAGAATATCAAAGTGCGTTTCTATAAAAACTCATCCAGAGACGAAAGAGAATATATTGATCCATTCTTTTTCATGTAATATTCATGCATGGATACAAAAAAAGAAGATACGAAACGTATTAATTACTGTAAGCAGATGGTGAGCCGCGTTTCTCCTATCAACATACCGTTTAGTCTTATTTCTTCTCCATCATCCGGCTCGTCATCAACACTAACTGTCGTTGTTACACCGGATATTGTTTGCAATGGTTTGCCTAATCGATTGGCTGATGCTGAATGGGTTGAAGTTGCAGTCGATGAGCGTGAAATATTAGGACTATATCTCTACAAGGGCAAAGAAAAAGGAGCATGGAAGGCGTGTGTCGATAAAATTCGATTGGATGTATCAAATCTTACGCTTGTTACTTTTTCATTGGATGTGATACGAATAGTACGCAATGGCTCCGTCGTTGGAAATGCTGTAGCACGACTGTTGCCATTGTATGTTGTTGGCTCCCCGTCATCAGGATGAAATGAATTATTATCAAATCCTATCAGTCGAGAATAAGGTATCATGAAATAAGACAAGAACTAAACAAAGCTGATAGGGAACGGATCTGAAAAACTTATTAAATCTTTTCTCTCCCAAGCAATTAACAAGCTCAAAAAAATAATGTTTATCGTGCTGTATGAAAAGGAGAAGAAGAAAAAAGAACGGACTAGATAATTAATGAAAAAATAGAAGGAAAACGGGATAGATGATGAGCTTCGTTTACCTTCCGCTCTAACTAGTCTGAAATAATAGAAAAATAGCACGTTTAATAACTTCTCTTTTTAACAAAGAAAAACGGGCTTCTCCGGGGTTTTTTTTCTCAGCCTATAATTCTCATATGCGATTGTTGATGATGTTCTCTCGATGAATTAGAGAGGAAAGCACTTGTCAGCAATTTATCTTACCTTTTATGTCATCCAGCCCAGAGGAATCTGTTCGATGAGGTGTACGACGAGTACGTAAATCTCCAGCACGTTTTATTGCTTCTTGCTAGAAAGGAAACAAACCAACGGAAATCAAGGTTTGACAATCGAAATTGTAGAGATGACTACTTTTTGATGAATACGAGTTTTGTCAAACTTTTGATAAGATGTTAACGAGTTTTGATCATCATCATCTGATAATCTACAAAAGAAAAACGCATAAGATTTCTTTCATTTGATTTTCATATTCGACTTACTGTCCTGATGCATATGAACTCTTCATCGTTGTCGTTAAAGAATTTGAATAGGTTTTTCTTCTATAACATCATCTAGAAACAAAACATTCGATGACTTTTATCACATCCACACAAACAGAAGTAACATCGCTTGTTATATCACGATTGTAATATTTAACTTCTTAAGTTAAGTATGTGTCAAAAAGAAGATAGTAGTCATATCAAAGATGAAGAAATAAGTGATGCATCTTGCTTCTTATCGCAAGGTTTGTTTTTCGCTTCGTTGCCGGTGCCAACGAGTTATGATAATATTTCCAATCAAAACATTGATACATGAAAGAAAAAAGCGAGACGACGACAACGACGACGACGAAGCGAATCGAATAAAAAAGATTACAATGATTTAGGAAACAACAGTGATCATTAGAACCGCTTGACAGAAGAGAAAAAAAGAACATGGCCGGTTTGATTCGATAAAACTAATAATGTTAGACTGAGTGTACAAACAAAAGTGAACCTAGTAATTAAGTTTTCTACGAAAGTCATTCGATTTATTTCATCTTCTATCTGTTGTTTTTTCTCTCATTTTTTGTGTTTCTACAAGTGTTCTTGTCACTGACAGACGATATGAGAAGATAGAATGGAAAACGATGTTCTCTGTCTTTCTCCAACTTTTTCTTTTCTACTACGACTACTAACACTCCTTTTTTTCTCTCAGCGTTTTTTTTTTTCATTAACCATCTGGAAGAGAAAATATATAATACTATAAAAGAAGAGAATTAATCAAAGAAGAGAAAAAAAGGAGACGTAAAAAAAGAAGAAGAAAAATCCGTAGAAATTCCATCAATGGAAGCAGACAAACAATCAGGTTAAAAAATAGATGGGATATTCGCAAATTCTAAGAAAAAAGGATAAAAATCTCCGTGTTGTCTTCATTAAATAAAACATATATTAGCCAAGATGTCATCTAGTTGAGAGATAGTTACCGATGAGTCATTTTCCAGCCAACCATAAGCTTGAGCGTTACCAAGTGACCCACCTTCAATATGATTGGAAGTGAAAACTTCATTTAAAGAACACATGTAAATATGAGCGATGTCACTATGAATGTTGTTGTGAAGGTAAAGAATACGTTTGATAGAACAGAAAAGAACTGCATGCATACACAATCTTCTTTCAATGCCATCGACTAGGTTATTATCACGGTCGGATGAAATAAACTCATTCGTAGAAGGAGAGGTAATCGTAGAGGATGTGATTCCGCACTCAAAAATTGGCGATGGAGGGAACGAATGTATTTGCTCGTGTACTTGTTCGGCTTGTCCAACTCTGTTCGAATGGTGTATCAAAGATGCGCTTGGAATCTCATGTAATTTTACAACATGTTGTCTATTTCTCTACGGACAATTTGTGATGATTTTCGTTGTTTTAATACCAAATAACTATTCATTGGCGAACTATATTCATTTTGTCTTACTTCATTGTCTGGAATTTCTTGCTCTCTCATCGTATTACCGGACAATGTTTACTAATCCCGTATGTAACCTTGTATAGAAATCATGTTCTTCGCTTACTTCAAGTAACTAGGGTGCTGTGCCATTGAATGATGCCACCCCGGAAAAATTGCGTAGTTACAGTCATGGCACAACTGTTTATCGGTGTACAGAATGTCAAAGTGTCAAGCCACCCCGAGCACACCATTGTAGGTATTGTTATTTGTTCTCATTATTCGATACTATCACGTAAAAGCTTTAATCGAGAACATCGTTGACTCCGTGTTAATGCACTCAGCTCACCCCTATTCGTTCCGGTTGTCATACTAAAAAAACAAGAGATGCTGTTCTCCATCTAGTTTTTTTTTGTTCTTTTCTCTGCCTAGAATTTGCCAACGATGCATCAAACGAATGGATCATCATTGCATGTTCGTCAACAATTGTGTCGGACAAAATAACCAGAAGTATTTCATATTATTCACGGTGAGAACATGTTTTATTAACAACATTCGATCTATGCACTATCGTCGTGACCTTGTCTCATAAAAAAAACTCGTTGGCAAGTTCATTTCCTTAGATGCATACTGTGTTTTCAAGATGAGAATTGAAATTAGTACTTTCACCTAATATGGGTTGACTAGACACGGAGATTCACATAAGTAGCGTAATGAAGGTAATTCATCTTATGTTGTAGTCTTATACATGTATTATATCGATGTATACGTTGATTATCCTGTATTATCATTTAACTAATTGTGTAGCAACGAATTGGACAGGTAAGTTAAGGAAAACATTCGAAATAAATCGATTATGCATTCATTTTCTAGCCTGTCCTGCTTGGTCACCGCCGATGACATTTGTGTTTGTTATACTTCTTGGTTTGGAATCATTCGGTTTTTTTATATTTACTGCTGTTATGACTACGATACAATTCTATTGTATATATACTGATACGACTGTACGCATTCTTTTTGAAACTATATTTTCATGCGATTTTTAATACGGAACTGTTTTAGGGAATCGAATTCTTTAAAGGAAAACGAAGATCTTCTCGATCATCAATGTCTTTTCTCTGTGCGTTGAAAACCGTTTTCGGATCACGTGTTGGACTACAATGGTTAAGTCCGTTCTCTCGTCCAATGAACTATATTACTCAAAATGATGAACATATCACATTTGATGTTTAAAAGACAACATTTATTTTTCCTCGATGAATAAATAAATAAAGAAGACAACGACACATGGAGTTTTCTGCAACTTCCTAGATGTTCATTTGAAATTGTTCAAGTCATTTGAAATACTCGTTTGGAACTTTTTTAATGCATCAAATATAATACAAATGTCACCTTTAAGATCAGAAATGATTTGTTCAACATGTTGCGTATTCGATACAACGTTGATGCTTTGATTATAAGGATTATATCGAATAGTAAATGGCCGTTTGATTGATAAAGCAAATTCCCTAAAGAACAATGACATAGCAAAGATATTTTGAATACAAGCTAAAGTTTCATCGACATAGTTACCTCATCCTTTCTTTCGCTTCAATAAAACTTGCCGAGACGAAGTATTGATCTTGATACGTTGTTATCAAACATGTTTGTTTACAAACAACGTCGGGATCGAATGGCAACTTTTTCGCCTTATCGCTTAACGCATGTTCCAACTCAGCGCAAGACGATAGTAAGCCAGCGCCATACGCCCGAAGACCCTCATTTTGACGACAGAGACCGAATTCAATAGTAAAAAAGTAGCACTGAAACAAGAGCTTGAACTAATCTCGCCAATAGCATGAGATTCCACTTACTGTTGCTAATCGATTAATGTCGTCTTCCGATGCGCCAATAGCAGCCAGACCTATCTCATGAGAAAATTGAGCGAAAGTTGGATCAGCAAGTAGTGGAATATGACCGAGTAATTCATGACAACAATCTCTTCAAAGTAAAGCGAAAAATATTGATCCTTCATTGATATCACATAACTTTAACTCACGGTTCAGGTGTATACGACGGATCGGATGAATGCCGTATATATTGTGTGCAGTGAAACACACGAAATGCCAGTCCGTACAAGAAGTCGCGTGGTGATAAGTAACCGGCGACAGGTCGCAAAGTAAATCCTGTTCGTTCACGTAAAAAGCATGATATGTCTTCTAATTGCGGTATGTTATCTTCTCTGATTTAAAAGAAAAAACAGACGACGTGTCAACGTGTAAAATAATCATTTTCCTTCCTACCTAAATCCACATTTCTCTCGTAATAATGGCCAGTTAGCCAGGTATTCATTACAAGCATGTGTTGGATATAATTTGTTCAATTTTCGAAAAACAACACCCCATGTTTCCGTTTCTTTCCGAGTATATTCGACACGTGGAATAGGATCACCACTGAATGAGATGAAAAGCGATCAACAATCTATTTCAGTCACAATTTGAATAACTTACTGTTTGTATGCGATAGCTAGATCATGAAAATACATCCGACGAGCTCGATAGACTTGATCGGTAAAACCCTAGAAATTGAATGGTATCGAAACAAAGTTTGCTTTCCTAATGAAATCAACCCTACTGGATGATCAGCATCAAGATCAGCTCCGTACAGAAGAACTTTAACTGAGCATTGATCTAAATCAGTAATTCGTTGTGGAAACCAAGGTGTTTCGTCCGTTGCAGCTAAATGACAAAAGAAACAGACATGAAACTTCTTCAGAAAATAGTTTCATACCTTTTCCTTTCTTTTGCTTTTTTACCTGCGTTGGCATCTTCTCAAAAGTCTTTCTCGAAACGAAATCATTGTCGTCGAAGCTTACACGTCGCGCAAAGGATTGTTTGCGCTCGAGAACTGTGTCGAATAGTGAGTGAGATCTGTTGTATTCTGGAAACTTCGCTTTCGGTTTTTGAAGATCCACACCAGCCGGATATATCCAGAGATCATCATCTCGAATGACCACGATCGAGCCTGTCTTCGAATTCATCGAGAGTTCCTCGTCGCTACTCATGTTATCATCGAGTGAGAACATTGGACCTGTTTGTTCATTTGTAGATGGTGCAGTTGGCATGAGAAAACTCGAAACTGGATTACGAATAAAGCCAGGAATCGTCCGATTGTATGATGTCAATGCTGGCTTTTCATTATCAAGTGATGACCACGATGATGACGGAGAATCAATGATCGATGCTATGCGTGAATTTAATGCATGTTGGCAATATGTGCGTAGACAACATTGATCTGTAAGTGAAGTTGAGTCAATGTTGGGTGAGACTATTGATGGAACATTTTTCAGATTGTCAACGAGTTGATTTAACGAGAAAAGATTTTCTTTCAAGTTAATCATTTGATTTTCTAAGTTCTCCATCGTCGATGAAGATGGCGCATCGATTTTCTCCAAATCTTGAACATTACGTATCATACTGATCCAATCGTTGCTGACAAAGACTGGTAAATAGGAAAACAGTCGATTGGTATGAATCAACTGAATAAGTGCCAGCAAACATGAAGAATCATGTAGATCATCTAGACATTGTTGAAGAATTTCTTGTGTATGATGATCTTGGTCAGGATTCAGAATTGATAACGAATAATGAAGAACATTTTGTAGATTTGAATATGCTTCTTCCAATTGTTTATAGGTAAAATAACGTTTCAAATTGTCTTCAATTTCATTCAGCGATCCATGACCAATGACATTGACTAGATAACATAGAACAGTGTCGTAGCATAAAACAGATAATGAGGAGTCATCTGTTAATGAAATGTATAACTGATGACTTAACGCATTTTGGATCTGTGCGGATGATAGTAACGAAATATTCATTGGAGATTTTTGAAACATGGTCTCGGAAATGAATATCAGCTTTGTCGTTCGTATTTATATAAGAGATATAACGATGAATCACTCGGTTTGAGAAAGGAGAAAATTTACTGTGAACTACATGGGTACAACAAACCCTGTCAGTCCCAACTTGAATTTAAAAACGAAGGAGGTATATCACTGAGCCACACGATTGATCATGAATGTTCCATTCTGTGACAGCGTGATATACGTCTGTGAAAGTTAAAAAAACCTATTCAATTGAGAACAATGTTACAGCTGTTTCATCTACATACTAAAGTGCAATTCAGCGATTATTCATTTTCTTAGAGACATCAAGCCCGTATTGTTTCTCTTTTAATCCTCCATTCACTACACCATCGATTATTCTTATAGACGATCTAATGAGAAATTGATTTCTAATGCAAGTTCTCTGTTTGTATTCAGATAACCATTTGTCCTCATAGGAAATATACTATGTACTTATGTAGAAGAAACGATGCCGATTGTATAGAAATATATGCTATTCATACCAGCTGACACCTCTTTTATCTTCATAGATAGTTTGTTGGTTGTGAAACAATGTCGACGTTGGCAGATTTAATTTCGCCTATTTTAATGTCTTCGAGAATAGCTCCATTGAATTTGACGTAGGAAACTATCCTTTTGGTACGTCTACTGTGCGTCACATGAAAATGAAATGCTTGCTGTTTTGCTAATTAGATGAATCATTTTCAATGATCGATTCATGAAATGAGTAGTAACAATAAAATTGTCATTGCACGCAACAGTATCGATGCATCGACGGAAAACGATGAGCCATATTTTCTTCTTGAAGAAAACTCTTTTCCACCAAGGTCATCGATTGCGAAAGACGATGATATGAAACGAGTCGACGCTCTTATTGAAACAACGCATGAAAATTTGCTTAAGAAAGAAGAAGAACAACCACAACAATCACCATTTCCATCGTCCGAAGAAATGGCTAATACCTCAACCGTGGAACAACATACACGTCGTACAGTAACGTTTGACGATGATTATCATCAAAGTTTCCTTTCTTCAACTCGTCGTGATTCAATTTCTAACGGACAACAGAAAGAGAGAAATTCTTCATCACATCTATCGAATATTCCTGTTGAATCCGATCAGACGAATTCTTTCGTACAGGATACGGATAATCTCGTAAGTCGCGTCGTCATTCCATAACTGTTTTCAACATTGGCCGTTGTTTGAAGCTTGTTGAAGATGAATATATTCCAGGTGGTTTTGTTAATCTTGATGAAGATTTAGAAGAAGAGTTATTGAATGATTTCGATGAAGAACTTGATAGTACAATAATTCGACGTAACCAACGGATATCCACATTGCATTCTAGTGAGCTAGCGATCGCTGTTACTCGGTCACCGATTGAACTTTGGCAACGTGCACGTATACTTATTGCCATACATCTCTATCAAGTATTGTGATATTCAATTTCATGATCGATTCCTTTTTTGCTTACCTTGATTGATTTTCGATGTGTAGAAACAAAACAGGATACCTAATTCAACGGACAATACATTTCCTATGTTAACTAAAATGCAGTCATCAGTAAGCAAAACGATTGATGACATAGATCACTATGAAGAAATAGAACATGCAGAAGATCGAAAGATTAATTTTGGTTTAACAATCTTCACTCGATTTTTATTGGATTCTTCTCAACAGTACCACAATGTTGATTTCTACGATGTCGAACAAGGATATATCATTGTATCGAACGTAATAAATGTCAACAATTTCAAATCTGATACAACACAAATTTCGCGGAATATTGTTCCTAGTGAAAAAAAACCCAGCAAACTTTACGCATACGCGATGAGCCGACATTCTTCGAATGACATTCAATCAGTTCAGTTTGACTGCTCCTTTCAGTTTGATTTTATGATTTGCATACCTATTTTTCGTCTCATACTCGGCTTTATGAACTTGAAATCTCACAAAACACTCATGATTCTAATCGGTGATGTTTCTCGTAAAGGTATGTTCCTATCAAAGCAGGAAATCCCCGAACGCATTTCCAGCGTTCTATACATACACGAAGCTTCTTTACTTTTTATTGGTATGTCATTGTGAATGTAATCAGCCTTCTATTTTCAATGACCTCTATCTTTTCAGGTTGTTTGGGTCGTGTATTGCAATACAACACGCAACCACTTCAATTTACTTCTTCACCTCTGTTGATTTCTGAACTATCACAATTATCACTTCAGTCGCACGAGCCCATAATACATATGTGCGATGTACGAACACATCAATCAGTTGGCTTTCTATCCGATCAATATTTCTTACTCTATCGATATGGTCCAAACGAACAATTATCATTGAAATTTTGTAATCCATTCCAGTATGGTTGGAATCGTTGTCATTATCAGTCGAAATATGATTATTTAATATTCGCTTTGATCGATGGAACGATGTTCATCTATCAATTGAATCAAATGAGACAGATTCGTCGCTATCAGTGTCACTGGAAAACTATCACAGATCTCAAAGCTACGACAAATCTCCTTCTTTCGTCATCATTAGATCGACGACTTAATGTTTATAGTTTAGGTTTGTATTTCAGTCTAGAAAAGAAATATCATTGACTTTCGTTGGAAATTTTAGAAACTCTACAACATATCTATCAATATGATGCTTACGAAGAAGTTTATCAAATTGATATTCTACATGAAAATTTGTTTTATTACCGAACTTCACAGCAACTTGTTCTATTTCAACTAAAGTTGCATACTTTAGTATTTTCCATACTGAAAACAAATGTGCGAACATTAAAAGTATTCAAAGATACGCAGCGAACTTCACGTCTGCTAGCAATGCTAGACGATTACTCATGTGTACTTATTTCACCGGTCAGCGGTTGCTGTCTAACACGTATGCCAAATGTTGCAAAAAAAGACATCAAACAAGTCTTACATGACATCAGTAGGTAAGAGAATGAAACTGAAGTCTCAATATTGATACTACAATTGACGAAATTTGCGTTAGATCAAGTATTTACGCTCTTGATTTCGATGGTGAGATAGTTCTTTATCGTGCACACAATGATCCATGTGTTGCTGAATATAAAATACGAAGTAAATCTGAACAATCTGCCATTACCTGCATGGCACTTATCAATCCAATGCGTACACATCTATTTACGCTTGGTACGATGCAAATATCTACGGAAAAATCTCTCGCAAAACAGGCGATCTTTTTCGGACATGCTAATGGTTATATCACACTCTTCCAAGGTTAAATATCTGTGATCTGTTCTCATTGACTTATTCTCGGTATCTATCTCTAGGCGACTCATTAATTATGGAACCTCTCTTAGCTCATCGAAGTTCGCTCGTATGTCTGGAATCATCACAAGCCAGCATGGAAACGACACAAATTTCGTTTATGAATAGCGAGATTCTTCTCTCATGTAGTGCAGATCGTAGAATCCATTTATGGGATTTCAGTATCAATAAGAACGATGAATTAATCCAATTGGTTCATATTCTAACTGTCGAACAAGAAAAAAACATTTCACAAGAAACCATACGATTTCTCTCCATGATTGATAATTTTCTTGTTGCAACTTATTCCGATCAAAAGTTTCTACACATTTGGCAACTGTTAAATATATCAATACAAACAAATGAGCAAGATCGATGGGGCATAGTTGAGCATCCGACAAAGGGAAGTCACCATCGTGGTCAAATACAAGGTACCACAAGCTTTCCTTTCTCCACATTAAATTATTGATATATCTTCTAGCTATATCTGCCACATCAAAATTAAAATTATTTTCTTCTTCCGATACCGAAGGTAGTATCAAAATTTGGGACAGCACCAATACGTTACTACGTGAAATATATCTTGATCAAACATTAAATTCTGTTGAATTTTTATGTCAAAGCGGTGAACTTGTAATTGGCTACCAAAATAATCTACATTTAATTTTACCTGAGTATTATCTTTTGGGCAATGATAAATCAAAAACGAAACAACTAAACATCGTGGATATCATTGCAGAAGATAATCGTTTGGAAGTGCTTCAACCACTCATAGTACCCTATCAATCACTGCCCGTATTCGATTATAAACTCAAACATCATCATACGAACAAAAGATTACAAACATTTGAACGACAACTAGCTGGTGACGAGAGCACATTTCTGCTTATCAAATTTTATTTGTCATATTTAGGTCGTTTCGTCGTCATCGACAATGATAGTAGTCAATCCGATAACGAACAAGTCGCTACGACCACTTCAGATCGTGCATCTATTGTCAGTGATGATGCTGATTGGTCTGGATTAGCAGAAGATGTGAAAGATGTATTGCGAATGAAAAAACATGCAATTCGATATGAAAACAAGAAATGAGATCCGTTCGAAAGTTGCATACATGTAGAACTTGAAATTTGAATTCAATTTTCCAATTTGACACTACTGTATAGAAAATTATCGCTTGGAAAGTTTTTCAATCACTCACAGGTTAGGGGTTAACAGGGATGTGAAAGATGTATTGCAAATGAAAAAAATATATGCAATTCGATATGAAAACAACAAATGAAATTCGAGTTCATCTGTGAAACTAAAATGGACGATATGAGTGAAATCCATTCTGAAGATGATAATTTTCTGGTATTGAGGGTGTAGGGTGTCTTGTGTGGTGAGTGCGATATAGATACTCCATTTTAGCTATCTCTCCATACTCGTTTGTCCACTCGACGAGAAATACAATTTGTCGATGCCGAGGTGGGATACAATCGAATGTTGACAACGATTTTCGTGAGTTCCGAATACGCACACTGTCGTTTAGATCGATTTCGATATTTAGAAAGTCTATTAAAGATAAGTTTTCTGCAATAAATATTGTGAAATTATGTTCATTAGTTGTGACGTAATAGTTGTAATCTTTTGCCTAAGAAATAAATAAATAAAAGAAATGGTTTTTATTGCAGAACAGACCTTTTGTGGATAATTATGATTTCGTAGAACAGTTGCAATCAAACAATCAGCTAATAAGGTTGGAGCTTCATGAGTGACTTGAACATTTAGTTGAACCTTAGAATGAATGACTAGAGTATAATCTTTCGTAGATCCATTAGCTTCGTTCCAGAAACTAGCGGAGAACGGTATGAGTGCATAATAACCAGGTTGTAGCGAGCCGCTCCAATGTGTAAATGCACCACGATTTGTACAAAGTATGGCTTGATGGGTTCCGACGTCTTTCGATGCTCCTTGTTCTACATTACATAGAACGAATGATTGTGTATGATAGTTGCGTTCTCGGCGATTCGGACGATGATATAGCAAGCTAATGTTGATCAATGATGCTCTAGAAATAGCGACTTATGTACACAAAAAGACATGTTTGTTTCTTCTATATTTACTTCGATAGATGAAAATGAAATGTTGGCATTAGTTGTGTCGATGACTGGGTGAAACAATTCACTTCTCGAACATCATAATCATCACTATCATATAAAGATATCGTAATTGAGTTGAAAAAGTGAAGAAATTTTGGCCATGATATCCAGAATGTACCCGGGGATCGATTATTTCGTCCGAGAGAATTCAACTTATTTAGTATGGGCACAGTAAGGTATTGATCTTGATAGTAGGAACGCGCATGCGGGTCGCGAACTAATACAAATGGCACAGATATCGCTGCGTTCGAATATGCAGCAAGTACGGAGAATGCATGACCACTAGGAATGTTATTACGTGCATATTCTTCTTCACTAACGTCCAATCGACCAGTGGATGCATTGATCAGTAAACTAAACAGATACGGAAATCATATTTGATAGATTATCTGGTTTTGTTTCTACATACTATGATTCACATGCAGACAAAAGTTTTGCCCAAACGATTTCATCATCAACACTGTTCGCTGTTGGATTCAGATCGATGTGTTCACATGGAGCACCAGTTAGTAATTGTAATCCTTCTTCTGTTTGCCCGCCGATTAAATCTGCATACGAACCAAATAATTTCGCACAGGCTTTTTCTATCAATGGTACGTATAGTTGTCGACGATGTGCTTGCGTAAATGCAAGTTGATTGTATTGTGTACAAGGAAAGCAATCGTCAACAATGACAGTTTTCCAAAGCCCGTTATGGCAAAGACGAACAAGATAAACGCCTTGATTATTGATAGTTTTAGTTAATAGAATATGTTCGAGCATTTGTGGTCGTTCAGTAATCAAAGCCAAAGCAGCCATTAGCCAACAATCACCAAGAGCACCCTGTTGTATATCACTCGGCTTTGGTGATGAATAGACAGACCAATTTAAATGAAGATCGGATTGCAAAAATGGAGTTATATGAGCAATTCTCAACCATGTCAGTGGATGGCTATTCAGTGACTCAATTTCGCCGATTGAGCGATAAATTGGAGGAAATTGATCATCAACAAAGTGTGTTCCCTCCTGAAACAAAATATTTCTTTGAGAGAAGTCAAAAATTGTATAGAATATTCTATACCTTTCGACAAAAATTGACTATATCACGTTGAAGTTTTTCTGCTTTTGCTTCATCGGACTGTTGACGGTCTTGCACAGCCAATGATTCAGATGTCGCCGATGAAGCCTTTGTATTCACCAACGTTCTCTAAAATAAAAAAGAAAACAGTAAGCCATCCTACGAAAGTCCGATCTGTCCCATACTGTAGATGTTTGAGGATGATGAGTTGACGAAATATTCTCAAAGCGACGTGATCGCTGTGCTACAGTTTGATTTGAATGTAAATTTTGTTCTTGTTTTCTTCGATGATTCGCATCTGGGTGCGCATTAAACTTATTGCTCCTCATATTCGTTATCTAAAAAGCAAATTGTCGTTACGACAAAGGAAATGACAATCATATTTATGCCTGACTAGTACGTATTACTCATTCTTTATGTTGGTTGAATATGCCTATCGGAAAATAGTAACCTCTTGCAGTCGACTAACATCGTATGAGTCATTAACAGTTTGCCCTTTTGTTTTGTTAAAAATGTGTCGAGAAGAAAGAAAGAAAAAAAGAAAAAAAACCGGAGAGTAGTCTACATACAAGTCACATTATGTTACCATACCAATAGGTGACATTAAATTATCGACAAAGTATGATCAAGCATATTTTCGAACCGATCGTGTTGTGTCACATTCTTTTTTTTTCTCCTGTTCAAATAGTTTCAAAATTCATACTCGACAAGAATTGGTTCAACACGAAAAAAAAGACTTCCTTTTCTATGTGTACAATCAATCGAATCAAGAAACATTAATTCAGATACTTTTACAAATTTTGTATAGGCTAAACGAGAAATTACTTCTGCACAGGTAAACAAAGTGCAATTCCTTGTTGATTTAAGTAAAGTAGTACAATCGATTATAAAAGCTTACGTTAAAAAGTATTCGTAGAAATGAAATGTCATTTCACATCCTCAGGAAATGGATTCTGTATAGATTTTGAGGTCGACATTTGTCTTCGTTGATATGAGCGATACTTCACTTTTATGATCATGTTACCATGTTCAAGGTTGAAAGATAAAGTTGGTCTCATTTTTATTCTCAGTATTAAACGAATAGAGTCAATGTCTGAAGAGGTGGTGAATGTAACATAATTCATCTTATTATACGATTGCGAACAAGTCATTAAACAAACGAAAACTATCATTAGACGGCAATTGACTCCAACTGATGAGTAAATTTTCATCGTTGTATTTTTTCTCTGTTAATAGAATCTGTTGAGAAACGTAGATTTATTCTAATAAACTGTATCGAATTGCACTAAGAATAGAACAATAGAAAATGATTTGATTTAGCCTGTTCTTAGTTCTTCCCGATTGCTGATGTTAAATTAAACTTCCACGTCGATCATTTTCATTTTTCTTTCCGTCTCCTTCCTCTTTATTATCTTCGCCAGCATCATTTTCATCACCGGCATCACGGAAACATTCATCATCAACTTCTTCAACTTGCAGATATCGTTCACCGTCAACATTGGTCCAATATTTATTCGCTTGTAAATTGCGTTCTTCGGTAGACATTTCGCTTTCAATGGCAAAGACAATACGTGCTCGTTCCAAATGCCTATTCAATCAAGAAGATCATTCTGATCGTCTTTGTTCAACATTTCAACTCACCAGATTTGTGTTGCACCTTCGATAACATTTCCGTACGTGTCACCCATCATGGCAATCAATAGATTGAGTAATAGAATGGTGACAACAATGATATAGATGACAAGTAAAGATACACTGATGTAGTAGAATGATGTGTCAGAGTATGCATCAAGGTCAAAGTCACCAAGCATGCCAAGAAAACTTTGTTTTACACTGATGAGAAAACCGCCGAAACCTAAGCGAAACGATTCATGAACGAATGAGTTCGTTAATCAGACTCGACTTTACCGTTATTATCGAATAGAACGAAGAATGCTTGTGAAAATCCAGCTAAAAAGACGATATAGATAATAAAAAATCGTAGGACATCGTTGAATAACATTTCATAAATCATCACAACGAATGGACCTGTCAAACGGAAAGCCATGACGAAGAACAACATGTAACCCCAGCCAACAATCGCTGCAATGGCCAATAGAGCGCTTTCAGCGTGAAATTCGAACAGACGAACTATGTTGATCAGATAGATGCACAAACAAAATAAACATGATAAGCAATTTTCCAATAAACCCGAACCCTATTTGGCACAAAAGAAGAAATTTGTAGATTCGCCATTGAATTTTAGCAACAAGCTACTTACAGTTGTTTGGAAATATTTTTTAATACCTAAACTGGTCATTTCGTGATACTCAGATCTTCCTTTCCATATTGCTCCCGCTAGGACAAATAGACGACCGGCAGCACATATACCTTGATGTATCATGCCAGGTGGTTCTATATTAGTTATGACCGCTTCGTCACCTTCGCCTTCGACCTAAAGCTCATCTGGATTATAAAAGACAACGTTCGTATTCTAATGTTGATTACCGTTTCTATGCGCGCTTGATCCATGATTGTTGTTATGAGAAAAATGGATAAGTACGTAAATGTAAGAAGAAATCGATGGAAGAAGATTCGGCGCGCGAAACGTTCCCATTTTTTATTAACTAAATCAATCAAACGTGGATGCATAATCAGTTCTACATGCGCATTTTTAACGATGATTTCTAATGCACCAACTGGTTTTGAATCATCATCCTGGAAAAGTACAAACAATCAAAGATTGCTATCATTGCAAAAGCTTTTGTGCGCCTACATTGTCATCATCATCATCTTCATCATCGTTTTGAAATTCTAAATCTACTTGATCCAACGGATAAAGCACACATGAAACGGGTCCATAACTCCATTGTGTTATTTTACGTTCTTCGAGCAAAAACGAAAACATGTCCGCATGACCGAGTTTCGCTGCTAATGTTAACGGCGTCAATCCGTTTTTATTCAAACGTTTCCATAATGGTGTGACTTTCTTTGATGCGCTGGACTTGTTTTCTTCTTCATCACTGGAGTCTTTGTCTGCTTCTTGTATCTCTATCCAACGTTGTTTAACTTTCGTGTACATTTTTGGTAATTTGTGAATAACAAGTAAATGTAAGATGTTATTGCCATTAGAATCCGTCTATGCATAAAAAAGAATACTTATCTAGTCGAATTCGTTTGATTGCATGAAAGAAACTTTCTAAATTAGACGTATCATACGCGTTAAATGACTACTTTCGTCTATTTATGAAGAAGTCACTGAGTGGTCAAAGGCAGGAACACAAGTAAAATTGAGAAAAACTTTTTTGCACATGTTCTCAGTATGTCATATACAGTTTTGACTCAGTAAGAAAATTGATGCAATGACTACTGATTGCTAGATAAGACTCTATTTTCCGCATATTTTGTTTTTGAAAAAGCGACGTAATAGAATACATGTATGTTGAAATTACATGAAATATACCAAAAATATGCTGTCTAACACGTTATCTTCTTGTACTGTTCGAATGTGTTCGTCGGTGACAGTTGAATGACGATAAATTTCAATCTCTATATTCAATCCACGCCTAGATTGCTATAAAGATAGTTTCTCTCATTCTTTCGGTTTGTCTTGCCCCTCCTCCTCACTCATATCTGACTTTCTAAGTAGGTCATGTGATGTAGTTGCCTGCATATATGGCAGTCTGTGGCGGTAGTTCAAAAAGAAAAAAAAGTCGAGTAAAAAAGATTAAGTGCATCGCGTAACTCTACGGTAAATGGTTACTGATTGAATGCATCGATTCTGTCATCTGTGGTCATACACTACTGAGTGGGTCAATAGAGGCACATAAAAACAATCGATTATACTAACAACATCCATGTCTGCACCGTATTTGAGTAAGATTTCAGCGATATTCCATTGGTTCGTGCAGCAAGCAAATGCCAATGGGGTTTCACCATAATAACATGGTCGACCACTGAAATAAATTTCGTTTGAAAAAGAAAAATCTGTTTTCCTCACGGAATCGCGACATACACTTTGAAGAAATTGCCACTAGCACATGCTGTCAATTGTTTTCGTTGATAGCGTTGATTTTGTTCATCCCCAAGCAGCCATTCAACCATCGTTGCATTTCGTTTAATGATGGCGATATGAAGAGCATTTTCACCATAATACTCCTAAACAAGCAAACAACATATGTATAGATACATCAGGAAAGATTTCAATTTTCAACTTACGTCTTCATTGTATATTTGCGTTATCGTATGAGGGAATTTAGTTATCAGATATCGTGCCATACTAAGATGAGTATCAGATCCATATAAGAAGCACATATGTATTGGACAATCACCGACAGGACCACGTGCATCAACATTTTTGGGATCTTTGGTTACAAGACGTATCATAGCTTCTTCATCAGCTTTTCGAACAGCTTCCCAAATAGTTCCACCCTTTCGCGAATTTTCGGTTTGTTGTTCAACGGCCGATAACTTTGATGAATCATCTTTGGCAGCTTTACTTTGTGCTACGTTTAAAATTAAACGCGACCATATGCTACTAACAGCAGCAGTTTTCTTTATCGGTTCTTCTTCAGCCATCGTTGAGACAGATCAAGTAGTTAGTACTAGCAAAGCAGTTGTTTTCGGTTAGCCCACGTTTAGCGAGGTGATTGACAACTGCAGTAATGATCAACATTTAACCAATAATTTACCTTTTTTTTATTATATTTTTTCATCGAACTTTCCCCGCTTGTTTATCATTCACCTGAAAGCAATGATTGTTCTGAAGCCTGTATACACTAGTGTGATCACGCCAATCAACTAAAACGAAAACATATATATTCTATACGAAGGACATTTTATGTTCTGATTGTAATTACTGTGAAAAATAATGTGTTTTCATCATTACTGACTCGTATTTACTTGTCTTATGTTCAAATGAGAAGGATTACATATATTGAATTTAACCAACAAAATTGTCTTATTTTTTTTTGTCCTGCTTTCGTCTATACAAACAAAAGTGGTGACCTATAAGTCGTTTCGTATACGATAAGAAATCTAATTTTCTGTGACGTATACGTTGTCTGCTAAATCAACGAAGCATGATATTTTTTTTCAAAAGAAAAAACGAGTGAAAGAACATATCGTTAAACGTTTGGTCAGAAACTTTAATCAATAGCAAGTTAGTTCACTTATTTTCACATTTTGTTTCGACAAAAACAACGTGATTACCTTGATACTTTCACAAAAATAGATGCGATGACAAACCACGGGTTACTCGACTGCATCGTAGCTGACGTTGATCCTAACTCAATTGTCGTACGCTAATCGTGTCGTAATTCGTCAAGTGTCGAATGCAGCCCACGCATGAATATGTTCGTTTGAATTAGTAAACAGCTAGGAAATATGTACCTATCGTAAAACGTTAATTGCGCTATAAAATTTCAGATAAATGAAGTGATAACCGTTCGAAGTTAAGAAAAAAACTCGCGTATATTTTATTTATAGTCAATTTTTGCCAATGATAATACTATGATAGGCATAATTCATGGAATGTTTTTAACCAACTTGACTTTGGTAAAATAGCTTTTAGACAAAAATGTCAGTTGTTACGAAAAAGGAAGAAAAACAACAGTAATCATTAATGATGAATCGTACGTCATCGTCATAGTGATCATTTATAATGCGTGAAACGTGTTTCTTTTTTGCTCTGAGTATATGATGATACATGATATGACCGAAATCCACAACCCTCAAGTATTCAATGTTCCGCTACTTGACGAACATAACATAAATCAATAAAAGCGAAACTTAAGCAACAAGAAATCCTTAGATGATACCATCTCGATTGATAGTTTTACCTCATTAAATTTTGTCCGTCTTTTTTATCGTTCTTTTCCTTCTTGTCATAGTTATTCGAATGCACACAGCATGATGTAAATTATTGTGACTGATATATTCTTCAGATAAATTGTACTGCATGGTCATACATCGAAGGTTTTCTGATGTATTTGTATTCTGAAAACGAAACGCGATAAAACGCTTTTAGGTAAAGATTTAAACGAATCTTATCATAGATCTTTTTTCAACTGTTTGTTTTCTTCTATATGGCATAAAGATCTACGAAAGCTTTTGCTTCTTCACGCGGATGTTTTAGTACTGTTACAAAATAATTTGCGACTGATCATGAAAATATGTCCCTAGATGCTCGTGGATAGATCCGATAACAACATATTGTGACTTCCTTGACAGTATACCGTAACTATCTTAATACAATCATCAAAACTATACATCGGCCACTTATTTCTTTAAAAGTAACTTACTTGCTGTCGTTTTTTTTTTGAGGAATATAAAACATTATTTTTACCGTCGATATATCATTAAGTATTACCTTGTGGCATCAATATAATAACATTTTATCATAAAACGAGGTAACAAATTGATGTTTGTATTTTGTAATGCATCTTTAATTTCTTGAATGTATACTATCAGTAGCATACAATTGACAACTATTGATATATCATTTTACAGAAATTTCTAGAGAACAATCATGTATCAGTTTTATCCATACCAGCTGCCACAACGACACTTTTATCCGTGGTATAATCAACCGTATGTATCTCATCCGATTACACCTTATCAGCCATTTATCAATCCTCAGCAGACATTCACATCCTCTCATTTTACGCATTCTCAAACTCCAACCGTCAAAAGAAAGCTGAAAACACTGTCCAACTTTGAATTAATCAATCTATTGAATACTCATATGAGTCAACTCAAACAAATACATTATCAAGATCAACAGCAGCAGTTACCTATTTCGATCGAATTTCTAAGAATACTTTATTATGCACCGAGATCAACATTGGCATCAGCTATACAAAGTGAAGAGTTTTCCTTGGTCCGAACAACACTTAACGATATCCTTCAACAATGGGAACGTTTCTCCTACTTGCCAGACAATGAAGCATCAATGTTTCATATCACTACCAAAGTACTACACCGAATAATCAAAGTCATCGATGACATCACACTAGTACCATTATGGTTATCTGACTCTACACTTCTCGACACTATTGCTACTTCACTCACTCACATAGCCAACACGGGCAAGTTTCTCGACGACAACAACAAACAACCCTTCAGACACTTCACTCATCTCATACACACCTATACTCTCTATCAACAGCATCTCAGTCAACATCCTCACTCCAACAAAGATACCTTCATCCAGCTCCTTCATCCCGTTCAACTCTGTCTCACTTCCACTCATTTCGTCCATTCGTTCGCTACTCTCTCCAACTCACTCACAACATCGCACAAGTTCTTTCTTCTCAAATGTCCTGCATTCATCAGCTCCTATCACGGCTCGGCACTCGAAGAGACCATGCACACTCTCTTGTCCACAATGCTGCCACACTATGTCACCATGTTGGACAAGGCCATGCCTTCGTGTTCTCACTGGAGTCAGTCGATGATTCGGTGTGTCGACGCGTTGCTGAGCATGATCAACCATGGCACAGGCGAGTTTGACAACAATGTGAAACTAGTGAGCGAACACTTACCACTGATCGATCATGTTCTTCGACTGGTGGACGAAGCGTCGTTGTACGAGAATATTAGCGAAACGCTGTCGAACGGTGAGACACTGCTGTTGAACAGTGCCATGCGATTTCTGGTGATAATGAAGAATGAATCGAATATTCTTGCGCATATGAAAGAAAGTCACAAGACGGAGTCGTTTCTTCGTTTGACATCATGTCGATACGAAGGAATAGTGCTGAATGCATACACACTTCTTGCATACACAGCACGTGAAGAAGATATAAAAACAATGCCTGAATCAGATCGATTATTGCATACAATAGTTAAATCTTTGAAAACAACTGTGGATGATAAGTTCGAAAAGAAAAATGAAACAGAACAGTTGTTGGAAATATTAAAAGGTAGGCATGCATATTCAAACTTCGTTTCATAGTGAATTCGATATATTTAGGTCTAATTCAACATGAACAAATAAAAGCTGAAATAAGTAAACAAGACGTTCTCTCATTTCTACTTGGCCTAGTTCATAAATTAACGGGCAAAGCACACGTGTCAATAGTCGAAATCTTATGGTCGCTTACGTTTCATGATGAGAGTGCGTTGATTTTACGCTCTGATCCAACTTTTCTCAAAACAATTGAAAATATATCGAGAGAAAGCCACGATGAAGCACTAAAAAAGGCAGCTGATGGTCTTGTATGGAAACTTATCCGAGGTATATGGAGTAGAAGTTGCACCGTTGCAGATATGCGATAATAATTGTACCATCTTGTTTGTGATTTAGAACCGACATTTCTTAAAAAGATCGCCAAACAGGAAGAAGATGAAGTTCATAATCAGCAGAAAGTTACACAAACTATCGTCGAAGAAGTTATTACAGGTGATGGTCAAAAACAACTGGTGACAACCATTAAACCAGCAATAAATTCTAGCGGTGAACGAATGTTCCAGTACGATATTATGATATCTTATTGTCATGCAGACAAAGAAATGACTTACAAGATTCACAAATTTCTTGTTGATCAAGGCTTCAAAGTCTGGATCGATCTCGACAATATGCATGGACCTGGTTAGTGAACCTTTTCTTTCGTCAACGGAGATCTTCACATTTGCTTTTCTCTTTAGCAATGAGCGCAATGGCGGACGCTGTGGAGAACTCTGAGTTTGTGATCATGTGCATGTCTGATTCCTATAAACAAAGCACATATTGCCAAGCGGAAGCTGAATACGCTTTCAATTGTAAACGACGACTAATCCCATTGATCATGAGACCAAAATATCGGCCAGATGGCTGGCTTGGCTTCTTGATTGGATCGCGAATCTATGTTGATTTTGGTCGATTTGATTTTGAGACGGCATGTGGAAAACTAATGACTGAAATCAGTCTTCAAAGTAAACGGCCATTACCATCGAAAGCCGACCGAGTCAAAGGAGACGAAAAGTCCGATAAGAAATCAGTATTAATCAGTGGTCATGAGAAACCATCAATGGATGATAACACCAACATTCTTTCAAGCTTCACACAGAGAAAGACAATGTCAAACTTCAATCGGAAATTAATCAAGGACTGGACAGCTTCCGACGTGTTGGATTTTCTTTCAACTGAACGTTTAACACCCATGATGCCACTATGCACGGAGATGAACGGTCGAGCACTTATACAATTATATAAAATGTGTCTGTCACAACATAGTTGCATGTACGGTATTTTGAACGACGAATTAAAGTCAACGTATAAAACAAAATTATCTATTCGAACTTTCTCTGTATTTCTAAGCGCTGTCGAACAACGATTAAATATTGATCCATGGTCATTAGCACAAAGCTCGTGGCAGTATTCTGATACAACAACGGATATCATTCCGCAAGAATACACTTCAAATGAGTACAATACCTATCCGGATACGCAATATGATCTTTTACTTACTTCGAATGCGTCCACTTTGGATATTTTAAGAACGATAGAACGTTATGGATTAAACTATGCCAAAACAGCATTTTCTTGATAATTGACATTTCGGCCAACTTCAGATGATACTTTCCGTTTACTGCTGGTTTTGTATTCGATAGAATCCAATTAATGATAATAAATACTGTGTTTTTCTTACGTGTAGAAAGTACATAGTGATGCGAGTTGTAATCGATTATAAATGTATGACAAACATTTCGCTGGTAGCTTTTTTTATTTGTGGTTTTACAGTCGTAGTGCGTGAAGCGTCTTGATTTTTACTCACGATAATGATTATTACAACGTCAGTTATATTTGTGCTATGACGTTTATTCTATGGCTAAAATAAAATCTTGATTGAATTAGTCCAAATATCTATATGAATCATATATATTTCCTTTCAATGTTATTGAGAAGAAGTTTTTTTTTCTTCGTAAAACATCAATAGAAATGATTTTTAAATGACGATGGTTAGCTTCTTTCTACGTCAAATGAATTAATATACAACGAGCAAATGAATACTTGTCTATCTGATTTCTATTTTTCTTTTCCTTCATCAATACACCGTTTCGCTTCGAAGAGCCTCTCCTTGGTATAATCGTCTGTATCCTGTGTTTTATCTTCGATTATATAGATAAAATGAATAGGAAGACATCGATTCTAGTAAATAGAAGTAATTGACTATAAATTAAAACATTCAAGTTTCCAATGTCATCTTGGAATTCTTCATACAATTATTATCCATCGTCATTATATGCAGATATACCGCTGGCCTGTACTCCTTATTATTATTCGTATCCTCCGCGAGCATATCAATCACCTTCGTCATTCGAACGTTCGTCTGTCATATCGAGAGAACAAAAAGTAAATTTACACCGTCATGATCGAAATCAATCGAAAATTCTCGATGATATCAAACAACCTTCTGAGCAAACATCGATATCATTCCATGTTCATAAAACAACGAAAGGGTATCGATTTAATTTACACAAAAGAAAAAGTCATTCACGTGGTAATAAAAAACGACCGATGCAAACATCAGCACCGGCGGTATCACGAGCGGACAACGCTACGCGTAACGATGACTCCATAGATAACTATTCTCAAATTTTGAAGAATCAATCGTCAAATATCACCGAGATAGAGTTAGGTGGTATACTGAACAAAATTACAAGTGTTATGAAGAATTTTAATAGTAATAATATGGAACAGCAGCAACATCAATTACCAATCTTGATCGATATTCTTAATGCACTGCTAGATGTCAATTCAGTCATGTTATCATCAGTTTCACAGAATAGCTTTTTCTCTATCTGTCAAAAATATTTGATTGATATATTGCAGCAATGGCAACAGAAAGGCTCTCTAACAGATGATCAAACTTCTACATTCTCCTCTACGGTTAAATTAGCATCTATTTTGACTCTTAGTACGACTCTCATACCGTCTTGGTTATCTGACTCTACACTTCTCGACACTATTGCTACTTCACTCACTCACATAGCCAACACGGGCAAGTTTCTCGACGACAACAACAAACAACCCTTCAGACACTTCACTCATCTCATACACACCTATACTCTCTATCAACAGCATCTCAGTCAACATCCTCACTCCAACAAAGATACCTTCATCCAGCTCCTTCATCCCGTTCAACTCTGTCTCACTTCCACTCATTTCGTCCATTCGTTCGCTACTCTCTCCAACTCACTCACAACATCGCACAAGTTCTTTCTTCTCAAATGTCCTGCATTCATCAGCTCCTATCACGGCTCGGCACTCGAAGAGACCATGCACACTCTCTTGTCCACAATGCTGCCACACTATGTCACCATGTTGGACAAGGCCATGCCTTCGTGTTCTCACTGGAGTCAGTCGATGATTCGGTGTGTCGACGCGTTGCTGAGCATGATCAACCATGGCACAGGCGAGTTTGACAACAATGTGAAACTAGTGAGCGAACACTTACCACTGATCGATCATGTTCTTCGACTGGTGGACGAAGCGTCGTTGTACGAGAATATTAGCGAAACGCTGTCGAACGGTGAGACACTGCTGTTGAACAGTGCCATGCGATTTCTGGTGATAATGAAGAATGAATCGAATATTCTTGCGCATATGAAAGAAAGTCACAAGACGGAGTCGTTTCTTCGTTTGACATCATGTCGATACGAAGGAATAGTGCTGAATGCATACACACTTCTTGCCCATGCAACTCACGAGGATGATATCAAGACAATACCTAATTTGAATGAGATACTAGGTAAAATTCTTCAATCGCTCAAGTCAACACTCAAAGAGAAATCTGATAAGAAAAGTCAAACAAAACAACTTCTGAGTATTCTGAAAGGTGAGAGCATATTTCAGTTTCAGTCGTCATTGTTGCCCCGTTTTCTACTAGGACTTGTTCAGCATGATCAAGTCAAGGATGAAATCAATAAACGAAACGTCCTCCCGTATCTTGTCAATTTGACAGATGAACTAACAGGAAAATCACTCGTATTACTCTACGAAATTCTATGGTCTTTAACATTCTCGGATAATATCGCTCGCGCCCTTCGTAATAACTCAGCTTTTGTTGAGAAAATTCAAAATGTATCCAAGGGCGACAGTAACGAAGCGATGAAAAAAGCAGTTGATGGCCTTGTATGGAAACTTCTTAAAGGTATAAATTCTACGTATATGAAATGTAGTCACAATGCGTCTGTATATTTTTAGAATCAGCTTTTTTACAAAAAGTAGTAGACCATGAAGTTGAGGCACAAGAAGCAGCTAGATCAAAAGGTACAATTCGAGACAGAGAAAGTGATGGCGAAACGGCAACGCTTAATACAAAAGAAGATAATATTTCGTCTGGAGAAAGATCATTTCAATATGACATAATGATATCTTATTGTCACACAGACAAGGAACTCACATATAAGATTTATAAATTTCTTGTTGATCAAGGCTTCAAAGTCTGGATCGATCTGGATAATATGTATGGACCTGGTAAGGGAATTTCTCACTGATCACCTAGCATTTCTATTTCTATTCAGCAATGAATGCGATGGCTTATGCAGTGGAAAATTCTGAATTTGTGATCATGTGCATGTCTGATTCCTATAAACAAAGCACATATTGCCAAGCCGAAGCTGAATATGCCTTCAACTGTAAACGACGATTGCTTCCATTAATCATGAGGCCAGGTTATCGACCGGATGGTTGGCTTGGCTTCTTGATTGGATCGCGAATCTATGTTGATTTTGGTCGATTTGATTTTGAGACAGCATGTGGAAAACTGATGATGGAAATCAGTTTACAACGAAGAGAAGCAGCTTCAAATGTATCTGTTAATCTACTAGACCATATGTCACCTACAGCGGCAACGGCTTTGATTACAAATCCTCTGGAAAAGGAGAAGAAACCATCATTGAGGAAGCTTTCTGAGCAATCAACTGCAAACAAAGATATATTAGCGACAATACTCAAATCCGTTCAACAAAACACTAATTTTCTTCGGAAACACATCGAAACATGGACACCCTCGGATGTATTGAATTGTCTTTTGGTGCATCATTTACAAAAAATCATTCCATTATGCAACGAAATCAATGGTCGTGAACTGGTTCAATTGCATAAAATCTGCACCACTCATCGACTTCAGGCGTATTCTATAATTAAAGATGAACTGAAAAGCGAACATAAAATACAAATCACTATCAACGATTATACCAGATTATTAACTGTTATTGAAGATGCAATGAAAGCATCTGAATCGTTGCCAACTACTTCAACAATACCAGTAATAACAAGAATAACACCTCCACCACGCTTACCATCACCAGCACCAGCAAAATTGCTATCATTTCCAATGAGTGACTATCCACTCGTCACTCCACCGATGACGTTTATACCTGCTCCAAATAGGAATAGTTCGTATGATTTTCTAGTGACTTCGAACGCCTCAGCTCTCGAAACCTTGAAAGTAGTTCACCGATATGGTTCTCAGCTGAATATTCTCGATTGTCTTCGTCGCCGGCTAACCAATGTATTTTAAAGATATATTTTTTATGAGAAAATGTTCTATATCAGTGTTATAATGTAAATTTTTTCTTTGATTAAAAGAGTTTGATACAGCATAAAAAGGAAGTAGTAGAAGAAGAAGGTGAAAACGAGAGCAGAGCATTTTTGTCAGCAAACATACAATCAAGATGGACAACAAGCGAGGATTGTTCGATAATAAACAAATCATTCAAATAACGAATTTTCATATAAAAAACATGACTACTAACGATTAGCACTTCACATTCCATTTGCGTAGACAACAATCATTGCCACCGGTAAGTAATGTATCATTATCAAGCCAAGCTAAGCATGTTGCCGGATTTAGAGGATGAGCACCTTAATTCACAAAATAGATACAGAGTTAGGATGTTACAACCCAGCCAGTGTGACATTTACCTTTAACTTGTGTCACTTTTGTGATATTTTCCGGTTGGTAAATCATGAGGTGTGTGTCGATAGCAACGGACGCTAGTTTTTTACCATCAGGACTAAATGCAAGACCAGTTATTGAACCGGCGTGATAACGCCACATATCTCGACTGATTGGATCAAAATTAGGTAATTGATAGCAAGTAACGTTCTTCATGTTATCAGCAGAAGCGAAAAATCGTCCATCAGGTGAATATGCAACACGTGTAACAGCATCTTTTTGTTCTAATATACGAAGAACTGTCAGTGCTGTGCCATCAACAGCAAATATACGAGTTTTATTATCCTAAATGATGCAAACAAATCATTATTCTTTTCTTGTTATTTACTTCTTGTGATTTTACTTTTCCACCGACGGCAATCTGTGTGCCTTGTGGTAAAACAGCGATCGAAGTTGGTTCGAAGTCTAATGGATGTGTCACCATAACACCTTGTTGTTCTCGATACATGCAGACAGATGAGCCACATACAAGAAAAACAATATTTGAATCACTAACGGCAACATCACGCGGTTGACCAGCTAATTTTTCTACTCGACTGTTTAAGAAAAAAGCAGATTTTTTCAAGTTCTCGGTTGCCGCGAGTTTGTCTTACTCATATGACTCCCATGATGAATTTAATAAACGAAGTGTATCATCAAGACCAATCGATGCTACCACACCACGTGAATTACTAGCTAACATTTGTATTTGATTTGTATGGTTGTCACCAGTGATATTATTCATTTCGCGTCCATCCACACTCCAACGCACAACCAGACCATCATGACTACCGCTGATGATTCTCGCACCTTGGCTGTCACCGCGGGCAACAGTTAATGCAGTGATGCTTTTGTTATGACCCTGAAGACAATCATATATATATATCATTGCATTCGCCTGAAGAAAGAAAAACTTACTCGAATAACGCGAGTTGGCGTTGGACTATTACGATCGAGATATGTTATTTGACCCGAAAGTGAAACAGTAAGAATTGTAGTTCCAGACCAAAGACATCCAACTTGTTGATCTTTTAAGTCTTGACCGAATGAATATGTTCTAAGACGATGAAAAAAAAGTAAATCGATACTTATCTTGTCATTTTCTACTCACTGTACAGCGGCACCTGTGGTAACGTCCCAAATCTTCGCTGTTTTATCGCCTGATGCAGTTAAAATAAAGTGACTTGTTGAATCCCAGCATAAACCATAGATTGAGCCAGTATGAGCTGGAGCACCAATTTCCGATAGACGTTCGCCAGTTTTACCATCATATAGAAAAACCTGTACAAAACATTAGATTTACTCGAAATGATACGATTTTTGTCGAACATACGCGACCATCGGCAGCACCTGATACGAATCGTTCACCATCAGGAGAGTATCGAACGACGTGCACGAATTTTTCATGGTCGGACATGGTAGTTTTCCATTTAAATGGCGGTCCTTCAAAAAATGAAACGGCATTGTCTTCACTTCCAGTTATAGCACGGAATGGACGTGTAGGTTTAAAATCAACTGAATTGATTGCTTTCGTCATTCCAGATATTTCACCAACAGAATTACCAGCGTCAGCAGAAAATACATGACCAAATCTATACAAGACAGTAAAAACAGATGCATATTTTCTTTCTTCAAGTATTTACTTTTCTTTTCCTTCGCCGCCAACAATGATGCGTTGATTATCCGATGTCCAAGCTAAATCTTTGATTGAGCCAGAAAACGGTTGAAACTCATTTTTTAATAAATGCTCTTTATTATCAGCACCCCAAATGCGAACTTTGCCATGGTTATCTGTAAAATCAAACGAATCGACTTTTATATGCCACTAACCGTGTTAACATACCAGCTGAAGCAATATACGATCCACTAGGTGAATATTTCGCGCATTGTACAGCAGTTGAATGTTCAGTATAGACTTCACACTGAGAAGGATCCTATGAAAATAAGCAGATTTCAATTCCGAATTCGCTATAAATGAGTAAAAGCTCTCTACCTCAATGTTACGAATGAAAACACTATTGCCATTTGTATATAAGATTGTTTTGCCTTTTGGATCGGCACCTAAGACAATAGGTTGACCACGGGTTGTTCGCGGTAACGACGCATAAATAGATGCTAAAGAATACAACATGAAATACATATTTTGGTTCCGGTAAACAAGCAATATGTGGACTTACTGAGAGTACAACTCATATTTTCGGTTTCGATGAATTGTTTTGGCTACAAGAAGGAAAAATGTATCTAAAAGAGATTTTATTTGCTGTTTAACAAGTTTTCAAAATGATAAAAAGAGCTTTTCTCGAAATAACTTTTATTCACATCGGAAAGTGATATTGTACATATTGAAAACGAAAGATTTCGTTGAAGATTGCTGACCTTCATGACCGATCTTTCATTTTCAGTTCAATAAAATAGCTTTTCCATGAAAATGAAAACAAACAAAAGTTCTATCACAAAAAAATCATCCTTTTTCAGCATGTCCATGTCAAGAAAAATAATCGTAATCATATGAAAATAAATAAATCGTTAAAATACACACACGCACAGCATATACATTCGTTTTCACCAACCAAATCCCATGAAAAATAAGTTTAATAGAAGAACTCTTCTTTTTCTGTAGATATACATGATTAAAACCACGAAAATATCGGATAACGATCGTTAAATTTCTGCTTAAAATGTCTCGGTTCTCCTGTATCGAGACCATGAGCGCGTTCGACAATAATGGCAGGCATCTGAACTAACTGAAAGGGTGATTTACCATCACGCAGAGCTTGAGCTAAATTTAAGATCTAGAATAGACGAATGGCGTTGTTCAGATTATTACGTATACGTCAGAAAGAAGATCAGTCACCTGTCCCCGCATGACGGATAATTGTCGTTCAGCTAAGCGTCGATCATAGTTCTTATCTTGTGAAAATAATCGTTGGATTTCTTCACATAACTCATGTTCAATAAAATTCATATCGGATAGTAAGGGCAGTACGAGTGATTTAATTTCTTCGGAAAATGGAATTTTAGCTTGAGGTAACCAAGCCCAATGAAATGGATACGTGCGCCATTCATCAGGATGTTTAAATGGAAATGCCAAACCATTATCGATAGCTGCGATACGTACATCAATAGTCGCTCGTGTATTTGTTGTTTCATTTGTTGTTACAGGATCAGTCATACGATCGCCTTCGCCCACATCGATAATATCATTTTCAATCTAAAGAATGAAGATATCCAAAAAATAGATTAGTTACGATTGTTTTTGTTGATGTAGAGAAAGGAAAAGAATCTCTGATGATTGGTTAGTTCTCTCTAGACAGATATAGACGTTGTTTACTGTACTACCTGTCCTTCTGCGTGTAGTTGTGGACTAGAGAGCGCATGTAGTAGCTAGAACAAGCGAAGAAAAGAACATAGATAAGTAAAAGAAACAGTAGCAGTATCATTGAGTGTATCTCAACGATGTACAACGATGACAGCTGTCTATCTACTTACCATATCGCGTTCGTTATTCGTTTTGACTTCGTATTTAACTAGCCAATTGCCATTATTTCGATCTACAATCAAAAGAAAATCAAATCATGTTCAAAGTTTGAGAGTAATTCAGTTTTATGCTGCAAGGAGCTCGCTTTGTTCTCTTTTCCTGTAGCAAAATATTTCACCAGAAAGACATTCATTAAGCGAAAAACTTTGAAAGTATCTTAAAACAATCATTCGGATGAATAGCTGTTTCATGAGATATGAATCTACGCACATCTTTAATATTCAAGACCTCGAGCAAAGAATAAACTAGGAGATCATCTCTCATTCTTTACAAACAATACACATGTTTACACAGGCTTAGAGCTTCTATTATCAATACTGTCTACTGGTCGAATAATTAACCTGAATAACAAGATTTTCTTACCTGTATTTCGAATAATATAATCTAACACAACAAGTCGTTCGAATTGTTTTTGAAATTCAGCGGTGACTGCGTCGGATAAAGATTCATGATCTATTCGCTTGAGAAAAACATCGGCATCGACATAATTCTCAACAAATAATTGAAACGAGCCAACCTAATTTACACGCCATGAGAGAACAACAATAAGACGAAAGAAAAGAAAAGATTTACTTTTGTCGGTAATCCCCTCGGTTGAAATACTCGTCTACCGTGCATATGCCGACCGACACTTTCATTTATTTCACGTTTTGCTGTTACCAAATGCCGTTTGTACGCTGGATAATTAAATGAATCAGCAGCCAAACGCACAACTCGTGTTTTAGGAACGATATTGAGACGAAGTTTTGTATCTATTATACTGGCACCAGCCTCAGATAGATATCCTTGATTAGGAATAAGACATCCGCGACCAAAACAACAAGGACATAGTGTCTTCTGTAGCCTGAAGAAAAGAGAAAAGAAGACGATCAATACAATAAGTTGATTTTAAAATTTACAAACCATTTAGTCCATTTCGGATTAAATCGACCATACGGTTCTTCGTCTTTTGGTTTGAATACACCAATAGTTCTCTATTTTAAACATAAATTTCAAATATTTCTTCTTCTAACTCACAAAGCCATATTAACATACGCCTTCGAGATTGCGGACAAAGTAAGAACCAGATGAACCAGCTGCTATTCTGACTGGTAAGATACTGCCTTCGATCGCTCGTTCGGCTTGTTTAATCACTTCGGCATATTCGGGATCATCTGTTATATTTGTATTCCATGGCGGAAGATGAGGATCTGATAAATCCATGTTTGGCGTTGTAGGAGTTGACGGAGGTAACAATGGTTGACTTTCACTTGTAACAATACAGACGTCTGGCAGTATACCACTATTCACATTAGCTGCTGAATGTTCAACACCATCAGAATTCATTCTGTTTGTTAAAAAAAAAGGAAAACAAATCAGTAGGTACAGAGAAAACTCGACCAGAAAACAGAAATAAGTAAATATTAGATTTTGCTAGCAGCCATGCAAAAAATGAAAATACCTAGTTAGTGATAATTGAGTTTTTAGCAGTTCCTATACAAGAAATTATTTGTTTGATGACAAAGCAGTTTAGACAAACAAACAGATAAAACGAAACATGCACTCACTCTCTTACTGCTGCTTTTCGTCATGATTGTACAAAGCTTAGGAATAGTTGTTTTAAACTCAGAACTAATTGAATGTCTCTTGTTTTCTTACTGACTTGATCGATCGAGTTCCTGAAGAAAAATAGTAATTGACGGAAAGATGATGATGAGCTGATGTGATGTGGAAAGATATGAGTCATTTTAATCTGGCATTCATTCATGTTCCAATTGAAATTTATTGAAAGAATTCCAAATCTTCTCATCGAACGTCGCATCAATATTTCCATTTTGAAATAAATGTTGAAATAAAATAAATTTTCGAATTTATATAAAACACGTTTTTGCTTCTCCTAGATGGCGCCACTCTTCGCAATGAAGTTGGAATAACAACATTAGATTTCCTTAAAAGGTAATATTCACTTTATTTACCATAGTCATTTATATAACAACGCAAAAATGTCATTACAAAAAAAATGATGTATGCTGCTCAGCAAAAGAAAAACATGACTACAGAAATTATTCCCAAAAAGAGAATTTGATGTGTGATATCTACACGACTTTGCTGGGAGGATATGTCCGATGGAAATCCATCCTATATCAGTAATCATTAGGCCAAAAGGAAAATTCAAATGAATGATTTTAACTAAGTACTCCTCGCGTGATTTTACATAGCCAATCTTCAGGTGAGAAACAGAGAAAAATATGTAAGGATCACGAAAAAAAAAGTGTATAGCATGTTGTTTACGAAGCAGGCCTATTAGTTTTCACCAAAATGCGTTCTTTTCCGATGCTTTCGTTGCAAATTAACTATCGGAGCAAAAACTAAACCGTCTATTGACATTTTCGTCGTTAATTATGTTGAATACCATCATGAATCACTGACGAATTCAATTTATGAACAATTGCTAGATAAATACCATTATTCGATCCCAACATCTTTCATTTCCAGTGGGAATTCAATAGCAATATGATGGTTTTCATGAATCATATAATCATTATCTAGATGTGTTCTTATAGATTATAAATAAAAAGGTGGAATGAGCGCTTGCAATATTCCTGTTTTAGAGTCTGACAAACATGAAATCTTGGTACTCGTATGAGGTTCAATAGCATTGAAAAAAGTAAGTCGTTATTTGCATGTCATACTTACGGACATTTCTATCGTTTGAGCCCATCAATTTTCCTGTTTCGAATAACATAAAAGATTTCGTGAATGTCTTGAAACAAATCCGAGATTTGTCAAGAGAACAACTTTTGTAATATATCTCAATCATATATTTTCCCACGCTGGAAGCAGCATTGCTGTCGACCAGTGAATGAGAAAGTACTTGAGTTTGCGGATCTATCCACCATATAGGCTTGTCATTTCGACAAGATTAGTTCCTTATTTTACGAAGAAAATCTGACAAGGAAGGAGTATGGTAAGTAAACTAGGCTGGAAAGTCAGGTCGAAATACCATTGTTCTTTCTTGGTCGGTATTTCATTTATCAAAACAGTCTATCTATGAAACACATGTTTTCAATTATTTGGTTGCTTCATTTTGTCTTTATGATAACAAATAGTCATTGTGAAATCATCTCATCACCACCTCCGAAACATTGGTTACAACATGCGAGCGTTCCTCATGCAAATCGTCAGGAAAATTTTTACTTCTATCTCAAGCAATCAAATAATCATCAATTGAACTATCACCTTCATATACGCGGAAATCCTGATCATCGTCTTTATCATCGAACATCTTGGTTAACACTTGATCAGCTAACGGAAATCGTTCGACCCGATTCGACTTCTATTCAAGTATGATTGAAATTAGCTTAGCAGTAATTTCCTATGATCGAGCTTTTTTTTAGCGTTTGTATCATTTCCTTTGGAGTCATAAGATTAATCTAAATCAATGTCGTCATAGTCACGATGGAGCAATTCTAGTTTGTCCAATTTTATTATCTAAAGCTAATGAAATGTTATCTGCAAATTATCAAAACTATCGTCATACCGTCAAGAATATAAATGTAACTCGAACACTGTCATTTCGCTTACCACAGTTTCTCTCGAATCATATCGTAGCTATTACGCCTACAACGGTATTTCCTGATTTATCAGTATTTACTAGTTCAAAACCATCAACGCATATTCGAAGGAAACGACTAAGTCAGTTTTGTTCTTGCGAACAGTACATTTCACCGTGTTATTTACGAAATCAATACGATATTTATCAGTATCGCGCTCATCCATTCACTAATGTCACATTAAGTATTATTGGATTAGCAAACCAATATATCAATGACGATGATAACGATCTTTTTTTAACATCAATCGATGAAAGTGAAGAAGTGATTAAACCCAAAGTAAACATTCTGGGTTATAACGACCCATCAAAACCAGGTCGAGAAGCGTCTCTTGATGTTCAATATGCATTAGCTATAGCACGTGGTGTCAAAATTGTTTTCTGCTCTATATCTGATACAAACGATCCATTTTCCGATTTTCTATTTCAACTTGCTAATATGCAATCTCCTCCTGATGTTATTTCAATTTCTTACGGATTTTTGGAGACACTTAACGACTATTCATCATTTCAAAAAGCAATTAATCTAGAATTACAGAAGGCAACTGCGAGAGGTGTCAGTATTATTGCTGCAACAGGAGATAACGGTGTTGGACGAGGTAAATGCTTGAACACTAACGTATGAGATCGGATTTAATTGTTTTTCTCTATGCTTCTTATCAAATCATTGCCTGGGAAGGTGAAAATTTTATGATTGATGTATGTCATAGTAAAGAGGATTTAGTCGTGATCAGACTTGTTGTACACTCCGTGTCTTACATCAAATATTTTCTCCAAACGTTTTGAAAAGGTGTTTGTTTGCACAGAGAAGTCGTGCGCTTATTATAAGCCTGACAAACACAAAGCACACAGCAGTAAGATCTATCGATCAAAATTCTGAACGCTGTTGGTTTATCCATTCATATTTCATAGATTTCGTGCGCAATAGTCATAACAATTCACGCATTGGAGGGAGGTCTATAATCGATTTTCCGAGCTTGATTGTCTTTTTGCTCTGAATTATGGAAGGAGAAAGCATCGACTCCACGTAAAAAATAGCTCAGTTCGATCGTGACCGTAATCTATAATTATGACTTATTTTTGTTACTGTAAACATTTGTCGTTTTCAACTCAGTCGTAGCAATTAAGACTTGAATGGATCACAGAATTTTTCTCTTGTGACATTTCGCGCTTTCGTAAGTGGAACAGTTGTCTTTTGGGACAAAGTAGTGTGATATGCAAAAAAAAACTAATTATCCCTTGATTCGTTTAGATTCAATTCATGCTTGTAGCTCATATCACATAAATTTTCCGGCTTCATCTCCATGGGTGACTGCCGTGAGTCGAGTTGTTCTTATCTTGTTTTTGTCGAATACTATTATATAGGTTGGAGGCACAATGGGGTGTTTTGAACAAGCAGCATTCTTTTCAAGCGGCGGTTTCAGTAGGTGAACGAGCTGTCAATGGTAATCAATGACAATACACAAATTACTCTTATTAGGTTCGTTCGACTCGCAACCGACCTACCAAATTGATGCTGTTTCACAATATCTGAAATGTAACCGTCAAGTATTACCGCGACCTCATCTATTTAAAAGTCGCGGACGAGCAGTACCAGGTATGAAGAAAGCAAAGAAATCCATAAAAATATCGAACTTTCTATAGATTTTAACTTTTGTATAGCAAAAAATGTGTTCAGAGGATTGTGAGAACATGTTCGATGATCATCTCGAAGAGAGGATTCTTTCAAACGCCATAGTCTTTCACACTCATTTGATGTGTTTCTTCTTGATTATTCGATTTCTTTGAAGTTCATTCTGAGCACTTTATTAGAGCACTCTCGACGAAGATATGATCATTAAATCTACATAGATGAAAAATTTAATATGAATATTTCTATTGGTCTTAATGTAAGCGTTCCTTTCTAGATAAAGAAGTTCTATTATTAGCATGGCAAGAAGTGTATTAAGGCATCATAATCTTTCATTGTTTTCAATCCTACGATTTTAGTATGCATGAAATCATCAGTAAGATTTTAAGTTTCTTTCCTGTCGAAGTCGTGAACATATAACTAATGTACGTTTGACCTGATATAAGTTACCTTCTTGATTGAATTTTTAGATGTAGCCTTACATGCAGCAAACTATTTGAATATTGTCAATGGTGTCATTCAATCTACGACGGGTACTTCGGCAGCAGCGCCAGTATTTGCATCTATGATTGCTTTGATAAATGATTATCAGCTTCGACATAATCGCAAAAGACTTGGCTTTCTCAATCCGCTGCTGTATCGATACGCATCTGACCTATTCAATGACATTACCACTGGCTATAACACGGGCTGTAATACAACTGGGTTTTATGCAAGTTCGGGTTGGGACCCGGTGAGCGGACTAGGTGCGCTATCATTTATTCGACTGCAACGGGTACTCGATAAAATGAATAGAATAACATAAACTTGTGCGAATAAAATAGTATCTACTGTTGCGTCTTTCTTCTATTTTTGCTTTCCATTAAACGACTTACAAACTAATCCGATAAGTTGATAAAAAGTGAATATATTATTAAAATTCTACCTATTTAGATATGAAATGACGTACGTCGAATTCCTATTCAATACTATTCGAATTTAACAAGCTTGTTCCAATCGGCAACGATTTGTGTAAAACGGTTAGTACATACGACTTCTGAAAGTTTATTACAATGATTTGAAAGTGGAGATGACCTGCGCTGTTTGTTTTTCGCGAGACAAGAAGCAAGTAAAAGAACTTTTGTTGTTTTATTAGTTCACAAGTAGTCAGAAGTGAACTTTTCCGCGTTGTTGCATAATTGAGAGAAAATTAATGAAAAAAGAATAGTATAGAAATAAGAAAGACACAAATCCATTAAAAATTATAATCATATACACAGGGATGAGACGCTTTCAGGATTCCAACTATGTTAGACATGAATGTGTTCTAAATATTTATATCCTCTCCACTATATCAATACGAGGAGGAAAAAAACACCGTATACTCACTCACCTAACAACTATGTCAAAACAATTTTAGAAAAAAACGGACCTTTTTAGTGGAAGAATTCTCTGCAAAGTCGTTTTCTCACGAAAAGACCGCAAATAGACTTTAGACCGTTTTGCCCTTCAAGAACTTTACCATTTATCATTGTGATTAACGACAAAATTTTCATGATTGTCAAAATTAACCGGATTCGTGGAGTGAATCGGAAATAATTATGTTGTTTTTACCAGTCACTATTTACACACGGTGGAAATGAATAAATAAATATTCTTCTTGTCCCACATATTTCGAACGATATATATATTAGTAAAGACATCTTTCGAAAAACGATGCTTTTCTAAATGCTTAAGCATATTTACATTTGGAGTTTATCATTACAGACACTAGCACTCGTTTCAACGTGATTTGTAAGGCTGATTGGCTCGTCTCTTTTCCGACAGAATTGAAAATTTCCCATTATTCTAAGAGAAAAGCTGCTTTTTTTGTATTTTCAACCTCTGATCATCAAGCAAAAAGAAGTATGATGAGAGCACGAGAGAAAATCTCATTTTCTTCTAGCTTTTACAATTGTTTTGTCTCTCATTTACAAAAAGAATAGACTAGTGAAGAAGTCACTTCACTTTTCAATATAATTATGTAGCGAAAAACATGACAGATGCTATATTATGTATTTTATCTAGAGAATAACCGCTCGTTTCTCATCGAAAATTCTACGATTGGTGCAAAAGGCTTCTTTACTAATGGTATTGTTAATTTCCGAGTTTGAAAAAAGAAAGATTTTCTATCTTAGAGAGGAAATTCTATAAAATGATTCTGTAAAAATGTACTATCGCTTAGTATTCTTGACAAGTACTCAAGAGAAAACAGATCAGCCAAATTGATAATATAATGACAATATCGAGGTAAAGAAATATTATTCCCGTTCTGTGTATATATTCTTTGTGAAGTATTCACTAGTGAAACACTTTTTTGGAGCATCCATTCATGTAGCTTAACAAATCAATCACTCTCTCTATTCCGGCATGTCATTCATGTCATTTTAAGTATTGCGCATTCTTTACGTGAATGACTGAAACAAGATCATAGTCTATCATATTCATGTGATTATCTCAAGGGATCAGATTTCATCTGAAACCTTAGCAAATCTTTCTAAAAGTAAGAAATCATTAAATACCATTCATGTTATAATTAACAAGTCAGTGACGTGCAGGTTCTTTCATTAGTCAAAAGTCTTTTCTCATCAGACATGTCTTCCCTTTCTATCAAATGAAAATATACGAACTAATCGTATTACATACAACACATAGCATATAGAGACGTCTTCGAATATTTTTTGCAGTGCAAAATCGCGTTACATCTTTTGTTGGTCATGAAAAGCAATTTGACAATACAAAAGGTAGCTGCACACTTGAACGTTGAAGTACATAAGTATCTGTGATAGCCTGTAACGAGTGCCTAGTCAAAATTTGTGTTTCAAGTCTTCTGATAGAGTTAGGTTCGCAAAGGATGCTAAGTTCAAAAAAATAATTTCGAAAGTAAACCAAACTTTTCGAATTCATCATTAAGTTATCACCTTGAAGGTTCTGCGAATCGATTTAACAATCATGAATACGAAAACGGGCAATAGGCCTATCGAGTGCTGCATCTCTTTTAAAAGTCTCATCCCATTCAACTTCACAATTTATAGTTCGATCGTAATGCGCAGAATTAGTACATACGATATAACTCCATGACTTTCTAATGAATGTCTTATAGAAGATTTTTCCTTATAGTTTAAATCGAAGTATTCCATGCAGTGCACATGAGATCATATGTTCAAATTATAGTTGCTCCGAGATATATCTTAGTCTTCAAAATATTCCTAATAGAAAAAGACGCATTCATTGCGTGCGCGAGATTTTGTTTTAGTTCTTTAGAAATAAGAATAGACTATACAGATTTGTTTTTGACAGTGCACTTTTCTGAGCAAACATGAAGCATGAATAATGATTTCATCATTCAATTCAGTGAATCAATGGAACAGGAAAGCGTACTTCAAAGTTAGCAACACTTTATTTTAGGAATTCCGTTCTCTCCCGAAGAAACATAAAAAGTACATCTTTCTTTTATTTTGACAAAACTCTCATCTCTGCAAAACGACTCGTTTTCTTCATAAAGCCAAGTTCTTTCTTACTATGAATATCTGTCATACGAGTTTTATTTCAATAAGAGGATAAACTATTCATTTGACGTCGAAAAACAATACGCTGATGAACACATATCTATAATTACTAACTTATATCCCAAATGGACGTCGTCATCGACAAGGAATACTTTTTCATTTCTTACTTTCCTAGAACTATCGAATATAAGCCCGAGCTCTTTAAGTCTTAGTTTGCTCTTTCCTTTCTAATAGATGATGATGATGATGACTTCGTCATGCACTTGGATCGGTCTTGGGATTATCTTGATTGGCTCAATTGGTAATTGGTTATGTATTTGTGTGTTTTTTCGAAAACGTTTTCGTTCGTCGATGTTAACGCCCTTTTTTGTTGCTTTGCTCATTGCTGATTGCATTTATTTGACATTCCGAGTTATCAAACTGTTATATTATCAACAAACATTGTTTCAAAATTTCTTCTCGATGCTCTCATGTTCATCAAGTTTATTAATACAAATCTACGCTTATTTTGCTCGGCATGCTCCACAAATCTTCGTGCCGTTATGCCATTATGAATTTTACATACGGTTTTCACTTATACTGATGTCCTTTCTAGCTGTACAACGCGCGTACGATATGTTTCATTCATCTTATCGTCTTATGCATAAAAGTATAGCAACACAAACGTTCTCCTACATGTTAATTGTTTCTGCGTTAATTGTCGCATATGCATTCGAATTTTTCGGTTTAAGTATTTTTTGTTCGAATGAACTCAGTGCTCAAACAGCCTATCAATGGTACGATTACATACGAACTAATCTCACCAATGAAATGGAACATTTAGTCGTATTCATCAAGAACAATTCTGGAAATCAAAGTGAAATCGATTGTCTTTTACAGAACGACACAAATTGTTCACGCGAACAACAAATGGAAACAGTTCGTAAGTAGAATCCAATGTTTGCCTTTGAAAAATTCACCTATTCTGACGCATTCCCAACCGAGAGAAGTACCTGCGAGCAGAACGTATTATGCTGTAGATTAATTTTATTACTGAACACGACAGGAATGGTAATTATTCAGTAATATGATTGTGTAGCTTGATTCTAAAATAAGACAAAAATGCGGATGTTGGTATAGAGTTGCGTATTATCTTGGGGACGCGGGATTAAGTATAGAGATGAATGCAATAGTTGTTTTTTGCTTAACGATAGGCGAACTTTGAGATAAACAATCAAGAAGACATGCCAATTATTGCAAGTATTTATCTAGGTCTAAGATGTATAGAAAGAGAAGCCTAATAATCATCGAGATTAGATTAAAGAGTTTCTTTATTAGCAAACAGTATTATTAAGATTGCACTTTATTAATAGTCAGGGTTCAATAAGTGCTTCTTTTTCAAGGACATTATTTCGATATGCACCAACGTCCGATTGTTTATCTAATTCATAAATATCAATTATCAACCATCGGCAAAAAAATGGCACGTAACGAACTTCGTCTCAAGTATCACTATCACACGTGTCCATTCCGTATGCAATCGGAATTGTTTATCGACACCTATGATCTCCTGTATTCACGTACATTTGGCTTTAATCGCTACACAATTATACTTGGTAAGCTAAACTTTCTTCTCATTACGTGTTATTTAAAAATTGGTTTTAGTGATGGGAAGTATTTTTCCGTCAATTGCGACTATACTCGGCAATGCTATATCTTTACAGTGTATCATCGCAATTCGTAGTTCGGTTGTCGAACAGACACGTGCATCGCGTCGACGAACCGACGAAACTCGTCGTGTGATCATCATTATAACCATTGAATGTTTATTAGCTGTAATTAATTCTTGGTTTGTTGATAGTATATTAATTATGAATTATTGTCGTCGGTCGCTAGCTATAGGCGATGATTGTCCAGACTTTTTACGTCGTTCTCAAACGTTTCTGTTTCTTTGTGATTTTCTTAACTCAACATCAAATATTATTCTTCATTGTTTCGCTGGGAGACGTTTTCGTCATGAACTAAAACGCATGTTACAGGCATGGATAAATACAATTCGAAAGCGTATACCTTGTTATTGTTACATTCAATGGAAGAAATGCAGTAAACCACCGAAAACTTATGATGATCAGTTTATGCCACATTCCGACTCATCTACGCGCAAATCAAAAGCTTTGAGGTATCCTATAGCGCAAACACATGAATTTATCAAACTAAGAGTTGCCACATATCCAACAACTGTATTATAAACTACAATTTTTCTATTTTTTCGATTCACTGACGAATAAAATAAAGAAAAACACATATATCTTTTTCCGTGAGTACCATATATTCAATCCAAACGCATCATCTGGTTCTTTTTAATTATCAATTTGACAATCATTATGGTGTAGAAATATCTATCGATCTGACTCGTGCATATAGTGCTGATAAACATTCATTATTTTTATTCTTTTCAATAGACAACATGTTTTTTTCGTCGACGTCGTTGCTGTGGATGAAAAGTTGCATCTACCAACGTCTCATTACTTTCCAGTCCGATCATTTCATCCAATCGTTTGCAGACTGTGTGAACCTAAACATAGACACAAGTTTTCACAAGAGAAAGATCTTTTCGTAGGAAGATTCTTACTCTATCTAACGCTAGAATAAGTTCATCAACTTTACCAGGCAATTGTTCGATGGGTGTTGGAGGATCCGAGCGTGTGATAACAATAACAGGCGATTCTTGTGGATGAACTTTCGCACTTGCATTTCCCAAACCCAATCGTTTTGAAATGTCTCCGATGATAAATGCAAGAATGCCTGGTTGATTTGTTTCTTTATTGCGTATTTCACGTCTGACATGACGAAAATGATCGGTAATAATCACGATAAACATTGTAAAACAGACGAATACGCAAAAGTAAATAAATAATGTGAATACGAATGGCCCGAGAAATGGGTCAGAATCTTGTAAATCAGTCGTATCAAATTTTAATAGAATCATCTCGAATAGCATTCCAGCTGTAAGTAATATACTTGAACATGATATCATCTTCGAGACAAATAGTAAATAGAATAAAATAACAAATGCTGAAAATAATAGGAAATACATCATTGTAAATGCAGCGATGTCTTTGAATCCACGATGTAGTGTCCGAGAGAAAATATTGATTCGAGGATAAATTTCGAACAATTGCAGCAAACGTATCGTACCAGAAAAACAGCAAAAGCCGAGTAAAAATGTCAGAACATCGTTAAGATATGTGGCAAATTGAAAATTGATGTATTGAAACCCATTTGTTGAATTTACATATCTTCCGATTCGTTGCGCTTCGTTATAACGCGATATGTAGACACCGACGCCAGCCCATGAACAGTTGATCATGCTCCATTCAATATAAGAGCGCATTTTACGAAAATATTTCTTTTTTAGTTTATAAATTGAGTAGATTTCAACGAATGTAAAATAAGCAATGAATAATATATAAATTATGGCAATAACCATGTAGAAGATTGAGGAAAAGTCATGAAATTCTGTATACATTTGGAATGGGTCAATCCGAAATGATGGAAATACTTCTCCAGTGCTAAGTATTTCGATTAAAAGTGTGACGGAGGTATACAATTTGACATTAGGATTGTATAAATTCAACTGAATCATCACAGCACGCGATCTTTCATCGATCCATGTTAGATTTCTCAGGAGAGTCAGATTTTCTTGAATTTCATCGAAATTTCCGAGAAATTTGTAAACAAACCCTCCGCTACCGTACGTTCCATGATTGCCCCAATAAACATACGAATCAAGTTCGTCACTTGAACGATAGACGAATGAATTCCTTATTGATATGGTATAATTTATATTAGTTGTTGCAAGCCATCCAGGTGCATAAGATCGTCGTTCCTCATTGGAAAAGCTATAACTATCTTTACATGAATCAATTAATGTTCGAAATGCAGGAGGAACTCGACAAGATGAATCTGATTGACAATAGAATGAAGTGAATAGAAGTATATGCAAATGATTGAACATACTTATACTCAAACGTAATTGCCGCATAAGTGACCAGCCAATAATCCGAGTGGATTTGTCATTAAGAAAATCTGTCATATTGCCCACGGAACCTCCATTGTACCATGGTCGTATACGAATGTTTGTGACAAAGATTGTTTGTAACCAATCCCAGTAATCATCAAGGGATACAATCTATATAACAAACATTCTATCATGATTCGGTCTAACAATGACAGAAACGACGGCAATGCCAAGAGCAACCTCAGTCCTTCTCTTCGTCCAAGTCGAATTCTGGCATTGCGTCGGAAAAAAGGTAATTCAACAAAACTCTTACATCTGTGAAATTGTTTAAAGAACTTCGTGTATTACAAAAAAAACTACTTAGATGTTGTACTTGAAGTATTGCATTCGAATCCCGATTTGTGTAACTGACTATGTATAAAACAATAACGAACGTGATATTGAGACATATTTTGCCAATATATGCCCACATATCTGAAACAAACGAGCATTATGCTTTTTTGAAAGAAAAAAAAAACACAGTAATAGCTGGAATACAAACAACGACAAACGTTTTTAGAAAAGAATGCTTCACTGCGGACAAAATATTATTAATTAATGTTCAAAATAAAATTCAGTGAAAGTACTCCCGTTGCCATCTGCTGTTTCGTCTATTTCTTTTTCAGCAATTGTCGTCAGCAACATAGAACTAATAGATCTTAACCTTTTTTTATAGTCAAATCATTTCGCTTGCATCCAAAGATATTCCTGTAATATGAAAGAGAAAGATATTTGAAAATTAAAAAAGTTTATTCATTAGTTTGCACTATGAAGATATCCTCGTCTTTTCCTCCTATATCATGCAGAAAAACAGCAAATATGCAATCAAGGAAATAGCTTTTATAAGATGATCATATGCTCGAACATTACGAAGCAATTCTTGGGAGAGACTTGCATGAGCAGTTATCATGACTTGTTCGAGTGAAGCATTGACGAAGAAATAAGTGTGGAAAGTTCAGATTTTGTTCGAAAGGCATGTCTGTTGCAAAACGTGTAGCAGAAAACGTAAAACAATCAACTCAGCAATTGCTCTTTATAACTGACTCACCTTCGAACTCGAACGAGGTTCCGATTGATTTTAGTCTTATAATCTTTTTTCGAATATACTGGAAAACTAATCATCGAAACAAAGCTGATTGGATTTATTCTTAGTGTTAGAAAACTTCTCTTTGCGATATCTTGAAGGGAATGGCGATCGACATTTGTCTAGTTCGCCGCAAGATCTTTATATTATTCTTGTTTGTAATGGTTTTCATCACATCTAGACACATTGTCGACGCTTCTCATTTCTCCAAATAATTTCCAACAGATTTCGTATTTTAGTGTTTGAGTCTGTTGATTGGAAGCAAAACTATGGATCATGCTTTGAGAATTATGAAGAGATTTCAGAATCCGATTGTTGGATGAAATGATTCGCTTGTATTATTCACAGCAGTAGATGGTAACGAGATAAGAGCGTTCAACGTGTAGAATAAGCCCTCAAAAAGAAACTTCTGAATAATTCAGTTTATAACCCGCATTTACAGATAGTTCGAATAAATAAAATAACAAGATTTTGTTATGTATACATAAAGCCGGATGTATCTTTCATTTATAAAGGCATTATTTTCTATAGAATGTGCATTATTCAGGAAAAATAAGCGTGAGATTATAATGGTGCTCGGCAAATGGAACTAACCTGATGTTAGAGAGTGCAGAATTTCATAGGCGTAGATTCAACAGAATGCAAACTAATAGAAGGTTAGTCGAAGCACAAAGGTATGTATGACTGAACTAACGTGATAGTTATTTGCTTGACTTCCATAAATCCTCTTTCTCTACATATCTCCGCTCAATCGTACGCACACATGCTTAATGAGATGAAACAGAGTATAATCTAGCTTTTCAATTCAGTTCTTCCAACACTACCAATTTGAGTAGAGAATTTCGAGGTAGGTGGGTATTTTCTTTCATATAATCACATGTTGAAGATACGCATCAACCATTTAATCAAACAAAAGAACGTCAATTTATATTCATAAGATCTTTTCTTCGTAATCCCATAGGCAGTGCATTTGATATCTATGCTCGGTGGCATCAATTTGTTTAATAAAAGAGCAGTTTTGTAATTATTCGCTTGAATAGGTGATTGTCGAAATGAAAATCTTATGCTAGAATTATTTCCTATCTGTTTTATGAAAAGAAGTCCAAATATTAGCTTTTATTTCGAAATAAGAAGTAAACGTTAAGATTTCTTTAAATATGAACTGAAGTCACAGAGACTCAATGGAAATTTCCCGCTGCATTTGTCACATAGCAAACTCGTTTTATATACATTGATCTTTCGTCCACCAGCGATTGATATTTTCGATAATATTTGATGTATTGTCCAGATGTAAGCGAAGACATAGATCGCAAAACGGTGTGAAAAAGTTCGTAAAGCCATCCCAAATCATATTCTCTTTCCACCGAAAGTATTCTCGATAAAACGTAACATTGTTTCGTATTTGAATCAATCGTTGACTGAGTTCCTTCATTGATGGAAACTTTCGAGCATCTATGAACGCTGACTCTGGTAGGTAACGTGTATAATTAGCTCCACCATAGACAACAGGCACGATTGGCAATAGCAGTGTTGCAAACAGTTTTTCAGCTAAAAGACAACAAGCATAAACATGTATCAAACTATGACGGACATGTTGTTCGCTGCCGAGGTTGACGAGTTTTCAATGCTTTCAAGGCTGTTGATAATGAACTCTATCTCTGAGCTATTGTCTAACAATTCCATCATCCGAAGTTCCTCAAAAGTCAGATAATCGTTATTGCAAACTTAACATTTTCTGGCATTCTATTCCTGTTGTTTTCCTATCGCGTAGAAACTTACTGACGTAATCTTCGCAGACGCTGTTTTCGAAAGCCAATAGAAAATAATAGCGTTCAGCCAGATAAGCGCGACAAGCGTTTCTGTCATGTGTTGTTGAGTTGGGACATGGCTGGCCGCATCGACCATAGATTGTCACATCGATATACTTCTCTAAATCCTTGATTAATTCCAGACGTTTGTTCGTAGTCACATCACACTAGAAAACACTCGAACGAAGGAAGATAAGAAATTCTTTGAGAACAGAATCGTTACATTACTAATTAATGCAGCAGCTGTACCCAGCTTTTGCGTCGGGTTTATATTTTTGAAAAGAACACTTTTTGGGCGAGAATCAAACTTTTCTTCGATCGGTAGTTGATAGTCTTTCGAACGATAGCCGTATTGAGTGTAGTATGGAGTGACTATGTGTGAATCTAACCGATACGTCATTGACCAATTGAAAAAATTATTATAGGAATCGTATATGTGATGATGCTTAGGTGATTCCCATAGTGCGAAAACGAATCGTTGTGACTGACGTCGAGTTCGCAATTTATCGTCTGACCGATTGATCATATCAGCTGCATGGTAAACGACAGCATCCGCTTCGTGAAAACGATCCATGTCATTGGTTATTTCACAGTGATTGTTTAGAAATGCACACAATATTTCCGACACTAGACAATGAAAGAGAAAACGTCTAGTTAATCACACGATTCTTTTGTATTTAGGAGATTGATTGCGCGAGTATTTATCAAAGATTTGTCTTATAGTTAAGATAATCTGCCCTTTTTTGTTTGAGTTTTGAAGCAAACTAGTACACTTATCTGATCATTTTCTCTTCCACCTCGATTTGCTTAGACAAGTTTCAACGGAAGGGAAGAAAAGGTCATCGTAATGAACATTGTAACATACTGTTTCCTGAATTAGTACGATTTTTGAGTGATGAAATTTCCCATTGGGGATCGCCGAAGAACGAATTGGCGAGTAGAATGATTTGTTTCCGTGGATTCTTTAATTGTAAAAACTTCTGACGATTTGTCGTATAAATTTGTATAGGAAGATGAGGAAAGAAATGTGTCGATTCAATTTGATAAGTTGCCAGTAATTGATTATTGAAGCCCGCATTTGAATGATTCACATAATTTCCGGAGTTATTTGGTAGAGCAACCGAGGTAAAATAGAGCACTCCACAGGTAAAAGTTAGGAATATAAGAAGACACTTCGACATGAAGTAATGAAGATTTCGAAGGAAGTTCATTTTGTCAGTTGACTTTAAAGTTCCTTGCAGTCGAATCAATTTGTAAATGGACACGTTTTACCGAACAACTCGTTGTATATTCGGTGAATCATGGATATCTTTATTTATTTTACGATTGGTGTTTTACGTTCTTGAATAGAACTAACCCGATCTATTCTTCTTCGTCTTCTATTCGTTCATAAGAGAGATAGCATATGAAATCTAAGAAGTCGCTTGCATGATTAAGGTTAATTATTCATGTAATACTTTGAGTTAGTTGAATACAATCAACTGTAAATAGATTCTACTCTGGAGAATACTCGACTTCATTCTTGGAGGCGATTAATAAACTTCATTCGAAACACCTTTCGTATTATTGACAACTTTTGAATATTTTTGTTCGAAAAAATGTTTCCAAACGGAGACACTCGCAACGATATCTTGGTTTGTAATATGGGATTCACACCAACTGTCGATTAGACACTTTATAAGAATTACTCCGATAATCTTATTATCATTCCTTATCAGCAGAAAACATGTATGTTAATTGTTTGATTTCGATCGACTCACAAATATAAAGTTACTTTTCAAGGCACGACTTGTGTGAATTCTCCCACTCGTACTAGGGCTGAATAGAGCCAAGAGATTTTTTTCCTATAGTAATACTGAATTGAATGAAAGCGTAGTACTCAGCCGATAGTTATTCTGTCGTCTTTTCTTCTTCGTTTTGTTATAAAATAATCTGGTTTATTATATGATTAATATAGCATATACAATAACAACAAAAAAAGAAAACTTAGAAAGAACAAGAGGAGAAGAAGAGAGAAGGAGACAGAAACAAAAAAGTTCTTTTCTTTTTTCTTTCTATTATTTATTTATGTATACGAATGCTTATGATATCAATAGGCCCAACCCCATTTTTCATTGCTAATTTTTCATATCAAAGCATCGGCAACCCACTTTCATTCTTTATTTGATAACTCCCACTCAAAATATACATTTATTTTTCTCACCGATAATCTTTCCTCTTCGTTTCCTTTCATTCGCGAGTACCAGAGAAGTATTGTAATCATTCGAGTTATCGTCCCCATTGTAGTAATATGCGTAGATGACTTGATTCTCGTTCTGATACTTATATGCAGCAGATGTTCCCGATTATACGCAAAGTATGTTGTGATTAAAAGTGAAGTGATTGAATGTGTGCCTGCGTACCCTTCATCATGTTTTTGAACATTCAAGAGCGCGTTATGAGATCAGCTACAAAACATTTTCTACTTTCCCCTCTCAATATTACTCAGGAGATGAAAACCGTAAGTACAATGTTGATTTGGTCGAAGGAAAAGCAAACGAATTTAATTAGATTTCATATTTCTCTATAGCTTTTCCATGGCACATAGTATATGTTAGATTAATTTGCCAATTCTTTATTTCCGCCTTCTATATACGTGCAGAAACGGCTTATTTTTCTTCGACTCTGACATGCCCCTCTAACTTATTCTATTTGTCTCTGAAGTGTATTTAGAAAAAGAATCTCTTATTTTGATTTCATGATGAAATCTACCAACATCGATCGCATAACAAAGGTAAATTAATCAGACTTATATTACAGATGCGAATCTTTTCGTTCCAATGAACTGAGCTGTCATCGCTCGTTTTTTATTCTCTTGCAGTTGAATTCGAACCAACGCGGAATCGAAGTTCTTGAATGACAAGTTTGGCGTATAGGAGAGGAGGACTGAAGCAAGAACAGAAGAGATAAAATGCGTATTTCCGATGTACTGTTAATGATAATGAACAGCGTCGGAAGCGATTCCATTTCTTCTTTGTGTCCCGTCATCATCATCACCAGTGATGCGTACGATGGAAAATTACAGTAGCAAGTAAAGTTTTCTTTACAGGTGTATTCAATGGAATCAGGTCGGAAACACTCCGGTTTTTTTTCTCTACAAAATCGACAGTATAGCATGAAAAAGTTGTCTTATTTTTTTGGCATCCAAACGAGTCTTTTTTGTTGTCTTGATTCGATTATCGATTTGCTCACTTCTATCAAGTTTTATTCGAACATTTCCTACAGAAAAAAAAGGAAGATAATAGAAAAGAAATTCTTTGACCATGAATAATCTATTGAGAATTAGATCATTTGTGCTATCGAGTCGATCGACAAAGTAACTCTTCTAGACAATTCTGCACGCTCGAAAATCTGCACTTGTCAAACTAAATACAAAGTTTATTCCTATAATCAATCAACGTCGGTCTGTTAGTTCTTTTCCATCATCGGGAGATATAATTTTCTGATGTAAGTAAAACTTAATTGTACTGGAATGAGTGCAACATTATAGTCTCTTATGCTGAAAGTAGGAAGACAATAATAGTGGAATTTACTATTTTTCATTAGAATATTTTATGATTTTCTTGACAAGATTTCTTACGGGATTAATTAGTCAGACAAATCATAACGTATGATAATCGACTTGACATGAGAAACTTCAAATCTACGATTTGTTTTCTCTTATCAGCAGGCCAGTGTTAGAAAGGCGCGACGGTAGGTTCTATCAAGCGAGTAATACATCGCATGAACATGAATAGACGTTGGATAATTAATATCCGTAATAAACGCGATTGAATAGAACAATTCATCCTAATGTAAAAATTGTTTGACAACAGGAAAAACTAGTTTCATTTCGAAAATCATGAGAATGAACAGTTTATCTATATCATTTAGAAGTGCCAATAAAAACGCTCTTTTTCGCTCATCTTTGAGTCATCAACAAGTAATTGCTTTGCAGGAATAATTTGAAATGGCTTCAGCACTCCGTGTTTATGTATACATATATGTAGTCCCTACAGACATGTCATTTGTTAATTGAATGGAATTCTCTTCCAAACTGATGTCAATTCCGACCTTCATCAGATATTGTTCTTACATTCCACATCTCGCTAGGCAATGTCTGATCGATCTGAATGAGTACGATAGATAGAGCAGCTTGTCTTTACTAGAATGCAAAAGTGATGCAGAAGGAATAAATAAGATTACATCGTCAGATACCTTCTTATAAATTCCTTTCAACACCGATCAATACTTATTTTTAGCTGGAAACGGACATGATCAGCCTAGATAATTTGAAACGCACTACTTCTATACATGGCGAGCTGTCAGAGGAAATAGTATGGAGAAAACTGTAGGCGTGCACGAGAGCAATTCGAGTGCATCATTGTAGCTATAGGAAGCATTTCTTTTTAAATAGTAAACTTTTCAGCTGAAATTACTCTCATACAAAAAACACTGTTTATAAAATATTCTCTCCACTAAACATCTCACCGGTTTCTTTTCTTATTATTTCTACCAATGATAATTATGTCAATCTATCTAGTAGTCAGATCTACCGAATGCCTCTTTTGATTCTAAAACTATTATTATCTCTCTTATATTGTAGCTTCATATTTTTATTAATTATTCATGTACGACAGGACCTTCATTCGTCATTAACCGGTACTAGACATCGAAATAGCGATTCTCTATCATTATAGCATAAGTTTTACATCACTGTGCTCAATATGACAACCTTCCCTTACCATCAGTAACATACTTATCACATTTCTTCCACATTCTGATCATATCAGTACATCTTCCTGTACGTCACCTGCGGAGTTTAATTATCATACACGCTTCGACCTAAAAATAACATATTTTTCTCTCTGATGACAAAAAACTCAGTTTCATAACAGAATGTCATTTTCTACTTGTGTAAACAATTGACTAACATCAATTGCAACTCGATGCAAAGATAGTTCTTTCCATTCTCTTTCTTTTATTTTTCTAGACAACAATGAATGATTCGTTAACATATACACATGTTAATCTCACACGATGGGTATCAAGTATACTATCACCCATAATTCTATTAGGATGTGCTGTTGGAAACATAATTTCGTTCATGGTTTTATTACGGCCACGCCTTCGCCGGCAAACAACATCAATCTATTTGGCTGTATTATGCGTGGCCGAAATGGGAACGTGTTATACAGGTTTACTCCGACAATTTCTGCTTGATGCATTCGATTTCGATATCCGATTATTAAATTCATTTACATGCCGCACGCATCTTTACTTAACATATGTATTTCTTCGCTTAGCTCCGTTGTTATTAGCAGTCGTTACGTTACAAAGGTATCTTTATGTTAGTCAACGTGCTGTTTGCACACTAAGATCAACATGTATACAATTACTTAGTTTATTTTTGTTTGTTTGCTTGGCTGAATTTCATTTATTTACATACTATGATTTAACATATTCCGACACCCGGCCAAGAACGGAATATGTTCCGTTTGAGTGTACCGTGGATAAAGTACATCACAAGAAATACTATGATTTTCGCAGTAAAGTCTATCCGAAATTAGCACTAGTGGCCTATACAATTGTGCCATTGGCGATTATTATACTTGGAAACGTTCTGTTGGTTCGAACAGTACGACGAGCATCGAAACGATCACGTTCATCCACGCGGAAGAAGCGTTCGGTGACACGAATGTTATATGCTGTCAGTGTTCTATATACTGTTCTAACATCTCCTGCATCCATATTTCTTGCCATCGCACCCACAAACTATCAACTAGCACCAGGATTTCGTTTACAATGGACATTGCTTCGTCTGCTTTTCTATTTGTGCCATTCGGTTAATTTCTTATTATTCTGTGCGAGTGGAACATTTTTTCGACAGGAGTTTATCTCATTTATCAACTCGAATTGTGGCTGTCGAATCAGTTGGACTGATCACTCTAATCAACCGTTGACAACTGCTGCTATAACAAAATTAGATGAAGAAACTCTACCTCCGACAACGAAGTACAACAACCATAACATAATTCTGTTGGGAAGCGAGAAATATAGTTCAAGATTGCACAGCAAAGCGTCCGTTGAAAGTCAACCAACGTCAGTCTAGAACATTGAAGAGAAATATGATGTACATGTAGCTGTTTTTCTTTTCTCTCGTTGACTTTAGCTTTCTTTTTTTATTTTGTATTTCATATCGATCACAGATAAAGGCACACATAAATTTAAAAAAAACACAGAACGGAAAACCCAGCATGAAAATTTATCGTATACCTAAATCGAGAATATCTTCTGAAAGAATCGTGTGTAGAGCACGTGTCAAATCTGCTTTCATTTCTTTCAATGAGCCTGGCCGACGATATTCATCCTGCGGTGATTTAGCATGAGACGATGGAGTTTGACGGATAGGTCGTTTAACATCATAGATAAGTTCATAACCTCCATTGGACTGTCGGTGTTGATGATTAACATCAGCGATACGCTGCATGTCGCGTTCAATTAGTTCGGGATTTTTTGCATATAAATGTGCACCTAGAAGAAGAGAGATGCCTGGGAAGAGACCATCAATCTAAGAAGGTACACTAACCCCAATGCATCGTTTGGACCATGAAATTTTTTCTGGCAATCTGCTGCTTGACATTTTTGGAAAGTAAAGGCATGAGGACTTCGCCAAGTTTTAGACACACAAAAACAATATGCTTAAAGAAAAGAAAATGGGTTTTTGTTTATTAAAAAAGCAACTAGATTGTGATGAATAACATACTTCAAAAACAATTAAAAACGCCAAACGAGCTACCATGATGACATAATAATCGTGATTCGTCTGATAAGGTCTGGAGTCCCATGGCGGAGTACGATGATCTTTGTAGCTACAAAACGAATAGGAAATGTGATTCAAGAGTAAAAAGAAATCGTCATCATTTGCAGCGAGTCCTTACAAACAATAAGTACTTGTCGAATTGAATTTGATTAATGATGTTGCTGAAAGGCGATTGATTTCGTAGGCAGACAAAGTGAAATTAACATAATTGGTTAGTGTTCGATTTTGACTTCGAGAATATTGATAAACGAGGCGAGGAACAAAATCGGATGTCAATGCAATGAGCAAACCCTGGATCGGAGAAAATGAAGTGAAAATAACTTCCAACTAACCTGATTTCACCTTACATTAGTTAAAATAGCTAATTTGGATATAGCAGCAATGATTAAACGCCAAATACCTGCAAATAGGAGTCAGTCTCAAAGTACATTGGGTTCCTATTGAGCACATTCATGACTTACCTATATCTGCGACTTTTTTCGCCACAGGTCGACGCACATCGCATACAAACTTGTGTGCATCGATGCGGATCTCGATGATATTGTTAAGAAAAGCACAAAGTGGAGCAACTAAAACCATAAGACAGAAAAACGCTTTCAGCTTCCGATGACATTTACTCCAATACATCAAGCACAGTCGATAATTATCCGGAAGTTGATGTACTCAATGGAATAGTGTCGTCTATCAGAGAATTCAGCTTGACTGGATTTTCATAATGATACAGTAAATGTGCCGTGAAGCAAAATGTACGCTTTCAAATTGATGAGAACCTATTCTGTCGGAAGTTAACTTCTTTCGATCAGATTACACATGGCGTCATTGAAAGAAGTTTTGTTATTCGCAAGGAATTATCTTAAATACGTTCGATGATGATTCTATTGTAAAATTTTTCGTCAAGTTTCTCAAACATCGTTCGTTGAGAACGCTGCAGATAACACGTTAATGAAAGTCGTGGTCTTAACCCATTCATACGCGAAGTCTGTCTAAGCTCGGAAAACTGACATTTTGATTTGTTGTTAAGGAAATTATCCGTTAATGAAAAAACACTGGTAAGTGTCCTTGTCATGTATTTCATTTCTGAATTACTTACGCGGAAATGCAACAAGAAACATCGTGACAAATCCATATTGTATGACTAAAACATCAGTGCGCATATTCGACTAATTAATTCTCTCAAACATCATACTTAATTCCAAATATTCATAGAATAGAGTGGTTGTTGTCCATCGTTCCAACCTACGAGAGAAACTGTCAGCCATGCGTTCGCTTTCATATCGTTCATCTTACATGAAATCGTCTTCTTGTGGTCGCTTGCTGTACCAATGAAGTGTATGGTGACGTCGATATCTCATTTGTTTAAATGCATTTCGATGGACCAGCAGTCGGCGAAAATATGTCCAAAATTTTCTTCAAGAGAAAAGAAGAAAAATGATTTGTAAAAGTATCTTTATATTCTTACACCATGCCAACTTCAAATAAATTGTTTATCACTTGTTTGCCCACAAGAATAACCAGCAATTGAATTGATAATTCGGCTAAACAGCCGCTTGCTTCACACTGAAATAGACAAGTTTCTGTTTGCATTCATTTTGTGTGGAAGGTTCATTTTTTTACCTCTTCAGTTTTGTATTTTCCTATTTTATAACTTTCGACACCAGGCGGATTAGCAAACCATGGTTTAATAAATGCAATATAAAAAATACTCGCGTAAAAGTTGACAAATTGAAATAGAAACATTTTCAATGTCAAAGCATTTTCGTAATCTTTCTCCGTTCGATGAATTTCTATTACGAATCAAATCAAAGAAAGTCATTAACAACGAAATCACGTGTATTGTTTACCATAATCTGTTAACCAAATTGCCAAACGTTCATAGAGAGAACTTAATGCAATAATAACAACAAGATTTATAAATGCACCAGTGATTGAAGCAACATATGGAGAATAACGACGCACGAGTTCGGGTGTATGTGTCGAGCTGATCGTAGCTTTAATACTAATTCGATAGAGTACAACGCCAAAAACAAAACTCAACACCAGACAAATCTACACAAAGGAACGCTTCATGATAAAAGTCGGACGTATTTCTCAACAAACCATCATAGCAACCACTGAGAATGAAGAAGCAATTTTGGCGCATCGCTCACGTGCCGGCATGTATTGTTCAACGAAGCCAGTTATTGGATTAATACGTGTCGTTCGTACTTTACGCTTAAAGTCTGGCCGAGGCTCATCTATATTAACACCGCCGCCACTATTACCGTCCATCAAATCAAATGTGTCCCATTCGTACTGAGAGAAAGAGAGAGAGAGCATGTTATGGAGTCTTTCACATAGACTGATATAGTCGAAGTTTTACCTGATATTGATATTCTGCAACATCCCATGCTGGAAGAAATAACGCTGACCACACCGTCACAATTGCGGCATAGCCAACTGTAGCTTTATTATCAAATAGAAATGCCATCTAGGGAACAGACATGTGAATACGATTAACTTTGTGAGGAAATGCTTTACTTTCGCATAGAGACAATCTTCACCGAGTGTCCACAATTGCCGATGCGATCGTGGACACATCACTGTGTGTGCCAATCTATGACATATGTCATTACTAAAGATAAAAAATCATTAGTTATCTATGCTATACGGCAATAGCAGCTTACTGACGTCGGCACGTCATGTTTCATTGCCCAAAGTCCATAGAAGAAAACTGAAAGACCAAGAACACAAGGAAGAATTAACATTTGAATATACCTTTAAAAAAAAAATCAAGATTGTTTCATTCTATTCTAGCACGGCATTCTCATGAAACAAACCATCTTAGCCAGGAAAAATATAATGCAACATGTTCACCAAAATAATCTTTTATATGATTTATTGGCTGATCTTTAAGAACATTACTTATTCGACTCCAATACCACCATAGTTTCTAATACAAGAGAAAATCAATCAGGATCGATGAAAGTCAATTCACACAAGTACGAACCATTCGATCGAATGTATTTCGATGTTCGCCTTTCATCATAATCCATGATGGGATCATATGTGGCTCAATGCGTTTCAACAAAGCCTACAAGCACGAAAAACGAAATAAAATCAAACAATGTGGATTTCACCTACAGCATGTAATGGATAGCAATCATCGTACACTTGATCTCGAAGCAGAAGTTCAATCCCTAAGCCAAAAGGAAAGTCACAATATCATTTTTGTCTCGTTTTGTTAGCTTTTATCAAATTTTTACATTCTTCTTCTCTCTATTACGTGTTTGTTTGTTCACGTACACTCGGAACAAACAGAATTTGTTCCTCGCAAGAAAATTGAATCAATAAAACTTTTACAATCTCAAACTTTTCAAATAGCACTATTATGGCATAGCTACCTGCAGCTGTCGATGATCCAGTGAAGATTTTTTCCAACTCCAGAACACGTCTCTCTTTTACATCACCTGTACCATGTAAGACTAGAAATGAATAAGAATAGAAAGAGATTTTCGTAATTATTGGTTCTGATGTCATGTAAACCGTGCTGTTCTTCAAGTTCCGATTCCAGTGTTGTGTCGAATGGTGTACGTAGTAAGCAATCATAAACAAGACGGCTACGTTGTGCTGGCGTGAAATATAAATCACGAGAATTGCCACGTAGTGTATCAAATAATGGCTCAAAACTTATTAAAGCAAAACGAAACAATCACAAAATAGAAGAGATGTTCTTTGTTCGTGCTTTTTTTACCGATATCGTAGTGTTTTATCGTATTCAGCAAGGAAGTAATGTTGTTCAGGTGGAAACATCGTTCGATCGATTTGTGTGAACGGTAACCATGACATGAGATAGTCGAACGGCATCTTTGGAACGGATGACGTGCGATTTTCCTGAACATCGAAACAAATTATAGATGACAAGGCGAAAAAAAGTTTGTCACATTATTCTCTATTGATATAATCTAATCTGTTCCCTTGAGTCAAACGTGTTCAATTTATAGATTCTCTCCTTCTTCTCGACGTCATTTCATGATGTAAAATGAAGCAAAAGAAAATCACAATTTCCCCGAGGACGAACAAGTTTAAAGAAAGAGAAAGGAAATAATATTAATAACAATAATAATAATAATAATAATATTGTTTTTAATAGATAAAATAGTTCCATCTGTTCGAATAGACTTACCTCAATGGGTAATTTCATCCGTGTTTTTTCAGCCAATTCAAGAAGAAGCTCAAATGGTGCATGCAATCGAACGAATCGTTTCACGGACTGCTGATGTGGTAGTTCTTCAGATTTCCTCCGCCGCCGACTTCTATTTCGACCGAATATTCGATGATTTGCTGATTCACTATTGGTATCGTCATCATTGGCATTATTATGCCTAGATTCCTTTGGAAAGTTTCAAGAAAGAGAAAAGTATCAATTAAAAATGAACTGTTTAATGAATAGAATTTACCAGTCCTCCGACAATGTCTTGTTCTTCAATAATAAAACCCACTGATTCGAGTCGTTGTTGAAATGCTTGTCGACGTTGTTTATTGATTATCGAATCGCGCACGCCAAGACTGTACACAAGAACAAAATCGATACGTCGTCGTTGTTGTTGTTGTGGACGACCCTCGTGATAATTGCCAGCAGTCGGTGTTGTCAAGTATAGCTGACGATCGGCTTCTTCAAGCCAGTCAACCGGACGCTAAGATAAACAAAAGCAAATCGTCTTCCTGTGATAGTTATCTTGTAACACTAACGAACGAACAATCCCAATTCGAATGGAGATCAATAGATGAACATTCTTATTAAGTTTAAGACAGGAAGGGAAAGAGGAGAAGAGAGACAATATACACGCAAATGAAAAACACGACATGCATATCCGCTATTCTCCTCTACTTACGAGCCGTAATAAATTTCGACAGCCGCCACCACTGAAATCGCTATCGCCAGATTTGTTACTCATCAATCAACGATCTCAATTGATAAGTTGTATCAATTTCACTTGTATTTAATAACTTCGACCAACTTGATAGAAGGGAATAATAATCATTGTCATATAACGCCTATATGCGTGTTTATACGGCCAGAATAATTAAAACGACTGTGTGTGTATGTATGTGTGTGTCACAAAAGCGGCTTCGTCTTCTTCTTCTCCTGCGACTACTACTGTTACTTCTTCTTTTTCTCTCTTTTTTTTGTTACTCCCGTTATTTCTGCTTCAGTTTTTGAGCATGTAGCGAGACGTTAGCATGTCTATATGTGAGTGAACGCCTGAGCGAAGCATGAAGAATAGGAGGACAGAGATCGACGTTAACGTTAGCCTCCAAGACTATTGCTTCCATATAGGGAGAGAGAGAGAGAACGAGAAAGAAAAGAGAAAATATTAGAGAGCATACGAAACAAAAAATTTCTAGAATCACATATATATATATATATATATATGAGTTCCTGGTTGGTCGAAGTCCGGATGAAGAAATTATTTACGGGTACAATATGACTATATTGATTAATTGCTATTGAATATGAACGAAATACACGATCTTTGATCAATGGAGAAAACTCCGAATTGATAAATTACCGATGAAATACACACGATCAACCTATCGCTAAGAATTTATTTCGCTAGTTCCCTTTGATATTGTATCTTTCGTATCCAGTTACATCGTACTTATCTCATCATTAGTATTCGCTTTGAGAAAACGAGAAAAGAAATCAACTTGTGTTCTTCTTATGCATGATGGCCGAACAAAACGAAGTCCGAAAAAAGAAAATGTTTTTTTGTTTGTAAAATCATTATTCTCGATTGTTTGTGTGCTTCAATGAACATTTATTTTATGAGACATTTACTATGGGGAAAAGTCGACCTTTTCTATTCTATTAACAGTTATCGAAACATGCAAGATTAACAATCGTATTGTTATGTCTTGTCAACAGAATCTATTTGTATGAAAAATTTCCTTCTCGATTTTTCTATTGTTCGAAATCCAAACAATAATCCTGTCAATTAGAATAGATCATTTCTAGATAAATTTCAATGATTGGATTAGAGACACCCTTCATTTTCATTTCTTTCGCTTTTTTTTTCAAATAAAATCGTATCAGTGCCCACGCTGAGCTCATCGAAGACGTCATCAGTTTTCATCTTATTAAGTAAATTTGTTCCTTCTCTTTTTGCAACTAATGTGTCATATCAAAGAATCGAGAAAATAAATAAGTTGAAGACGAAGAGAGAAAAAAAGAAGGAAAATTTTGTGCCTTTCAACACTTCCTGCAAACCAGCAATTATTCCATTTCTTCATGTTTGTGTATCTACTGTTTTTCAGCCATGAACACGATTCAGAATGTGAAGAATAAAACACTTTCGAATGATATATTCACACACCACTCACTCACTTCGCATATCAATTCCAGGTTCGGTGCCTCGATTATTATCATAATTAGCTCAATCTGTGGCTTATGTCTCGGATTCATTTTCATCATGTCATGTTTGAGCAAACAAAGCAATCAATCAAGGCATTTGTCAGCTGAAAATCCCATTCTTCGGTAGTAATACATCTAACTTCGTCAGCGAGTGAATGAGCATCCACTGAATGTCATTCGCGTGTCGAGCTATCAATGACTCACAGGGAACCATCGTTAACATAATGATACATTGCGTTTGTTTTCATATTGACAAAATCTACGATGGAACATGTAATACAATATTTATCTTTCTATCTCTCTCTTGTGTATCTTGATTGTCACATTGAGTTCATGATTATTACTGTCACAATATGTTCTGATTGATAAAATGTCCTGGTAAAAAATAAAAAAAACAAGATCTCGATTCTGTGTGGATCTATCTTGCGATCATTTCGAGTAGAAAATCAATCTTAATTCACTCAAGTCTTCAGTATGAATTCGATGGATACAAAATTACTGTCATCTTATACTGCTTGACATCCACATTTAGAACCTGAACTTCAAAAAGTGTTCTAGATGAAACTTTGCTCATATGCTTATTCTGTATCTTCATGTCGGATTATTTTGACTGATTGTAATGGACTGATCAATTTCGAGCATTGATGGCGTTTATCTATTTCAAACAGTTGTATTAATCTAAATCAATTAGAGACTCTTATCTTTCCTTTCGAATATTCATGATTATTGATGACTTTTTCGCTGTACCAAGAAGAAAAGAAGTCTTGAGAAACATTAGACTATAAATAGTTTTCATATAATCGGAAAAGAACTGTTACTCGATATGTGTTTTCTTGCTGTAATTGATATAAGAAAAGACGTGGACGTAAATAGCTGTTCTTCGTTCATAAACCATCGTTTCTTATTTTTGCACTTATGTCTAATGCTCTTAAAGCGATCCTTGAATTATGATAAATTTCACTATTAAGTATGTTAAAGTAATTCTCTAGTGCCATGTATTAATATTCGTCGACGGCAATCTCATCTGTTTCTATCATATTGGAAAAGATACCGCCCATCTTTTGAATTTGTGGAACACCCTCAGATGACAATTGTGTGTGTTTCCTCATGCTTTCGTCGTTAACCGATTGAAACTGCACACGCGAAGTAGATGCGGCCAAATAAATTGTTGTTCAGTGTACGAGTGAGTTGACATATAGACATTTATTCATGTATAAATGACTGATGGATTATGTCATGTTACGATCAGTTCAGAGGATTTCCGAAGCAATTGATTTCTATCAGGGAATCTTTGAATTGATTGATTATTATCGAAAAGTATTGATCTCGGTTTTATGTCATTATTCATATGACAGATTTTTATTATATTAGCGACGAACACGATCGTATAGGCATGCGATTTTGATAGGTTTGCTTCTCTATTAGATGTTGAATTTTATTGTTGGAAAGAAATTTGATTAACATATGTACCAGTTCGAACGAACTTTGCTTTCGTCCTCGCTTAATGACGTTCGCGTTCGTCAATCATAAATTCAAGACAGAAATACTAGGTAACAGAATGACAAAAAAACAACTTTTTAAATATTATTGTTTCCTTCGCCTGCGCTCACAATTCGAACTGAGTTTTGTTTGTTACGTATAAAGAAGTTTACTAATTTCATTCTTTTTTCTCAAAAAAAAAGCATTCGAATTTATAACAGTCTGATCGGACATACGTAGCGACTGAAAAGACATGACTTCAAGCTCGAATGGTACCGCTAGCGCAGGAGCTGTAGCTGCTGTGATCATTGGTGGTATACTTGGCTCCTTATGCTGCATCGCATGTTGTGTGGGATCGATCGTAGGCGCTATAATCTTGATCAAATACTTCAATAAACAAACGACTGTTGTCAGTAGTGGCATGGTTCTCGAACCGTATCCGGTACGACCACCGTATACAGGTAATTATGACCACTATGCATCATCGTACCCGATGAAAAATTACACACCAGCATATCATTCGGACGATCAGCCGCCAGCGTATCCGATAAATAACCAGCCACCGGAATATCAATCGGAAAAATCGCAGATTCTCCCACCACGTTCGGCGACCGAAGTAAAAATTATGGAAACATCAACATAAATGTGCATCGAATGAATAAAAATCTGTTGACTAGACTTTTCTGAAGCCAACGTTTTCCTTCTTTTTTGCTTACAACATTTTATTCCGTTTATTAATATATGGTATTATCAAGGAAATCACTATTTATTTTTGACAGTCAAGACTACCGAAAGTATTTCGATTGATTGAAAAGAAACTTTTGCTGGTACGTAATACTCCGGCAAAAATAGAACACACATCCTTCGATTGACGAGACCTCAATGAAGGTCGGAACGTTTCTCTGTTGATGATTGCTATGTGAATATACTTTTTTCGAATAAAGTCGAGTACCATCGACAAATCCCGAGTGTGAGACATTATTACTAGTTCTACTTTTGCTCCGTTCCTATTCAATCAGATGTGTACCTTTGAGAAATCACGATTGACTACAAGTGACATCTGCTTTTCGTTTCGAATCATTTGATGATTATTCATTGAATTGGTTAAAAATTTTACCATTGTTCATACCTATAGCACATGCTTGTGTTCTGTTCTGTCTCCTCCTTTAGCGAAGGTCATACTCAATCTATCAATTATCTCGTGTGTTCAAATTGAGATTGTTAAAAAGAGATGCCTGCTCCCATCGATACGGAACTCGACAGATCTTCGGTGAATAGTCATGCGACTGATGCTTACAGTCCGGATTTTTTTGATGGTTTGCATCTTGTTTTGTAACTATTCAATACACATTCGCCTGCTTTTTTTTCGTTTCCTTTTTCATAGCATCCGTCGCAGATCTTGCTGATCTATTGAAAAGTGAACCACAAGATGATTTTATTGTTGATTTACAAGATACAATATCGAATATATTCTCATCACCGACGATTTTTTCTCTGGCTTATGTATGATCTATTCGAAATGAACGCTGACTTCTTTCAAAATCACCTCTCTTTTAGTGTCATGATTTGTTGCTTCGTTTTATTCAACAACCAGAGAGCATGCGTCCGGTTTCAACAGATAACTTATCTCTTCTGACATCTCTTCTCAAAGATCTTGAAATTGTTGGAATGACAAACAATTATGCCCGAGAATTAGACGCTATCCTTCGACGGCCACACATTCGAGTAATGAACGATTGAGTAAAAAGTCGAATAGAATTTCATTTATCTTCTACGACAAATAGATGGTCATGGATGCTCATCAAACGATAGCAACAAGAGAATATGCTGAAGATCAATTGCCAATTGGTTATTTACCTGAAGCTGCAAAACCCTTGCCTGACATTACATCGCCTTCATACGTTTTTCCTGGTACAATGCCGCATATGCCGCCGAAAACCATCGGAATCGAATCGACCGGCGAAGAACATCTAGGCGTGACGGTGAAATTGAATGAAATGGGTGATTTAGAAATCAAGAGAATTGTTCAAGGAGGTTTAATTGATAAACAAGGTGAGAATTAATTAGAAAAGTAGAGCCATAGAAATATTGATATGATTCTATCTTATCAAAAGGTCTTCTTCACGTCGGTGACATTATCAAAGAAATAAATGGTGAAATTGTGAATACGCCTGAAGAACTACAAGACAGATTAAGAAACGCTCGAGGTGCGGTAACGTTCAAAGTTGTTCCAGGTTATTGCGACTATCCATCACCTTCACAAGTGAGAATAATCTCTTTCAATCAACAATTCTATTTCATACATTTTATTTTCGTTTTTTCTTTCAAGTTATACGTTCGAGCTCATTTTTCTTATGACCCGGCGAAGGATAAATTGATCCCAGCTAAAGAAGCTGGTTTGACATTCGAAGAGGGTGATATACTACAAATTCTTTCACAAGATGATGTTCATTGGTGGCAGGTACGAAGCATTTTTCCTTTGTTTAATTTGTCTTCGTGATTTCTAATCGGTTGTATTTTCTTTAAAGGCGAAACATGTGAAGGATCCATCGCAGAAAGGTCTTATACCATCACAATATCTTGAAGAGCGACGAAAAGCGTTCGTTGCACCCGAAAATGATTTTTCTAAAACGTCCCGTAAGTTAAACAAAACCGTATGAATATTTAATCAAAGAAAAATACTGCCATTTACCTCGAGCAAATAGTTCTATGCAGGTTTCGCATAAATTGACCTATTCTACATAAAATGAATCGATTTCATCTACTTGTTAAAAGTGAATTTTATGAGGCACTGCTATTCTATTGAGTCGAATATGAAAATTCACTTGGATTTCTATCACTCGGCTGTTTGCTAATAAGATTAATCTCTTTTTCATATTTAGTTGTATGCGGCTTAATAGATCGTCGAAAGAAAAAGCGTTTGCTATTCAATGTAAAAGATTCTTCACTGTTCGATAAAGGTGATATATGTCTTTACCAAGAAGTGGCACGTATGCCACCATTTGCAAGAAAATGTTTAATACTCATCGGACCACATAGCGTGGGTAGACGAACATTGAAGAGTCGTTTGATTGCTCTTGATCCTGAACGTTTTGGAACGACTAAACCACGTAAGTACCAAGCAAATGTAATGCAAGAGATTCTTAGCATCTTCTCTCGTAGATACATCACGACCGTTACGTATTGAAGAAGGCAATTCGTATTTTCATCTTGATCGACCAGATATGGAGGATGAAATCGAAGCAGGTGCTTTTCTCGAACATGGACTCTACGGTGAACATCTATATGGTACCAAATTTGAGTCGGTTCGGCGAGTTATTCAATCGGGCAAAATGTGTGTGTTGGACGTTGAACCGACTGTAAGAAAGAAATCGCGCATTTCAATTCAATGGTCAGAAATTATAAATCATGGTTTTTTTTAATCCTATAGGCTTTAAAATTAATTTGTAACAAAGAATTTATGCCTTTCGTGGTGTTTATCAAAGCTGCTAGTCTGGATTATCTTCGTTATATGCAACATAACAACAAACAGAAAACGTCCAAAATGCGAACAGTTCGTATTCTTGCGCAATAGCATACTTGTTCAAAACGATTTCTCTTTAGAAAAGTAATATAGGAAACAATTCATCGTTGAATCTATCGGTAAGGAAGAGATTTTGTTGGAAGTGAAGAGAATCTTCTGTATAACTAATGTAAATTCTAGTCGAAAGATCTTGAACAAGTTGTTATGGAAAGTGAAGCTTTAGAACACGATTATCATGCTTATTTTGATCTGACGCTGGTCGCTGAAGATCTCGATAAAACTTTCGAACAGTAAGACACATGAAAAGACTCAACTCATCTCACCGAATTTTTCCTCTAGACTTGTTCGAGCTGTCGAAGCCTTAAGTACTGAGCCTCAATGGGTCAATGTCCAATGGTTTTCTTAAAATATTTCTTTCTACATATCTAATCAACACTGGATATACTGGTGCTGATCAATCATTCAATGTCCTCGTTTTGTATATACATGAAAACATCAACAAAGTGCTTATATATTCATACATTCCACGTGTTTTTCTTTCTTTTTCTTTTGGACTTTTGTGCAATTTAACATTTATCATTGCTACTGCTGAATGCTGAGTGTACCGTATTGTCGATTTGTTTGTTCTTTTTTTAATCTAATGCTTATTTGCTTTTCTACTTGTAATCTCAGTTATTAATGAATAAACGCATTCCAGTGCTTCTTTTTTTTACTGCACCATTAGAATATAGCAAGCTTTTGATTTTCTAAATAAAATGACTTTGTCTCACAAATATGCGACACGAGTTTTTTGCTCTCCAAGAGACGCCGATATCTCCATCCGCGATTGTTGTTCATAATTAAGAACGATTTACCAAAAGTTCATACATGCGTGTAAAGCGCTTTATTTTTTTAATCTTTTTTTTTTAATTCCATGAACATTTCATGGATACATTCCTTAATCAATTTGATGCTGTCAATTTATCAAGTCTAAAGGCTCAAATTACTGACACATCAAAAGATCACGTGGAATGTCCCGCCTATATACATTTCGGTGGCACGCCATATACATTGGGATTCGGTCATCTATTCTCAGGTGATTCACAATCGTGTCAAAACGTTCATGTCAACCGTCAGTGTTGTTTTACATCACAAATCAGTACGCGTCCATTTCAAGCGATTGATCGGAATGGACATCGAGTCGATCAAGCAATGCAAAATATTCGAAACAATGTCGAACAAAAATGTCATCGATATCATTCATTGAGAAACAAAGAATTTATATTACATTAATTAGAATAGAGCTGCTACTTTTCTTCAATATGCCGCTAATACAATGTCGAAGAGTGCCAAGAGACAAAACGATTTTGATTTCTGATCTCTTCACCTTACCAATCAAATAGAAAAGAAAGCTTATTTCATTTTGTTTTGTTTATTATTGAAGCACATTGTTACGCATATATTTAATATGATAGATTATTATTATTTAACGCGAAACAAGAAAAGATATAGATTCACTTACATGTTTTAACTAAAGAGTGTATAACAAGAATTTGAAAGTGTGTCCTAGGACACAGTTCACATTGATATAGAGACGAACATAACTGTCCATTCGAGTTCGATGTGACAAGATGTGTATGGTTCTTTTTTTAAAAGAAAGAAAAATTAACTATCCCAAGCTGAACGTGTTCGAAACAACTGACGTGTCTGATTGGTATAATCATTAATGATTGGCGTTGGAGTTGTTGTACACGAAGTAATGGATGTTTCATTGTTGACTGTAATTTCTGGCGAACCTGATGAGTGATCTTTCAATGAATATCGATGTTCATTGCCACTACTGCTACTATTTCCGTCACCACTGATGCGGTAGACGATAATATTCTTCGAAAAGGTCTTGCGTTCTAATTGTTTTAAATAATCTTGAAATCGTTTATCCATGGTTGGAAATTGTTGATGTTGTTTTGGTATAACCGGAAATAAGCGATGTACAGTGTGAATAGCTTCAGTTAAGGTGATTTGATCATTGATTAACATTAAATATTGTATAGCGATGACAGCTAATGGCGAATTTGGTGTTAGTTCAAAGCCATAGATGAGCACACGTTTGTCTTCTTGCTGTGATTTTAATATAAAACGATTGACAGCGTCGAACAATTGCCCTAAGTGTGCCCGACTTAGTTCGCGTATTTTGCCACCACTCAATATTTTGGAATCCGCTGATGTTACCGATGAAGATGATGCGACACACGGCTGATCGAATTCGAGTGTGAGTGTGCAACGTGAATGTGTATGTCCGCATTGACACGGGAGGCGTGCGCCTACATTCGCTTTTCGTGCTAATTCGTCAGGTCTCATATTAGATGCGTCAATGATATAATCAATCGATAGTTTACATAATTGACGTTCGTTTTGTAGAGCTCGTATCGAGCCTAGGAGAACATCGTCGGTAAGGAAAACAAGTGGAATAGTTGGCGATGATGGATCGCTTACGACTAATGCTTGTCGAACTAAGGATTGTGAACGTCTTTGTTTGTCGCGACGCAATTGCGAACGAAAATCTGTGCCGAGAAATTCTGAAGTTGTTGTGAATACGGATGGAGCTTGTTGAGGAGTGAATGTTGACGAAACAGTTTGTTGTTTTGGCGATGATGATGATTTCGAATTTGCCGCAGTCGAAGTTACAGTTGAATACGATGGATTTGTTCGTAGAACAGGTGAAACCACAGTTTCGGATGAATCAATAACCCATTCGTTTTCGTAGACTGTTGATTTCGACTGTAGCGATCCAGCTGTTGTTGGTCGACCGGTTGAAGCACGTCTGGCATTACTATCGGTACTCAACCGTCCTGAAAGCGTATGTTGAAACGAATTCTTTCGATGATTATGATGATGATTTCCAAGTGCTGGTGTTCGTTGACGACTAGCAGTTGATGATGAACGATAATTAAATCGATCCGTTAACATTTGCTTTCGTCCTTTGGGCTTGAATTCATCCTCGTCATCGTCATCTTCCGACGGAGATGATGTTAAGACATCCTGGACATTCAAATCGCTTCGCGACGCACTTTCGATACAAACCGTTACCGTCGATGGGTCAGCAACTGTCGACGATGCCGTACTGAAAAATATGTGGACTTTAATAAGAATTTCACTGATTTACTAGCATTTTACCTTGGCGAACGTCGAATTACGCTGTGCGTCATACTTGAAATTCTTCGCACCTTTCGTTTCCTCTTGAGATTAGAACTAGACACGGATACAAAGTTTTGCGCAATTAGTTGACGCTTTAAAGATGAGACATTAAATCTTCTGACTGGATAAAAGACGAAAGAATATTCTAGTAGAAAAATGTAATCAAAATTGTCGTACACAATGGCGACTTTTCCTCTCACGTCTTCATATAAAAGAAAAAGGAAAAAAGAAGAGGAAGAGGAGGAGATTCCTTTCTCTCCCTCTTTTTTCCTCACTAACTCTCGACGCTTTGCATAGATGTTCCTTTCTATATCTGTATGAGACACAATCTTCAACATTACCTTGAGCTGTTGCTTTTCATTAAGCTAAGTTTATCCCATCTTTCTTCTTTCTTTTTCTCCCTCGTCTTTAATTTCTAATGTGCATGTTACTCTGCAAGTTAGAGTTCTGCGTTACTTGACGATGACAAACATTCTTGAAGATATTCTCATTTCATATCCACATGCATGCATAGATTTCGTGGAATTTATTATGAGAAAGGATTATTATATCCTGTTCGCACTTAAAAACAGGAAAAACTTTGCCAAGGGAAAGGTGTTTAAAAATAAAATGATTCATTTTCATTCATTCCGACAACATTCAATTAACAAAACTGTCTTCTATCCATGAACTCAAATTCACAGTCGAATCATAGCGATGTTAGTCTGATGATCTGTGCCAAGGTGGAAGCAATTGGTTTTTTCTCATCCGACCTCGAGTTCGTCAGGTCAATGCATCGAGCAGGTGAATCTAGTAAGCGCTAGAGGTTATCTAGGTGAATAATGAATGGCATATAGTTCGAAAAACTTATAATCTATGAAGCACTATTCAATCTCTAATAAACAAAAAGGAGCTCTTTCTTCGAGAAATAGGGAAAATGTCCAGGCATCAGACGTGTAAATCAATCTCGTGCTAGTATTCATCCCTGTCCGACAATCATTCCACATACATGGAATATTTCTCTTGCTTTCGTATCAAACTTGAGCGTTCGCATAGAAACCGTGTTGATTTCGTTCTCAATAAGTTCCGCCTCCATTATATAGATATCCTAGGTGATACATTAGAATTTCAATTACATGACGTGCATCCAGTAGAAATAGTTCTTTGTTGAACATTTTTACACTTGACACCTTCATTTTAGTTACTTGTAAATAAATAAATATATATTATATAAATGTATTGTTAATAATAAAAAAAAAGAGGAAAGAAAAGAATGTTTTAGTAAATCTATATTAAAAAGAAGAAGCGAGAGAAAATGACGAGCGTTAGTCCTTTCCTTGGAGGATAGCATGACGATAACTGGCTCTACTTGAACTTGTTAAAGATCGCCATGTTGTGCCCGAATAACGAAAAAAGGCGAGAACTAAATGCAAACATACGACGAATGATAATAAGGCTGTCGTTAAATAAAATGATAAATGCAGCAGATGACTCGAATGCTGATCTTGGTGTTGCCAATAGCTAAATGTTAGAATGACCAAGAAGATCCATCCTGCAACAACGTGACACATCGTATTGAAAAAGAAACATGACATTAAAACCACATAAACTAATGCTATTATACACATTGAAGCAATCAAACATACACCAACTAAATCCAATGTTGATTCACTGATCTGTGAACTAGCTTTTGCTGCTAAGAACGATTTACAAGCGTATAGAGACGAAAAGCCAATCAATGCAATTTGCCATGCTAACATGACACTAAGACCGTTATGAACAAATATTCTTATCGACCAAATATCACCAAATCTGACAGAACAATGATAAAAATCAATTCGAACAAGTTTCCATTTGACAATCGAATGACTTACAGGTGACATGTAGATAATTCACGTTCATAGTTATGAAGATGAATAATAGAAGTAATCAGACAGAACGTTAGTGCCATGGCACCTAAGACTGTATAAATGACTGCAAGCTAAGATAAAAACTAAATTGGTCAATGAGACTATAGACAATGTTTAAATACGTACAACATTGGATTGATGTTGAACAAGAAATAGAAATAAAAGGTGTGACCAACAAGCGAGACTGAATGTTAATAATTGCATTTGTGGCACTGGACGAGGATATTTATATAAATAATCACTGTCACCACCGCCACCATTTCGACGACATAGAGTTGTTATGGCATAGAGTAACCATGGAGCCTAAAATCAAGTCTCGAGTCGAATCGAACAAAAGAGATCACCGATTGAATTTACTTGTAAACCATAGACGGTCATCCAGATAGGTGCGATCCATGTTTTTGGTGGAACTAATGGATCCGTATGCGAATGGAAACGATGAAGAATCTGACCGAAAACTGATGGACATAGAAGAAAAACAAGTGAATGATTATGAACAGTTTCAGCACACTACTTTGACTGTTAAAGAAAAGATCACCTATGATCAGTGTTAATGCTAGTATGTATGAGACAAGTGCCACAAGAAGACCGATGGTTTTCCCGCATGAATGTCGTTGTTTACTTCTATGCCATAGAAGGAAAATCTGCTATGCGTTACAATCTTGAAAAACGAAACAACATACTTATCGACAGTCGCATGCATCGCTGGACTATCACCGAATGGGGTTGGGCGAGAGAATAAACTCGACGACATCGTGAAATAATGGATATAAAAGAAGAAAATGAACAAAAGTCAATGTTGTTGTGATTATTAGTATTATTGTTGTTGTTCTTCTTCTCCTCTGTCGATATCCAATGTACACAAAGTATGTGGAACGTGACGCAACTAATAAACACACCCGTTTAACTTCTTCTTCTTCTCTCTTCTGTTCTTCTGACTATAGACGACATCGTGTTACTGAAATAAGCATTTATATACAATCGTCGTTGCTTACAATCGAAGAAAAAGAAGAACAACACATTTGATTGCCAAGTACCATGCCATGAACATTTGAATGTATTATTCTATCCATCGAATAATAGGTGAAGTTATGTTATTGATTGTCTTCGAAAAAGTCTCTTTAGACTCGATCACAATCGAACTATTGACAAATTAGAGAAATTAGCTGATACAGTCATCTCGAACACCACGCATTTTTTCCACAAAATCACGAATAATGACAATCAATTTGAACGGAACTTCGGAGGGAAAATGTCGATTCAATTGATTCATTAAAGGCATGAGGAAAGCAACAATGATTTATGTTTCTATGATCTAAAGGTAGTGAACCAAAGCATCCATCCAACTAAATATATATTTTTTGATGGAGATTAGGACAAAACAAAACGAAAGATGAGTACACTGGTGTATGAGTGCAAAGACAAAGAGAAGAGAAAAGAATTCGTCGTCATTCAAATGAAATTATACGCACAAATCGTACATAGTGACATAAAATCATTTGATAAACATGTAGCGATCCAAATTATAGGCTACTGCACAAGACAAAAAAAAGAGTAAAAGTGAGAACACTCTTTAAAAACGGCACACATTCATGTCGGATATCCACATCACTGGTGTGCGAGAAGAACAAGAGTGAACAAACACTGAGAGACGTTTGAATGTCTATGTATATTTATATATATATATATATGTATATATGTGCGCGAGTGTAAATAGGTTAAAAATTGAGTTTATAAAGGAAATTTGGGTGGTGAACCAACTGTTGTTGGTGAAGTCGTTGTAGGTGGTGTCGAGAGTACAGAGCTACGTCGTGGCCGATCAGCATCTTCCATGGACATTGCTCGAGATAAACGTCCTAAACCGACTAAACCTGCTTCCATAGGTAAGCCAGATACTGAAAAGAAAGATACAATAGAACAAATGAAGATTGCTCGGAGAGATACATACATAATCCAATGCCTTGTAAGAAGAATTGCATTGATTTGGCTAGGACATCAGGCTAGATAGAAAGAAAGATGTTTGATAATTGAATAGCGAAGAATTCGTGCCTTACAGCTTCACCAAGAACATCACCAACATCATCTGCAATAAGCAATGGTGAATTGACCATTTTTTGAGGATTGTTGCGTGAATCACGTAGTCGTTCATAGAATTTCTCTGTCGTACTAATTACAGAGCTCTTCTTGCCGACGGCTACCAAACAGTCAACTCTACAAATAAACATTTCTTTCGTATAGAAACAGATGATAAGAACATTATCAACCATCGGAATAATCCAGACATATCGATCTAGGATTACATTTTTTTTATGAGTTTCTCCTTCTCCACGACTTCCACTGATATCCAGTGGAAACTCAACGATTCCTCTCATGAAACAAGACAGTTTTGTTTGCATAGTCAACTAATAGTGTCATGTTACATTGCAATTCGAAATCTCATTGAAATTTCCCTTGGGAATGGAAAAGTATCTATATGCGAATAGAATTCACGACGAACAACTTACGTTAATTTGTCTAATTTATCGACCAGATTAGTGCGACTATAAATAAGCAGAGAAAATGAAAGGATTTTCTTGGAATTAAATTAATTCTTCTGTCTGTTACTTCAAAAATGCGTCCATAAACAATGCCAAATTCTTTGCCGTACGCTTCTGATAAAGCTTCTCCGAAAATTCACGAATATTTGCTTCAAGTAATTGAGAATCACCATAACCCTACAGAAAAAAAAACATCTAAAACACTGCCGTTTCCTTCCCAATTACTTGAAATACAACTAGTAAACATGTTAATGAACATTCATGCAGCAAATCTCTAGTCTGTTAGTAGATCAATATGAGTAATTTGATACCTTGACATTATTTGAATACTTGGCAAACATCGAATTCTGCAAAGATTTATCGTGTCAAATACACATACGAAACAAGAAGAAGAGCACAAGAGAAAATGAATACGAAGGAAATTATAGACGCAGAACATCTCATGCTTAGATTAACTAAAGTCTTGAACGAAATTATATTGAAACTACACCTTGTTCTTGTTCTGATCGTCGCTAGACTATAAAATCAAATGAAATCATACGAAAAAACTAGGTCATGGTAATTTTTGTGAGGGCACAATCTAATTGAATTATCTATTCATACTTTAAGAGAGTTTTTTCGATCAATTTTCTATGTATAGATAGAGAATCGTGAAAATGCTGGTATTCATTATGAACAGGATGCAGAAAAGCCAAGAAAGCACATCCAAACTCATCACATTACACTTAAGCACAGTTGTACATACCTTTGCTGCATCCTAAAAGCAAACAGAAACAATATAACGAAGTGTTATTAGAACGAAATAACATACTCGACCAAATCGATGCCAAATGAGATAAGCTTCAGCGTCAGGATTCATTCCTTTATGGATTAGTTTCCAGTTATTAAGCTTGTCCTTCATCATTTCCATAAAACCCGCAGTTGTACCAGTTGGATGAACAAGTACAAGGCCATGGACACGCGTTGGATATTCAATAGCAAAACGACATGCAATATTTGCACCTGCACCCTCGCCAAAGATAACTGCTTGTGGAATATTTAAATGATCAACAATATTGATTAATTCACTAGCGATATCATCTAACGATGGATATTTTCTAAACGACAAAGCAGGTTACGAATGAAAGATAAAAATTGAATTCATTACTCAATAGGTAAAGCAGCAGCATCATCCTCTTGTCCAGGCAAGTCCACATGTACCCAAACAATTCGTTGTTTACTAAAATAGCCCAAAATAGATTGTGTCGATTCGATGATATTTCAGCACTTACAGAGCACGCATTTCCGGTTGAGAGACGAATTCGGTAAAAACTGAATCTGAAATGACTCGATTATCTCGTTTTATTCGACATGTAAAGGTTAAAATCTACTTACGGCTACAACCGATATCATGAATAGTTAAAACGTAACATTTCGAATTATTTCCAGTGTCGTCCTAGAAGAAACTCATGCAGTCGTTTTTCCGTTCAAACGAATTCTTACTTGAACCCATGCAGTATAATCAAGACCGAGTTTGTTCGAGCGGATCACATATTTCTAAATAGAAAACCATTCATAAACATTCGATACTCAGCTGAAATCAAGCTATTTGTTAGTTAGCAGCTAGAGCATGTTATCTAAACTTACTGGAAGACTTGAATTCTACGAAAATCAAATATAAAATAATAACATGGTTATTTCATCTTAAATCTTTATGCTTGATGAAGAGACGAAACATATGCGTTATATCTAGCGTAAGGGAGTAGTAATATTCTGTCTACATTCGTCCTTCATAACGTATAGGAGTTTTATTTATTACTCAACGGCAGAAACGAAGATTGGAAGCACTTACTTGGTTTTGTTGAACTGTTCCAAGTTTTTCAAGTAATCCTACACGATCAGTTTCTTCCATATTGTATATAATACGAATAAAACTTCAATTCAAGCGTTTTCTGTCTTTTTTATATGAAAAAAAAAGTAAATCGTATCAGACGGGCCCTTTTGCTCTTGATACAAACTGAATATACATATATGTAAACGTGTGTGCGCGCATGTATGTATATTTGTTCAGTCAGCGAGAAGAAATAGAACGGACTTATGTGTACCTATATATAGAAAAAGTGCGACAGAAGAGAGAGAGGGAGAGTGATGTACAAACGCAAGTTACCGAGCGTTTGTGGTTGAAACCAGACTCTTTCGCATACGAGAAAGAGAAAAAGCGCGCATGTTAACAGTGCGACAACGGTGAACGATGTAAAAGAGAATTATGAGAAAAAGTATAGATAAATTTAACGCCCGGTGACTAAATAATTTGACGCATTAACAAAAAATCTCCAGCTGATAGCGATCTGTTCTCGAAAAGAAATTGAAGCTCATCTCTTCGACCTCGTTGCTTTTTCATCGAAAAAATTAATGAAAAAATATAACTAGCTGTTTGTCTTTCTTTGTCACTCGCTCGTTTTCTAGACATGTATAGAAACAAAAAGAATGCTTCCGTCATAGAAATGCAGCAACAATTGTCGTAGCTTCTCGGAATTCGTTCTATTACATTCAACATATAATGTTGGACTTTTTGCTTGTTTTCCTACTTTAGGAAAGCTAAAGAACAGAACGGTAAAAAAAAGGAGAGAATGAGGAAAGAAAAAGAAATCCTAGCATCCTCGTTTCAGCTTTAATATTCTTCCATTCTACACTTCCATACAGAGTTTTCCTCCTTTTCTACTATTGCGCGTTTCTTGTAGTGGTCTAGAGCAAGAATAGTGGTTGTCGACGCGGTCGTCATTTGCTTGCTTGCTCGCTCGTTCGAGCCCAAATGACATCCGGTGTCGGAGAGTATGTCTATACAACGTGAAAAAGAATGAAGAAGAAGTCGAACGATATGCAATCGCACAAAGGAAAGAGCTGATGATACAATTATGAAGAACACATGTGCGAGCACGACTGTATATTTGTAGAGAAGAAATGTTGTCTGGAAATGATATTTTTTTTTCTTCTACAAGACGTTTTATTCTTCTCGTATTCTTGAATCGACGGATCTGATCATTATTTTATCGTAATCGATGAAAAAAGAGCCACAAGTTATATCATGAAGAACAGAACGAGAGAGAGAGAGATAGATCTACCCTATTGTTGTCTACGAAAAGAAATGAAACTGCGCTATTCATATTGAAGGTTATCTTCAGCTCATACATATGCTTATAATGTCGAGAATTAATCAATATTATATATTTAACACACGACACTTTAGATTTGTTCCAGAGAAACTCTCAAGTGTAATGACAAGATCAATATTGATTTTCGACAGACAAGAACTGAAATACTGAACGTGTGTGCTTTGATTATTTCTATTGAGACTTTAATAAACCATTTAACTTGGAGACAAAAGTAAATTTAACTGGTTTGAATATTATTAGTCTAAATACTGCTTGAAGAGCATTGAATTTTTTATGATTTCGCCTGAGGTTAAGACTGCCATCTGTCGAAAAATTATCGGTCTGTCAAAGTTCTCTTTTTATTCTCTTATTCGGCAACAGTTCTCGAAAGTTCAGTAAAAACGTGCACAAGGTTCACACATCATCGAGAATTATCTCTCAGCAAACTATCTTGAATAAAATTAATTGGTATGTTTTTGAAGTTTACAAGAGACAACGAAGAAAACTCGACATCGAGTAATTCTGGTAATGCTCTAATGAGAAAAAAAGCAAACCTTCCTCATCCATCATCGTTTACTTTCCGATAATAATTATTATGCAGTGTGTGAGACAAGTTATATCTAAGAAAACAGATCCACGTAATTTGTTGCCGCTTTTCTCGTACAAATTCGCGCGTTTGCTCTCACAGAAATAGAAATCTTCTTGCAATACCTGTTCTTGAGCAGGACTGCTCATTTGAAATCGAAGTATTTTTTCTCGAATTGGTGCGTCCATTTGTCTATTGTTTCGAAGAAGTTAATTTCGTCAATATAAATTACATCGATTTCCAGTCTGATATCACAAACAGTACGTTTATCCAATGATTGCAGTTAAGATTACCTAGAAAAGAAATATATATCTATAGAAGCTCTTTTATTACTCATTTCGGTCGTTACTAAAGTACGCTCGAGAATCGTTTGATAAGAATGAAAACAATATGGCACATCGAGTGACATAATATATCGGTTCTATTTCATAAACCGCTATTTCTCTTGTTTTTCTTCACTCTATTTCGGATATTCTATGATTGACAGACAGATGGTAATGTTAAATTGGTACTATTACCATCATAAAAGAAAAAAAACGAAGAAGAAGAAGATTGGCAGGGGCAGAAAATGGAAATACACCACATATCTATATATATATTCACTCTTTCACTCTCCAGTAACTTGTATTTGGCACTCTGCAAAATCGCGAGTAAAGGCGCTGATGTCTCATTTCTAGAAAAACTAATGGCAATTAGTAATGCGCGCGTGGCTATGTGCGATGCATTCAAGAAGAAGAAGAAGGGATGGTTGTAGAAAAGTTAAAAATCAACATTCGTTTAGCTGATTTTTCACATGGAATGCGAGTATTACAAGCAGATTTGAGATCTCGATCTGTGGTAGAGGAAAAAGTTGATATATTTCTGAGAATTGGGTCTGAATGGGGAAACTATTCTACTTATCTGCCTTTTTTCAATTGTATAGATAATTAATTTACTAAATATAACTTCATCGAGGTAAGAGAAAACAAAGCAAATTAATTGTTGCAAGTTTTCTGTAAAAGACATCTTTTCACTAAGACAAGTAGTTCAATCTGTTTGTTTCCTGTTTTAAACAATTTTTAATGAGACTAGTTTGAGTAATAATCAAAACATCGATTTCAGTCACGCTCATTGTTCAAGATTAGAAAAGCTAAACCACACACATCGTATATAAAGATCTGAAAAAAACTCCGAGAAGAATGCTGATGAAATTGCGTGTCTGTCTAACATCGTTTTAGTGCAATTCGATGTGTGTAGGCCAGACCGAGGCAAATCGACTGATATCTTTCCATGCACGGACGAGTCAGACTCAATTAGAACGATGCAATATTAGTACCGAATAAGCACCGGCAATAAAAAAACGCGCGAGCGAAGAAAACTATTCTCTAATAACTTCCATCAAGTCGTAGATTCGAACAAGAAAGAAAAAATAGAACAAAAAAATCGAGAGATATAGAAGAGGACATCCGACGACACAAGAAAAGCATCTATCATTGTTATCAATTTGTCTCAGTAGTTGCATTCACAACTATCTAACGCGATCCTCTTTCTTCCTCTCTCTCTCTCTCTCTCTTATCAATTGATGAAATATTCTACTTGGAAATATCGTTGAATAAAATGATCGTAGTCACAATACGAGAGAAAATTGCTGATGCCATCATTAGAAGGAGAAAAAAGAGAAGAGAAGGAAAGAAGACCGAGGACGATGAACAAGTATTAAAGTAATAAGAATGAGATTAATGGAATTATCAGAAGTAGATCGCCTAAAGATACAATATAATGTAAATAGATCTTATAAACGCGAGTATATCAGTAAGTGAACTTAACAAAGAGAAAATTAGTTTAGAAGGGAAAAAATCACGAACATATTGTTAGTAGCAAGGTGATATTTCATTTCGTCATGATTTATTGACGTTTCCGATCAAACAAGAAGGAAAAACTTGATCTCGGCGCGAACATTTATCATTTTATTCACTCGAACGATCGAGATAAGTGAATATTTTGTCTTCTCTTGACGGATCTTGTCAAATCAAGGTTTTTATCTTAAGCTAATAAAATCTGACATTATTGTTGATTTTTAATGTTTCGGATAGACAATCCAAAAACTATGAAAACAATTTCTCTCTTCTTTTTCTTTTGTTCTCGATGGATTCTTCCTTCTTATATCGAGATGAGGATTTTTTCCATTTTTCTTAATCTCTCACATATCTTCGTCTGATGAGAAGAACGAGATCCTATTAGGAAATAGCTTCTCTCTATCAGCAAGAGAGAACGCATCGATCGATCATGATGCAATTTGTCCGATATGTCGCTGTATTTACTAGATACGCTTAAGAAGACAACGAAATATAAATTTAGAAACAAAAATAACTGCGTTCTCTGATGAAATTAATAAATATGACATACGTGACTAAAGCATTTCCGCTGAAATCCGGCTGATTCTAATGAGATAGGACTCAGACTGCATTATTAGTCGACTGTAAAAAAAAGACAGAGAGAAACGTGTTCGAAAATTATCTCTCAGATGTATAGAAAGTTAACTAGTTTTCTCCTGATGAGAGCCACGCTCTTTGCATGTGATGTGATCTTTCATACGAGTGAATGGAGAGGAAAAGGGAAATTAGTGCAAAAAGAAACTAGAATATTATCTTATAGTCCAAGGGAAATGAATGATATCAAATAAACGATCTTTTGCTAAATAATAGAAAAAATTTTCCGGCGTGCCCTTTCTAACATGAACTAACGTTAACTTCTGGATGGACGAAGATCAACTGTAAAAGTACGCTCTTGCATAGATATGCAGATATCGAAGCGTTAACTGTATATCAAAGAAATTCCGGAATTTTTCGACAGAAACATCCGATTAATCATGCCATATATAGCCCAATCTGAAAGAGATTGAATCGATGTTAATCATATACATCTACATTTCCGTCAGATCAAATGTGTATATCACTGTTTGACATAGATTTGTACGTTTAGTTCCTGAATGGCATCTTATTCTTCAGAAATATTATAAATGATCTTCTAGCCAAATAAATTTCATGTATTGACAACGTTAGAACATCAGTTTCCAAGTAGGAAGAAACGATAATCGCTTGCGATTGCTCGTTGACATGATTACAAAAGAAAGTCGTACTGAAGTTGACAAATTGAGATTGACGTAAGAGGAATCTTCATTCCTCATTCACCCCGAACTCATTTCGAAGCGTTTTGTTCTCTATATATGGATATTTATTCTATTTCGCGAATCCTCTAGTACAATATACACATACATATTTAGATAAGAAAAAAAATCTACAAGCGAAGAAACGATGAGTTTTTCGGGAGGTAACGAATAAATGAAGATTTTTAACAAATATTATAGATAACAAAATTCTCCAATAGATATAAGTAAAAATACGAGAGATGGATGGAACAGTTTGGATGTTTAAAGTGGAGAAAAGAATGTATTAGCTGGAGCTGGATAATTTGTCGGAGGTGTATTTTGATAATGCTGAAGACGTGTTAATGTAGGTGTACTGATTTGTTGTTTATTAACTGGAGCTGATGGTGCAGGATTGTCATTCTCAATCAAAAATTTCGACCAATAATCAGATGACATTTTAAGAAAAAATTCAAGAATTTTTGTTTGTTTGTACGTTTCACCGACAATGTCAATACCAGATACATGTTTCGATGAATAACCAATAATAGCTGGTCCCTAAAATTGAATAAACGAACGAATTTCATAGGTTGGACGTATTGTAGTTGAGGAGATTTTTTCCTTACCATTGTTCGACTTAAATTGAGTATTGGCATTCGACAAAGTGGTGAAATTGCCACGCGTTGTAAATGAAGAATCATAAATGCTAATGTATCTCGATTTGGTTTGGGTAATTGTTGAATAAGAGCATCGAAATTCTGTTGTTTAACAAAATCGGACTCTTCTTCGATAACATTAGCAAACGATTTCCATAATGCATTTGTTAGTAAAGATTCTGATAGTGAACGAAGAAAATCTTTCACTACGCCACAGATTAAATGAATATCATTGTAATGAGATAGATCGAATAAGCCCGTGCGTGATTTAAGAATTCGATCTTTTAATTCTTTGACTTGACCTTCCACACTAAATGGAAATTTTCTGCGTTATTTCGACGAGAAATGTCTCGCTTAATATACGTACACATTCAATCGATAGATGCCCACTTCTTGTAATCCACGTTGTTCGATTTCTTTGACGCAATGTACAAGTAGAGCAGGTACTTGTAACTGGTTGCTTTCACGCGAAGTGAATTTGGAAACAGCACCACGACTGGGTGTTTTGACATTAGGTAAACAAAGTGTTGCACAATTTTCTTTACAGCCCGTATGACACAGAGCACTGCATGCTTGACAACGATAAGCTAATTTACCGAAATGAATACGTTTGAGACACTAATAACGAAGGAAAAAAATGTAAATGTAAGACAAAAGCGCTGGAAATCATCTGCTCCTTACCACACAGCATGTTTCTGGAATAAGTATGTTTCGCGAAATAAAATTATGTGCACGTGCACGTAATGTACCAATACTTGATGGACTTGACTTCATCAGACTTGGTGGAGTAGCTGTGTGTTGAATGGGTGTAGATGGTGTTAATGTTTTCTGTTGTTGTGATGGCGGACTTGTTATTTTTGGTAATGTTGGATAGAGTGTTTGTTGAATTTGTTGTTGCTGTTGATCTTCGTCATGTTTTGACCAGAAGATATCGTCCGTACTTAGTTCTGATTCTTCTGCAAAAAGCAATTTTCAAGTGAATCATGTGGCGGGACTGTGTTCTTTTCTCATACCTGATTTATTTTCAAGCCACTGTCGTGATGGTTTGCGTACTTTTTGTTTGGGTCGTTGCTGTGCAGACAATGAATGACGAGCCGGTGCGCGCATTGGTGATGCATATTGATCAGTTTGTGGTCTTCCAACGGTTATATTTGAATATGGTGAGGCACCTAATTGATCAGCAATGTTTGTTGTCGCTCGATGATGTTCTTCATGATGAATTTCTGATGTGATAACCACGGGTCCATTGTTTAGATCATTCATATCAACGGTAGTTGTGGTTGTTGCAACAATACGACCCATTGGGTAGGACTAGATTTAAGTGAGGAAAATGGATAATTATTTAAGATGAGAAGTGATTTCGTCTTACTTCATCGTGTTTTGGTCGTTTTAGATCCACTGGATCACCCGAATTACTACTGCGTTTGACTCCACCAAGTCCTGTCGATTGACTGACGACTTTGGGTAAATTATTCATATTGTCAAAATCAAGTTCTTCGCCAGTACAATTCTTATCTGATAAATCAGTTGTTGTTTCACTATCTGACATAGCTGAATCCCTACACAAAACAGTACAACCGTACAGGCAAGCCGAGTCATTTCAAGGAGACGAACCGAAGTATATCGCGCAATTGGTCAAATGTATTCTGACCAGTTATGGTACCTTTAATCTGATCAAGACATCGTTGTAATTCGTTCAAACGTTCGTTGCTACGCTTATTGTGTTGAGTTAAACGAAGAATTTGCGAACTAAAAGAAAATTATTCGTTCAATGCTCATGAGACTGGTAGAAGAACAAAATACCTTTGTGACTGAATTTTTTTATCCTTACGCGCTAGTTCAGTTCGATATTGTTCAACGTAGCGATCCATCTGTTCGGAGTACGCTCGTAAATCTGCATATTTACGACGAAGATCATTGTGAAATTTAAGAAAGGCACTAAATTCTATTGACAACAGCAGTAATATGTCATTGTATTCAAGTCTTCGGCTGAACTTACCCTGGTCGCAGCTACGTTGTGCTAAAATATTATTACGTGCAAAAACGTCTTGGTAGGCTATTAAACGTTGTAAACGTGCTTTAAAATTGACGGCTGGGTTGGTCTCCATAAACGAAATTTAGAAGGGAAAAAAAGGAAATCTACCTATAAGAGGAGAATTATTTACAACAAATAGATCGAAACAAGGAATGCTAGAGAATAGACGGCGAACAGAGACACTCGATGAAGAAAGACTGCGCCTTTTGTTATCATTATCCAACGGAGAACGACAAAGTTTGAGGGTAATGAAAACTAAAGTAAAACAGTTATTTTCACTATAAAAAATAGTTTCTATTCAGGATTATTTCTTCAAAGTTCGTTATTTGATTTTCATAATAGATGGCGCCACATAGAGAAAATGTAGCGAAGGATAACTCTTAGCAACAGTTTCAATTCTAAATGAAGCATTGAAAGAATTAGATATCTGTCAGTTTTATTCTTTCGCGCTCATCAAACAAGCCTATTCAAAATGGCTAATATGGCGAAAACGATGGCCGATCTTCAAGATCTTAGCCGTATGGAAGACACTGCGTCATTAGAACGTACGAAAGCTTTGGATATGGAATCTGGTCAAATCTCAGAAGCTGTTTACTGGTCATGTGATCAAGTAGCAGACTATATTGAAATGCTTGGCTTTCCTCAATATCGAGTATGAGAAATCAATTGCTTTAGGAGCCAATTTCTCTCTCTAAAATCGGATTTAGGAATGCTTTCTACGAAATAAAGTAGATGGACGACGATTGATTTTATGTAATGCTTCGCGTTTGAATGCTCTCGGCATCACAGATTTCAAACATATCATTGTAAAAAGAAATTATTCGTGAAGATATTCGTGAAATCACTAATTTCTCTTTAGTTCGTAGCAAAAAGTATTCGAGAATTGCTACATATTGAAGAGCCGTATTGGAATCGAAGTGTCTCATTGCCTTATATGGAATCCATTGGTCGCTATCTTGAGCAACGTAGTATTATCGGCCGCCGCGCAGATGAATTAGACTATGAAACATTTACGAATGAAACTCGTGACACTAAATTTCAACCGATTTTAACTAATCAAGGCATTCTTAATTGGAACTAACATTATTTATTTGCTTATTTTGTATCTAATCGCACAAATAAATTTACAAAATGTGAAGAAAAAACACTTCTATACAGGATAACCATAAGATGGGTCCTCATTGGAATTAAACAGCAGATTCGCTTCCAACTCGGCTCGGCGGTCGTTGGCTGTATAATGATGGTTCTTTGTCCGCAATCCAGACGTCAGTACTCTAGAAAAGAAAAACACATTGTCATCATATCAACTTGATTATACAAGCAAGAATAAGCTGCAGTTATAGGCATAAAAGAGAGAGCACGGATCAAAGGTGCAAATACAAATTCAAGCAAATTATCTTACCGATCATCATCCGGTAATGATCGTGATCGCTAGAGATACAGAGAGATATATGAATACTGAATGATATGACCAAAAGAAAACTTCTTCGATTGACTATTGTTAGATTTTCAAAGTAGAGTCTCGTAGTTTTCACTTACCCTGGATCTAGCTAATGCTTCGCGTGATAATGTTCGTTTTTTCAATCGATCTATTGCAGAAACGAGCGCACCTTGGTGTCCACCATGATAATACACTACTTTCTTTCGATTGTGATCCAATAAAGGTCCCCATTTTGGTTCAGGATTGATCAATGCTCGTGGTGACTAAAAGAAAAGTACAAAGCTTTCATCCAATGACATCTCAAACGAACTCTCGCTTTCTTACATTACGATCGATAATAACCGTACGTATAAAAGCATAAATTGCATACAATACAACTCCAGATAGAATCAGTGCCGTTAGACCCCAACCAAGATTGTATGACCAACGAGGAAAATGATATCGTCCAAGTTGAAGCGGTGGATAATGAATCGATGTAAAGATAATTAAGGCCTAAATATTTCAAGTTCGAGAAGAATAAATCTATTTGGCTGGCATACCAAGATTAATAATGGTGTTATAACTAGCCAGCATATTTTAAAAATAGGAAACAATCGAACGCCCCAGTCTTTTTCGCCAAGCATCACTTTGATATCATCACGGAAGTTGTTCGATCCTAAAAATCGCCAGAGCGTCAATTTCCAAAGAGATATAGAGGTATCAACGAACCGTAGATGTATGCAATAACAATACATTCGAAAAAGCCAATGACAAAAGCTGGATATGATCCAGTGAACTGATCTAGAAATGTGATCCAATACAAACCACTCTGAAAGGTTAGAAAGATCAAACATAAAATCAATTTTTGATTTGTTTTTCTCATTATCTCACGTCAGTGCACAGCAGAAGGCCAAGGCCGAATTGAACTATACAAGTAACAAGTGTAATTATGGAATTATATCGACGTAATCCATGAATTTGATCTGTTATGACAACAACGATAGTTTCGATACTAGCGAACTAAAGTTGGCAGAGAATATGTATAATCTTCGATTGATGAAATCAGATTACTTACCACAGAGTCTAATCCAAGTAAAATAAGCATGAGAAAGAATAAAATAGACCATAATGGTGCAGCTGGAAGTGTTGTGACTGCGTACGGATAGACAATAAATGCCAGACCAGGACCTATACATACGATCGCTATTTTGGAATCTTTAGAAATGAATGAATTACCTTCAGAAACTACACTTTCAACATTCTGTCCAGTTATATAAGACAAATAGCCAAGGTACGCAAAAATAACAAATCCAGCAAATATCGAAGTCAAAACATTTGCAATGGAAACAATAAATGAATTTCTATATGGGAAATGAAGATCTATTTTCTCTTAATCAAGACATATTTACCCAAAGGTTCTCTGATTGAATTTGTTATAGCTCGATAGGGTTATTAAACCACCATACGCAACCGATAAAACGAAAAAGATTTGATTTGCTGCATCATTCCATACACGTTGATCGGCAAGACGCCTGAAGTCCGGCTTCATATAGAAATAAATCCCTCGTGACATTCCCGGTAGTGTCCAACCACGAATACCAAGAATAAGAAGAATCACATATGGAAAGACAGAAGTAAAATAGACGACCTAGATAAATACAAAAGAAAATCAATAATTCTCCAGAGATATACATCAATAACACGAAAGTTTGACAAAGCAAGAATATCGATTTATCATAAGCATGAGGATGTTGAGAATCAAAAGGAAAATATCTGTCACTGACATGCATAGCTGCCCCTGCGATCACAGATACTTACATATAATCTTAACTAAAAATGATTATATGATTCGAAATGAAATATTCTATGATAAGACTTAATATCATGGCTTACTTTTCCGGAAAGTTTTACACCACGACAGAGACAACCGTAAATGATGACCCATGCCGCTAATAAACTCAATACGAGTGGCCATTCCATCGTGGAGATATCGCCCATGCCAGTTGACTTGTTCAATATGTAATTACTGAAACAAAACAGACAATAAGACGAATTTAGCCTAAACGATGTCGATTTTCGTATTTACTTGAAATAATCGTCAGAAGGAAGAACAGGTTTCTTGAATTCCAATCGTTTTTCCAGATTCCACCAGCCTATACTAATCGAGGTTTTACCCTGTGCATCCCATAGGTAACATTGACCATTTGGATCTCGGAAAGTATTCTCGTAATTGCAAGGTGTTAGAAATGAAGTAAAATTATCGGTACAATCTATACAGAGAGAAATAATATATCATGGAAAACATCGACTACATATGGTTACGTACTGAGTCCTGCCCATGGAGAATTGCATGTTGACCATTCGAGTTTCGAGCGAAATGAGAGCACAAAATAGAGAATGGAATAACCCACTAGCATTGCATAATACGTGGTCATAAAAAATGACATGATACTCATTGATATACCAAGACCTGCGAGATTATTTCCAATGAATCTGTTTTTACAAAAACGAAGGAATTATTACCTTTGAAAATGGGAGCCATTCTCCAGCAATGAACGGCGCCTTGAGAAGTAAATTGTCCAAGATTGACTTCAAGATAAAATAGTGGAATTCCGAGAAAGAATAGGAAGATAGCATAGGGTATGAGAAACACGCCTAAAAATTTTTACGAAAAAGAATCGAAAGGTGTTTTCTCTGGTACTTCGAAGAATATTTACCTCCACCATTTCGATAGCAAAGATAAGGAAATCGCCAAATCGCACCAAGACCAACTGCATAGCCAAGACTGGAAAAGAAGAAATCAAATCGTCCTGACCATTCTTCGCGCTGATTTTTATTTTGAGTAGCTGGAGGATGTGGAGGTTGATTAGTACGAATTTTTCGCGGTGTTGGTACAGGTGCATTCTATATCAATTAATAGTACACCGTACAGAAAATGTGAACGAGAAACAACAAATTCAATTACCCCTATATTTCGTTGAGTCTGATCTCTTCCTGCATCAACTGGATATTCTGATACGTCTCGACTTAAATCGTAACCATGATAGCTTATATTTGTGTCGTATTGTGGTTTGGAATTGACATATATTTGTTGAAACCCATCATCAACATTGTAGGAAGTTGTCGACGATGACGATGACGCATCATCCACTGCTGGATAATGAGGGACGCCTCCTCGTGGATCATGAGAGACACGATTGGACATAGGTACCTAGAGAAAATCAATATTATTCAAGAGAACATGTTTTAAACAGTGATTTTATCTTTCATTTTTCACTATCTGAGTAGTTATTTTCATAATTATATGGTTTTGATAAAATCTCCATTGAAGTGTACTTTTTCTTCCCTCGCTCTCTCTCTCTCTCCCTCTCTGTTTCGAACATCTTTTATCATTGTAACTCGATATGTAATCTAAGACAAGTTTATCACGCTTTTGTTAAACAAATTGACTAAAGTCAAGACTAATTAAAATGAACGAAACTGTCAGCTTTAGATGAAGAAACCAAACTAATCGAATGAGTTCTATTCTTGTTCTAATCAAAACTAGACTTGTACGTATTTTTCTATCGAACATTGTTTGGTTCATTAATCTTGTTCAAATATGATTGCTCAAATGTGATTTGACGATATGTACGAATTCAGTGTTGTTTCTTTAAATTTGAGGTGGAATCTGTGAACACAATGAACTCAGAAGTTCAATAGATGATGAAAAATTGATGTCATCATCGTTACTTTCATCTCAAAAATGAAGAAGATATCGGTTACATCGAAAGAATAGTATTTGTTTCAGGCGGATATTATTTCTCAATTCGATCAATAAATATTTGTACTCATTATTTGGTTTTTTTCTCGTACTCTTACTCTTACTCTTTCTCTTCCTTTAATAGACAGAATTTTCAAGGTAAAAACTATTGAAATAATACAATAAAAATTTCATTTTCTTACCTGATTTGATCCTTCACCTGAAAAATCTCGCTGCAATGGGTCAACACTATACATATTCTCTTCTGTTTATTCAAATGAAGACTAACTGTCCTCAGCTGGCCTATATATGTATACACATACGTATGTATGAAGAAATTTATTTACTAGTTTATGTTCAGCCGACAATTTCTTTTTCTCCTCTTCTATCCTACTGGCTGTTGCTTTCTCTCCTTCTTTTTTTCTCCTCTCTTTCCAGGATGGTCACATGCATGTATACGCGTCATTCAACGTGTGTGTCCACCGGTCATATTATTCATGCGAGAGTGGGAAAAGAAGAAAATGAACTTAAAGAACATTGAACTGTGTCACTGGGCTACTTTTTCGCTTACCTCTCGAAACATTGTTAGTTGCTTGTAGAAGCGTCCTAGAACAAAATCAAATAGAAAAAAAAACTACAAGACCAAAAATGATGCTATCAGACTAGACGAATGAGAAAGATTTTTTTTTCTTCATTACTTGTTTTTTCCTCTCTTTTTTCCTTTCTCTATCAACTCCACAACACACGCAAACACATTATGTACATGTAGGCGCAAAATTGAAGAACATGTAGGTAATACGAAGAGAGAGAGAGAGAGGAAAAGATGACTATTACTTCCAATCTATGACTAGGAAGATTTTTGACATTTATAACATAAAAGAACAAGTATGCAGAAAAAAATTCATGTCAAGATACAACGTACTTTCGTCTGTTTAATATAACAAGATGTTATTTTATCTTGAAAGAACATTTCTTCGTGTAAAGATGAACAATAAAACAGGCAAATTTGACCTCGAGTGTTGCTCGTGTCGATTGAGAATTATTCTTTACTTCAAAGAAAATGGTTGCTTAATAGGTTGTATTTGTAGTCTATAGTAGAGTAGACATTGATTTTACACAATCATAATGAGGGTAATATTGAATGAGCGACAGAGAAGAAAAAAGTCTGACCATGATTGAATCGATATTAGATACGAGATTGCAAGTGAAAATATTTCGATTGAGTTCCATTTTACAATTTATTAACAGTGATTCTTTGGTTATCTCCAAGTAAAAGTGACATACACATACACACTTGAATTTATTACTGGTAATATATTAAGTAAAACGCGAATTTCTCTTCGTACTGACGAAGTATCATGGCATATTGTTGGTTAGAATTTACATTGTTTCGTTTTGAAAATCATATGCAAAGTCACGGAATGATTTGCGTAAGAATACTGTTTAGGAGAACACTCCCACAGTTTTTCATGAGCCAGTATGGCGCAATATGAATGCTAGTTTGCGCAATCACGTATGACGACATTATTCTACTCAGCGGCCTATATAAAACACAGCATACTTGTCGATTCGTGAGAACACGGCAGAAAATATCGATACGATGTATCCGATAACAACAATCAAAATTCTAAGCAATCGCTTTACTCTCACTGGTTTTTCACGTGCTGGTGAAGCAACAAGTATCATCGTTCCTGAAATGGATATGGTTTTGGACGCTGGTACAATAGTTTCGACGTCTAAATTCCAACATATATTCATTACTCACACTCATCTTGACCATTCATTTCATATTCCTATGCTCTATTCACATACTTCACCGTTGCCTAGGGATATCTATGTGCCTGCCCAATCTTTAACTTACTTTGAAAATTATTTAAGTAGTTCACAAGCTCTCAATGATCACGATGAGGAGAAAGCACGTGAAATCTGCACTAGACGTTATAAATTACATGGTGTGTCAGAAGAGCAAATGATTGATTTAGGTAAATTATATCAAGTGGAAATTATCAGTTGTAATCACACAGTTCCTTCTGTGGGCTATGCATTTTACGAAAAACGAACAAAGCTCAAATCAGATTACGGCAATTTATCAGGTAAAGAAATTCAAGAATTGAGAAAACAAGGAATCAACGTGAGTGAACAAGTATCTGTTCCATTATTTGCTTTTCTCGGTGATACAACACCTGAAGTATTCGCTGCTGGTTCAAACTCGGCACGTGTGCTATTAGAACGAATGCCTGTGGTCATTTGTGAATGTACATTTCTAGACGGTGAACAAACACCTGAGAAGGGACATACACATTGGAGTGGACTTCAGCCTGTCATTGAACAACATCCGCATATTACTTTTATTCTCATTCATTTCAGTTTGAAATACAAACGGAGTGAAATCGAAGAATTTTTTACTAAGCAATCATTGAAAAATGTTATACCATTTATTTAATATTTTGCTATAAATCATCATAAGATCGAAAGGTTTAGACGTTCGTTTGTTAAATTTTCATTTTGTTTAATCTTGTTTGTTTACAAACAACAAAAAAAAGAGAAAAGAGTTGAAGACAATAGATAGTCAAACATTGTTGGATGTTTCCGAGATTGCGTAAGAGAGGTGAAGAAAAAAACAGATAATACATAGAAAATAATGTTATAGTCAACGAGAGAAAGACGAACGGGTAAAGTCGTTCAACTCGATTATAGAAATAGATTTCAACATTCTAATCTTTCCATCGTTCATCTGAATCTGTTATTTTTGTATTGGAAGCAAGTCGTTGTGGAGGAGAAACAACACTATTCGAACCCATTCGTTTATTTGCTGATTGTTCAATTATAAGTGCGCCATTCGCATCGTCTTCTTCTTCAAAGTCTTCATCGTAATTTCTAACGAGCACAAACAAAAACATTCCTAAGCGATAGATTTCGTCAAGATAAACTTACACATCATCAAGGTTGTCATTGGCACCGTCTTCGTGCGTTAAATTATCGTACTCAGCTTCAGCAAATTTCACCCAATCGGAAACATCGGGAGATTCAGGATCCTGCAATACATACGGATGAAACCAATAGATATAAAAACACCAATGAAAAGTTCTTACTTTAATATTGGAGAAAGGATCTTTTTGTTCATTATCCAAATATTTTTCCAGATTAAAAAATGTATCGAAGAAAACATTAGTTAATTTACATCGTTTCAAATCTTTCAAACGTATTTTATTATCTTCTTCTGGTTTAACCAAGTCAAGCATCTAAATACACATGTCCCTATTAAAAAATTTCATATTCATCAATGTGAACGTACTTGACATATACAATCTTCGAACGGCATATATTCAATACCATAAATTTCCATTTTATGTACTTGTTCTTGATAGAAATAATCCAATTCGAACATAGACAAGATACCGTCACCATCTAAATCCATACAACGAAACCAATATTCGATGCTAAAGAAAGAAAATCGAGACAGTTTAGAGAGAAAAGCTAGTTTTGTCTTTACCTTGTCGGTGAACGTTTATCTTCTTCGGACATGAGAAACCAAACAAATTCATAATAGGACATTTTCCCTTCTTTCATATTCTCACTACTGCAGAAAATGAAAAAAAACCAGGAATTGATATTTCAGTCGATTTCGGGAAAGCATCTTTCTTACTTCGAAACCGCACCCGAGAATATACGATCAATCATTTTATTTGAAATAGCTAAAAATAAACATTGAATTTCTTTTTTCTTTCGACGAAAGTATTTACCGCCATTGTTGTGTTTTGTTAAATCATCTCGGCTTATTAATAAATCATGATCCGAGTCCAATTCCCAAAATTTACAATAAATTACATAAAAATGCTCGTAGGAGAAATAATCATGAATGCGATTGATATCTTCTTCTTCTTCGATTCGATCGAGAATCTAAACAAAGAAAATCTCGAGTACGTCATAATACGATATCTTTCTTATCGTAAATCATCACAGTTACAAGTACATCTTGTAACGTATGAAAACCACTTGACCAGTGTTCTTACCGAGAGAAAATTTGATCGTCGTAATTCTTGAACCGTTAATTTACCTGACCATGATCTATTGCAATTATAATAGATACGTGCTATGACTGTTTTTATGTAACGGGAATGAAATTCTCGTGCTTCGCGAAGAAATTTTAATCCTGGATGTGTGTCAATGATGTCTTGAATTAGATAATCCCAATCATCGACAGTCAAATAAGAACGAGTGGCTGGTAGAGTTGATGATGGCGATGACAGAGCGAGAATTTGAACAAATTTTGATGCGTTATCGTGATGAGTTTGACATATTCTAAGTCGCATGAAAAGTGTTTTCGTGAGAGAATGAAATTACAGAAAGAAGAAGATAAATACTTTTTCCAAAAACTGTCGAATTGTGAGTAGGAGACAGTTGTCGTTGGTGTTATCGTCGTTTTCGATCCTAGTGAATCTTGTACACATGCACGAAATAATGGTGCTTTCCAGTATAAACTTAAATCGATCAACTAGAACGAAAAAAGACGTATATGTTGTGTTGGACACAGCAAATGTTTACCTGTGCGAGTTTACCAAAATCTTCCAGGTGTAACTTATCATGTTTTGGTTGAAACAAATCTTCATTCGCTTGATTTAGTTGTTTGTTGATTAGTGACTCAATTGAGGATGGTGTTGTTGTCTTTCCATTAGGAAAATAAAATTTTGGAATATCTACAACTGACTTCGGTGTTCCCTCAGGTTGAATAACTGACGTCGGTATTGGTGATGTTTCTTTGACAGATGGTACAGGTTTTATTGGAGTAATTGACGGTCGTATAACACTTTCCGTAGGTACTGATACTGAAACGGGTGATTTTGCTCTTGTCGGAGTTTTCGTCGCTGTGATCGAGGGCGATTGTTCAATACTATCGAATTGCTCACGCAGCGAAGCAACACCAGAAGTAGTTGGTTTCGGAGATGATGGCGTCGGAGACAGTTCACGAATAGTCGTCGAAGGAGACTGTGTGTTTGTTTGTACGATAGGCGTCTGTTGAGCTGGTTTGGATATCGCACCATCGGATGGTGTGGTCGTCGTCGATGTTCGATTAGGAATAACATTTGTTGATGGTGATGATGGTACAGGCTCTGATTTGGCTATTTGAGGAGGAGATATTTTACCTCCTGAGATCTATGAAAATAGAACAGAATTAGTCAAATAAAAAACAATATTTCGTCAGTGATTTGATTATATGATCTAAATGTTGTCGGTAAATTTTACATAGTTTTTTTGTTTGGGTGAATTATCTAAGGGATATAGCAAGCTATGATGTTATGCATGCAACTACCTCAGGAATGAAGAAAGCCGATCGATGTTGCTGATCGGGAATAGTAGGTAATCCTACTACTGCTTGTGGTTTCAGTGGCCATATAGCCTCGGGATTGTTAAATTTTTGTCGAATTTGTTGTTGAATATGTTGCTCTATTTGTTCAGCCGGATAACGTTTTTCGAAAACAAAGTTGATATGCGATTTGGGAATTTTCGGTGAAATCGATATGCGAGCCAATGGTGTCGAAACCGGTCGGCAAAAGCCTGTATGGATTTAAAAAGAGGTTTGTGTTTTTTTTTCATTATTCTTTCGCTTTCTTCTTATCCAACTCCGGAAGAGACAGATAGTGAAAAAGAGATCTCTAGAAATATAGTTTATCGCTCTACCTTTATGAATAGCATCACAATAACGGCCATAGTATCGACACTGTTCACAAAAATGTATTGCCCGTCGGCGTTTCTGATCAATTCGAATGTTGAAATAAACTTGAGTAGTGGAACGAACCACCTGACAAGGTACACTGGTCACTGTCATACTCTATTACATCTAGAGTACAAGAGGAACGATCGTCTTTATGACTTTCGCTTGCGTCGCTTTCTCATATGCATACATATAGAGTAAATTGTTTCTTCTTTTTTTTTTACTTGATTCGCTTCGGCTTATTCCATCTCTTGCCTTATTCTCTCTTTCTTTCGTATATATGTTCTCTTTTTAATGCTTTACACTTGTGATAAGCTGTATGTGTACGTCGACGAACCGCAAAATCGACAAGAGTGCCGACTCACCTCTTACTTACTTCTTCATTTATGATTCGAGAGAAAGAGTTGAAAGAGCGAACGGGGCCAAAGATGAAAGTAAAGGGAAAAAATAAACAAAAATGAAGAAAAAATTTTCGAACGTTATACCCGTGATAAAAACAACTATCGGTACGATAGGAGTAAGAGAGAGAATGAGAAAGAAAAAGAAAAATGAATAACTATGCGAAGTATCTAGTCCTTTTTTTTTACAAAATATGCCAACAATCACAGTCTACATACTGATATCAAATACCAATAGGTGACTAATCAAAGTGTAGGTGGTAAAGCAAAATCAACATAAATGTAGTCAACTGACTATGAAGAATATACTGTTGAAGAGTCGGCAGACGTATTATTTGTCGAGTATACAACTCATCTCGATGAGAAAAAAAAGAATAAATATATATGAAATTTCAAAAAATAGAAGAAAAAGAAATGATTATACACTTATCTTTATTTATCGTACTCTACTATACATATGTACATATGGGAGTCTTTATTTTCTTCATTACGACGGTTTCCACGTTGACTGTTAGTACTATAGATCTTTTCTCCCTACAAAAAAAGCGCATCTATCCACAATGACGATACAACTAAATCAATAAACAACTAATACGACGAGTTTCTCTCTTTTTTTCTTGCTTTTTTTCCTCATATCTTCTATCATACTGTCATCGAGAATATGCCTTTCTTCTTGAAGATATCTTCGACAAATCGTCCGATCATATTGACGAGAGATTTCTTCTTCCTGTTTGTACAAAGCGTGCGTGATGTAATAGATGCACATCAACGATGGCGATGGAAAGGAAAATTTCGGATAGTTCGATGATATATCCCATTCTTTTCCTCTCTGGATATCCGCAATCTTTCTCGTGCTTAATAGAACAAAGAATAACCTACTTGTTGTTGATCGACGCTACTGCTAGTTATTGATGCATTCAATGCAGAGGTACTATCGTTGAGAACGGGATATTTTTTCTTCAGTGAGCGTTGTTTTCGTTCGTCTCCATAGCCACTTAGGCCAGGAGTAAATTCACCAGTGGATGAAATCGACGATAAACCATTACGTGGACTTGAAGCTGCTCGTGGAACGGGTGAAACCGGTGGCGAATCGAAATGTTGTTGTTTAGAAAATCCGCCGCCACGTGTCGTATAGCTCTATGTACAAAAAAAAGAATCATGATCAACAAACTTGTTCATATCTATGAGTATACTTTTGGATAATTAATATGATCAGGCATTTTGCTATGATTTCGAACGCTTTGCAAAGCGGTATGTAAAGTCGTTCGTGTATCTGGTAATGAAAGCCATTGTAAAAATAAATCATTGACCATCTTAGTGATAGGTATGGATGTGTTTGCAGTGGTATTTGTCGTTGAGCTATTCATTCTGGAAATTTTACTATCAAAAATTAAATGGACCGCATATAGTTATCTATAACTAAAAGATCGGATGAATAAAGACGATAGAACTCTTTCATTTTTGTTTGTAGTTTACATTTAATAATGAAATACTCAAAAGCAAATTTTGAATTACAGTTACGAGTTTAAGACAAGAACAAAAAACACTATATAAAGCGGCTCGTTGTACACTACATAGTATGCTGTGTATATGTATATTTATTGAATAAATCACCAGAAAAACGAGAAAAAATATATGCTTAGAATTCATCACCATAGAATGAACTCCGACGAAATACCCATTTATCAGCATTATTATCCGTTTTCTCGATAACAGTCATCTAAATGGCAAGCAAAGATTAATCAAACGTTTCGAATCTTGACAAACTATACTCTACCGTTAGAAAATCAACATTTCGAATAACATGTGGCAACGTGTCGGGACGAAATTTTCCGCCACACAGTTTACGCGTGCATGTTTCTAAGCTTGGTGCATGTGCTGAATGAGAGACGAAAACCTTAGAATTCAAGGATGAAAAATAAAAATATGTTAAATACCAATGAATAGAATATGTAAGTGATATTGCGGTGACAATTGTCCTTGTTGAATTTGCGATATATATTCAGCTTCGTGCATTTTCATTAGGCTCGCAGTGACAGCATGGCTTCGCTGATAGAATTCCAATTCAGTTTCGAATTGTGAAACTTCGGCTATTGTCATATGTTCGGTATAATGTTTATCGATCGAATACTTGTTCTCAATCAATTCTTTCTTTGTCATAAATCGTGGCATTGTTAACACGTTGCTTGTCTCACTTGCTGTGTACCATCCAGTGCATTCGAATAGACCTGGTTCAATACTAGAACGAATTTAGTTCTCTTGGCAATACATAGATAAGTTTAGGAAATGTTACCGAATTTTCAATTTATTCTGTAATTGTAAACCTTCGAGAATTTTTGAAGCTGTTTGAACACAACGCAACGCTGGAGACGAATAACAGTAGGTGATATGTATAGCTTTATCTCGTAGCACAGTTCCTTGGAAACAAATACGCACGATGTGAAGAGAAAAACAGGAAAGTAATTTGAAGTGGATTACCTGTGTGAAACGCGTCTTTGAGACCTTTGTATGTAAGCGGCGGATCAAGATCGAAATCACGAATGGACGCACGAAACGGTAAAGTTTCTCTACAAATAAAAAGATACGATCAATAACATAACTGTTCGTTTTTGAATCAAATCATTGCGATATACAATATCATCGATTGACATCTTTTTCCTTGGTTTTGTTATTTAGTCACGCATACTCAAGATATTTCCTATGATTTCGTTGTTTTTCTTCCCTGCTGATTAAGTCTCGATAACTTACGGCAAAATCGGTGAGAAACGACAAAAATTTCCGTCTTTATCAAAAGCTTGTCGCAACCATTGTGAAGAATAATATCGATCTAGTCGTTCGCCGTGTCGAAGAACCAGTAAACGTATAGGACCTTGCGTAACAGGTAATGGACTCATCGGCGGATATGCTGTACCATGAACAAGATCGATATTCAATTGTGGGCTTTTGGATGGATTGAAATTGTCTGATCGTAAATTGATCGGACTTTTCGGTGGATTCGATAACGTCGATGACGATGGTGATGATTTGAAAATCTTTCGTATAAATTTTCTCACGCCGCGTTTTTCTTTTGTATCATTGAGCTTCGGACCTATTCCACTTGCGCTCGCCATCTGAGTCGTTGTGACAGCTAACGCTGGTGATGTTAATGGAGGAAGATTTAATCCTGATGCTCGACTGCTTGCTTTTGAAGTGTTCAGATGGAATTCACTGGAAGTTTTTATCGTAAAGTCTGTAATCGATGAAGCATCTGATGCGCGATGCTGCAGATCGGCGGTATTGGCACGAGAAGAACCTTTTCGAAGATGATCATCATCCTCTAATTCATCGTCTGTAGTAACATGTGTTCCTGATAGAGATGTGGCCACCTTGCTACGTCTTCGTCTTACTGATGATATACCGGAGTCGGAATCGAGATCCTGGAAAACGAGAAGATCAATGGATATAGAGGTCAACAAAGGATTTAACACATTTAAGCGTCAAGATATATGAAACCTACGGTCGTTTTCATCGCCATCATTAACTTTACTGTTGATAATAGTTTTTTGATGATGAATAGAGAGGGAATATGTACAAAAGTCTTCTCTTAATTAAAATGAATCTGATATCGATTTCATGAGTGTAAAGGAAACTGCATGGTCATAGTCACACCTATTCTAGCCGCCTAAAAATTCTCTCTCTCTCTGTCTCCTGAGTTTCTCTAGGAATGAAGTCATCGTAAATAACCTTATGTTCGTCTATGAGATTCAGTTGTTCCAATTGAAAATGATCTTCGTGTTGTGCCTGCTGTGATATTTGGTTTTTATTGCTGTTATAAGAGTTTGTCTTTGCATCTACTTGAGAAGTAATCACGTCATTTTCTTCAACCAACCAGCCATCTTTGCTCATACCGTTCTGACGAGTAAGGTATTAGTCCTTTAAAATATAAACAAACATAATCATGCATCTTATATCGAAAATGAAAGGGCATATTAGATGATTGACATTTTCGACGATAAAGAATTGAAAAAGTAAAAACGAAACGTCAAATATCTTTGCTATCATTTCGATCAAGCAGTAATAACTATAATGATGATGTCAGAAATACTAATGATAACGACGGGTAGGAGAGAAAAAACGCATTAAACTATCAATACGAATGGCGAATCTTTCCTACCTTTCAGTGCGCAACATCGACAGTACAGGAGTAAAAGAGCACGGGAGTATGTGAGCATATATAAACTCAGTCATGTGAAGAGAGGAAAAAAAACATGCGAATAATCACTCAGATGAGAGAAAATAAATCAAGGACTGCCTATCATAAAAAAAATCCTATTTTCATCATTCTCTCGTTTTTTTCCTCGCTTTTGTAAATAGAAAGAAGCAGGTGAATGACTGGGTCAGATTATATAGATATGCAATTCTCTACTATTATGATTGGTTCTGTCTACAATATAGATGTGTTATTGAATGCTAGCTTATATATTAATAACTATGTCTCAGTTTGACGTTTGCCTTTTAAGTTCGTTTCAAATCTATTCTGCCGAGACTTTCAGATACTAAGTGAAATACCTAAATCAAACATAATTGATGGTTGATAAAACAATCGAGTGATGGGCATTGAAATAACATCACCGTCGTACGATAACTCCATGAACGATGTATTTGAAGGAAATTGACTAGGAAGAATATGCTTCTATTTTAATTAGAGAGTACGTCGTCGCAGGTACGTAAGCCGTGTTTTTTTTACAAAGAAACACATTTTCTTCGTTTCGATTGGTTACGAAATAGAGAAAACACGAAAGATGAACTTGACAACACGATTGGTGTCGCCTGTGAACAATCATACGTTTGTATACATATGCCTGGCAATCGATTCAAGCCGTAAAAGAGTCATTTTATCTCGAATGAAAAAGCAATGATTCTATTCGAGAAGATTTTTTTTAGTTGAAGAACTCGCAGTGCATTTTGTATCCGACAAGCGAAACAAAATACACAGATGCCCGAAAAAGGAGTTCCGAGCGTAGTCGAACAGAGAAGGAGGAAGAAAGTTTGGAATAAAAACAAAAAAGAATTGCGACGTTGGTATAGCAGATGAATTATAGTGTTCTGCATACATTCTCTGCAAATAAACTAATACAGAATCGGTCATGTCTATCAGTGTAAACAGAAAAATATTGACTGTACGCCGAATATTTCATGTGATTCGTCTGTACTGATATTGGACTTGTTTAACAACGATTATATCATTTTTATTACAAATAAATTATTACAGCAGTGAAGATAAGAAGTTTATTGATCATTAGTATTACCGGATGACGCAACTTCGTCATTTTATTTTCTGTTCTTCTTCTTCTTCTTTTTCTCGGATTTAATATTGTATTCTGGATCGGATTTATTCACATCATAAATTGAGAATAGAACTGGATACACTATCCATGCAAAGCTGAATAAGCCTTCATATCGGCGGTGAACATCTTCTTGTCGCTTTTTCCGACTCTTGTTCATGTACGCTATCCATGGATCATACGTGACACGAAACCAAGCTGACGCCTTCTTTTTAATTTCGTCATTGATGTCTTGTTTAGTGATAAAGTCGTAATAAGTTATTTGATTTGCCCAACTCAATGCTTTTGATATTTCCGACCAGTTCAGTGGTTCTTCTTGCGATGGATCATTTGATTGATAAAATTGTTGCCAAAACAGACGTATATGTCTGAAAAGAGTGAGGCACGATATATTTCATGAATGTCTGAATAACGGGTAACACTGATCAACTATTTTGCTCTATTTACCTGTCTTGTATGATCTTGTATGCATGTGCAATTTCATTTTTTAAATCGAACAATTTCGTTTCTTTGGCGTATTGTTTGGATGTAAATTTGAGGATGTATCCTGAGACAATTTCTACTTCATATTTGATGCCATATTGTCGCATTAGTCGTTTCAATTCTCGGTCGTATCCTATTTTAAGGAAACGAGCTTCTTTTATGTATTGATTCTCTTCAGATTGATTGAAAATAAACAAGTTATAAGGAAACGAAGACGCTGCTGCAATCTCTTCGTCCCTGTTGATGTACAGATCAGCTTTACAATCTTTTATCTTATCATAGAGCTTTCCAAGAATCGTTTCTGAATGATAGCTTCGTTTATCTTTCTTCTCCATATAATGAGGATATTCTTGAGGACGAAGATCTTTTGTAAGCCGAGGTGCACTGACACCCTTCTTTGCAAAGTCGACTGCCACACTAAATAAATACCACGATTGAACTTACAGTCAAGTACAAAACCAAAAGTGAGTTTACCTGTGCATTCGAGCTAACGTAAGGCATTTTTCATTCTTTGCCCCATCAGGCGACTGGTCAGCGAAAACTAAATGACTATTGGCAATCATACCAAGACTACAGAGAAAATTCGAAAGGTTATTTCGAAAGACATTTAACAATCTTTACTTGTCCGCAGCAATGTATTCTCCAAAGAAATTGCACACGTCTTTGTATGTAAACGGAACTTTAGGTTTTTGTACTGAATCATTCTGATGTGCAGCGTTAGCTTCATCTTCTTGTTCTTGATAATCAAATGGTTCTTCATTATCTTTCTGAAAAATTAAATCCGGATAACGAGATATCCAAAATGTATCACCATCCAAATCGCCACCTGACATTTCCATGGCATGCGGTCGAAGTCCATTTATCGGAAAGACAATTACATTTTTCAGACAACGCAAAGCAGGTATGTCGATTGCTTTGAGCTTTCGAATATCACCTAATGAAAAAAAGGCGAGTGCCGTTGAAACAGATGAACCAGCGAGCACGAGTCGAAGGAAACATACCTGGATGAAAACATGGATTTCTGGTCACAATAACGTCACCTGTGAAAATGATTTGCGTTGGATTGTCACATTTCTGATGACTATTATCGATTTGAATGAATACTTCACCGTATTCTAATGTATCGGTTTCATCAACGACACCCAATAAACACCATGAATCTGGCACACGAATCTTCGCTTTTGTTCGCAATTCTTTCACGAGAAAACTTTTGAATGCCAGGAGTAACTGCTGTACAAATGGATCTTTTTGTTCACCCAATCGTGATAAATACTGAATTAAATATGTATGATAGCCATTTCCTCCGAATTCGTTTAGTTCTTTTATTGCTTCACATGCTTCTCTTGTATTATCGGTCAATGCTTTTAACTGCTCCATCATTCGATCTTGAAGAGTAAGAAAGCTTTGCTCCGAAACACCAAGTGATGAAAGTAGAAGAATGATTTGTCTATTGAGATACGCAACTGATGGTGTCAACGATGTGCGCACAACATCAATGGAGAAGTCGTTTGCCTCGAACTTGTTCATCGACGGTCGAAAGTAGACGTCTACTTTACGATCAGGAGTCTGATTTCGTGTCTCGATGCAGACCATTCCTAGGAAAAATTTAGTGCTATAGGAATTTTCTCAAGAAGATGAATTGTACCTTTGTAACCACCACAACGAATTTGATATGCCGATGGATAAACTGATTTGTAAGATAAGTGCATTTCATCAGCTAGTCGCTTTGCAAAATCCTGCGAAATGATCCCAATCCCATCTGTGAACACCAAGCACCGGAAATGTTCATGTTCATCCTTCCGTGAAAGTATTTCGCGATCGGGCAATTGATCGAATTGATTTTTGGCGAGTTTAATTCCCTTTGCACTAGTTGAAAATAACTGTCCTAACTGAAGAGAGCGCGAGAGAAGTTATTTTATAAAATAAGACGGAACGTTTTTAGTACTACGTACGCGTGCAGCAAGTTTGGCAACTGGACGAACGTTGCGAAAATCGCCCATCCATGCACGAATAGACGCAGCTGTTGTATTTCCAGCAGAAGCAAACATCCAACAAGAATGTTCGCGTAGTTGAGAACTTGAAAAAGCCAAAAATTCATAATGACGATTGCATATATTAACTCCTTGGATTAAAATTTTCTTAATACGTTCATATATAGTTGACATGCTGTCATTAAAATTGTGCAATTTACGATAATCTATTTTAGAGACAAATTTCAATCTGTTTACGAACATCAATGCAATGAACGTACCTTCATCGCGAAATGCTATTCGCAGAAATCGATCTTGATACTCCTCGAAATGACGTGTAATAGGACATTTCTCTTCACGATAAGGTCCTTCGTAGAGAATTGTTGAGGGTGTAACATATATTTTGCGAATTAGAAACTGACTTATATTAGCAGTTCGTAGTTCGAGCTTTGTTACAAATATGCCTGTAGTACGTATTTGGTAGAGCTCGTGACCACTTAATAACTTTTCAAATGCATGTATAAGCATACGACTGAATGTTCCTATTGGAGCCTTAGACGATGCTAACAATGTTTTCTTAATATTTGATTTATCAGATGGTATTTCACTATCTGTTGCATTGACAGATTCACCTGTAGTACATGCTCGAAGATGGGGTAAATTATCCGTTGTTAGTGGAATGCCTTCCATAGTTGCAGTCGTTCTTGGCTCGGGCTGTATTTGTTCATTTGTATCATCGGAATTGGCTATCTCTTCCTCTTCGCAATCGTAATCAGCTGTTGTTGAAAACCATCGAGGAGCAAATTCAATAATTTTATCTGAGCGAATACAAAAATAATACTTCCACGTGTACTTTATGGCATCGAGTTTTTTGTGTGCTTACCTGTCAGAGCGATTAGTGTATGGATTGTGCATAACCGCAAGATATTTTCTGCTTGTTCATCAACAATCAAATCGTACACGGTGATGATATGTTTGGAAATAAGCTTCATAATTTCAAATTTTGTTTCGAAAGGATACGAATGCCATCGACGTCCGAGGAAATCATCTACTTTGTCTCTATTTACTCGTATCCAATCATCGTTTGATATTAGTTCAATGGGATACAGATTATTCCTCGCAACTTGCAGCGATGCGATCATATAAGGAATATCGTCTTCATTGTATTGTCGGGATGTTAAATTATAATCGTGCAGTATTTTGAACAACTTCTGATACTCTGCACGCCAATATGATGAGCTCAATTGAAATAACCAAGCATTCGCATGTCCTATAAGGCCCGTGCCTGGTTGTCGTCTGTCTTCGGATGAATCACCACACATAGAGTCAATCATCCCTGTTTCAATAATGATGGGCGGTCGTTTCAGTTCCATAAGGAGATACACAGAGCTATCATTAACGAGAACAGGCGATATTTTGGTAGATTTTAAACTAAAATGTTAAGAGCTGAAAAAGATTTTCGAAGCAAAGTCTGATTCATACTCTTGGAAATCCCATTCAAATTTGAGTTTAGTAGTAGTTTCGACAAAATCTAATGGAAATAATGTAACCGTAGCGGCAATTTCGAACTTTTTCTTGTCAACATTAATGGCAAAACTGAAATTCGTCTCGTAATCACAGTTCGTCAAACGATGAGCAACGATGCCATACTCAGCAGGATTAGAAACGATGCTGTTTCTTTTATGTATATTTCTCATAGCAGCCCCAGTAATAAGTGTTCCGTAATATATATTGGTGATTTTAAAGTCATTTTTTGCAGCGTTGCTATAGCTAGTACTTGGATACAATGGCATCGTAGTCGGTGGTCGAGCTTGTTTTTTGGGACGGTCAATATGTAAGGAATTGCCTTTGAAAGTAAACTTGTTACTTTCACGATTATATGCATTAAATACCGCTACAGCAGTGGCAATAGAATCAAAACGAACAAAAGCATAAGTGTCGTTTCTCTAAAAACATTATGAAATTGTCGATCATTGAAGTAGAAGATAAGGAAGAAATTGCTGTTTACTTTGCTCTTTTTTGTGTCAACGTAACTGGCGAGATATCCGAGCTGTTCAAACCAGCTCTTTAATTCGCTCCATCTGGTATTTGGTGGTAAATTACCAACATAGAGCTCAGCTGTCGATAAGGGTCTGCTACCCTTGTCATCCACTACAGGATCGAGTGATAGACAATATCGATCTGCACGTAGAGCTTTTCGGATCAAAGGTGGTGCCGATAAATACTTTCGAAGTGAATCATCAACAAGTAAATCAGATGATTCGGTACTCGTTGAACAATTATTTGAAGAATTGAGTGCTAGATGAACACTAAAATTGTCAGGGATATCATGTTCATCAAGTACAGATAGATCAGATGCGCTCGTTCCCAGGATTATTTTGTACAATGATTGGAAACGGGCAGTATCTTCGAAATCACACAGATCATCATAATCATTATCGTACACATAATCATTCAAATTAATATCGTCATAATCATCATCGTCAAACTCCGTTTCCGATGAAGGCATTTTCCGTTACTGCTATTGAATACACCTATTGTTGTTTTTGATCACTTGAGACTTATGATTCGAAAAACTGTCAATTCTTCGTAAATCTAAAGCAACTGCCTTGTAACAGAACTGAGGAGAGTCGCGAGGTTGACTGGAAGAATGAGAAAAAAACCCAGTCGTATGTTCTTTCGTACGGTAAAAGTGAAGTATCGATAAGAAAATTCTAACAAAACAGGCAGAAAAAAAAACAAAATAGTCGACTGTGTTGCTAAAACTCGCCTCTTCGGTCCGTAGAAATCACGGTGATGTTTTGAGCAGTTTGTTTTTCAGAAAATGTTCCAATAGCACAAGTATTTATTTGCGAAAAGAATAACAACCAATGCTTTTATGGGCGAGAACTCGCGTTTACATGTTCAAGGATGAAAGCCGAGTCTGGCGTACCTCGATCAGAGAAGTCGTATAGGAGTTTTTCAAAAAAATCAGCAGACATTATGAATCAGAAATCCAAATGCCAACCATATACTATTTGACAAATAGCACCAATCAATGCATTCAATCCTATTTAAAGATAATCACATTCTCAGCGTATTTATTCAGTAGCTTATTTACGAAGGTTTTCCATATTATGACGAGACATCAGGAAAAAATTAGTAACTGAGATGTCGCTAAACGTCACTAGAGTTCGGATAACTATTACAATTGGTAAAAATAAAGTCTCCTATTTCATTGGATGAAGTACTCTCTGGATGCTGATTACTTGTTTACAGAGAATGAATAAATATAACGTAGACCATTTTGCTCGTACGGACTTTTATTGATTGGAAAAAGGTGTATTTTAGATCTTTGAAAAATGCCACTTGCTGCGCGATCACTCACTCGTCTCATCAATTCAACAGTTCGAACAGTAGGGTTTCGGTCATAATGATCTACACATTACATATTTATTCTATTTACATATATAGAATCATTTAGTTGGTTTACAATCGAAATGCTTTTCTTCGACACAAGCAACCGTAAGATTCTCCTGAATTTCAAGTATACTGTCTAGATTTTGACTAATTGAATTTCTGTAGGATCTAAAAGAAGTTTTACGGGATCTTATTCCAAAAGAACAAAAACGCGTGGCTGAATTCAAAGCTAAACACAAAGATACACCAATCGGACAAGTCACCGTCGATATGGTAATAAAACAAAACAAATGACATTTCATCTATTTTTTCTCATTCGCCGCCTAATATCGTATCTGTATGTGTAGATCTATGGTGGTATGCGTGGTATCAAAGGTCTTGTTTACGAAACATCAGTCTTAGATGCAAACGAAGGTATTCGCTTTCGCGGCAAAACAATCCCAGAATGTCAAGCTGAATTACCAAAGGCCAAGGGTGGCGAAGAACCATTGCCCGAAGGTCTCTTCTGGCTTTTAGTTACATCACAAGTACCAACTCAACAGCAAGTACGTAGTGGATTGAGTTGAATCCTAGAATTCAGTTGGAGCGATTTTCAGGTCGAATGGGTAACGCGTGAATGGAATAATCGCGCTGATATTCCTCAACATGTTGTGACCATGTTGAACAATTTCCCAGCACAACTGCATCCTATGACACAATTTAGTGCTGCTATCAACGTACTTAATTTGGGTTCCAAATTTGCCAAAGCTTACTCAGAAAACGTACCGAAAGCTAAATATTGGGAGGTAAGAAAATCTCAAATTTGGTCCCAAGTTCTATTCAGAAACATCATTCGATTGATGTTATTCTTTAGTATATCTACGAAGATTCAATGGATTTAATTGCCAAATTGCCAACAATTGCTGCAATTATCTATCGAAATCTTTACCGTGACGGAACAGCTGTTGGTGCTATCGATTCGAAAAAAGATTGGTCATGGAACTTCGCAACTATGTTAGGCTATGATAACAAGCAATTCGTTGAATTACTTCGACTCTACTTAACTATTCATAGGTAAAGACCGCTCAACGTTGATCTATTGAACTAAATTAAGATAATCTATTTTTTCTTGAATATTAGTGACCATGAAGGTGGCAACGTTAGCGCACATACGAGTCATTTAGTTGGCAGCGCCCTCTCCGATCCATACTTGTCAGTTGCCGCTGCTATGAATGGCCTTGCCGGTCCACTTCATGGCCTTGCCAATCAAGAAGTATTGATTTGGATCACTAAACTAGTAGAGAAGATCGGTGAAACACCTTCAGACGAACAAATCACCAAATATGTTCATGATACATTGAAAACAAGTGTCGTGCCCGGTTTCGGACATGCTGTCTTACGTAAAACAGATCCACGTTACACATGTCAACGAGACTTTGCACTCAAACATTTACCCAACGACAATATGTTCAAGATTGTTTCACAACTTTATACAGTTGTACCAAAAGTTCTTGGCGAACTTGGTAAAGTTAAGAATCCTTGGCCAAATGTTGATGCACACTCTGGTGTACTCCTTCAAGTAAATTCATCGTCTTTTCTGCAACCAGTTGTATTGAAACTTGCGCGTTGCTTTTTGTTTAGCACTACGGAATGAAGGAGATGAATTACTACACTGTTTTATTCGGTGTTTCACGTGCACTCGGCGTTCTCGCCCAAATGATCTGGTCACGAGCATTAGGATTTCCTTTAGAACGTCCAAAATCATTATCCACTGATGGCCTCATGGCTTTGGTTGCTAGTCAACAGAAAGCAGCTACAAAGGCCGCTTAAAGCAAACCTTTTCTGATGACCGTCAATTAAAGTAAATGCACACACGACATGTGTTGATAATGACCATCAATTTTATCTATTTTTTCATTCATACTTAGTGTTCTGTTCCCTCTCTAATAAGATCGATGTACTAACTTTTAATTATTACACAAATAGATTGTTCCTTCTTCTTTTGGTTGTGTTACTATGACCGTAGGGAAAATAAAATAAAAAGCAAAACAGAAAACACAAAATAAAAGTTACATTGATGACACGAATAATAGAATTAAGAGAGGAACTCAGTGTAATTATTACTGGATTTTTAATACCAAAAAGATTTCATGATGCAATGCAGCAGAAAAGGATGATGCAACTGTTTCTTTTCTCGAAAAATTTGGCTTGTTTTTACTCAAAATCACTTGTTCACCTGACTGAGTACTTCTTACTAAGTGATTTCTCTTGTTTACTTACCATTGATCAAGGACAAATTTTTCATCGACATCAAACGAAGGAAACGAATAATATACTTATTTTGGACGCATTTCACTTCGAAGTATACAGATGCTATATATTAGAATTTAAAAAAAGGTAAAAGCTCAGTCATGAGCAGCTCTTATTTATCTAAGTTTTCGAACGTCGGCATCCTCAAACAACAAAGCAAAGTCAACTGTTGATCGGGTATGGTGCAATCCCAAACTAGTTTTACTCGTATCTTTCATTAATTTTTGTTCTTTCATAGGAGAGGAAGTGATAGATTTTACCGATTGAGATGAATGTACTGACATTTCATTCGATGTGATGTCTCCTATATTGGATGGCTGCGATGCAGGTAATGTTGGAGCGTAAGAAATATCTATGGTATCTATTAGATGAGAAATGAATTACAATTCACTGATAGCAAAAATCGCTAGTATGAACACACTGTTTAACGATTTCGTTTCCTCTGCTATGTCAACAATCGATGTCAATTTCTTGCACGCTGGAATATCTCTCGCCATAAGTTCGACGTTTTCGTCGAAACTAATATCACTCAGAGAGCTTTTCTAGAAATATTTCTTGAAACTTTTTACATTCAAGAATTAATTAATCGTCACACTACTTGATCATCACTTGCCGTTGTAAAACGGGTGCTATTCAATTGGATTCCATCGTTGATCGCGATGTTTCTTTTGAAAGGAACTACTGGGATATTTCTATGGTCAGAATCAATTTCTATGGTTTGGTCCGTGTCTTCGTCTATATGAGCGGCATCCATATGACAGGAAAATATCGGTCGTACTGTGACTCGATATGATGCCGAATCGAAAAGATCCGACTGTGCACAATGAAATGTCGTAGGAAGGCAATGGTCAATAATTTGACTGTATGACAACGGCATGACACGACACAGATGATTTGTTGTTGAAAGCATCTGATGACAACACGGGCATATATTTGATTGGCAAGAACATTGACGCAGGCAATGCCTATGGCAATCAATAGCCGATTGAAAGGTGTTAACTGCTCGTTTACATTTGAAAGTTTTAGGTTGATAATTTCGAGTTGACTGACAGTCGTGTAACAAATTCGAAGGATGTTGGTACATTCAATACATTAACTTTTAGTATAGAAGAAAGACATTTTCCAATCCTTCAATGACTGCTTTCGATCATTTCGATTAAAAAAAAACGTATGAGTTCAATTTTTTGCGCTAATTTTCATCGTTTATATTTGATATTCATGAAATCATATGTTAAAATTTGATATATGCATCAATATTTTGGATGGATTTCAATTACACCAATCAGTCCTTGAGTCTGATCGTTTGGTTCAACAAGAATAACATTGGATTCTTTGGAATCGACTCGCCATTTTAAAGCATTATTTACAAATATTCGATAGCTGAATTCTGGATACTGTACTGGTGGTATAACAATTTCTGTTGGTTCTGAAATAGATGTATTAATATAATATGATAAATAAAATGATCGTTGTTGTGCAAGGAATTGCATTGCTAAAGGTTTGCCAGCAATCGCACGTGCATAGACACGCGATAAACGTTTTATTGTGATAGGATCATCGTAACTATTTCCCCAGAATGCCCATGATTGAAGAAATAGATCAGCAGCACTTAACCCCCAGTCGAGTTGTTCATCACATGCTGGTGAACCTTCGCATCCGCCAAATTCCGTTAAAAATGATCCACCACCTAACTGAACAACGTCTTTTTGTATTGAACGGAAAAGTGCAGGCCCTTCGATTTTATCACAGACAACTCGATCAGATATAGGTACGGTGCTATTGCCAGGTATAGGAATAAGTGAAAGAATAATGCAGTAGTAATGATAAGAAAGAACACTTCGATCGCGATAATCGTCTCCGCCAGGTACGTGAGAAAATCCAGTACCGAAGTATTTACCATTCAGTCGAACTAAACATAGTTTGGACTAGTATTTCTCGTCGAAAAGAATTGACAAAATGCCATGTCATACCTCCCCACGTAACAGGCTCAAAGAAAATTAATGTCTCATTGTCAACTGATCGAATAGCCTTCGCCATTGTGTCATAGAATGGTTGTAGATTAATGGCACCAGCTACACCTGGTAGGAGCAACTTTGGATTTTTAAAATAATTGCCGGCCCATGGTTCATTGATGATTTCATAACTAAATGAAAACAAAAATATATCTATGCGGGCAAAAAATAAATGACTTACCCCAATACATTGGAATATTCTTTATATGTCGATGCTATCAACCGCCAAAATTTGCTCATAGAATCAGCCGCACCACCAATATTTTCATACAAACACTGGAATCCATGTGAACATGCTTCTGTCATATAACTGTTATTCGAAAGAAAAATTGAACGATAATCTTTATCAATCATATTCATTCTACATACGACATGAACCAATTATTACCAGTCGGATCCATTTTAAAAGGCCAGGGATCTATACATGACAAAAGAAATATATTGCTAATTATACGAATAGGTTTTCTCACACGAATGACTCGATGATGGAAATCGATTGTACAACCACAATGGTACACCGTCGTAACCGCCTGTTTGACTTGATAAGATATCTTGATGCATGTCCAAAAGAACAAATATATGATTTAATTCTAATAATTCGATGATATTCTTCATTACATCCAAATATGTAGCATTGTAATTCTGTGGCTCAGGTTCAACACCGGACCACATCATTCTGAAAACGAATAGGTATGGAAATAAGTGATCGAATCGAATCTTACCCAAGTCGAACGAAGTTTAAGCCACATTTTGATAAACTTTCAACATAAGTTGAATTCAACAATTCTTGTGGATACCATGGAAATTGTTTCATAACAAAATTAACTCCATGATAAATTCGGGCACGACCTGATTCATCAACTATCAATGATTCCGATACACGAACATTGGCTGAGCCATCACAACAAGTTATGCATAAGAAAAGAGCAAGACTATATAAAAGACCTACATACATCATCTATAAATCGAATAAATGCGCTTATAGATCATGAACACATTTCCTTGGTGATAGGTTTTTTATTCATTAATTTTTTTTCATTGATTCTAATGACATTGACCACCAATGGATCCGCAAAACAGATTGATGCACAAGCATCAATATCTAACTCAACTATTCAGCTGAAATTTAGCGAATCATTTCTTCAACTGCTTGCGACAACATACGATAGCAATAGTAATACGTACCCATCATATTCTTCTCGAAAGCGATGTGCATCTACAATTAGTGAAAAGACTATTTGTAACGAAAATAGATCTACAAATAAAAGGCAACGAACTTTATTTGAAAGTATTCCTGTTCGAGGGTGTGATTTATCAACTAATGGAGTACAACAACAGAATAGTAAGATCACGTTTCAATTACTATTATTTCTCTTCAATGCTATGCTAGGAATCATGCCACAAAGATCAGTTAGTATTCCCAATGCTACAGATAATAACTTCGAATGGTTGAAAGATTTCATGCGTCAATCTTTAGATACCATACGTGATGCAGTTGTTCAAGCTTGTATAACAGCTATATCTAGTCAATCAATGCGACAAGGCCACTCGAGAATCTCTACTCGAGATATCAATGTTAATAATCATCTAATGCATTTCAATCATAATGATCACGAATATTATATACCGTCCACGGCACGGGATAACAATAATTTCGTGTCAGTTCAAAAAATTACGGATAATGAAGATAATCGTAAAGTGCGCATTCATCATCGTGCACGATCAAATCCTTATCCGATGTATAGAAGTCTAATGCGAACACCAGTTAGCGATATCCAAGTGCCTTGGTCTTTTCAATGGCCAGACTATCGACCGCTAATTTTCACTGCTCAAGAAGTGCGTAGAAATTCAAGTGCAGATCCAGGTATACGATAGGGAAAAGAAAAATCTCGCATAGATGATGAATTTGTAGATTTATTAAATCCATCATTAGTTGCCTCACTACGTTTTAATACTGTTGATGGCGTAATTGATCGCCGCAGTGTCTATCAATATTATCAAACCGACGCTCAGAGTGGACTTCCATTGAATCCAGTTGGTCGCACAGGAATTCAGGGACGCGGAATTCTTCTTCGATGGGGACCCAATGTGTATCAGTACATAATGATCTGTCGATGGAAGCGAGACGTGCATGGACGACTACTTGTGCATCCAACCAGTGGGAAAAATCTTCTTGAGATTCTTCTAGAAATTCAAGGAGATGACTATGAGACAACTGATTTGATCCTGACAGGTGGTTTACGCGTATTCGGAAGTCATCTTCCACCCCAACTGCAAGATCGCTTAGGACGTTTTCTTATTCATGCAGGTTTATTTATATTTTCGATATTCACATTCAACTTATTCTTTCTTAGATATGATACGCAATCGTCCGACAAATATGGCATCTTCGTTTTATTCATTAAATCAATTATTCCAACATGAACCTGTCCCATGGAAAGGTGCATACCTTGACGATGCTCGTAATACAGACAATGCTTGGATAGAATTAGCAATCGGATACGTCTTAGATGATGATGAGAATCATCGTTTGACATCGTGTATACCATCACTTCGTGAGGAACAACTTCGTCACTTACTACGGCCACGTTTTGTTTGGAAAGATGTACAAAACACAAGTGATGTTGGACCACGAACTCATTCTCGCCTAATACGAAATCTAGCTCAAAAACTTGATGCACATTTCTAGAAAAAAAAATAAAAAAATATCTGTTTCCTACTAACTTATCTATATATGTGCTTTTTTTTATTTCAAGATATCACCGATAAAAAAAGAAAGACAATCAACTATTTGACATCATCATACTTTCCACCCCGTCCTTGCTTTTGTTCAGCAAAATGCTTGGCTCCAGGTATCGATTCTCGTTCGATCAATTCCCTGCCATATTCGTACTCTCGTTTGAGACTATCATCGATTGTATTTGAAACAGAGAAATAGGCCGAAAGTCGATCTGTATTCATACATTCATATGGGAATCGAAGTATGTCTTTAGCTAGTTGAATTGCTTCGGATAAACATTGCCCATCAGGTACAAGACGATTGATTAATCCGATTTGAAAGGCTTCGTGAGCATCTACTGTTCGACCTGTTAATATCAAATCGAGAGCCCGCGAAAGACCAATCAAACGTGGTAGACGGACAGTACCACCATCAATAAGTGGAACGCCAAATCGACGACAAAGAACACCGTACTTGGACGATTGCTCACCAACACGCATATCAGCTAGAAGAGATAATTCTAGACCACCCGCCACACATGGTCCAGCGATGGCAGCGATCAATGGTTTTTTCAAATTCATACGACTTGGTCCCATCGGTGCAAGTTCGTCTTTATTGTATTTCATTGGTAGTGGAATGTTCGCGGTGGCCACTTCGCTTAAATCATAACCGGCACAAAATGCTGAACCGCCTTCACCATACAGAATTGCCAAGCGAACCGTAGAATCATTTTCAAAATCCTGAAAAGCTGAAAATAGTTGACGTGCTGTAGAATGATTGACACAGTTTCGTTTATTCGGACGATTGATTCCTATGAGGCGAATTGATGGTGTGTTATCGACATGGCTAACTTGAATGGTTACACTCGATGATGACGTAGATCGTCGAAGAATTGATGTTAAGGTACGAAAACATTCGCGATGAGCACAGGATGAAAATAATAATCGATTATGGTACATTTCTTTTGCTCCTAAAAAATCCTTGTATACAAATGTTTTCCAATAATTGTGTCTATGACCAAAAAATCAAACAAATGAAGAACGATGTCGTTTACTGATTTTTTATTTTGTGTACAAATCATATAACAACAATAGTAAAGACCACAAAAGAAAAATCATGAAACAAAGATACTCTGCTTGTAAGTACAGATACGAGAATCACTTCTGAAATACACTCAGTGTCTAATTATATCCACGCATTTCTTCATCTGTCGCTGTTTGAAAAAATGGCGAATCGCGGTATCGAGCAGCAGCAGCGAAATTGTCGTCAAGTTTTTCATCGCCCATATTGTTAGGATTCGATTGCATGTCGTTTGGATTTTGCCGCCAATGAGGCGCCTGAGAAGTCATCGATGGATAACCACCTCCACGTCGATCGGTAGGCGCATTTGCCCAATGGCCATCATTTAAAGCATCGTGTCGTTGTCGTTTCATCGGAGGGCCTCCACTACCGCCACGAGGATCATAATCGGGTGGACCACCACCTCGAGAATAGTCATCGTGCATTGGATGTGGCCCTCGAGAGTAATTAGATGGAGGCGGAGGCGGTTGAGACTATTATGATACCAAAGTAATATGAATAATTGGAAAACAAAGCTAGACACAACACTTACATAAAAGGAGTCATCAGAGTCGTGCATATCTAAAGAAAAGCTCATCGACAGAAGTTGATAGAAGGAAAAAAAACATACTCATCATTCTATTGTTATTATTAGAGTTATCAGCAGGATATGAATCGACTGAACGCCAAGCTTTTTCAAATGGTTTCGGTACAGGTTTAGCAAATGGTGCCTAGAAGTATAGGTCGAATTTCGAAACGATTCATCGAACAATCAAGAAGCATACGCGACGTCGACGACTTTCTTCATCTTCATTGGAAAAATCAAGGCCAGGAATGCCAGATTCACGGCGATTGTTCGTTTCATCTACATGAAAAGTGAAAATACTTATTTATTCAATTAACAAATCATTGCACTCAATGAACCTTGTTGTTGTAATTGTTCAAGCGAAACGCCTTCGAAGCCCAGACCCGGCATATTCATTTCTTCGGAACGTTCATGTTCTAATTCATCACGATGCAATTGTTCTTGCCGTGCTGCATGTAATTGTAGGCCTTCTTCGCTGCGTTCGAGAACGGTATCACCAGGTCGATTGCGTGTCCAGAATCGTCTAATGACGACATAGAAAAATCTGTTCAACATCCGTAAAGAATCCTATCATGAAAACATACGTCGTATGATCATTGGAACCACTGACAAGCATATGGCCAAGAGGATGCCATGACATATCCCATATCATACCTTCATGTGCATCATCCATACCAGCCAATTCTTTTTCCGTTCTACAAAAAAGCTCATTGTCTTTCTTTGGCTGATGTTCAACGACGAAAAATGACTTTTACGTACCCGACATGCCAGAAATAAATCGATCCATCGGAACCACCACTTGAAAACAGACGTTCGTGTATTGGATGCCATGCCAATGCTAAAACATGAATAGAATTTATTTTTCGTTCGGGGGAAAGAAAAGAAGAAACGACTTCATCTTTCATTTATTCTGATAAGAGACACATTAACTGGTTAATCGATACAATAAAAAGTCCACGTATATTGGTCGTTACTCTAGCTGGATAGACATTCAGTATTAGTAGTATCTTTTTCTTTATTTATATTTATTTCGTTTTCAAAAAGATACAATAGCAGGCAAACAAATTTTATTTCATTGATTATCTTTATTTGTAAACAATGATAAACAAAAGACAAAAGCTTACTGCATGCTTCTTTCTTGTGTCCACGAAAACATTGGAGTTCTTCTTTCAGATTTCGTATGTCGAATAATTTACAGAAATGATCCCGTGACGCTGATATTAACCAGTTGCCATTGTGTCGATTCCATTTTAATGCCATACAAGTATTCTTATGTGCATGACTACAAAATCACGAACAAATCTTTCCTCATTTTTCGTCAAAATGACTTACAGCGTCGCTAATTTTTGACCGCTCTTTGGATCCCATAGAATAATCGGTTGTTGAGAATCTTTACTACCCGAAGCAAGCAGACCTTTGTGGGGATGCCAATCGACACATCTAACATCACATCCGTGACCTAGAAGATTAGAGTAATCCTGTGAGACGGAAAGAAGTGAAGTCAAGCAAACAAACCTTGTAATTCGCGCTCGATCGTTCCTGTCAGAAAATCAAATATACGAATAAAACTATCATCAGAACAACTAGCAAATTTGCTATCATTTGGAGAAAATCTAAACGAAGAATACAATTTCGTGCAAGATATCTAGATTCATCGAAGATAACCCACGTTAAGCCTCTGACTGGATCATTGTGTGCTTGGTAGACTTTCACATTATTCATATTTGATTGCCAGTATTTAACAAAACCATTACGGTCACCTGTTAACATCCACTGTTCATTATTTGACCAAATCATTGAGTTTACAGCCGAATCATGAGCCTAAACGTTCAACTTTTGTAAAAACGTATTTAATTTTATTCAATTATTTACTTGCAAAATTGTTTCAAAATTAAACGTTAGTCCGTTCCATAGTGTAAATTCGCCGCTCGACGCACCTGTTATCAAGCGACGGCCATCCGGTGTCCACTAAACATACGATGTTATGAGCAAATAATTCAAAAGATGAATCTTTCAAACCGTCCACATACACAAACACAAAAAATTGGACATCGAACTTTATTTGTTGCTGGTCGAATGAATTTTGTCATAACACAATTTACTGGATTTGCTAGGAGACTATGAGGTGGAACAAGCTAGAAGAAAATTCAATTCAAATCATGTATTAGTGATTGGTCTTATTTAACATACATGTGGAATATACAAAACATCAGGTTGCAATGATCGTCCATCGTGAAAATTTCGTTGCCAAATAGAGTTCTACAATGACATTGTACGATTAAAAGCTACTAGTTGATTTCTGTATGTTCGTACTTCGAGATATCGTATGATTGATGGATTGTAATCGACTGTTTTGCGAGCCATTGCTTTGCGTAGCATTTTTCCATCGAAACCGATTTCACCTATACCAAAAATATTAGTCTAAGTCGAGAAAATATCTTTTCTTGGGATTTACCAGGTTGAACAGGTACAATGGATGAGTTCATTGTACTGGACGTTTGTCCACTGGCGACTGCATGATGGTGCTGAGGAAAATGAGGATGATGACCAGGAAAACGTGGTGGTGCCCTAGAATTTTCTATAGATAAGACCTGCGTATAACTAGCAACAACTTACATATGACTTTTTAGATTATTTCAATTTCAATACATAAATTTACACAATTTCTTTGAGCAATAACAACGAAAATAGTTCCCAATACAATCCAAAGCGCAAGTAGGCAATGAGGGAATGTATAATGTATATATATATATATATGATATAAAATGAAAAAGAAAAGATGAACCAATGAGGAAAAGTCAACAATCGATAGATGGTGTTGAATAGTACTGTGAATGTACACAAGAGGAAACATTCTACTTTTCTATTGATTCGTCTTTGTAAGCCAATTATTTTTATTGCAAAGCTTTAACAAATGCATTACACCATCTTTTTTTTCTCGCATCCTAACGAGCTCAGCCAGTCGTGTCAGATCTTTTTACGATTATTTATAATCTCTTTGTTCATTGATTAATGAAAGACATCGGCAAATCTCGACCATTACGTATCGGTATATTAGGTTTTGGTCATCTTGGACAATTCATTTATAGGCATTTACAAAATGACTTCGAAGTTGTATTTATTTGGAATCGGTCGAAAGAAGCTTTCGCTAACTATGGCGAAGAATTCGATAGAAACTTGATCGCTGCTACTGTCGAAGAAGGTTTGCAACGTTCGCCTGATTTGGTTGTTGAAGTGACACATCCGGATGTCGTTGAAACATATGCTGATAAAATACTCGACATTTGCGACTTATTCATTGGTTCACCGACTGCACTTGCTCGAGCATCAGTTGAAGATTTATTACGTCGAAAGACTCAAGATTCTGGCCATGTTGTCTATATAGGCACTGGTGCTTTTTGGGGCGCTGAAGATATCAACAAGATGAACGAACGCAATGCCCTTCGTTCATTAACAATCACAATGAAGAAACATCCTGATTCTTTCAAACTTAATGAACCGCTACATTCGAAATTAATCGAAGAACGAACTAAACTCGGTGATCAGCACGGTGAAATTCTTCTCTATTCTGGCCCAGTTCGGGAACTGTGTCAATTAGCTCCCAACAATGTCAACACGATGGCCGTTGGCGCAACAATCGCCAGCCATCTAGGCTTTGATGGCGTTCAAGGTCGTTTAATTGCTGATACATCATTAGACGATCGACATGTCGTTGAAATTGAATTAAATGGACCGGAAACTTCGGTTGGCGAAAAGAAAAAACTCGGATTCCATGTCAAAACTATTCGAACTAATCCTGCTGAATTAGGTACGGTCACTGGTACAGCTACGCTACTCTCGTTTGTTAGTAGTATCAAACGTGCAAAAGGCTACACGACAGGCATTCATGTTGTCTGAAGAAGTCCGATGTTTCTGTTTTGTTATGTCAACGATACCACGTGCTTTCCAAAATAAAATTTCTTTTCAGATAGATAAGAATAGAAAATGTCATCAAAATCGTCAAGTAACCCTGTACCGACCAAACGTAAAGTGCAGATTATTCAACAAACTCCACCTTCTCCATCTCCAACGCCAGCAAAACAAATAAAAAAAGAGCCAGTAGAAGAAAAACTCAAGGTAGACTCGATTCATCTGTTTACTTCATTCTCAAAATCTTTACACTACCTAGACTCAACGACGACATGAACTGTCAGAAGATGATGTTATCCGTTCACGTCTTCTCTACGAAGGTGATCAAGGTATTGATGATCGACGTATCTTAATACTGATGAAAACATTTAATAAGTGTATCTTCGATCGTCCATCGAATCCCGATGAAAGTCATTCAATTAGTGAGAAATTACTTTCATTACTCTACTCCGTCGAACATTCTCATCGTCTGTTCAAATCGACTTATGAAATGGATGAACGCGAGCAATTATGCTATGCCGCTAAGAGCAAACGTTTAAACGAACAACTTGTACAGTTACGTCAAGAGCTTGAACGTAGTGAACTACTGTTAGTCGATGCGAAACAAAAACGCTTGAATCTACTTGAGTACGATGCACGAACAGATATTATCAATAAACTAGGCACACGACGAGAGTTGCGCGCACAACAAGATGCAACATTAGAGAGAAAACACTATTTCGAACATTTACAACAAACATTTGAAACAACGTAAGTCACCAAAATATTCCGTTCTGTGAAAATAAAACATGAATAATCTGTCCTATTTCATTGTTTTTCTAGTTATCAACAACGGTTGAAACAGATAGCTGTATATATGCGACCAATTTTTGAACTAGAAGAAATTTTACGACAAGATGCTCATGAAGATGTTTCTGCCGATGGTTCCAATGAATCACCTGCAGATCAACACGCGCCATCTTTGACGCCAACTGTCAGAACTGAACGACAACGAGCGAATTCGGACTCATCAACTGCTTCTATGGATGCTGATGATGCCAATTCTGCCTCGCGCTCAAAAAAATCACATAAAAATCACCTTGGTCTGAATTCTTTGTCGAGTTCGTTGACAAACAATCAACCACAAGCATTATTTTCCACAGAAACGGAATTGTTTGGCACTCAACTTGTTAATCCATTGTTACTATTATCTCCTTCAAATATTTCTTAATTTCATGTGAAGTTTTCTTTTTTTTCCTGTGTGTCTTCTTTGTCGAATAAGATTTGATGAGCTTAATCTCAGATGTTTCTTCTCCTTCTTCTTTTACATCAAATAATTAGTAAATTGCTGTTTATGTTGCCTTTAATTCTTAAACACTTAACCATTGACTTCCATCAGAAGAATTTTTTTACGTGCGAGAGACATCTTGAGATTCCAGTGCGCATCTTTTCTTGTTTAAAACAAAGACAATTTCATCGGATCAGAATAATTCTCTATTTTGTGATTTAGATAGAAAACGAGATGTGGCATTTATGTCGTTGCTCATCTCGTCCGCTAATTGGCGTAGGCCAATTATTGATTCGACAATCATCACTCATTCCTATGAAACCAATCGTTCCTCAACGACCGTTTTCTTTTCCGTCAATTTTCAAATTGAAGAAAAATCTACCTGAACCGATTTCGCAACCATCAGTCAATCCTCGACATCCTCCTGACTATATCCCGCCCAGACCGCACATTGATCCTCACGCCAACAAACCTGTTCAATCCCAGTCCAGTATCTTTGCACGTTTTCGTCATGCATACGCGAAATATGGAAGAATTCTCTTAGTTGTACATTTTTTCTCGTCGTGTGCATGGTTTGCTGGTCTTGTGGTTCTTCATTTCAAAGGCTTTGATCTCGGTACGAACATTCTCATCCATTTTCTTCATTTCATCTAATCATTTTCTGTCTAGGAATGTATCTGATAGATGGTCTCACACGTATTAACATTATCAGTCCAGAACGACGTTTATCGTTCATTCGTCGTATGAACGAATTCTCTGTAGCTGGAATCCTCTCCAGAATTCCATTTATTTCACAGGAACGTCTCGACAGTTTGAATGCTTATTGGACTGGTGAACGTGTTCGACTCCTAGCTACCGCTTTACTACTCTATAAATTTCTGGTACCGATTCGTTATGCTTTTACATTGGGTGCAACAACATATATTTCGCGCACGTTTCTTAAACGTGGACTTCTTAAACGGGCACCGCAGGGTGATTCATTACAAGAACTCTACCGTGATCAGAAACAATTAATTAAAAGTCATGTCCGACGAGCAAGAGACAAAATGAAGACAACTGCACGACGCGGAGGACAAAAGCCCGAATAAATCACGCTTAATGATTGTTATGCTTGTAGAATCAATGATTCTTTCGCTCGTTCTTTTGTTTTTCATTGTATTTCAACATAAACGTTAATTCAGCTATGTATGAGTATACAAACTAAAGTAGCACAATAAATAATCGGGTGCTATGAAAGAAACGTCTTCAGAATTATCTAGTTTGTCTAGGATTCGCTTGTGGCTGAACATTTGATGAGATATTTCTTACAGATGATTGATTCTGTGGTTTCCGTAGAATGTTCAGCCACAGACGTTTGCAAGCAGCTTGTAATTCTGTTCGAAACGCTTTCGATGTTGTAAAATAAATATAGAATGTTGCCGATGGATTGATAAATAAAAGGAATGTACTTGTAACAAAATAGATAAATCCTTCAATAGCTTGTCGGTCAGAGCCCTTGGTTGTCGAAAGTGTAATCGCTGCATATAACGTATTTAGTGGATATGGTGTTGTGGTTAAAACATATATGATCACCTGTGCTGTTAACATTCGGGTTAAATGAATGTCACGCTGACGCATGACAGCATTCGTTGGCGCACTTCTTGAATGAATACGAACATGAACTGAATGTAAATTCCGCAATGTAAATGCACTGAATATAGTCATTGCAACTGGTGGAATAATACCAGCAAAAATAACGGCATAGATGCTGAAAATAAGAGGATATACACCAGGTAGTATACAATCTCCAAATTGAATGTCTACCACAAGTGGCAAGTGGGCAGCTCCTATGAACCAAAAGACGATTGTAAACACGCTGAGAATTCGAGCGAAACGTATATGACTTAAATTTCTAATCGCTGGACGTCGTGAAGATAAACAAGCTCGATCGAAGCATGCCAAGATAATCAAATAACGCGAAATCATCAATAATGAGTGGTAAATATAGAGACGGAATTTACAATAGATTAATGAGTACGACGTGAGATCCATCTGTTCCATTGCATAGATGCCCGTCGGAATAGTAAAGGACAATGCGATACTATTAGTAATCGATGAAACAAATAAATAATGCGAACAAGGATTCGATCGAAGTGGCCTTTGAAGGAATACGAAGCAATTCAGCAGATTGCCGATATTGCCAAATATGAGAAAACTTAACATTGACCATGTCAAAGCTTGTTGAATATCAGTGAGATAGGAGGCAAATGGTGATAGAACGAAATTGCTCATCGATGTCGAGTCGTCCATTCGTTTGTTCAATTGAAAGCAAAGAGTAAATGTATCTTAGTGTCAAAGATAAAACTCATTATTATAAATAACAGAGCCAAGATTAAGTGGCACACGCTCTACTTGTCAAATATTCAAGAATAATTGAAGATAGTCACTTCATTCGATTACGTATAGATATCTTCTTTTTCAAGAGATATAGGTCATAGGAAATAGCTTCTTATTTAATATAATTCTATTTGGTATAACGCTCTAATTAAACTACTTCAACGCGAATAAGTGTTTTTAGAACGTGTGCTGTTGAATGAATATCAGTGAATGGATACTAAGTGTAGTCGTATTCAATACCACAGAAAACCTTCAACAGTACAACCGAAGTTGCCCATGAACTTTTTCCAAATATGTTTCGTCTCGGTTCAAAATTTCAAAGAGTTTTTCGTTCGGTAAGATTTATTTAATCTCAACATAAGCGTGCTCTTCCCTTATAGATCTTCGCACGCAATCATTCAAAATAATCCCATATCTGAAAATCTGATGTCGATCTATTCTCAAATACAACGGCAATGGTAAAGCATTCAATTTTCGTTAGTTTTGAAGGTGTGAGATAGTTACAACCAGTAACGGTAGTTCACTATGCTTGACACGGTTGGATTTGTCTCTTGTCGGTTTACAGCAGCAAATAAAATAAAAATCGATTGGAAATCACTAAGCTTTATTTTTTTAAATATAAAAAAATGTCGAACATATCAATTTTGGTTTCAAATCGCATCTGAAATTATCGGTAATTGCCGTCGAAAAACAGAACGTAGGGCATATTTGTTAAAAGGAAATAAATTTTGTTAAAAATAGAGATAAATAGATAAGTAAAGGAAATAATAATAATAATGCCTTCGATTTCTTTCTTTATTTTGGCAAATCATAGTACTATTACTTCTTTCTCGCTCAACTGCCTGGTCGACGACAATTTTCACACATATTCATTATAAACTCATCATACGGCTCCACTTGAATTGTCATCCGAGATATCGAATGTTCACGACGAAGCATGTCTTGAGCTTGACTCAGTACTGTCAAATAATCTCGATCCGAATCTAGAACAAAATATTTCCATCAAGACCTTTCATATCACTCTGCGGAAGCCTAATTACCGATTGCAATATGGACAGAAAGAGCGGTTCGTTGTAAGGACAATGACCATATATGTAAACTATGCGCATTTCGCACGCCAGGCAATCGAAGAAGATCTTCAACTACTTGAGAATAGTTTACATTCGATGGTACACCTATAAAACTCGAATTCATCAACAATCGCATATATAGCTGAGTCTGACCTTCCATTAGTACAAGAATGATATCACGCATGATAGTAATAGTCGTAATGAGAACCAGAACGGAGAAAACAAACGTACAGATAGGGTCAGCGAGTTTGTAGTCTGGCTAAATATGAAAGAAACCTATTGAATATAACATGGCATTCGTTGTGATTCAAAATACCTTAAAATGAATCAGTATTGCCGCACAGAGAACGCCAACACTTTGAACAAAATCTCCAATAACGTGAATAATTGCAGCTCGAACATTGATATTTTTTTGTGATTTTTTCGGGTTAATTGCATGATCTCCAGGTGATCCAACGATGATTTCACCTACTAACGGTTCAGTATTGATAATCGTACTATTACTATCAGGACTTTCGCCGTGCGAATGGCCATGATTATGATCATGTGAATGTCCATGGTGCGGTAGAGATTTACCACATGCATTAGCATGCAAAGTGAAAAACATTCTGAAAAAGAAAGTCAAAGAAAACTTGTTTAGTTCTTCCAAACATACTATCTCCATTATTCATACCTACACGATATTGAAAAAGACACCACAGGATGCGACGATAATCATTTCTAAAGAATTGACTTTAAATGACTGATTGATACACCGTTCGATGGCCATATAAACAAGGATGCCAGTGACTAACCAGATAGTCAAGACACTCAACAAAGCTCCAAGTACTTCTAAACACGAGACACAATGATAACGATTCATCTATGGAAAGTTTTAGTTTCAACCTGCTCGAATGTAACCAAATGAAAGCTTTCGTGTTGGTCGTTTTCGTGCAAGATACATGGCTGTTAATGATATTAGGAAACTTGCAACATCAATCGTCATATGAGCAGCATCAGTTACAACAGCTGTTGAATTTGAAAGAACACCTCCTATAGAAACATGTACAGTTGTTTCGAACATATCTCTCATGTGTGAAGAACATACCAACTATTTCAATAATCATGAAAATAACACAAATAATAAGAACAATAATCAAACGATTTCTTGATGCATAATCAAATTTATCCTCAGGCACGTGACAATGAGTAGATGGTGAACGTGATCGATCTGATGGCGTTTCATCTTGTACGGCTAATCTCTCATCAGTACCACGTAACAATGGTGTTCTATCTTCACCGTCATCAGCCATCAACAAAAGATTATCATCGGATGTATTACCATCGTTATAATTACGTCTGCTCTGTTGTGATTCTTGATAAAAATTCGTATTTGTTGTCATCGAAAAAAGAGAAACGAGAGAATTTCATAGACGAAAATCGAAATCAAGAACCAATCACTCGTATGTCAATAACGAGGAAAAAAAATTTCATGAATATTAATCAGCGATCAGATGATTCGTACGCAATATTCGGTCAGGGAACTTTGAAGACTAAGAAATATGTGGTGCATTTTTTTGATTCACCTACTATTCCTTTCTCATCACTCCGAATAGCGTTTTTCATAAACAGATTCTCATCGAATGAAAATGAACTGAGAAATGCATGCAAATAAACAAACGAAGGTCTAAATTCATTGATATTTGTACTTGTGGTCTTTATATATCGACGTGAATAGATGTCGCACTGAATTTCTTAACATTTTTTTAAAGCGAGAAAATCTTTCAAAAAATATTTCATCTTTTATTGATCTTTCAAACTCCTACAAACTAGTTTTTATCACTGTTGAAGGTTTCACTTGTCTATCAACCATTGGGTCAGATTAGTCCATACATCTTATTCAACGTTTGTCGCCGCTTTAGATCAATAAAACCTGCCGTAAAATTTCTTCTGATGATCACGGTATGATTTTTGACATTCCACAATCTACAATTGTACCATGCCTCGGTGGTTTCATGTGATTTTCTGTCTCTCTGTACTTATTCTTCTGTCAGATACGTCCGTAAAAGGTAAATGTCGGCGAAATTTCATGTCGATTTCAATGAATGATCTTCATTTTTCTAGGTGCTACTGCAGACGCTAATGATCATTTAGAAAAAGGAAAGCGATTATTAGCTACAGGACAATTAGCTGATGCTCTCTCACAATTTCACGCCGCAATCGGTAATTTTAGAAGAAGTTTAACAATAAAAATTTCGACTTTCTCTTTCAAGAGGTTGATCCGACAAGCTATGTGGCATATTTTCGACGCGCAGCTGTTTATTTAGGCATGGGAAAATTGAAAGCAGCATTACCAGATTTGAGTAAAGTCATCGAACTCAAACCTGACTTTACTGCAGCACGAATACAACGAGGAAATTTATTATTGAAACAAGGTGATTTTGGTGAAGCTAAAATTGATTTTGAGAATGTGGTATGTTATTCAACACTAATGATATTTATTTTTCTATGAATATTCTTTTCCATTTAGATCAAATCAGATGCGACGAATAGTGAAGCGCGTAGTCAATTAGATCTATGTGAAAAATTAAGTCAAACAGTTAAAGACGCTGATAATTTTTATGCGAAAGAAGATTATAGTAAAACAATTGAGCTGCTTTCGCCCGTTATTGAGGTTTGTCAAACAATGCTCTATTTCTCTCAATTGAAGTTCTACTTTAGCATTGCCCATGGGCTATTCAAATACGTGAATTACGCGCTGACAGTTATCTCAAATCAGGTGATCTCTCAAAAGCAGTCAATGATCTTAAAGCAACAGCGAAGTTAATACCAGATAATACTCAAGCATTTCTCAAAATCAGTCAATTACTCTACTCGATGGGTGAGGCTGATGATAGTTTAACGTAAATATTCTCCGTCGTAATCTACGCAGGAAAGAATGTTTTTTCCCTTGTAGAAATATTCGAGAATGCTTGAAACTCGACGCTGATCACAAAGCATGTCATACACATTATACCAAAGTAAAGAAATTAGCCAAACAACTAGAATCTATTCGCGAAGCAATTAGTCAATCAAATTGGAATGAATGCCTGGAAAAAGCGAATCAAATTCTTAAACTTTCTTCTGATTCAGCATCGCATGCATTTGTACAGCGTGCTCATTCAACGCTGTGTACGTGCATGTCGCGAGGCAAATCACCAGTCAAAGAAACGATTGATAAATGTACGTACGTTTTGGACACATATGGGTCTGATGCAGAAATGTTCGTCAGTCGTGCCGAAGCACACATATTGAATGAACAATATGAATCAGCGCTGGCAGATTACCAACATGCACAAGAAACGGAAGACTCGAATCGTATTCATGAAGGTATTAAACGCGTGCAGAAACTCATCAAACAATTGAAAAAACGCGATTATTACAAAATTCTGAATGTTCGACGAACGGCCAACAAGGCGGAAATTATGCGAGCATATCGTAAACTGGCAATCAAATGGCATCCAGATAAATACGAAGGTGACGATAAGAAACGAGCAGAGAAAATGTTCATTGATATTGCTGCCGCCAAAGAAGTTTTAACTGATGCAGGTTCGTTCTTATTTTTCTCTCGCAGGAAACGATCTCCACTTAAAATTTACTATTTTAGAAAAACGCGCAAAATTTGACGCTGGAGAAGACCCATTGGATGCTGAAGAACAGGCACAACAGCACAATCCTTTTCATGGTTTTAATCCGTTCGGCGCTGGCAGTAATCAAGGTTTCACCTTTCGTTTCCATTTTAATTGATCATTGAAATAAATGCGTGCGGGTGCGTTTTGTGTACAATAGTCGCTTTTATTTTTTTTTCAACTTGGACATAACTAAGACTACAATTATTCTACATTGTTGTTGTGGTTGTTATTATTATTCATACTGTCAATATTTTCTCTTAAAAATTGTTACAAGGAAAAGAAGGCGATAAACTTAATCCGAGCCATTTCAGTTTTGGGTTTTTCTTCAACACTGGGAAAAAGACACTGACGAACGACAAATGCACTCTGTTTGAATAAAATAAATAGCTATACATGTAGAACGACAATATTACGAAAAAATAATCATGGAAATAAGAATAACGATCATTGGGTATCGGAATGAAAAAAAAAGGTCTTTTTATGAAGCCGTTGCTTTTATCGTCCACTTAATCAGACAGATTTGCTCCGTTTGACTAGAACAAAAACAAGGAAAATGTAGTTCAGTCAAAGTGATATTCTAGTTTACCTGTAGTATAGAAACAATCAAGCCGAAGAGACCAATTGCACTTGCGAAAATTTCGATGATAAGTATACGAACAAATAGAGACGAATTTTGAGCATCAGCTAATGCAGCACCTGAGCCGACTAATCCAACGCATACACCACAGAACAGATTGCACAAACCAACTGTTAAACCAGCGCCAAACAATTTATACCCAGCACGATACTTGAGAGCTAGTTCTTCTGGCTTCGTTGTCATAAAACTCTGAACGAATCATACTAATATTTCATACGGCAAACTCTTGTCTTCCACTTACTGTTATCGAACCAGATATTACGATACCCATGATAAGTCCGTAGATGGCAACAGCTTCACACATGATGATAGAGATCAGATTTTTGGTTCGAATACGTGGTGCTTTAACACCACCACCTAGAATGCTGACACCAGTAGCAAAAATACCTCTAGAACATAAGGATTTCAAGAGATTATGTGTTGATGTAAAAATTCGAACGAAATACACTTACAGAGCTGCACCGAGAACAGAAAGTGATACAGCTAACGCTATGCCAATCAATGCCCATTGATAAGGTGAAATTGATAGAAGAAACCAACCAATATCAAAGCGAAAGCCATTGTTAGTTAACATATAAGTTAAACCTACATCGATGAATCGTTTGGTACAGCCTTACGATACATCTAAGATAGCTTACCGGCATAGATAAACAGGCCAACACCTGCGCCCAGAGCGCTTTTGGATAAATAAGATGTATTCATTCTACTCTATTTGTCTAGAAGAAATTTGAAAATGAAATACCGATGTGCATATAATAGTTTCGCCTCGAAGAGCTGACAATATCATAAATGGTAGATCTTATCAGCCAACAAATGCCTAACTTCACACTTTTCATGATGGCGAACTCACTCAAGAAATAATCATATAGAGAGTAGTGATCTATGGCAGTGTATTTGTTGACACATACTTACCAATAGTAAGTCAGATAGCGAAAGAGGTCGTGCTAGTCTAGAAAAAGTACTTCCAAATGTGACTGTTAACTATCAATCAATAGGTTCTGTTAAAAAAATATATATTATGTTGAAGCAAATAAAGGCGTATGAAAGTGTTCGTGACAAAAGCACCGGCTTAAATAAAAGTTCGTAAGGCAATGTTTCTAAATATTATTCAACGATTGCGAAGAATGTGTTCGAGCTTCAGCATGTAATAGACGTTTATGTTCGCGTTCATGAACATCTAATAACGATTTGCCTTCGCGGAAGTATTCTTGCTGTTGTGCCAAACGTGTATATTTATTGTTTTGTCGTGTTTGTAACTAGAAAAGATAATTCCATGCAAAACTAAGTTACTAAAATATACTTTTACTTTGTTCAATTTCGTATTTTCTTTGACGAGGTTTCGTCCTAATTCTCTTTCTTGAGTTTGAACCTGTGCAATAGCTTCTTGAATTTTCACTGCATCTTCTTGCTTCTTACGTATTAAATCATCTCGTAGTTTTTGTACTTCTTGCTCTTTCTTACGACGTTGAAATTCAGCATCTTTAACACTTTTACGCAATTCAAATTCGATTTCTTTATTCTTGTTCAAGGTTTTCTACAAAACAAATTGAACATTATCTCAGAGCATATTTCTCATTCTTACCGTTAAATGTCGTACACGATCTTCATGTTGTTTGGCTTCAATGTCATTATAAGAGGTCACTGTCTTATTTGAACTATCTCTTTCATATCTGCCACCTTTTTCAGCTTTGTCACGCATATATTGATCCATTAAATGTGAGCGGCGTGCATCAACATCCTAAACAAAAAAAAATCAAATTTCTTCTTGTTATAGATCGACTAAAATACAAACATTCACCTTGTTGTTCGATTGATTGGCACGTCGATCTCTCTCCAAAGCAGCAGCATTTGCATTCAATTGCCGTTGTCTCGTATAAATATTTTCTAAGCGATCTCGTGCACCACCAATACGATGAAGAGCTAAAATGAGTAACTCAAATCAATTTTCTATCGTTTATGAATCTATGTGTTTGTACCTTCACGTTGTTTAGTGTCAAGCATCGAACGACGAGCGGATAAATCGGCTGGAGAACGATATCTTTCCATTTCAAAGCTCTTAGAATGTGCATTTGTTTTCCTACAAGATAAACCATCGATATCGAATATTTTCAAATTAAAAAACAAAAGATTTACTTCAGTTTTTGTTCCTGTTCGCGATCATATTGTAACATATGCGCTCGATCGTGATCCACCATACTACGAGACGAATCATAGGGCACTTTTGCTGTCAGATTAGATCGCATACCTTAGAAAATCTTTCATGTCAGCTTTTGCTTTCTGAGCTTCCAAATTGAGTGCTAATGCTATCTCAGCCAATTCTTTCTTGAGCCGAGCTTCCTCCAACTAGATAAAAATGAAAGTATTCTATCGATGTCTGGACGTGAACAACAATGCAACCTCTTTTCGATGCACTTTTTGCTCGAAATCTGCGTTTAATCGATCTAGTTGAAGATGTTTGACGTCAAGCTCATTGTTTTTTGCTTTATATTGTCGAGCAAGATCATTACAAAGTAATAAATTACGACGGCCTTTGTCTTTAGTTGTTTGTAATGCATCAATATTATGATCAGTGCGTTGTCGAGTTTGCTAAATAAAACAAGAATGATTGGTCATGCGATCGGAGCATACTTTACCTTTTCTCGAGTTTTCAGAAATTCCCTTTCAATAGTATCTTTTTCTTCGAGGTTTTTCGATAATTTCTTTTCGGATTTATAACGTTTCGCTGTTGTATCTACATCGAACAGATCGGCGGAAAGAATGTCATCCAACAGAATACATCCTGTTTACATACCCACGTCAAGTTTTCGAAGTGATTGGCGTAAGTGTTGTTGTTCTTTTTTAATATCACCTTCTAAACGTTTCACTTCTCGTTCACTTTTCTTAGCTTTGATCATTTCACTCTTCAATTGTTAATATGAAATATCTTTATATTTCTAGATCATCAAACATACCTTAATGAGTCTCATTTGCTTTTCGAATTCTTTGGCTTGATTCTTGAGATTTGTTGATGTAGATAGAGAATTAGACAAGTCAAATCCTTTCGACTTTCTGGGTCCTGTTGTGGGTGGTGCTGATGATGCTGATTTACCAAGTGATGGCAAGAGAAGATTTCCTGTCGATGACGCATCGTGCTTTGATAGCTGTGTGCCTTCTTGTTGACGATAAAGTGAACGAATTCGTCGAGATGAATCCACATAACCTCCTTTTGTCATGTAACGACCATGATTTCTAAAGAGTACAAACACTTATTTATGTAGAATTCGAGAATACTATTCATAAATTTACTGTAGAAATTCCGCATAATTAACCAGATCATCATCATCATATGTATATACGCTCGTTTGCGCAATTTCCGCATAACGATCATGAATTAATGAGGGACGAGCAAAGGCAGTCATTAATAATGTGTGTTATGTCAAACTTCAATGACTTGATTCGCTCGTCAACTCGAATGAAGGAATAAAAATTCTTCGTCAACTCGTCCATAACCATTTTTTTTATTGTTTCCATGCCGATGTTGTGCGTACGATTGATTATACAAACAGAACAGCATGCAGATGGCATTGATTGTTGAGAATTTTAAAAATAGACTTCCACTAAAATAAAGTATATTTTCATTCAAATGATATGTTTTCGTGATGTGTTAAAGGCATTTAATTTATTCATAGCGTTAAGTTCAATGCGTTCTAGAAGACTAATTCCCTATTGGGCTCTGAAAACGATTTCGCCGCCATGAAAAATCTTCAGATATGTTCAATATTCGAAAAAACTTTCCCGAATCATTTAAGAACCGCCGCGTCCATCGGCTAGAAAACGTTTCTTCTATGAAATCATGACTCGGTGCTCTGAATTTACAAAAAGGTTTTGTCGACAGGAATCGTTTGGGACAATATACACGATGATCTGTTAACGTTTATTGCAGTGTTTAGTGTTTGTAGATGAACTGACCATTATACCGAATTCGAAGGTAGTTTTCTTTTCTCTAATAAATTGCCATGAACGATTGAATTCGACACATACATATTTGATAAGTGACTCTATCATTACTATCTTTTTCACAAACATCTGTATAAGTAGTGGATATGAGGATATTTCCATGTATCCAACGATCTTCTGTTTATTCCTTAACAGTCATCATTCAAATACTATACGCCGATGCCTTCGTACACGGAAAGACAAACCATATGTGTTATAGAGACACAACTAACGGTGCCAATAGTCTTACAATTTTATTAAAGAAGACACATTACCAACCCTTGTTTCATCTATACAAAAAGAAACTAACAAACCAATCATAATTGCACGAAAAAGCGTCGTCTTCCGGTAGCGCACTGAAATTACTAACACATTGTAAATTCAACTGAGCTGGAACAGTTCATGAGATCCAGCAGCAAAACTAAGGAAAAAGAAAGACGCTCACGCGTGAACGCTTGTTCAAAAAAAAAACATATTTATGTTACTCGATACCTTTGACACTAATATTGTGTTCTTATAATGGTTTATTTAATTTTCTTTCAAGTTGTCATGTTATATTCGAAGTCGTGTCTTCTAACGCGATGCATATCTCTGGGGTTGTAATTGTCAAGTAATTGTGATACGCGTTGATTTGTCGAACTAAAAGTTAGAAAGTTACATCAAAATAGCGGCTGATTTCTGTAATAAAGGTCGAGCAACTAACTCATATGAACTGTATTGATGATAGTTTAAAAAAACTGTTAAATAGGTTATAAGAAACTTATATTTATCCGTAAGAACTATTTGTTTATAAGTCTCTCAATAAATAGGTCAAGATGAGATAAATGAAATAATTAAGAACTATATTATTTTATCAGATCTTTAAGGCAAGAGTAAGAGAACACGAAAGTGTGTTCGATCCTGATTAACTGGTGAATTATGAAGCTCGTATACACACCGGCTACATTGTCGGTTAGACTTTGTATCTACTATTTCTGTTTTAATATAGGAGAGACTTCATGTACTTTTCCTATCCGCCAGTTTCTTAAAATAATCTTCTTTTTGTCTATCCTACAGGAATCGTGTTTTGCGATGTAGTTGACATGCAGCTCATTTTTCAAAAATCATTTTTTGGTATAAAACCCCACTTAGATAGAATATAGTTATCCCAGTTGAAAATAGTTAAAACTCGTGATTGAAAGTCATTTATATAAACTACGAAGAACGTGGACACTTCAGAATATTTAAGAGTTGCTGTTAGTCAATAGTTGCCTTAGAGATAATATTGAAACAATGATTTCATTAAATTACACATTGAGTGAAACTAGCTGTTGATCATTTCAAACAGCGAATTTTTCAATTTATTGATATAAGAGATTGGCCTTTGGCAGTTATATCTGATATCAAGTTCTACGTACACATGATAGTGATCTGAGCAACAATGAAAATAGAACTCCCAGTTACGTTAGCACTTCATTTTCTGTTGAGAAGTAGAAAAATGCATACTGCTCGCTTATCCGGTAATGATGAACATAGCAAAATTAGAAATAAAGGAAATCAGACAATAGAGTGGTTCTTTTTTATCTGTGAATAATCAGCAACATAGGCTAGATGATGATGACGGGAAAAGGCTTTCGGAATATCAGCCAAATGATAGAATTTTGTGTCTATGGGCAGACATTCAACATTACCTTTTCTTCTTATCAGCATTCGTCTTCGAATGCTTTTTATAGCTGATTGAATATTAACTAGATATTTTTTTTATTAACCTTCCTAATTCTAGATATGAATTTACTCGGTCAAAAAAAAATCTGAAACTTTCTACAGCTAATCGTATGTTAATATCTCAAAAGCCATGAATATCCGAGAAAATCTTTCTGAGAAATTCGAAAAGCCAGATGAGGCTTTTCCTAGACAATACTTTTAATTAAAAGACTTATATGGCACATTGCTTTCGAACAATGAAATGCTTTGCGAATCACAACGATGCGCAGTTTTTATAAGAGCGCTAGAAAACATATCCGAGAACTAACTTCAGGAGCAAAGCATTGGTTAGTTTTCTACAACAAATATAAGTGCGCTGTTGTCTATTTTGATACAGGATTAGCGGAAGTATGCCATCTGTTTTTTAGTCATTAATAGCTTGAAATCAGTATTAGGCAAAGTTTTTCTAGCAAAGTATCCTATCCGTGCGAGGTAAATTCTACATTTACTAAAGAATCGTTTGAGAAATTTAAAAAAATAAGATGAAAAGATCGACGAAGGACATTTTTTCCGGATTCGTGCTTTGCTGCTAAAACTTCCACAAATAGCTCATTTACCTAATTTGCAAGTATTGTGTTTGTTCAATATTTAGAAGTATATACAATCAAACGTCGAAAGTAGTTGTTAGATAGTAAATAGGATGTAATCTTTTCTTACTTTTTAATCTACAATACATTCTCGTCTTTCACATGTCTTCTGTCATAATGACAAACGCTTACAGGAGGAGGAGAAGAGAAGAGAAGGAATAATGCGTCTACACAAATATTAGCAATCTTTGTCGTATTGTATTAATTTTAGATCAAATTTTACTGAACACCTGATGGCTTCGTGGACTCGAAAACCAGATGTATATCCTTTTGAAGCTATTGAATTGGTCATCAGTGCAATAGTACCAATTGTTTTAATCGTAGTTGGAACTCTGGGTAATATTACATCGATGATTATTCTAATGAATAAAAATAATCGTCGAACATCAACCAATATTTATTTGATATTTTTGTGTCTCATGGATACAATATCACTTTATCAATGGAATCTTTCCAACACTTTACCCTCATTCCCAAATAGCCAACAACAGATATGGGGCAATTCAGTGATTATGTGTAAATTAAGTGAATTTTTCTCATTTTATACTTTGCATACTTCAGCAATGTTTCTGACACTCGTTGAACTCGATCGGGCGTGTTTATTGAGAAGTCGATGGTATAAACGAAAAATCGCACAACCAAGTGCTGCTCTAATTGTTTGCGCTTTCGTCTTTGTCATCCTTTTCTGTGTCAATGGTTTCTTATTTGGCTTAGGCTTTGAATACTCTATCTATGATAATACCACGGGCCTATATCAAACCTATGTCGCGTGCTATTATTCAATGAATCAACAACTGAATGATTTCTTTGTAATTCAATATCCATGGGTAAATATGATATTAACAGAACATTTCATACAATTGTTTTCCTTTATTTAGATTCATCTTGTCATTATGTATTTCCTACCGTTCGGTTTAATTATTATTTGTACATTATTAACAGCGAAAAAGCTAATATTTAGTCAGACAGCAACAAATGAACAAATAACACGTAGCAATCAGCGTAATCGACGAATTTCTATTATGTTATTATTAATGTGTTTAACTTATGTTATTGCCACATTGCCAAATCGCCTTTGTTTTTCGGTTTTCTCATCTCTCATCCTTGGACATGATTATACCGATACAGTATTTATTAGTACAAACACTTTGATGTATACAAGAAATGCTATGAACGTGTTTTTTCTGTATATATCAGTGCATGGCTTTCGACGAGACATACGCTCCTTAATCTTAAAATGCTTGGGGAAACAACCGGGGCAGATCTATCCGACGAATAATATTACGATAAGAGATAACGAGGGTTCACTAACGGCAAACAGAAGACACACGGAAATGGTAGCAAATCATCTATCTAACGCATAAAATTGAAATCTTTCCTCAGTGAATATTAATCAGTTGTTTCAACCAATGGAACATCCGTCGTTTCGTCTCCTCTCAGTTTTTATTTTAAATCAGATGTGACGTCTTCGTCTTTGTTTATTCAGAAAATAAAAACTACTTTGACTGACGAAACAGTTTATTTAGGGCACATATCATTGATCGTTACATCTATGATATGCAAGGAAGTTTTATTAACATATAAAGAAGGATTTATTTTAATTTTTTCAACGGCTTCTATTCTGAGGGCGAAATGGAGATTTGAACGCTAAATTTGGAAGAAAGAAATCTTTCATTTTTAATTATCAATATCAAGTTTTGTAAAGACAAATGAATGAATATGTAAGTTATTGAAGCTAAGTGTTTAAAATAAGATTGTTCCTGATGCATGCGAGACAAAGAAGTCTGAAAATGACAAAAACGAGTTGATCTTCCAGGAAGATTACTTTAATTTTTGATTGTGCCTTATAATACATATGTTCCCATATACTATTCATCGGCAATGGTGAGAACTAAAATAAAATTGAATAGAATTGAAATCTTCCCTTTTAAGTTTGATTATCAGCTAACAATCGACGGGACTGAAAGGAATTTCACGAACAGCGAGTAGGACGAAAGTGATTTTAAGAAAGGAGGATGAAAACACCATGCAGCTTACTAGTGATCATTTCACTAATTTTGATGAAATATTCAGCCAGACAATTACGGTACTATTCACAAACAGAAGCTATCTTTATTCTGTTTGACTAATCCTATACAGAAGAAGAAGTCATGTTCGCAAATAGTACATCTTATCCTGTGCTTTCCAAGGAACGTTGGAATGCTTTGAAAAACCTTAATAGTATCATAATTAGTTGCTTTACTTCATGTGATGAATAAAATGATTTCAGATAACTGGGAAAAACTACACTAACAGCATGTCGATGAAATGAGACTAATTACGAACACAACGATGAGATAGCAAGATACTTTCTGATGCTTTTTCTTTTTCCAGTGTTCAATGAAGAAAGTGTATAAAATTTTGTGCTGAAAGATTTTTCTACTGAATGATCATATCCTCCGGGAGACGTGTGAAGTCTGGATGAAAATTACATCTTTTCAAATTTTGCTCGCATTGTAAGTCACTCTACTTTATGAGAATACATAATACTAGTGAAACCAACTACAAATGGCTTTTTGGAGCCGTCAAAAGGATTCCGATTTCTTTGAAATAGCTGAACTTATCATCAGTGGTGTTTTCCCCATTGCTCTCATTGTCGTTGGTACCATTGGCAATGTTTTATCAGCTATCATCTTGCTCAATAAACAAAATCGACAAACATCAACGAACATATATTTGATATTTCTATGCTGCGTCGATACCCTTTCACTCTATCAATGGAATTTACGTGATGCTGCATACGAGTTCACTGATGGAAGACAACAAATCAGTAATCAATCAGTATTCTTATGCATATGTCAGCAGTTTTTAGCGTTCTATACTTTGCATGCATCGGCTATGTTTCTTACTTTAGTTGCACTCGATCGTGCTTGCCTTCTGTGGAGCCGTTGGTATAAGCAGAAGATAGCGCGAGCACGAGTTGCAGTCATGATTGGCATTGTCATATTCATACTCTTGTTTGGTATCAATGGATTTCTATTTGGATTAGGATATGAATATAGTTATTACGACAACACCACTGCCACATATGTCACAATAGTGACATGTTCGTCGTCAACGAATCCCAACATAACTCAGTTTTTCTACAATGTGTATCCATGGGTAACAGAACTAGTTTAATCGAAATATTTCTATACGATATTTGCTCTTTTTCTTATAGATTCATCTGGTCATTATGTATCTTCTTCCATTCACTCTGATGATTTTTTGCACAATAATCAGTGCCCGAAAACTCATCGTTCGACAAACATCCGTTAATCAACAAATTACAACCAATGCTCAACGAAATCGTCGTATTTCAATCATGCTATTGCTCATGTGTTTCACATATATCATACTTACCCTACCCAATCGTCTTTGTTTTTCAGTCTTTGTAACTGAATTAATTGGTCATGACTATAGCGATACGGTATTTCTATTATCCAATACATTGATGTACACGAGAAGTGCACTAAACGTGTTCTTTCTTTATATATCGGTGTATGGATTTCAACGTGATGTTCGTCGATTATTTTCTAAATGTTATGGGTGGACAGGTAATCGAGTAGCTCCACGGCAAGGTATTATGGAAGAGCAAATTGGGACCATTATTAGACTGTGAGATCTGAAATAACAGGGACCGAAGTTCTGTCACGTCTTAACCGTACCTAAATGTTGTCATTATACAAGTTCTTTTGATGTTCATCATTTCTACACCAAATAATTATGTTGTCATCATGTTTTTCTAGGTGAAGAGAAAATATAACTGATCTCCATAGTAACCTGCATTACCTCTGTGCAACTAATCTGGATTAGATCATCTTCTCTATCTATCGGAAAAAGATCAGAACACATCAAAGCTGCGAATTAGTCTCAAAGACCAACATTAACGATTCATAAAGAAAGAAACACAATCGCATGATCAACAAAATCCACACTGAATCTGATTTGGAATGGAGATTAACTGAACATGAATACATATGATTAGATTGCTCTTTTTCTGCATCAGTGAAGCAAAGCTGGAACTTTTCCAAATGAATTTTCACACATTTACTTCTGCGATCACACATTTCAATAGTGAAAGTTCTTTTCTTTTACTTCCCACATAGTGGAATACACGATTTTTAGATTTTTCTCTCGTCGAAGTGACTAAAATTCTAAACTCGTTAATTATCTTTAGTATAGTGTATTCATTTTCATTGAATTCTTTGATGCATTATTTTCGATATAATTTAGTTCGCTAGATCAATTTTATTTTGAAAAGAAATTGATATCTCAAAGGAGTTCTTACGAGTACACTTTCTCGCTACTATTTTCATTAGCCGTCAGTGAAATCAAGCGTATTATCTTTCAACATTTGCCTCTCGCAGATCTACTTGATCATCATGTGTGATAAAAAGCAAAAGCTTATTCATCAGTCGAGGGAGAAAAAGCAAAGTCTTGCGATGTATTCGACTTCGTATCTCTTCAATGTTATTGTTTTATTCACTTAAGCAAGAAAAGAAAGACAAGACATCCGAGTTGCATTCTAAATTTATTTTTCTCGTAATAGAATCGAAAAATGTCAGGATCTTATTGGTCATGCTTACGCTAACTCAGTCGCGAAGAGAGAACTACAAACTACATCGAAGAGACATTCGACGTCGTATGTGTGTCAAGCTTTCTTTCTTCGTTTCACTGTGCTTTGCAGCTACTTGGCGCCGGAAACTGAAACATCCTCTTGAAGGAGAAAGACTGTCGTTGTCGATGTCGTGATGCAATTATGAATCAAATGAACGGTTGTAAAACGAACGAATGACAATTGAACACTGATTTCTGTCTTTTGTGAATAAACTACGAAGAAATAAACTATCTCCAAGAGTTTTATTCACTAGAGAAAGCGATTTTCAGAGACAACGTGCGCGACCGAACTCTTGACGTATCTACGCAAACGACTGCCTATGATCAGGGATCATTCTCAAAGTACAACAAAGGTTATACACATCGAAGTAAGCATACATCGATGATGATATTGACAATGTTGATTAGATGTAGCCTATAATTAGTATTAGTTATTATTGTTTCTCGTTGAATATTATTAAGTTCTTGGGAACAATTGCGTCTAGTAATCTTTTTTTGCTCATAACATCGTTTCCTACTTTTTATTTCATTAAGAACAGTTTTCTATTTTTTCTTATATCCTTCTAATAAGCTCATTGATAGATCCATTCTTCGCTATTTTTCTTCTTCTCTTCTCCAGAGTATAAATCTATCTTTCATTCTATTCAATTAATAGAGCTAAGTTAGTCGCGTGCGGAATGGACCCTGAATTACTTTTTTTTCTTTTATTATTTTCGATACAATTTAGATATTGATTGTCAAAAAACACGTAAGTACCAGCATTGAATTCGATCATCTCGATGTGCTAATTGAACGTGAACAAATTGCAATCGATCGCGTCTATCTCGTTCCTGTTTGCCAAAGATCGCTCTTTTACCAAATTTCAGGTTCAGAAAGATCGATTTAACTATCGGAACTTGCCTGATCTAACAAGACGACAATGGTTGTCTCGTTACAATTTTCCATAAAAGAAAAGTAAACCTTGGAATTTGTCTCAATATACATTCTTCTCTTTGTTACATTAAAGCGGTAAGATAAAACATTTCCGTTGGACGGAAACATAATAAAAGTCGGTCTAACGTACGTATTTACAGAAGAAATCAGCTGTTGTTGAGCATCCACTAATGATTTCATATATGATGTTTATTAAACATGTCAAACGAGCCGTTTGCGCAAATTTCTAGATGTTTATTGACTGGAATAATTTATCCATTTGAAGTGTTTTCTAAATGTACTAATGAAATATTAGAACGCCATGAGTTTGTTATTAGCTGGTGGTCGATCATCCAACGCTCGTCGTTCGTCACAAGTTAATTTTAATCCGTTGACCAATCAAATACAATGGTCACCTTCGATAACGCTTCAACAAGAAAACATGTCGAGCATGGGCCGACGTCGTGCACTGGATTTGTACGGAACGAAGGACGTGGTCTTCACACATGAACAAATGAAAAAAGCCAAACGATCACATGACAATACCAGTGGTATGGGTCTATCAGGGTAGGTAAGCTGTTTTATTTTTAACTAATCGAGCACTGAGCAAGCCCTTGATGGCATAACGTTCCGACAAGTCCATACGAACTTGCATGATAGGTAATCTGATTAACTTAAACGTGTCGCAAAACTATGGAAACACTATCGATTGAGCAGCATGAAAGAGAAAAGTCATCCTACTTTCCTAAAATTTCCCAGACAAACAAACAGATTATAGTGCAATTTTCAACTGATAGACGTGTGATTCTTTGCAGTGAAAGAAGGTACTTCTGTAAGTTCATTAGGAACAAGAATTTGTATTTTTACTATTGACTTTCAAACATGATCTAATTTTCTGAGAGTTTTCTTTTTTATTCGATTGTAAACAAATAATTTCGTTGTCGAAGATAGCGACACTTCAATGTCATTTCTATTGATTGACAAAAAACCTACATGTTTAAACTAATGCTAGATTAGTCACGAGCACAGTTTCATTCAGTAGACAATAGGAGTCTTCCAACTTTTTTCTAACTGAATTACTTCATTTCTAAAGAACACGAATCGACATGGAAATAAAGTATGAGATTACTTTCTCTAAGTATCGAACGGATTCTCATTGAGTGAGTTCACACTTTTTTTCTTTTATGAAATAAGCATATCATTTGAACATATTTAATTACAAGTGTCACTTTTTCTCGCCGATAAAATGGACTCAAAGAACAGCTAATATTTGCATAGTTCAATTAATCATAAAAGCTGAATATTGGTGAAATTGTCAAAGAAAAACAACTCGAGTTCCTGTTCACAGATATCAGATAACCATCAGAATTTCCATACGAAGACTTGATTAAAGTTAGCTGACAGTATTCATTTACACTCAATCAAATACGCCCTGATGGACACGACGTTGATGTGTATCGTTCGGATTCTCATTCGAGTCTTTGCCGAGTGAAAACGAAGGAATACATAAATGGAATTAGAATGAGATAAGATCTTAATACTCTTAATATAATTCATATGACACTTGTGATAAAACATCGAATTTGCTTTAGTTTTGAATACATTGAGCATTGCCATCGATTTGTCTCAATTTCAAGAACGATTGGCAAATGCGACTGATTGAGATCAGTAAACTCTCACATGGTGTAAGCATGTAGATTAGTAGCTCGATGAGGCTATTCGGAATTGAAAATTTATCTATCCTTGAGAGTAATGAAAATCAAATGAATGGGTTGACGTCGAGTTCAAGCGTTGTCTTTGTAATCGACAAACGAGAGACTTTGATTTAATTCATGTCTTTGCTTATTCTAATAAGATTACATCAAAGATAGTTTAATAAGAGAGAGCGAGAAAACATGACATGATTATATTTTCAAAAGAACTCTCGATGAACAAAAAAAAAAGAAAAGAATCCGTTCGAAACTTCATAGTTTATTCAAAAGGAAAATATTTGCTTTTTCCCCTACAATATTTACTTTGAACATAATGAATAGAAAATTTTCTTGAAGATTTCAACAAATGAACTCCTACGGGAAGGGAAACTCGTTCGTCTTCAACGATAATTAACTTGATTAGCCACGATGTTTGTAGCGATTACGTTTGATATACTTTCCGCACACTTTTATTTCTTCTTTCTATCTGTATTTATTATTCTTTGAAATTACCATTTATTCTAGGAGAGAGAGAGAAAAACACGCGAATCGAACAAAAAGCTTTTATATTAATTGAAGTTCTTTATCTAAAATGCATTGTATTATTCTTAATGATTATCAAAAAGAATTGTTGACTATATCGGAAGGAAAATTATTATCATGTTTGAAAGTTCTTTTATTCACAACAGTAGAGGAAAACTGTCTGCTGGATTCAAATGAGTTTTTCTTTCGTCAGAAAAGAAAAAATGACGATAAATCTTCGCTCCATGGAATCCTCTTCATGAGATGGTTGATCGATTGAAGTCTCTTGACATAATAGGCAGGAAAAAAGGCAATGGATGAAATTTTAATTGATTAATTTCAATGGAAGAAACCTGTTGATCTAATTGGTTACTGAATGAAGACTCTTCTATGCCGTATATTTGATTAATTTTCTCACTTGACAGGCGTTAGTTTTTTTTTTCTTATGATGATATATTGACTCAGTTAAGTTTAATGATCTTTGACAGTCGAGATGTTTTTTCTTTTGTTGCTGATGAAACATATGATTTGGCTTATTATTATTATTCTTAATCGAATTGTAAGAAAATTTATTCCATTATCTAATGAACATTACCTTATTAACGAAAGATAGTTTTTTTGTTCAATCTCTCGAATAGCTCAGTATTTGCCCTAAGGATACTTGGAAAACCATCAATGTCACACTTGAGACCAATAAGATAAAGCAGACAAATTTTTAGTTGTTCCTTGCACGAGTGTATGTCGTGTGCCAATCGATTTCCTCCTTATTTTCTTAATTGCTCCATCATAAAACGATAGTAACACGAAAGAGCCAAGATGCCTATATATATACTTATGAAGGAAGGAGAAGTTCTTCCTTCGTATTTTCTATCTCATACACTATAAAATTGATCATCATTCTCGTTCTTCGTCGACATTGTCTATCTATGTGAGAGACTTAGTCCCGTTCTTTCGCCTAAGCTCTGGTGCTCATTCACGTCTGTTGGGGAATCACATCAATAGAACGGGTAAAGTAGAGGAGGGTTTGTTCCGTTGTATGTTTCTAACATCATGGCAAAGCGAAAGAGAAGTAGAAAAAAAAAGAAGAAGACGAAGAAAAAAATAGAGATCGTTGAACGTGTTCCTCTTTTTCTCATCAGCCAGCTCGAGCGCAAGCTAGTGTGTGTCAACAGCATCTCATCTTCATGTTTGTGTCTCTTTCTTTTTTCTTATTGTGCGTATAACTCCCTGGTCTAATTTTTCTTGACGTATGTTTCTCTAAGCGAGAAAGACAACATAGTTAAATTATTGTATAACAAGAAGAGAGAAGATTCAAAAAAAGAAGATAATTCTTAATCATGGGTGACTTTAATAACGTTTCTGCTATGATCAGGGCACTCAAAGAAGGTGGTAATCTAGCAGCATTGACAGGTGGTGATCCACACAATCTACATTCGGGCCGACGTGGCGCATGGAAGGCGAAAATCAAACATTATGCCAAACAAATTAATTCATCTACCCACCGCTCATTATTCATATTTAAGAAGAACAACTGGATAAGAAAACGAGCTAATGATGTCATTGAGTGGAAGTACGTCAAACAACATGTCTCTCATATGTTTCGTTTACATTTTCTCTCTCTCTCTTTGTTCTAGTCCTTTCGAATACATGGTGCTATTAACAATCATAGCTAATTGTATTGTTTTAGCACTTGAAGAACATTTGCCACATGATGATAAAACAACATTAGCTAGATCATTGGTTTGTACAAGTGGAAAGATGGCATCCACTTACCTAATTCTTCTCTCCTTTTTTTTCTCGTAGGAAAAAACCGAAATATATTTCATTGGAATCTTTTGTTTTGAAGCTGCACTGAAAATAATTGCACTCGGTTTTGTTTTACACGAAGGCTCATATCTTCGAAGTCTTTGGAATGTGATGGATTTCATTGTTGTTGTGACCGGGTAAAGTCGTGATCGAATACTTTCATGTCGTTAATCAGTTTATTTGTTTGATCTTGAACATTCTTCCAGTCTAGCAACGATTAGTATCAAGAAGAACAGTTCGTTCGACTTACGAACGTTACGAGCGGTTCGAGTGCTTCGGCCGCTGAAACTGGTCTCAGGCATTCCAAGTTTGTTTCTTTTTTTAATAAAATCAAGACGAAAATCTATATGAGACTCGAAATAGGTCTTCAAGTGGTGCTTAAATCTATATTAAAGGCCATGGCTCCGTTGTTTCAAATAGCTCTTCTCGTTCTTTTTGCTATTATTATATTCGCTATCATCGGTCTTGAATTATATTCAGGCGTGTTTCACACAACTTGTTTTTATGCAAATCGAACAGGTGAGTTACTCGTCCAAATAGAAGAATCTTGAAGCAATCCGTCTGCCCGATGTCGGATCACATTGGGTGTAGTAGTCGACATGAATAGTTTAATGTTCTTTATCTAACCGAAACGGAAGAGATGACTGATCTCACGAGAATGGAAATCTAATCTGTCATACATATATGCATTCTAAAGGTAATTGCTGTATTTTTAGCTGCTGATCCTGACAGTGAAGAATGTAAGTTTCCGCTTCTATTCGTTCTTGTTTTTTTTTTGTATGTAACTTGTCGTATTTCAGTAATATATAAAGGCGATGATCACCAACCCACCACATGCGGAATACCTGGAGGTAAATTCATTACGTCAAGAAGAAGGAGAAACGATAATATCGAAGAATACTTTCTTTCTATTCTTAGAACCTATCTGGGGTTGGTTGAATATGAAACACGGTGTATTTACATGTAATATTGCTAATGAATCGCTCGTATGCCAAGAGTATTGGAAAGGGCCTAATCAAGGCATTACTAGTTTCGATAACATTGGTTTTGCAATGTTAACTGTCTTTCAATGTATAACTATGGAAGGTTGGACACAAATACTGTATTGGGTATGTCGGAGAGACATTATTGGTTCATGTTCGTTTTTAATTTGAATGTCGACCTAGACTAACGATGCTGTGGGAACTTTATTTAATTGGCTTTATTTTGTACCTTTAATTATTCTCGGTTCGTTCTTTATGCTCAATCTAGTTCTTGGTGTTCTAAGCGGGTAACCGATTTCAATTGCAAGTTTTGTCTCAGGATGTGTTATTTGATTATCTGCAGAGAATTTGCTAAAGAGAGAGAACGTGTGGAAAATCGTCGTGCATTTTTAAAAATTCGTCGACAACAACAAATCGAACGCGAGTATAATAATTATATCGAATGGATTAATCGAGCTGGTGACAATGATTTGATTATCTTTTCCATCAAGATCTATCTTGTTTTTTTTTCATACTTTTTTCTTTCACAGAGGATGTCATTCTGAATGAAGAACGAACGACTGAACAAGAAAGACGAGCTATTCATGAAGGTAAATCTCTTTGTCACTGAAAGAAACGGATGTGCATTAAAGGATACTTTTTTCTAGCACGAAAATATGCCCAATTAAAAAAAACTCGTCACAACAGAGCGGGCAAGCAGCATAGTGTCGATGATGATGAAGAAGATATTGGTATGTTGAATGGCGTAAATATGAGCGGATGGTTGATTATTAATTTATTCTAGACAACGCATTCAATCGTGGTCGAGGTACAGATACAGAACGGCCGGATCGACCACGGACGTTCATGCGTCGTTGGCATATTCAACAACGTGTGATTAAGTAAATGAATACTATTGAAACAACATGTGCTAGGCAGGATGAATATTATTTAGGAGTAAAATTCGTATCTTAGTGAAAACACAAGCATTCTATTGGACGGTTATTGTTTTCGTGTTTTTAAATACTGCGTGCGTTGCAATTGAGCATGATCGGCAAAATCAATTCTTAACAGATTTTTTGTGTAGGCTCTTTCTATGGAGAGAAAAACGAGACTGATCAATAAGCGATCTTGTTTGATTTAGATTATGCGGAATTTGTGTTTCTTGGTCTGTTCGTCTTTGAAATGCTTTTCAAAATGTATGGCCTTGGAGTTGATCAGTACTTCGCGTCATCGTTCAATATATTCGATTGTGTCGTATGTTTTTTTTTATTCATCAGCGACGCCGTTTTACTTACTGTTGAATGTCGTTTTTGTTTTAGGTCATCTTCGGGTCGATATTTGAAGTCTTTTGGACATACTTTCACCCAGAAGAATCGTTCGGTGTATCGGTTCTCCGTTCTCTCCGTCTTCTAAGGATATTCAAAGTGACACGGTTCGTAGAAGAACAACATAATTTAGTTTTTAGCCTAGTAATTTGCTCGAAAGCTGTAATAATCCTTTGATTAGGACGGTTTTCTTCTTCACAGTACATTACGATGAGTTTGTCATTTTCCATAAAAGGAAACAGACATTTCGAGTTTCTTCGTTTGTATACTCACTTCCGACAGGCTAATTCAATTGTTATGTTGTCGGTAATGCGATTAGAAATTGTCTCGTTCTGACAATTATATCATATGTACATATTTTTCTTTTCTCTTTTAGACACTGGGCATCGCTACGAAATTTGGTCGTTTCGCTCTTGAGTAGTATGCGATCAATCGTTAGTTTGCTGTTTCTTCTCTTCTTATTCATTCTCATATTCGCCCTATTGGGTATGCAATTATTCGGTGGCGAGTAGGTTAATCTATTCTCTGTCATTCGTTATATTCTTCTGTTTTTGCTTTTCTTCGCGAATAGATTTAGTTTTGAACAAGAAACTCCGTTGCAGAATTTCAACAAATTTGCCACTGCCTTAATTACTGTCTTTCAAGTAATACGCGCTCTCTCTCTCTCTCAGTGGGAAATTAAAATGTCATTAATTTGATTTCCTAAATAGATTTTGACTGGTGAAGATTGGAATGAAATTATGTACAATGGTATTCGATCGCAGGGTGGTGCCAATGGTAAAGGAATGGTTTATTCACTGTATTTCATTATTTTGGTCTTATTTGGCAACTGTATGTTTTGACTCCGTTCAAATGAAAACCCGAAAATTCTTATGAAATCTTCCTTTAGACACACTATTAAATGTGTTTTTGGCTATTGCTGTCGATAACTTAGCTAATGCGCATGAATTGACGAAAGATGAAGAGGAAGAGCAAGCAGCAGAAGAAGAGGTACACGAGAAAATTGACTAATTCGTTTCGTATAACGTTTTATATAGAAGCGTGAGCGCGAGACGAAAGATGTCGAGCTCATGTTTAAACTAGGATCACCGGCGTCAGCAGCGGCAACAACAGCAGCGGAAACAACAGCAAATGCTAAAATGAAAAAGCCCGAACAAGAATCGCTGACACCGAGAAATAATCTTCAACAGACGACAAAGAAAGAATATGTTAATAATGCTGTTAAGACCGCTTTCGATGTTCAAGCACCAGCGAATACTCAACATGCGTCGAACTCTAAGGATAATACGGATTTTCTGGACCGTCAGTTATTTGAAAAGCCAGATTTGGATTACATACCTGGTCTTGATTATGATCTTGGCCCCGTTGTCATACCTAGTAAAGTTTAATCTTCAGACAGGAAACCAGAAGCATGATTGTTTGTTTGTTCGTTCAGCTTTGAATAAATTACCAGGTGTTGATGACGCAACTGCTGCGAAAGTTCGCGCAGAAGAAGAAGCCAAGAAGAAAGCAGCTGCTGCTGCAGCCGAGGCTGAAGCAAAGAAAAGAGAACAAGCATCACGTCCAGTTAAACCGATTCTACCTTACAGTTCAATGTTTATTTTCAGCAGCACCAATCCGTGAGTCAAAAATGTTCATCATTTTCCGTTGGAATCTTACTCTGATATTTTCTTTCAGTATTCGGCGATTTTGTCATTTCATCGTTACACTTCGATACTTTGAACTACTTATTATGATTGTCATTTGTCTTAGTTCAATTTCATTAGCTGCTGAAGATCCTGTCAATGAAAATTCCAAGCGTAATGTTGTTTTGAACTACGTCGACTACGCATTTACGGGTGTATTCACTGTTGAATTATTGCTCAAAGTCTGTTTATCTTACAAATGACTAGTTGTTATTCTGACGCTTTGATTTTTCTCTTCGTAGATTGTCGACTTAGGAGTTGTATTTCATGAAGGAGCTTACTGTCGAGATGTGTGGAATTTACTTGATGCACTAGTTGTTATTTGCGCATTAGTTGCTTTTGGTTTCACGTAAGTGGACATTGCGTTACATTGGAAGAAACGTTTTACTGTTTTTAGTGAGAACGGCGCTGGTAAAAATTTGAATACAATCAAATCTCTTCGTGTACTCCGCGTCTTACGTCCATTGAAAACAATAAACCGTGTACCTAAATTGAAAGCCGTATTTGATTGTGTGATCACTTCCTTATCAAATGTGTTGACCATTTTGTAAGTGACTCTCTTTGATCGAATCATTTCCACCCTATTCAACTTCGTTTTCATTAGAATTGTATATATGTTGTTTCAATTTATCTTTGCTGTTATTGCTGTTCAGTTGTTCAAAGGAAAATTCTATCGATGCACAGATCTATCGAAGCTGACACCGGACGAATGCCAGTGAGTCTTATAAGAAAGATGTTTGTGAGATCTCGAAAGTGAACATTTCTCCTTGCAGAGGATTCTTCTTTGATTTTGGTGATGGAAAAAATAAACCTGAACGAAGAAGACGAACTTGGGAACCGTACGATTTCACCTATGACAGCGTTCCACAAGCAATGCTGACGTTATTTACGGTACAAACGGGCGAAGGATGGCCGACGTAAGTAGATTGTTGACGAGTAAGCTGATGTGTAAAGGTAATTTGTAGAGTATTACAACATTCAATCGACGCCACGGGTATTAATCGTGGACCACAGCCTGGCCATCGACTTGAAATTGCCATGTTTTATGTTGTTTACTTCATCGTATTTCCATTCTTTTTCGTCAATATCTTCGTCGCCTTGATTATTATTACGTTTCAAGATCAAGGACAAAAAGAATTAGAAGAAGCGGAAATTAATAAAAATCAAGTAAGAATATTCAATTGAATTATTTGTCAAATGAAGTGAAACTTTCCTTCACCTTAGAAATCCTGTATTGACTTCGCGTTGAATGCTGTGCCAATTCAACGATGTAAGCCTAAGCAAGAAGGTTCACTTCGCTATCGAATATGGCAGTTATGTACATCACCGTATTTCGAATTTTGCATCATGGTGATGATTGCGTTAAATACATGCGTCTTGATGGCAAAAGTATTACAAGCATTGCTTCGACAAGCGTATTTTTCATACACATACTTTGTTTTAGTACTATCGAAGTCCACCGACTTATAACGATATCTTAACATATGCGAATACAACATTCACTGCTTTGTTTACTGTTGAGAGCATTTTGAAAATTATTGCATTCGGCTTACGAGTATGACTTACGTTTTTGAAAGCAAAAGGAAACATACGTTTGTTTTTAGAACTATTTTCGTGATAAATGGAATGCGTTCGACTTTATTACCGTTCTGGGAAGTATTGCCGATGTGCTCGTCACAGAATTTCGAGTGACAAAACAAAATGTTCCTCTTGCAATCGGTCCACAAAAGCATAAGGTAATGAGCACTGACTCGTTTCATGTTTTCTATTTTGTTTCTTTAGAATACATTACTCAATCTGGGTTTTCTTCGTTTATTTCGTGCCGCACGTTTGATCAAACTTCTTCGTCAAGGTTACACAATTCGTATTCTACTTTGGACGTTCATGCAATCATTCAAAGTAACATTCAATCTCTTAGAAAACATGAACTCATTCATCTCTTTAGGCACTACCCTATGTTTGTCTGTTAATCGCCATGCTCTTTTTTATTTATGCTATCATCGGCATGCAGGTATGATATGTTTTTTTTTCTCCAAAAGCTTTCTTTTCAACACTTGTGAAGTGAAATTTATAAAAAAAAATTCAATTCTTTTCTGCTATGAGTTAAACGAACATTTGATTTCCCCTACAGATGTTTGGTAATATAAAAGTCGATCATGGATCGACTATACACAATCACAATAATTTTCAGAACATTTTTCAAGCGACACTCGTCTTATTCAGGCAAGAGGGAACATTCTCTAGAAATCATATTTACTCAGTCATCATTTGTCATTTGACTTGAAATGAATTAGTAGTATTTTATATAATTTCATCTTGTTTTACTTTCATTTTATTTTCCATCTGTGATGTGATTAGTAGTGATGGTGAAGTTTTGTTGAATTTGTCTGAACAAACCATTCTTTTTACCTAATTCTGCATGATTCTTTCGATTTATTCTTTTCATTTTTTTTTCTTATCTTAACAAAAAGGTCTTTGGGAATGTTCGTCATGACTCGGCTAAATCCGAGATAAGTCGACACAATAACTTTTCCAACTTTTTCTATGCTTTATTGCTCTTGTTCAGGTATTTGTGATTGTTGTCGCTTATTTCTCACGCTAAACACGAATTTCTATTCTCAATTAAACACTCGACTGATTTGATGTAGATGCGCCACTGGTGAGAGCTGGCAAGCCGTTATGTTAGCATGTAAAGCAGGAGTTGAATGTCATTCAGCATTTTCAAATAAGCCCTACCACCAAACAAGTGTAGCAAGTGGATCGCATCATAAAATTGGTCATAGTATAGGTCACAGATGTGGCTCTGACTTCGCCTATCTTTACTTTTGTTCATTTGTGTTCCTGTCATCGTTTTTAGTAAGGAAATTTACATGGAAAAGAGAGTTACATTTTTATCAATCGATATAGATGTTGAATCTGTTCGTTGCTGTTATTATGGATAATTTTGACTATTTAACTCGAGATTCATCGATTTTGGGTGCCCATCATCTCGATGAATTTCTTCGAGCATGGTCAGAGTATGATCCGGATGGCACGTATGTATTATTGTATCCACGAATAGCTTCTTTTGTATGTAATGCTTGACAATATATTTTTAGAGGAAAACTTGAATATACGAAAATGTTTGAAATGCTGCGACTTATGTCACCGCCAGTTGGCTTTGGTACGAAATGTCCATCGAAATTAGCCTATAAAGTAAAATGATAAGAACTGATTGGACAGAAATCAACAATTCAAACTTGAATTTAGCGTTTAATCCGTATGAATATGCCGATTGATGACAAGCGCCAAGTACATTTTACAACGACACTGTTTGCACTGATTCGTGAATCTCTGGGAGTCAAAATGCGAGCGGGTAATTGTTTCGTAGGCAAACATTCATTTTTAGTCGAAATCCTCCTATAATTTAGCTGCAGAAGAAATGGATGAAGCAGATAACGAATTGCGAGATGTGCTCTGTAAGGTTTGGCCAAATCATGCGAAAAAGAATGTCAAACTACACGAAGGCGGAACAAAGCCACTACTTGATCTCGTTGTACCACCTAAACATGGTAAAACAAATTCTGTAACATTCTCACCCGATTGTAAAGCTAATGTCTTTGTTAGAATTACACGGAATACCAGGTTATCCAAAGTTAACTGTGGGCAAAGTGTACGCCATATGCTTATATATCGATAATTATCGATCTTATAAACAGGGACATAGCAACGACACTGTAAGTTCGAGTTTTTTTTTCCTTTCATCTTCCATTATTCATAAATCTACGAAACAAAAAAGAAAAAAAAAAGGAATTGTTTATGCTCAACACATCCATCTGTATAGATAACGAGCAAAAGCAGTAGTCTTGCATTGATATCAACTGATGATGAGGTCAGTTATGCATGGATAACGACGCATGTTTACCAGATACCAATATTTTCTCAATTCATCTTGATTGTTTTTCTCTCTTGGAAACAATTGAAAGAAAATCCATATCTTTCAATAGAATAATTCAAACCTATGTTATGTGTTTTTACATTCTCGACATTTGATTATCCATCATGATCAGTTTTTAGGCATGAACATCTTCTTGCATTGATTTACCCTCCTTCCTATCTCTCTTTAACTATGTCCTGTTCATCATAGTAATATTTTAATCGTACTCTTCCACCCTGTCGTCGTTCTTCTTCTTGACATGATGATTTGAACTGATTGATTATGTCGGATGAAAAAGGGAATCGATCTTTGAACATGTTCTTCACTTACTTAGGGTTTTAATTTAAATCGACTCGTATCTGCATTGAAAGAACGCGTTTATTCAAAAGAAGGCATCAACGAATACGATTACGATGGAAGACGATCATCATTTCGTCGATCTGGCTCGAATCGATCATCGGTAAAAGATACGATTTGTATGATTGTCTGCATTCAACATGTTTGGTACTTTTATAGAATTTTGAAAATTTATTTCTGGGTAAAAATAAAGTATCGACTAGTCGTCGTCCAAGTAGTGCTGTTGAAAATGGTCTTCTGAACAGTTCTAAAGGACCGAATCTAATCAATCTCGACGAAACAAAGCGTACAAGTCAACAAGCTCATGAGGGTTTTATTAACCATCCTCACTATGGCACCACATTGAATGTTCCAGATCCGACTAGTGTTCTTCACGTTTTACCTCCAGCAGCTTCTCCAGCACCACTGAATCCACCTCGACCAGCCATCATGTCCACACCCAAATCTGCTATGATTTGTGTGAAGCATCCTTCGTCAGCAGTTGCTTTATCGCCAACAGAAACTCGACCGTTATTACTTGTAACGACAGAAAATGATCAACACCGACCACAAACAATGACAGTGTCTAACGAACGTCGTCTACCACTGAACGGTCGAATGGCACCAGTTATTTCAGCTCAACAGCGAAGTCAACCAAAAATACCTATGATGAACAATCACCAAATGATTCATGAAACTTCAACTCAAAAAATACCGGCTAAAAAATATGTCAACAACCGACCGCGAACGGCCCTATTTTTTGCATCCACAAGTAATGATCGCGAATTGGATTTACTTAGCAAAGTTACTGTCTGTTTAGGAGGACCTGATCAATCACCGGAACAGCATCAACCATTACTGAGCAACAGTGGAAATGATCTTAGTCGTCATGATTCCATTGATTCCCACACATCAACTGATGATGGTATGGGAATAGTTGATAGTTGGTCAAGTGCACCAAGGTTTGCTATTTTCATTCTTAAGCATGGGAAGTTTATTTTCATTTTTTGCATAGAATGATCGTATCATCGGATCAAAGAGCACCCACTATTGATACTTCGCTACTGATCAATACAGCTCAGTCACGACCACAGACAAGTGTCAGTTCAAGAAAATTGCCAACGCCGCCGATATCTACACGACAATTACCATCAACTCATGATTCGAAAACCAATGCATCATTTTCCGACGACCACAACACAGAAAATGAAGAAGAGCTCGAACAGGAAAGATACAATCATTCTGGAGAATTATTTTATTATCAAACATCATCTTCATCGGCAACAAAATCAGATGGATCGCCCTCCGCAGAAAGCTTCGATAATGACAATCACGAAGACCACTATCATCATGATAATCAAGAAGAAGAAGAAGATGATGATGATGATGATGATAATGATGATAATGATGATGGCGCCGATGACGATGATGATATTGCGGAACAGCGAATTCGTCGACGACATGCAAATGACGAAGACGAGTATCAAACTTCATCGTACGAATACGAAGGTTGACATTATTTTCTTTTGGAATACTTATTTTGTTTAAATAATAAATTTATACGAAGATTTACTTTTTACAATTCCTCTTCTTGAAATGATTGAATGCTCAGCATGTTTCCTAGTACTTATTCGATACTATTGGCCTCTTGATGGCAGTACTCGATCGATCAATAGTAAATAATGAATCCATGTTCGTCTGTTTCTGTCAAACACAAACAACTTCGGAATTTCAGTATCATAAATGTAGCAAACAATGCAAATTACTTTTCGAATTTCATGTTTGGCTAGGAACTATTTACTCCTAGGCATACAACAACGATCACTAGTGATCGAAAAAGGGTTCTTGTCAACAATTGATTGATACGCACTCACTGTCAGAGTGGGCGAATGATTTTAGCACAAACATCACCTTTTAATACTTTTATATGTATATATACGATGAAATAATCATAGTAATTGAAAAGAAAAAGATTATTTCTAGAATTTAAGCATTAAAAACCTGTAATCAATTGCTGAATGAAAAGAGATTTCTGCATTTAATACACTCAATATAACATTCTCTCGAGTTTTCATAAATACAACTTGATATGTGTCAAACATTCCGTTAGAAAGAATCCATTTATCATCACGAATCCATCTTAAGTATTTCTCGACTATTCTCTTTTCTACTTCTAAGTGGAATAAATGAAATGATTGTTATGGTTACCAACATGTTGATTTCCCTTGTGTGTGACAAAAATGAGCCCTCTCTATTCTTCTCGTTTTTCTCTTAGCATCCTTTTTTTTCTATTTACTTCTTATTATATTCAATTGACGAGCATACGCACTTACAAAAGAAAGAAGAAGAAAACTGAGCTTCGATTCGATGACACAACACACGAGACATATAGTCAGTTATTCGATATGTGCATCCTCAAATCTTCTGTTTTCATCACTTTCTCATATTGCATGACTCTCGTCATTTTCTGCATCCTCTTCTATTTGCAGGGTTTTTTGTGGATTTAATATATGGATGATTCATTCAACGATATAAGCCGCCGTCCTCCGTTAGGCAGTTTGTATGCGCCTATGCCGTCCGTCTGCCGTGCTCTTTAACTACAAGGGGGTGCGTGCAAGCATACGAACGAGAAAAAACAGGAACACGAACAACGTTCGCGGACTGCTATTCTTTCTCTCGCTCTCTCATTCTTTCTATTTTTCTCTCTTTTTATTATCTTCCCCCGTCGTCTAGCAGTATAACACTTTTCAGTAGTTGCAGATCGACATTTCTTTCATTTTCACTTTATTCTCTACAACTAACAACACAATAAATCGACAATGCGTGAAATAGTTCATCTTCAAGCTGGTCAATGCGGTAACCAAATTGGTTCTAAAGTAAGTAAAAGCTAACTCCACGATAAATATCAGCCGACCAGACCCGCACACAAAATGAAATCTTGCCATTTGATGAATCATCGCCACTTCTTTACCTCATAATGAAATGATCAGTGCAAAGTCTCTTCGCTGAAAAATAATTCGATCTAATCTACTTCGATAATGAATGTTTCATGTCGGATAAATATAAAATTAACTGAATTATCTAGTTGACATGAAATACAACATTCTTATTTATGCTAAAGGTGAGTCATTGCTTATTTTAGTTCTGGGAAGTCATTTCTGACGAACACGGTATCGATCCAACTGGTACATACCATGGCGATTCTGATCTTCAACTTGAACGCATCAACGTTTACTATAACGAAGCAGCTGGTAAACAATCTCCATCTAATTATATCATACATCTCGCTCTAACACTCGCCCTCTACTTCTAGGAGGCAAATACGTTCCACGTGCTGTTCTCGTCGATCTTGAGCCAGGTACCATGGACTCTGTTNATTTCCGACGAACACGGTATCGATCCAACTGGTACATACCATGGCGATTCTGATCTTCAACTTGAACGCATCAACGTTTACTATAACGAAGCAGCTGGTAAACAATCTCCATCTAATTATATCATACATCTCTCTAACACTCGCCCTCTACTTCTAGGAGGCAAATACGTTCCACGTGCTGTTCTCGTCGATCTTGAGCCAGGTACCATGGACTCTGTTCGCAGCGGCCCATTCGGTCAACTCTTTCGACCTGACAACTTCGTCTTTGGTAACAGATTCCTTGTCGAGCATTGTCATCACTGTTAATCATGTTGTTGATTAGGTCAATCTGGTGCTGGCAATAATTGGGCCAAAGGCCACTACACCGAAGGTGCTGAACTAGTCGATTCAGTCTTGGATGTTGTTCGCAAAGAAGCCGAATCGTGTGATTGTCTTCAAGGCTTTCAGCTCACTCACTCACTCGGTGGTGGTACTGGCTCTGGCATGGGAACTTTACTCATCTCCAAGATCCGAGAGGAATACCCTGATCGTACGTATCGAACAAGTGATGTCCTTCGATTGTTATAAGACTTGGCGAATATTTGTAGGTATCATGATGACATTCAGTGTTGTTCCATCACCCAAGGTATCGGACACTGTTGTCGAGCCATACAATGCAACTCTATCTGTTCATCAACTCGTCGAAAACACCGATGAAACTTATTGTATCGACAATGAAGCTTTATACGATATTTGTTTTCGAACACTGAAACTCACCACACCAACATACGGTGATCTCAACCACTTGGTGTCAGCGACCATGTCAGGTGTCACAACCTGTCTTCGCTTTCCAGGTAACATAACATAATAGTCTCCGTTTACAGTATGAGCTATTGTTCTTTATCGTATAGGTCAATTGAACGCTGATCTTCGCAAATTAGCGGTGAACATGGTCCCATTTCCTCGTCTTCACTTCTTCATGCCTGGCTTTGCACCGTTAACATCACGTGGTTCGCAACAATACCGTGCACTCACTGTTCCCGAGCTCACCCAACAAATGTTCGATTCTAAAAACATGATGGCTGCATGCGATCCTCGTCATGGTCGATACTTGACTGTTGCCACCATCTTCCGTGGTCGCATGTCGATGAAAGAGGTCGACGAACAAATGTTGAATGTTCAGAACAAGAACTCGTCGTACTTCGTTGAATGGATTCCAAACAATGTGAAGACAGCTGTTTGCGATATTCCACCTCGCGGTCTCAAGATGTCAGCAACATTCATCGGTACGTCACAGAATACGAAGAAAAAAAGAAGTTGATCTGTTGTGATGTATTGTAGGTAACAGCACAGCTATTCAAGAGCTGTTCAAGCGCATCTCTGAACAATTCACTGCTATGTTCCGTCGCAAGGCTTTCTTACATTGGTACACAGGCGAAGGTATGGATGAAATGGTAAGTGGTGGCGGATTGATGACTCGTTCGTAATAATCGCTATGAATACGATAGGAATTCACTGAAGCTGAATCTAACATGAATGATTTGGTTAGCGAATACCAACAATATCAAGATGCAACAGCTGAAGGTGAGTAGCGGTTGTTTGGAGAGCATGTGAGAATTGGTTGTACAATGTATTGTGTTTTTTTTTAGAAGAGGGCGAGGGCATGGAAGGTGAGGAAGAAGAACAAGCCTAGAAGATGGTCAGGGTAACAGACATATTTTCGACAATATTCAATGTTTAATGTTGTGCCTTTATATATCTGCGAATTTATTCTAATACTATCTTTTTCTCTTGCGTACACATGTTTAACAAAGCGTTCACATACTCTACTTTACATTTTTTTTTCATTCATTGCTCTTATCAAAGAAAATAAATACATAAATTTTATCAAAATAATCCAATTGGTATTATTGAATGTGGCATAGACGATGAATGATGTGGTTAGTAGAATAAGAAAGAAGACTGATTGAAAGCTGATGAGAATCAACGACACTTGAAAGAGAAACATGTTTGCTGTTTGACTAACGGAGATTAGCGTATAGAACGATGATTGTTAAGAAGAGTTCATTGGAATGCGAATGTGTTTAAAACGCATATGTGGTCTGTGTTTATTTGGAATGCATGCGGTTTCTTTTTCGGGCCTTTAATCTTTCTCATCGACAAAATATTCCGACATCCCACGTGTATTCATGTTCATCTATTCTTTTTTGTTTATCGCTATTGCTCTAGTTTCCTCTTACTAGTTCTCTGTAGACGAAGAAACTTCGAGCACAAATCAGTATGCCCGGAGTAATTTGCCAGCTCATACAGATCGATGCTTAGTCATTCGATCTGATTTGTGTGCTTTCTTTACATTCTTATTCCTGTTTCTTTTTCCTTCGTTAGCCTGTTCTCCTTCTCAGCTTGAGTTAGTTGTGGTGAATATGAAATTATGATTCATCCATCGATGTGAGATGTCGTCCTCCGAGAGACGTTTTTTTTTTTTTGTATCTGTAATGATGTGTATAGACAGCCAGTAGAGTAACCAATAAAACATGCCCGTCCGTTTGTCTCTTTGACTAAACAGAAAGAATAATAGTTGCAAATCGTGTTCTTACAAACAACAACAAACACAAGATGGTCTTCATTCGATGTTTTTCCTCTGTTCTTCTATTTGTTTTTCTCTTATCTGCAAAGACCCACCAACTATGCTCTTCTTTTCATTCAGTTGTGTGTCGGTAGCATTTAAGAATACTCAAAACTTATCGCTCTTTCTAACTCTAGATCGACTAAGAATTTCTTTCATTTCTTCAATAACGACATAATGCGTGAAATCGTTCATCTTCAGGCTGGCCAATGCGGTAACCAAATTGGTTCAAAGGTACATAAAATTTCATGCATATTAGCGTTTTTAACTGCAGTCAATTCTTTCAGTTCTGGGAAGTCATTTCCGACGAACACGGTATCGATCCAACTGGTACATACCATGGCGATTCTGATCTTCAACTTGAACGCATCAACGTTTACTATAACGAAGCAGCTGGTAAACAATCTCCATCTAATTATATCATACATCTCTCTAACAC